CGGACAAGTTCGATGGCAGCAAGAAGGAGAAGGTCCGAGGGTTCCTGGACCAATGCAACCGGGAATTCGAGGTCAAACCGGGCGTCTACGTTACCGACCGCCTGAAGATGATGTACGCGGAGTCGTACATGGAAGGACAGGCCGCCGATTGGGCCCGGGAGTACTCCACGGGTCGAGTGCCGGCTACCTGGGAGCAGTTCGAGCAACTGCTCATCTCCACTTATGGTGGAGGACGAAACATCGCGGCAACTGAGGCCGAATTAGTTCACTTAAGGCAGGGCACCAAGAGCCTCGCGACGTACATCACCGAGTACAACGACCTCTTGGCCCTCCTCCCCAACGTCTGCGAATACTCTCGCCGGATGCTGTTCAGGGCCAACCTGAACCAAGCGTTCAAAGACGCCATCGTCCCTATGCCGGGCCAAGAAACAATGACTTTGGCGGAATTCCAAATGGAATGCCGCCGGTACGAAGATCAGGCGGATGCCAGAAGGCATATGTCCTCGGGAAACCGCTACAACTCGGGCGGTAACCGACAAGCGAGTAACCACTCCGCTCCCCGTAACCCCGTTGTGGTCAATACCACCGTTGCGACCCCTACCCCCGCCGCCAACACTTCCACCGCTGCTCCCATGGAACTCGATGCGGGCAGGATGAGGCGGAACGACCCTTGCTACCGGTGTTTCCAACACGGGCATGTAGCCGTCAACTGCCCCAACCAGAGGGTCCCTGCCCCTGCTTGGTTCAAGGGTAGGAACAACGGTCGGATGAACGTCTCTGGTGCCCGGGTGCAACCCGTCGAGACCGTCCCGGAGGGAGGTTGGGAAGCCGAGCTTGCGAGGCAGAACGGAGAGCAGCCTTTGCTCTGGACCCCGACTGATTAGACGTACGGTTGTGTTGTTATTGGCTCATCGTTTGTTGTACCCCCACGGCAGGCCCGGCGGGGATGTTTTTATCACCATTCACTTTTTCAAGCACCCGACTTCACAGTGACTATGAGAGATACACTCACCAAAGTATACGCCATCAAAAGGTAACTGTACAAGAAGTACAATACGAAACATGTCCCTCGCGAGGAGTAAACGCATACTACTGAAGAACACAACCTGAAACGAGTCCCTCGCGAGGAGTAAACGCACAAGTCCCTGGCGAGGAGTAAAACGCACAAGTCCCTCGCGAGGAGTAAACGCACATAGAGAGAAGAAGACGAAGTCGGGACTCTATTATGGTATATCAAAATACAAGAGAAAAAAGAGACCCCGACGTAAAAAACAATCCGGAGAGTACAAACACGACGAAACTCCAAAAGACCCGGAAACCCCTCACTCGTCGCCTTCCGAAGCGGGGACGACCTTCTTCTTCTTCTTCTTGCCGGCGGCGGGATTCGGCGTCGGGGACGGAGGAGGGGAAGGCGTAGGGGTGCGGAGGACGTCGGCGTCGTACTCCTCGCCGACCGGTCCGTCAGCAGCGACGGGGGGTTCTCCAACATCCTCACCATGACCTTCGAAGAGGAAGTCCCGATAGGACTTGTCCTCGTCCCACGCGTCACGATCGGGGATGGTGACGGTCCCGTTTTCGTTGGCGACGTACGGGTGCCTTCGGCACCACGACAGGAAGTACCTCTTGCGGTACTTGTCCTTGACAGCAAGCCAGGCGGGATAGCATCGGGTCTCTACAAGACAATCGGTCTTGTTCGAGAGAAGGGGAAGAACCTACGCGAAAGGCGAACGTTAACTCCGAGGCAGATTCCCGCCGGGGGTTCAAATCGGAGCGACTGCTTACCATGAGCTTCATGATCCTCTGAAATTCGTCCGCGACGGCGATGGCAACCGGATTGGGGACGTTGGGGATCGTAAGGACCTCACACGCCGCCTGGTACCGGGTGCGGATACCGTAGGCCGGATCGAAAACCGTCATGAAGGTGGACGGCAAAGGGGCGCACTTGATGTTCGTTCCCCGGCAAGGGAAGCAGGAACTCCCCTGTCCAGAGGATTTCCCCGCGTCCGGTAGAGGGTGGCGGCAAAAGAAGATGCCTTCGAACTCCATCACGTTGTACCACCCTTTGACCCCATCCTCGACGTAACCGGGAACCGAGTTTTCGGCGGAGAGGTGGAAGCGGTCCTCGTGACCGAAACAGTTGAGGCAGCACCACTTCCAGCCACCACGGTACTGAGCCTACGTACGCACGATTGGAATCAGCATATGACAACCCCACCGGAGAGAATAAAAGAAAAGAACAATACATACCATCAAACCGTCGAACCCCGCGACGTTTCCCTCCTTCCACAACTTCTTGAGGGAAGGGATGGAAGGACTATCGGCCAAGAAGGCCGTGCGAGCAAGTTCTTCGGACCGAACTTGCCCCTCTGAAGGAGCGACCGACATGTTAGCCACAGCGGACCCCACCCAGACGGATACCACTCACTCTCGTCGGCGGACTTGGTCTTGGGGTATACGAAACCCCTGCCCCGATCTTGCTCAAGCTTCGACGTCCCTTTCGGAGTCGACGGAGAGTACGGCTTATCGCCGTGGTTCTTGGAAGTCTTGGGAGTGGGAGGCATGTCGAATGGAATAGAAAGGTAGATGGGGGATAGATAGCGTAGGAGGGGAAAGTGAGTAATAGCGAAAGGACACCTACGACTTACTCCCCACCTCGCAAACGCGAACGCGAACCCCTTTATACCCTACATCCCTGCTGCTACGGCGGCCCAAACAAAAGAAGAGTTGCGATACTAGCAAAGAGAGCAACTAGAACAATACTATTGCTATGGATATGGGCATATGGAGAGAGGGTATCGTACAACAACAGCGGTATAGACGTCAACATCAACGACGGTCTCCTTTGTTTACACCTCCCGAACAATGAGTCGGACATGCGCCCATACGGATGTCCGCGCCAGGACAAAGAAAAGAACAACAAACGAGACGCGCCCCATCGGGCCCGAAATTCGGGTACCCTGTGAAACAGGTAGACGTGTGTAAGCGACGAACGCTTACCGGTGGGAAGGGCAAAAGGAGAGAACAAAGGCGTCTACATGAAACACGACCGGCGCTGGCCGATCTGGAATCTCGGCCTAGGGGGGGGATCCTGTTATAGCATCCGCGGTACGCGTATCGCACACCCGCGTCGGGTAGTTTTACAGGGACCTCCGAGGGGAGTTCCCGTACGGAGTATATCTAGAACACCCCCTATGTGTTTACTGTAATGTAGTACTAGTTGTACTACATCCGTTATTACATTCATTACCTTACCCTTACCTTCTAGTCCCGTGTGATACTATTCCAGGCTTGCAGGCAAGCCTAATATAGGACCTATCGCCCAATAGCGACATCCGCCGTAACAGTATCTGATTTCAAACATATTGGTTGGCGTAGGCCAGTCCAAGATGCTTTGCACTTTCTTGACATCCATGGTAATCCCATCTCTTCCGACAATGAAGCCAAGGAATTCCACACTGTGTTGGTGGAACTCGCACTTCTCGGCTTTGGCAAAGAGTCCTGCTCTGCAAAGTGTCTCAAGGACAGAGGTAACATGCTGATAGTATTCCTCCAGTGTGTCCAAGTAGATGAGGATGTCATCCAAGTAACAGATGACATAGTGATTGTTAGGCGTTGAGAAGGCTCCAGGGAAGACCGGCTCGATGTATACCTGCGAGGACATATCCGGGAGTAATGTAGAACGTAGGACTAGGGTATATAGATGTAATAACAGATGAAAGACTATATACTACAATGCTGATACCAAGTGATACAATACGATATGCTCCTTGAACAACTCTACCGGAGTTGGTACGACTCGAGTCCGGCGTGCGCGCGTGTCGCTATAACAGTGATCCAGCATCATCCTGAAGTTGTGGTTCATCAGGTGTTGAAATGATGCTGGCGCGTCGGTGAGACCAAATGGTATGATGAGGTATTCAAAGAGCCCGTAGCGTGTCCTGAATGCCGTCTTCCATTCTTCACCTTCAGCGATCCGTAAGACGTTGTAGGCTCCTCTGAGGTCAATCTTGGTGAGGTATTTGGCCTGGCGCAAGCGGTCCAGATGCTCTGAGATGAGCAGAAGTGGGTACCAATTCTTGATGGTTATCTTGTTGATACCTCGGTAGTCCACACAGAGATGGAGGGATCCATCCTTTACTTGCGCTGAAGCGTACGGAGACGGACTCTGAACCTCTCCTCCTGCACTTCCACTTGTTCGCCTCTTGACTTGCCTGCATTCTTCTCTCTCATTTCCTTCGAAGTCCTTTCCCTTGCTTCACGTGCGGGTCCGTGCATTCCTGTACCGTAAAGTCCGATCCCCAAAGCGACGCGTACATAAGGGCTGTTGAGCTTCTCGATGATCTCGGCCGAAAGCAAGGCTTGCATCAGGCCTGATGTCAATCGTCCTGTGACAGCGTACCGCGGATTCAATGACAGTTGAGATCTGTTGGATAATGATGACAGATTTCAAGATGGTGGTGACAAGTTTCAAGATGTTAACGATATGTGTTGGGACAGTGTTGGTCTGCAACAAATAGCAATAACAGATTGAATTGGGAACAGCTTTTGGTTTGTACTTGGGTGGGGCCCAAGAGATTTCTGAGTGATGGTTTAGATGGTGATCCAATCAAGTTCTGGAAGGAAGCTACGATCTGTCAACCGGCCCCGTTTACCGGTGGAGAGGCATTTAGGTGTCCCTTATGGGTTGGGTAAACAAAATATTATTATAAATGAATGAACCGAGCTGAAATTATGGACGTCCCCTTAGTTTAGTGGTAGAATATCTGACTACGAGGTATTCAACTTGTTATCAGGGGGTCGCGCGTTCGAGCCGCGCAGGGGATTGCTTTTTTGTCCTTTTGCCCCCCTCTAGACCCCCGCAGACACAGCTGCTAACGCTTCATCCCGTTCGGATGGTGGTTGTCCGCCTCACCGCCATGCTCAACACCATGCATCCTTGCCGATCATCCACACAGCCCTACCAGCTCAAGGCCCCGCCAACTCTGCATTCCAGTCACCCTCTTACATGAAAACCACCTGCGATCAATGCTCTGATGCCCATTCTTGGTCGATCCGCGTCACTTGGAAGTCCCGCTTACGTCAGCAGCCGGCGAGGGCTAACCCAGGATCGTGATGATGCTCAACCGAGGACGAAGCATAGACATGTACTGACCGTCCGAATCTTTTCTACTCGCCAATGCCCTCTTCTACCTCCCGAGAGTCATTTTATCCTCCATGGCTGACCCGCTCGCCAGCATGAACGCCTGGGGTAGCCCTTTGCCCCCACAAAAGGACGATCTCCCACCGGTACCCATCAACGACGACGAGCGGGAAGGCCTAGGCGGCAGCAACGGGACGATGGGCCCGCCGCACCTACAACGAGACCCTCGCACGTACGGGGTCACAGGTCCAACCCTGATCGATGCCTCATCGAATACTGCTGGTCCCGAACGAAATCAACCTGCTGCTCCCTTCATCCGTGTCAGGCTGGGCTCGATAGACAGGAACAAAAAGGACCTCTTGATCCGATTCGACTTGAGCGTGAGTTGGATGTCTAGCCAGCTCAGCCATATCGGAAAGCTGACCATCCGCTTCGCGTTAATAGACAAACCTTCCATCGTTCAGAGCCACGCTGTACCGAAATATCCAACGGTCGTACGCCGACTTTGGTATATTCGCCGAACAAATCGCCCATCGCAATCCCCAGAGTAAGGACAAGGTTTCAAATCTACGACCTTCAGCCTCTATGGATGCTAATGCTCTCCTCGTTTTCGTAGCCATCGTACCGGCCCTGCCGCTACCTCAGACTTCGGCCGTTACAGACGAAGAAGGTCAGTCGCGAACGTAGCTGCCTGGAACTTGGCTCTCCCTGACCCAGCTAATTCAGCACCAGAAACATTCCTCCTACCTCGCAGACGACCGACTCGTCCGGATCGCTCTACAACGCTGGTTCGCCAGGGTATGCGACGACCCGATTTTGCAACGGGACGACGAACTACGTAGTTTCGTCGAAAGCGACTTCGGAGCAAGTCCTCTCAATCTCTTCGGCCTTGTCCGTCCTCGCCGCAGCTAACCGAAATATCTGGATTTCACATCTCGCATCCTTGCGATTTAAACATGCCCCACCTCACAGTATCAACCCTCTACCCCACGCTCCCAACTGCGCTCCCGTGCGACGGCATCATCTTCCACCGGCGCGTTTTCGTCACTTTCCAAAGTCTTCCGTAAAGGCCCGCCGGACGAGGACGAGGATCTGCAGGCTGCCAAGGGCGAGCTCGAGAGGCTGGAAGAACGATGGGCAAAAGCTGCCAGCGCTGTCAATTCGTTAGGAAAGGCTAGGAAGAGTAGGTCGTCAACGTCTGTCTGTGAGATTTGGATCTAACGCCTGGGCCGACCCGATTTGTAGCGTTTGCTGTGGCCGAGGCGGACAGCGGGGGAAAGTTTGTCTCGCTCTCCACAGTGGAGCCTAGCCCGGACCTTGCACTGGCGATGAGAAGCATGGGTAGGGCTTTCGAAACGATTGCCGGATTGATGCAGGCGCAGGTAAGGGTTGCTTGACAAGCTCGGGGGCGAGATTGAGTTCACACTGACGTCACGACATGGATATCGTCGCAGGCCGTGAGCGATAACGTGATACTCAGCGACTCGCTAGGTTATCAATCGCTAAATGCCAAATCCGCCAAGGTACTTCAATTACGCAGCTACTAGCACCGAGACGATAAGCCGAGACTGACATTGCACGCTGTAGGAAACACTCAATCAGCGCACGCACGTACTGGAAGAGGCTCAGGCGGCATCCAAGGCGGCCATCAACAAACGCCGCGTTGTCGAACGCATGAAGGGGAGCTCGAACATCAATCCCGCCAAGGTCGACGACGCGCTCGAGGATATGCGAGAAGTCAGTACATATTCTCATAGAATGATCCTGACGCTCAACTGCAGCTGAAAATTACCACTCAACCGGTCTCACAGGCTCAGGACCTGGACCATCACCTAGCCCAGCGCGTACAAGGCATCTCGATGAACCTGCGCTCGGCCATCCAAAGCCACTCTCGTCGTGCACACGAAGACATCGCCGTCATGCTCCTCGAACACGCCAAGAGCAAGATCATGCAGGAACGTCACGTCTTGAAAGAGCTCGAGAGCGTGCGACCAGATATCAAGAACATCGGCAAGGGCGTCGTCAAGGTGGCCCGAGCGGCACCGTCGACGGGCATGCAACGAACCAACAGCATGCCGGGCGTCAGACCGATGGCAGGAACGGGTTCGTACTACCAATCAACGGGAGGACCATCACAACCATCGCCCTTTGTCGCTCCGAATGCGAGCGGGTACTTGCCACCAAACTCGGCTCATCACCCGTCCGGCATGAGCCAGAGCATGTACGTCGGATCCACTCAACCGCGACAATCACAATTCGCGACGCAACCACAATCGGCCTACCCTCAAGGAACACAGATTCCTGGTCAGCTCCCGGCCCATCCTTCGGCTCCCTCTCAACGACCCGAGTTTGGGCAATACGATTCCTCGGCGGATCCGCTCGGGGCGCCCTCCAACGTCCCGCACAACGTCCATAGTCCTCCGCCCCTCGGTGTCGGAGCCACTGCGACGACTTACAATAACATGGCTCAGAGCTTGTACATTCCCGGGGGAAGCAAGGCACCAGGAGGATATGGGGGACCTCGACGTATAGACGATAGGGCTGCTGCGAGGAGTTTGGCCAACATGTTTTAATTTCGAGAGCATCGTCTTTGTATCCTACCAACTTTTCGCTTTCATTTGTATGTGATCGTAGACCAGATTATATGAGGCGAAGAGAACGAGTTTTTGACTGATAACCAGCCGGTCAGATCGCTGCAGCCGGTCTTTTCCTCGTAGCCGTAGTTGCGCGTCTCGATGCGGTTGGCTGGATTTCATGTCATAGTCGATACAAGCAGGATAGGGAGTAGCGTCACAGGATCCGGTTCCTTTCTATTGAACCTTTTCAGTTCCCCAGACCGAGTTGGTAGCAAACGATTTTGGTGCCACAGGCTCGGACTGCAGGTCGGAGTGAGGACATGAGCGTCAGTGATACCCACATCACAACACCTCCTACGCATAACTCACTGTCTGTCCTCTCCACGATCCTGTCAGCCGCTCATCTCGAGCCATCATCATCTGATCCCAGTGGTCCAAGTTGTATCGAGGAGGCTAGAACCGGATAGCAATCAAGACGTGAGTTCCCCGGTCGGTCCATCCAACCCTAGCCAGTCATGCAGACCAACCTTGCCATCGTTCGTCAACCTCTTGGCAACATTGAACCCAGTACCGGTGATACCGAACATGGCGGTCAAAAGACCTGGACAGCGGGAAGCAATCATAGGTCAGCGTTTACACGCACAAGTCCGGTACATCGAGGCCGCCCCAGCTCACCGAACGGAATGAGAGCTTCCCAGGGAACAGGCATGTTTGGCAATTCCTCCTCCTCCGGTTTTACAGGGTTTCGAGATGATCTGAAAATGCAGTGAAGGAACAGGTCCTGCCACAGATCGGGATAGCTGCTTGTCAACTTGTGAATGTTCGCTAACCCCCACGCAGCGGTTCCGGGCTTCTGCGCGCCAAAACGACGCGCTTCTGATTGGTCACCACGGCCACCGGCTCGAGATATGAACACGGTGATGTCGTTACAAGGATACATCGGGCAAATCACGTGGGGTATTCATTCGACAGATTATATGATCTACAGACGGTCATCAGGCAAGACGTCGAGATTCCCGTACTGCTGTTGATGTTTCAACGTATCGATTTTTTCTCGCGGTATCCACTTGATCTTTTCGAGCGTATCCCGAGGCATGGCCTCGAGTGCCGCTTGCTCCGCCTTGCTCCCTCGCTTGTTATGTTTCAGCCCTCGCTTGCGTTTCAAACCAGGTAGCCGTTCGAGACAAAAGTCGAGCATCACCTCGGTCCTCAATTTGAGCTCGCTCGCTGCCGTCCGATCGGGAAAGTTGAGCGGGAGTCGAAACGAGAGCCAGAGGTAGAGAACCAGCGCCTTGTGAAGCGACTCTAGGCCCGGAATGGCGGTGACGATGGTGGCCGGAATAGGTGAAGGCACAGCTCCAGCCCGGGTCTCACTCTCGGTCGGACTATGCATCGTCTTGCTCGTCTTTTCGACCAGTTCGAGGTTGGGTACTAAACGACCGCTTTCTAATGCCGACTCGAGTAGGACCTCGCCCTCGTTGACGTATGCGCTGACGTAGTTTTGAAATGCCGACACTACCTTGCCGTCCCGCAAGTTGACCGGCGCAAACCCGAACGTGACCATCTCCTTGAGAGTGAGATCCTTGGTGAACCCCTTGAGCAATTCGGAGAGTTTGATATGCGGTAGCACGGCCGACGGCATGCATGCCGGTGATAGGTGGACCAAGTTCTCGTAGGTCTCCAGCAGATTCGCGTAAGGCGTCTCTTCTGGCAGCAACAAAGCCAACCGAGCCAAGCGGTCATATCCCGGTTCGATAGCCGCTCGAGGAACCGGTGTCAGGGGAGAAGGCAAGATCTGACGCAACAACGGCAAGTCCTGCTCGTTGAGCGTCGTCACGCCTCCCTCGGACCCAGCATCGTGCTGCCCAAACCGCCCCGCTCGACCCGCAATCTGCTTGATCTGTGAGAACGACATCAAGACCTCCTCCTTGCCGTTCCACTTGTGCAGCGTGTCAAAGATGATTCGCTTAATTTTCCTGTCAAAGCCAGTGATCGGAAAGTCGGTGTTAGCATGGTCAGGCGTACAGATTCCCGCACACCTGTGACTCACAAGTTGAGGCCCATACCGACGGCATCGCTTGCTACCATCACGTCAATCCCGTTCCCCGGCTCGTTGAACAGCCTCGCCTGCTCACTCCTCGTTTCTGGTGGCAGAGCGCCGTACACCACGGCACAGCGTTTTCCTCGCTTCTCCTCTATCGTTTTCTTCAATGCAAAGATGCCTGACCGGCTGAAAGAGACGACACAGTCTCCGTCCTCGACCTTGGACAGGTCACCACCGAGAGACTCGTTCAAGACTTTGAGCGGAGTCAACCTCTCGTATCGATGGATGACCAGTTCGTCGCCCATGGCAGCAACCAACTTTTGTATGACGGGAACGACGGTCTCTTCCCCGCACAGATGGATCTCCTTGGCCAAAAGCCCCATCACGGCGTTGGTCCACGAACCTCCTCGCTGAGAGTCTCCGATCATCTGGATCTCATCGATGACCACGACGTCCAACGGTGTGTTGAAGGACAACATCTCGACTGTACAGCTCGTCAACCCGGCCTCGAGCGAGACGATTCGACGTTCTTCCCCGGTGATCAGGTTGCATTCCCTCCCCTGGCCATCCTCCAACCCGCCAACCGTACCCCTGTTCATCCGTTCCCAGACCTCATGGGCGAGCAGTCGGAGCGGTCCTGCATATGCTCCTGTTTTGGCCTTTGCCAACGCCTTGAGCGCATTATAAGTCTTGCCACTATTAGTCGGCCCGATGTGTAGGTGAAACTGCCGATGCATCTCCCTGGCCTCGTTGAACTGAGAGGCGAGATGCGAGAGGTCGGTCGTCTCCAAGATCTCCCGGATACGTACGACCAGAGGTTCAGGCAGTGAGAACATGCCAGTCGTTTGCTCGTGCGTCGCCCACCGCAAGAATTGACGCAGGTACGCCCTCTCTACCGACTTCAGCCAGTCGGCGTCATGCTGAAACGACAATGTCAAACCCTCGACGTCCCATTCAAGGGCGAATGGAGCTTCAGGGGTCTCGGTGGTCTGCGATGTACCAGCTCCGAAACCAGGACCCTTCAGCGACTTGATCGCCACGCCTTGAAAATCGTTGAGCAGCGCCTCGGCGTCCTCCATCCCGATGCCTAGCGAGTCGAGCTTTTTCAACGTAGTCTCCGAGTATATCCAGGGCTCTAACCTCCGTATCAGGGTGTTTCTCAGCTGCTCCAAAGTCGGCGCCGGTTTCGTCTCATTGGGCAATCTGCCATGACTCGGACGTCTCGATCGACGCTGTCCCAGACCTCGCTGATCGAATCCTCTCGATTTATCACCAGGTCCACTCCGACTGCCACCCCCACCATTGCGACCGACGTTCGCACTGCCGAGCCGAGAAGCAAACGATTCATAGATGGTTCGGTCTCCTTCCCTCGGAAAAGCTCGTTGCTGCTTCTCCACCGCCGCTGTCGTAGATACCTGTCGAGAGGCGATCGACCACGCTCGTCGTTGTCGGGAGAGCCCGAGCGCACATATATGGCATTGCCTCTCGGCCGGCGTGAGGAGGCCCCGAGAGAACATGCGAGGCTATTTGAAGATGCGAGACTGAGTCTCGGTTGCTTACTCGAACGACTTGACTTTCGCAAGGGGAATCATGCAGATCTGCCTGCATGTACCCTTGATCCCTTGATCGCTTGATCGAACCCCTCGCCTCACCGAAATCTCAAATTTTGTGAAAACGCATAACCGATGACGATGAAGCGAATTCGATGCGTTATCACGTCGGACGATTACGATCCTTGCGGTTCAAACTGGACATCTAGATTTCATTCTGTTTCTCGTCGATGGTGACGGAGAGGGGGCATAAGGGGGTACACGAAGACGGGAAAGATACGAAGACGGATACTGCGAGTTCTACTATTATCGAGACAACGAGATCCGTCCGTACCGAGTGGGATCCCGTAGAGAGGTTTGGGATGAAGGCGCATCGAAGGGGGTGAGCCGACGCTGATCAAGTGGTTGTTGCGTTGCCAGGAAGGAGAAGGAGAATTATGGGTAATATAGCGTGATGTCCAAAGTCGAGAAAGGTCGTAAAATTGTGAACCAAGGGCCAAAGCAAGGGAGCCAGCCGATCAAGCCGAGAGATCACAATGTGACGCTCATCGTTTCGACCGACCGAACCCCCTCACAACCAGCGCATCATCTCCGTCTCCGTACCTCCCCATCTCCACCCTGCTTCTTCCCTGCCCACTTGGCGACCTCCTCGCCCTCGGCCTCGCTCCCTTCGTACCCCGAATCGCTATCCGCGCCATCGAGGACGACCGTCACCCGCTCGTCCGCGGTCGCAGAGGCGGAAGCGGCAGAAGCCTCGATACGCTGCTGGTCCTTTTCGGCGAGTTTGCGTTTACGTTCCATATTCTTGATGGCGTCGTGAATGGGGTCGAGGTCGGGTCGAGGTGGGCGGTAAGAACCTCCCCACGAGTCTGCCCAGGTAAAGTACTGCGCGCAAGAGGATCGACAGGTCAGCGGCTGGTCCTTCATTGACTACGAAGACGTTGGGAACTTACTTGACCGTAGTTGCAAGTAAAGTACATGTGATGCAACGTGTGGTGCGCCGGCGAGTTGATGTACTTTTCCAACAAATGCCCCGAAATCATGTCTCCGTCGTGAATCTGCCAGTGCGAAAACCCAAAAATCAGTCTCCAGACGACAAGGACAAACAAGCACCAAGGCGAACTCACGACGATGGTCCACAGGTTGATGATGACGAACAACCCTAGGTAGATCCATTTATGCACGGGGAGGATAAAGACGACGAGGTGGTAAGGTACCGACTGGGCGTATCCGTCCAGGGGGTGGAAAGCGAGCGAGGCGAAAGGGGTAGGTACTACAGCGATCGATTTAAAGCAGGTATCAGTGGAATTGCCCCGAGACCGATCTATCATTTGCTCGAAGCTCAGAAACCGAACTCACCGACCCATTTGTGGTGAGGTTTGTGCAGCCTCTTGTAGATCGCCGGGATATGCAACCACCGGTGAATCCAGTAGATGCAGAAATCGGTAAACAACAAGAAGACCGCCATGCTCCCTGCTGTGTACACCCAAGGGCCCATTCCTTCCGCCCACGTCCCCTGGAACCACCCGGCTCCATAATCACTGAAGTTGTCGTACATCAAAGTCTTGCCCCTGATCTCTGCCACGAACCAGGGCACGATGAGGGCGGCGATGATGGGTTGCGAGCGGAGTGACATGTCAATCTCCATCTTGATCTGGTTCTTGAGGAACCGGGGGTGATGTTCCAGCCGACGGTCGAACAGGTAATAGTAGGAGAGGATAGAGACGCCCATGTAGAGCAAGAAGGAGGATGACCAGGCGAGGAAGAAGAGGGAGACGAGCTGTCGGATGATGCTGTCCCGAGGGAACAACGACAACGTCGGCGAGTCTGTTATTGTTGTCGACGCATCGACTCCGATGTTGGCCAACGACCTAGCCAGCGTACAAGCCGAGTCCTTGAGCGTGGGCGACGTCAAGAGCTGTGCCGATGGGGCGAACGTTGACGAGGGGAAGAGGGTGGTGTAGACCGAGTCCAACCAGTGGTCATCGAGGTAGTTTAGGACGACGTCCATGGTAGCGGATCAAAGGTCGGGTTTTCGAAGTCGAGGGAGTGTTTCAGTGTAGTATGTGAGGGTGGCAACCTTCCAAATGGGATCGAGATGTGCGATCGTTTCCTCTTGTGAGTGGCGCTCGCAAGTCGAACTCTATATATCGATTGCGATTATTCGTGAAGATGTGGTACGACTATGTGAGAATTCGGAGTATGACTTGGCGACGATGACGAAGGCGATGTATGTATGACGCCTTTTGAGCTATATCAATTCCCAAGTAAGGCAGACGTCGGAGTCGTTCGGGGCGGTTGAGAAAAGCGAAGGTGGTGGTGTTTGCTATTTAGTGGTTCGACTGAAGGTCGGTGTCGTTCGGTGGGGTTTTTGTCCGTGACGGCGTGCGGAGTCCTGGAATACCCGAGGAAAGAAGTAGAAGAGAGCGTGGGTGGGTGGTATCCGTAGCAAATCCAAAGTGGTATCAGGTCCTGAAGGGATGCACAAGAAAAGGCTGAGAGTGGCCCCCAAGGTAGGTCGCCCCCGGTGAGTTGTGGAGAGTTGTGTTGATGGGATCGTACGGGGGGTCGAGAAAGTGTCGAACCACTCTTTTTCGAGTTCTCCCCCTCGCGCGCGCGATCGCTCTCTCTCGGCATGCCGGCACAATCCCCACCCGGCACAGCAGGCAGGAGAGGGGGGGGTGCGGCGGGCGCTTCCGCATCATAACCCCCGCGATCACTCTCACTTTCGGCCGGCCGGCCGCCCCTCGCTTCGCCTTCGTCCCCCCCCCCCCCCCCATCAAAACAAACAAACCCCTCTCGTCCCATCACCACCACCCGTCGAACCGATTCATCATCATCGAAACGCCTTCCCAGCCATCAAAGCCAACCTCGAACCTCCGACCCGAGAACCCTTGGTCATTGAGCATGACCAGCTGACCAGAAACCCAAAGGTCGACTCAAGACAACAACAAAGGTAGCCTTGATGGGGGTTGATTTATCGATCGGTGAATTCGGAGGTAATTTCAGGTAAATTGGCGCTATCATAATAACTAGAACAGCGATTTATGACGTGTCTTATTATTTATTAATTGTTTACGTTCGTCTGTTGATGAAGTCGTCTAAGTCGATCAGTCGATTTCGACATGTTATCGACGTTATTACTATACTACCGTTCTATCATCTGTCTTACTACTAGTACCACCTAAACGTCGTCTACGCCATCATGTACCAGCAATCAAGAACCCCCTACAATCGTCAGCAATACTACAGCCGACCTACAGGTCAGTCGACCTCGACGTCGACTGAAATCCACGACTCTTTCGCTACACTCCCTTTCGATCAATACCAGCCTTACAACCCCCCAAATATCCTTCAGCAACCCTTCTCAAGACCACTAGACCTTCCCTTAGACTTTGTCGATGTGCCAGATCAATCGACTGATGAGGTAGTCTATTTGGGCCGCGATACCATCATCCAAGAGATCGACGACCGATCCTCAGTGCAAATTCCTTCATTTTCGTCGGGCCAAGGGGGATACAACAACCCCTTCGATACACAGCCTCTGGCATCAAGTTCGCAGTTACTAGAGCCCTCTGCAAAGAAAGGTGCATCCCGAAAGGTCATTGTTGCCGCCAAACAGGCCCGTAAAGGCAACAAGGGTCGATCTCTTCGACACGACGAAGGAATCGACCCTTCGACCGCTCTAGAGGCCTCGCAGTCTATCGTACAGTCTCACCTGAGGGCTAAGGGTACAAAGAAGGTCTATCAAGGCTACATGAAGAGGTGTAGAACATGGCTGGACCTCTTTAACAAAACACGACAACCTGGCGACCCAAATCTCGAAGGAGCGCTAGACGTCTTGAGCGAACGTTCTGCCCGATGTGTTCACCTGTTCATCGCTCACGGGGTCTCAGGCAAGAATGGTACGAAGCCACACAGCAAAGACACATGCGATGGCATCAAGGCCGCGTTGCGAGCATACTTTCAAGAGACGTTCGGTAATCAGTGCTACGTGAGTGAAAGATCTTGCATTTTCATGGAGTTCCGTGCTGACATCGTCAATTGCAACGACGCTTCCTCAGGGCGAATTCTGGCACCAGCGAGAGAACGGAACGTGGCATGGGAACCCTGTGTACGCTGGTGAAGTCAGGGATCTGATGAAATCGATCAAGAACCGGGATGGTCGAGCGGGAGTTAGCGAGCAGGTTCGTCCGCCGAAATCCTTCCCTCTTTCACCCTATAGATACTGATACACAGATTCATGTTCGTACAGTCTCTCCCGCTCTTACTACCCGATCTGCTCGTGCTTGTCAACTGGGTAGAGGCTCAGCTCAAGGTCGAGACTGATGCTAAAGCTCGAACTGAGTGGTTATTTGCCCTCGCGTACATGTGTACTACATGGTACCTGTGGTGTCGAATGGACGAGGTACTCAGCCTACAATACCAGCACGTGTCAGACAATGCTACCGACCCTGGATATCCAGGTCAAATACTCAAGACGATCACTCTGACGTTCCGAAAGACGAATCAGGCTGATGCGAGGAAGGGTGAGTGAAAGAGCAAGCGTTTTCATTGAGCAGCATGACAACCCCGTACTGATGTATACCTCGCCTTGTATTCTTTCGGTATGCCTGTGTTCTTGTGGGACCGTGCTTATAGGTCGTATCTATCAGGTTCATGACCCCACCAATCCCGACGAGCGCCCTGTTGCCGTTTGGCACCACCTCCAAAACTGGGTGAAACACGTTCGAGCCTTCACCCACGTCGACGCCAAGCCCCACTTCTTTCTGTTTCCTGTTATCGACAAGTTCGGAGGGGTTGATATAGAGAAGAGGATGTCTGCAGCGACGTGGCAGTCCATGTTCGATAGAATCGTCCACGATTCAGGCCTTGGTGATAAGTATTCGAATGGAAACTTCACCGGTCACTGTATGCGACGAGGAGGGGCTCAGTGGCGGTTTGGAGAAGACCCAGCCGTCAAATGGGCTCTACAGGCTTCAATATGGTGGGGAGGGTGGGCTGAAGGCGAGGCTGTAAGTATCTTTCAAGCTGTAAGGTGAAGTCGAAGCTCGGGTGAACATGCTAACATTTTCACCGGACATCCGATCGTTGTTGTCTATCTTGGCTTCTTGTCTAGGTCGGTACGATTGGACGCTATCTCTTGGAGGAACGTAATCAGCACGAGGCCTCGTACTCAGACCAGATGAATCCTGAGCGTAATCACGCTCGTCGAAGCATTCAGTCGTCCTCGACGGATTTGCAAATCGCCAAGACCGGTGATATAGCACAGCTCCGGGAGGAGATGAATCGACTTGCACGGGTCGTAGGACGTGAGATGGATGGCCTGCGAACAACATTGCGAGATCAGGAGCTAGACAGACCTGTAGAATCGATTCCGATGGTAAGTTCTCTGCTTTCGGTGATTAGGCAACTTATTTCACTGAACCGAGACCTTGACTGCTTTTCGACCTTAGGCGGGGATCCTGGGCCAAGTTGCTGATGCTGTCGTTGCCAGCCTCCTAGCCAAGGGTCTAGTGGGTCCTGCGACGATCTCTGCAGGTCCTGTGGTGCCAGCACAGGCGTCGACATCGAGCTCGAGTCGTCCGTTTGAATCGTCCGAACGTCGTGTCGAAAACATGCTAGCACCCGCTGCATCGCATGTGAACGCTCAGGGTGCAACTACTACGCCTTTCACCGAGCTACGACTCCGTCGTAGCGGTGAAATCGTGGGAAATCGACCTCCGAAGATACCGAAGACGTCGACGGTGAAAGAAGCAGTAAAACAGTGGTTTCAAGCTGGTGGCCACGAATATCACTACTACGCCTTGCAGGACTGGCCGAAGCAGTGGTATTCAGGTGCCAAGGGTGGTGACATAGTCCATAAGTCGATTCAGGTCATCTACGGCCAGCGAAGTCGATTGGGGATGGCGTACTCCATGCTCAATGAAGGAGCGACGGATTTCACCGAAGAGGGCTGGGTAAGATTCGAGACGAAATATCCGGAGAAGAAGATGACGGACGTCCTCGAAGCAATCAGGAACGATCTTGCTGCATCGGGGAAGATCACTAATCGCCCAAATCGCAAGCAGAACACCGATAAGTAGTCGAACACACGCACTACGGCTACGTTCTCGGCTTTTGCCTTTTTTTCCCATATTTCTACTGTTCTTCGTGTTTTTTGGGTTCGATCGTCTTTATACCATCGAAATACCTTTGTCTTTCACTCTGTATAGCTATATAACATGCACCGAGGCTGTATGTTTGATCTAGATCGATTTAATCGAGTTTGGGTGATTTTCAGAAAAAACCCTCGAAATCGACAAAAACGAGCAAAACGGTCGATGAACAATAAGGGATTTTCACCAAAATGATCGCCGTTTTTGCCTAGCATAGTCGAACGATTTCACCCAAGAACCTTCATCTACATCAACCACCTCGATATCGTTCTAAGTCTTAATATCAATACTAGATACTTCAAAACACCTCGTATCATTGCTCTAGACCTCCCTTACGCCTTACACGTTTCACCTCTGCCCAAACTAGTCTTTTTACTCCCGTTTCAAGCCATGTCGGACGCCCAAGGTTCTCAAAACGCCGTACGTCGAAACGTGACCTTCTTTCACCCGAATAAACGACTTACAAGCCTATAAACTGCTCATAGACCGCCTCATCCTCCTCTAGGCCCAAGCCTAAGCAGTGGGGAGGTGCAGAGGCTGCTGCTGCTCGGCATAGCAAGAGGTTGGCCGCTCAAGAAGAGGCTCGCGAGGCTCGCGAGAAGGCTGATCGCGAGAAGGCTGAGAACGCGGAGGCGGAGGCTGACCGCTGGGAGGAGCAGCAGAAGAAGAAGAGAGCTCGGGAGGACACAGACTCGGGCTCTGGTGACTCGGAGGACGAGTATGTCGAGGAGGGTGCGAAGAAGAAGAGGTCGAAGAGGGGGAAGAAGGCGTGAGTGAAATGTTGAGCTTTTGCACTGAGAAGCCTAACTCAGATCCTTTCGACCTCTTTACTCCTTCAATAATACGATAGCCCTACCCCTCTTCAAACTGTGGACGACGAGACCGATGGGGATGAGCTCGACGACGAGCAGGAGACCGAGGCTGCTGCTTCGGACCCTAATTTCGCTGGAGACAAGCAGCGAGCCGTGTTGGGGGAATATCTCCCTCAATTTTGGAAATACCAGGCCGCCAGGAAGTACTGGACTCCCCAGCGAGTCTACGAGTACTGGATGGAGGCCAGGGAGATCGTTCGAGAGAAGAAGAAGGTGCCGGAGGGAGAGGAGGTGAAGGCGTCGGCTCATATTGAGGTGAGTAGTCTTGGTGAAATCTTTCCCTCTTTCACCGGAACGAACCGACATCTGATCGTGATCATTTCATGTCTTCTATTCGCTAGTCTGCTATGCATATCTACTTCGCCCCAAAGGGTAAGGTATGGACGGGTCGCAAACGTTGCACCTGCTGCCAGAACCTCCCCCTGAAGGCGAAGAGGAGGATCTCGAAGGATGTTCCCGGTATCATCCTGAAATGCAAGCAGATTTCACCGACGGGGAGGTGCGCTCAGTGCGCTATCGGGGGGAATAAGTGCTCGCTGCAGTCGGATGGTGACGAGTTGGTGAGGGTCAAGAAGGGTCTAGATGAGGAGCTGCCGTATGAGGAGACCGAGGCGCTAGCGGTGGCCCTCGAGACCTACTCGAAAAAGAAGGCGAGTCCGAAGGGGAACGTTTTCGTCGATAAAAATAGGATGAAGGACTTCGCCGAGCTAGCTAGATTTCTAGCTGATCACGTCGCAGAGCTCAAGGATGATCTGCAAGGGTTACCGGTGCGATACGACGAAGTCGACGAGATCGAGGTGCTCGACGTCGATGGTGATATCGTGGACTTCTCGTAGCTGTGTATCCTTGTATTCTATGTTCTTATACGGTAATATGCAGGTCTTTATAATGAAATACGTGCTTCTTACACCTAGTCTAATAACATACTGTAAGCTCAAAACGTTCACGTTGTTCAGTAAGAACTTACGTCGATTCGAACATAACTTTGACTGAAAATGCACATAATTGCACCCACAACGTATGTCTAAGTATGTCACTTGAATATGTTCTGGCCATCTTATTCAAACGCTTCCAACTCAGAGTATGTTATATAAGGAGTATCAAAGATAGTGTATACAAGATTCGAGGAAGCTAGCACTGATGTAAGTCCTTCGTTTCACAAATTTGTTTCAAATCGAGCTCAGAATTGCTAGTCGAAACGAGGTCGTTTTGCGCTTAGAATTACGTGGAAATCATGACTAATTTCATTTGGGGCGGCGCCCTACGGGCGCGGGAGTATCCTAAGCGAGATAAAGTGATTTACAAACGAGATAAATCAAGATAAATTCGGCAAAAATAAAGACCTCGCAAAGTTGCCTGTTTGGGTGCAATTTACTTATTTTTCACTTTACGGAAATTCGATTTTTGCTACCGAAATCGACGATTGCCCGGGGCCTACAGCGTGTCGATTTATCGAGATAAATCCTTACGCATAAGTCGCCGCCGACATCGCAACAACTTGTGCACCTCGTTTTGTGAAAAACATCGTACCACTACTCTTCTCAGCTTCTCCCTAACTCCCTATCTCTTCCTCTGCTCCCCGTCCTCAGTTCTCCTTGCGGCTTAGAAGAAACAACGATCACCGAACGACGATCGAAACCTCGGCGGGGCTGAGGATGGGCGAAATGTTCCACGTTTGATCGTCGTCGTTTGCGTTTCGGGTCAAGAGGGAGGCCGGGGCGACGTGGATCTATGCATCTCGAGGGCTTGCGCGCGTGTCCGCCCTTTGTGGATCGTCATCGCGATGAAACGTAGTTTCTACCTCGACTTGCGCCCGACGTCATCATCAACAATGGTGCTGAGCTTCTTTTGAGAATGCGACGATGGATCATCAAAGGGAGCAACAGCAGGCTCGAGGTTCTCAAAGGGGAACGGCTCGCTGCTCGCGCCTGCGGCTGCCTATCGTCAATAGACATGGTACCGTGTCCCGAGATCGATGTCCATACACGCAGTGTTGTCACTGCATACGGTTCGATTCGGTGTACTGCACAGTACCATCTATCCCTACCGGACTCATCCCCCTCATTTTGCTTTGCTTCCCGACCTACCGGACGACTCCAACGTTCGATATCAAGCTCGGTTGCGATCGTTTTCGCTATGGCCCATTTGACGCCGATGATGTTAATGCCCGGTCCGCAAGGGACGTGGTGTGAGACATGGCCGATACTCGAGGTGAGCACTGGCCTGTTTCAACTTTTGACTGAAATCGCGGAAGTTTGAAACTGTCAATCGTTGATCGGAAGAATTATTCATCGTATTTCCTTCGTGCTACGACGTGATTTATATGGAAACAGAGGCCGGGACATGTGGGTTACAAATCTTATGGTGTGAGTGGATTTCTTCTCTTACCTCCGCTCGCACGGAAGATGGATTAGAAACAATATCGAGGAAAATTCGCTGATTCGTCCGTGTCCTTGATATATGGCGAAGTCAGCGTTACTACAAACCATTCGGCGGGTCAGTTTCGGAACCCCGAAGTTTTGCCATCGGTCACGACCTCGAACCCGGCTGACGTACACGTTGCACCAATCCTATCCTCATCTCCCCCGGTCGCAGCCTCTACTCGGAAGCCTCGAACACCCCCGTGCCATCTTTCCCCTTCGCTTCCCCTTCTCCACTCTTCATGCCCCCTCACGGAACACAGGGCATGCCACAGATGACACTCGCTTTTCTAGCCAGTCAGGTTGCGCAAGGAGGAGGCGTTGTTGAAGGATGGGGAGCTCTAGGGAGGGGGGTCTTTGGGAGGTTGGGAGGTACGTCTACCCGTATCCGTACAGGCGGAAGAGTGTTGTGGTCGACAACGGTGCTGGGCGGTTTGAGGCTGAGCTGATCGACGCGGCGGCTCGTATAATTCAGGTCATCCTCTGCCTTGGGCGGCTCAGGCGGCACCATTCAGACCTTGATTTCTTGGGTTCGGATCGTCTTCCTGGAGACGAGTTAGCGTATAAGGTAGAGGATGAACGGAAAGCTAGCTCGATGAGACATGTCCGCAACGACTCTCGGTGATTGATCATTTGCAAAGATTGAGGTAAACGGTTGTATTCTGATACGGGAGGAACCGCCTTACGCATCGTGCGTCATGTATGAGATATCCCACATCTACCCTTTGTCAAATTTAGTACGACGAAGGTCTGGAAGCTACGCCCGATCGGTCTTGCATTCCTTTCTACCGATACAGGCTAACACTCAAAAGCGCGATACCGTTCGGACATTCGTAACTGCCGTGCTTCTCGCTGCTTGAAACCGGCACTGTGATCCTCGACAACAATACAAATCTCGTATCTGTTTACCAGATCATTGAAGGACTTAAAAAAGTAGCAATCAGACCAGGCAGTGCCCACCCAGTCGGTGAGGTTGCGGCAGCATCGGCGTGGAATACCTCGCGACCTTGGCGTCATCAACAAGGAGAGATCGCTCCTTGGCAAGCAGCCCATTCTACACAAGGCGAAACTCCCTGATGACTACAACTTTGACGCCGGGGAGAGGACTCTCTTTATTGAGGAAAGTCTCAACACTCACCAAACCATGCCTCATATGGACGATGCCGTCCACTACAAGATAGGCACATTTTCTCTCTCACCGGAAGTTCTCGTTCAAGCCAGCTCGTTGGCGTAGGGTGTCGGGTCCACCCTCGGAAATCGCTCACTGCTCCGACAAATCCTGACTTTCTAGACGTGGGTCCGTAGGGGCTCGTTACGTCAAGCCGCTGGCCAGGAGGGTACGGTAGCCCCCTATGGAGACCCTCTGGGAATGTTCCCGTCAGTCTGTCAGTCCTGCAAGAAAGCGAGATTTAACGCTGGCAAAAGAGCGAACAAGGCGGAGACGGGATACCTACAGGTTGACTATGCCAGAGGGGCTCGAGTCCCGTGCTCCCAATGCAACGTCCCAGCCGTTCAAAGCTACACTACTGGGATGGCCTAGGCTTTCGGACACTTGAAACCTGCAGGCAAAGTCATCACGCCTCAAGAGGAACTGTCTATCCATCAGCACTTCTTGAGTTTCATGAGACCGCTGCTCAATATGTATCCCCTTCGCTAGGCTGATATATATGTCTTTGTTGAGCGAGTAGACGTTACAATTCCGACAAGGGGATTTCGTAGCAGGGCAACATCACCCGTGGACAAACAAATCCCGGGAAGGCGTCCCCGATAGTTCGATAAAGACAGAAAGAGAGTATGATCGATAGGATCAGGGGCATCTGATGGGCTCTCACATCTCAAGCACATGACACCCCGAATCGCATGTCTGCCCCAGTTTAATCACCGACCCTACTCATCTGCATCTTTTGCCCAACGAAAACACCTAATAATCGAGTGAAAGGCGAGTCTTGTTCGAATCCCTCGTCAAACCCGTCCCACCCGCCAACCGCCTCGCCGATTGGAAGGTCATCACAGTTTGTCAGCTGACCGGAAGTGCGAACCTCCTTTGGGTTCGTTTGACCTCCTTTGGCTTATCAGATAGGACTATTCCCGATTTGATCCGACAAAAGAAAGAAACAGAAGGGACGACCATCCGCTCGGTTCCGCGATCCACGACCTTCCTTTGGATTGATCGCTTAATCGTGGTACCCTCCTTTGGCAGATCACCGTTGGGATATCGGTACAACAAGGTTCGTGTTTCAAACGGCGCAGTCCGCCCGAAAAAGAGTTGTTGGGAAGATGAATCTCGACGTTGGACATCCTTGGATTGTTGACAAAGCGGGCGGAAAGGTCGTCGGGATCTCTACCGTACTCTACTCGGAACTTGTCAGCCAAAAACCCAAAAGTTGTCATCGGCGCCGATCCCTGGAGGGGACGATTCTCGCTGTGGGTAATCAGATAACCGTCGATGCCCAGCCTAAAGCGGAATCAAAAATCGACCAAAGCGAGAAAAAGGCTGGGAAGTGACCCCGAACTTCTGTTCCGACATGCCTGGACAGGTGGGGATAGCAAGGAGATCGAGGGGGACGAGTGGTCAGCTATGGGGGGAACGAACAGCCTTTGGGCTGGGCGGAAGATCCGGATCTGCGTTCTGCGACATCGTTGCGATCGAAGCGATGTCGGTTGGACGATGTCGGTCAGGCGCCCACGCAACCTTGGCTTGACTTTGACCCGATCCCAGACATTGGACGCGCAGGGAAGGCGGAGGAAGGAGGGAGGGAGTTAGGGGCAGGTACAACCCACGACCGGAAGCTGTCATCCTCCCTCGTGACCTTTCTTTGGGTCACAAGGAGCATTCCGCTCCACCGCTCGCCCGCCCGCCTGCCCCTTGCTCTCTGCCTATCTGATAAAAAAACCTACGAATCCGAAAATTCTGCTGTCAGCCGATCGTCTTCCCCTCCTCGTTTCTGCTGTATATATATCTCACCGACCCCTCAATCGTTCCTCCTCTTGCCCCATCTCACTAGTGCCCAAAGCCTCATCGTTCCTCTTCAAATCTCCACATCTCCTTCCATTCGTCATGTCCGTCTCTACGAAGGAACACGACCACGACTTGGAGCTCGACAAGCGTCAACACCAAGACGCGGAGGCTGGCGGGATCCCTGCTTTGGCCAATGTCGATGACGACGCTCACGTACCCAACCAGATCCACGAGCTCGTCTCTGATGTCCCTCTTGCCGGTGTGAGGAGGGTCGAGACCGTACAGGCCGTCTGGACCAAGAAGAGTCGATGGGTCTTGTTCATCGCGTGAGTTACATGGGCTGGGTCGTCGATCGCCAGCGCGATCGTACATACACCCCGCACCGCAACGAGGCTCACATCCCGAAACGTCTCTTTGCTCTAACTCAGCCTCGGTCTCGCTTCGTACATCTACTCGTTGGATGGGACTACTGCTTGGCAATATGCATGTAAGCTCAGCTCGTCCCTGGCCATTTCTTTTCCAGAAGAGCCTCGACTTACGATCTCTCAACTCGACACCTTACAGTCTACGCGACCTCTTCCGTCTTTGGGAACATGTATTCTGGAGCCATTGATACCGCCGGAGCTATCATCATCGCCGTCGGTAAACCTCTCATGGCCAAGCTGTCCGACGTGTGAGTAGCCCAAACCTCTCTCTTGATCGAAACGCCCTCCTGACGCTGTTCTGGTATGATATGCAGTTTCGGTCGTGCGGAAGCCTACTGCATTGTCATCGCGTTCTACGTCATTGGATACATCTGCAAGGCTTCGGCTCAGGGTGTCGGTGCGCTCGCCGGTGGAACGATCATCTACTCGTAAGTTGCACTTGCAAAGCTCGTGTGTTCGATGCGGTCAACTACCCATGCAGTCGCCGACTTGACGTTTCTTCATCGCAGGTTCGGGTACACTGGATTGCAATTGCTTTCCCAGATCATCATTGCCGACACGACCACCCTCAGATGGCGTGGACTGTCCAGGTAGGCTCGACCGGGAGGCCCATCAAACGATAGGCAGACGGACGCTTACTTGCGTTTATTGCCACAGTGCCCTGCTCTCCACTCCCTTCATCATCAACGCCTTCGTCTCGGCCGAGATCGCAAACGGAATCTTGCCCAACTGGCGATGGGGTTACGGCATGTTTGCCATCCTCGTGCGTTTCACATTACGTCCAACGTGAAAAAATCCGAGAATTCAGTGGCTAACTTTATCCGGCATACGCTGTCTCTTGCAACAGGTCCCTGCTTGTCTGGCTCCTATCGTCGGAGTCATGTTCTGGGCTCAGATCAAGGCCAAGAAGATGTACAAGAACGAGATCGCCGCCGCCCGTGCGCTTCCCCGTAAACCCATCGGCACCATCCTCTACAACATCGCCAACGAGATGGACCTCATCGGTCTGATCCTGGTCGCCGCTTCTCTGGCTCTCATCCTCCTGCCTTTCACCCTGGCTCCCTTGGCCGATGGCAAGTGGAACAACCCTAGCATGATCGCCATGATCGTCATCGGGTTCGTCATCTTCCCCGGCTTCTGTTTCTGGGACGCCAAATACGCCAAGTACCCGATTGTGCCTTACAAGTTCCTCAAGAACCCCACCATCTTGGCTTCGTGCATCATCGGTGAGTTAGAATAGGAGTGGGAGATGAAAAACGGATGGTAGTAAACTCTTGCTCACACGCGCATTTGTTCATTTGTATAGGTTTCACCGACTTTGTTTCCTTCTACCTGCAATACACCAACCTCTACAACTTTGTCTTTGTTACCAAGGACTGGGACGCTCGATACATGTCCTACTTCGGTTACACCCAGACCATCGCTTTGACCGTCTTTGGTATCATGGCCGGTGCTATCATGTCGTACACCAGGGAAGTCAAGGTAAGTCGCAAACGTGGCGATCTGCGTGCACGAAAAAGACCGGCCCGCTGACAGTGCGATCGCCCTCGCCTCTTGCAGTGGATCATGTTCACCGGACTGCTGATCCGTCTCGCTGGTGTCGGGATGATGCTGCACTCGCGTGGTGCTCGAGGATCGACCGCCGAGTTGGTCATCAACCAGGTCTTGCAGGGTATGGGAGGTGGGTTTGCCGCCACCTGTATTCAGGTTGCTGCTCAGTCCCAGGTTCCCCACGTCAGTGAGTACAGCGTTCGCATGATTCATTCACAAGAGGGTTGCATTGGTTAAGAAGTGGCTGACGCCTCCTTCTTCAACTATGCTAGGCGTCGCTACGGTCACTGCCATGGTCTTGTTGATTACCGAGGTCGGAAACTCTGTCGGTACTGCTGGTGAGTATCAGCATCTCGCAGCTGTTCTGCTCAAGATACCGACGCGCAGGCGGTCTGACTTGTGGCTGTTCGACCTCTTTTCAGCTGCTACCAGCATTTTCACAACCCACATGCCTGGTGCGATCGCCAAGCATGTTCCCGGTAACAACGCCACCTTGAACGCACTTTTGTTCTCTGCTCCCTCTGTCTACGGTCGAGACGTAAGTTCATGTGCCGGGATACGCTCGTTGACGGACCTTGCTGACACCATCGATTTCCATCTCGTCAGAACCCTCTTGGCTCGCCCATCAGGGACGGATTCATTCAGGCTTACGAAGACGTCATGTTCAAGCAGGTCCTCGCCGCCACGATCGTCGCCATCTTGCCTCCTATCGCCTGTCTCCTCTTGACCAAGCGAATCAAGCTCGAGGACGTCCAGAACTTGGCCGACGGACGTGACTTGGCTGGAAAGCCGACCGAGGTCTCGCGAGAGTTGGGCATCGTCGACGACGACGAGTCGAAGGACAGGCGCTCGCTCTAGACAGGTCGTTCGACCCCTTGACCATCACCCCCACAAAAGAATTACCCAGCCCTTCAAACGGGTCGTGGTCGATACATTCGCTTTTTATAATAACTTTACTTGTAACCGAGGTTTATTACCTAACACTTAGACGACGAGGTTTTCAGGGTCACTTGCATGACGATATCATTCCGATTGAATACCTAGACCACTTGACCGACCCTATTACACAAGTAGGAGCCATTCGTACCAATACAACTCGATCCGCCACTCGTACAAAATATCTCACGCTGCGATGACCCATACCTAGCTTGTCGGAATGGCGAGACAGACCGCTATCCAAACGAGACCCCACACCGCTCCAACCATCAAAATATCTCGGACGACCTGCTTGTGTAATCGAATGACACGCTCGTCCACGAGAACGATCTCGTCCCCGAACACGGGTGGTTTTGGCAAGGGCGCGGTGACCTCGTCGGCGATGTTCCTGTTCTCACGGAGCAAGCGCCGTAACAAGGTCGACTGCTGCATCCCTGCCGATCGCCTTCGTTGCACGGCCGAGCTCGAGGCTGATCCCTCGTGATCTTCCTTTTCCGAGACGGGAAAGATCAGGTGCGTATTTGAATTTGTATTGCCGATAGTCGTTTGGCCAAGAGGTTCGTCCCAGGGTGAAATATCCGACATGTCACCCACACTGTAGCCCATGGCGAGCCTCGGAGCAGGCCCGTCCCAACTATGCGTCGAGAGCGCTTGATCCAGGTTATCCTGATGTACCGGATTTGACCCGGATCCGGCTGACAATGGATCGAGAGGATCGTCCCTGTCTCCCTGGCGATCAAGAACATTCGGACCTTGATTGCCAAATGTTGGCAACCAGACGCCCTCGTCGATCTCTGTCGACCCCTTTTCGATCGGGGAAGCTGGGGCTGGCGGATTATCAGCCCAAGGATTGACCCAAGCCCCACCTTCAAGGTCTACGCTGCCTCTCCTGGGATCGGCCTGTCTAGCCTCGCGTTCTTCCTTAGATTCCAATTCCCATGGATGTAATTGCCTAGAAGCTCTACCCCAAACTTGCGTACAGAATCCTCTCCAGGCCTGAAAAGGGACATCATGCAAATAGAAGCGAAACAGTCTGATCAGCCACCCTGCTGCTTCCCTGATTTCGGCGTCCCTTCGCCAGGCTCACCGAATACGTCTGCATCGCCCCGAACGAGGCAAAGAGGACGGAGACCAACCGGGGCAGTCTCCATGCGAACGACTTGCCGGGTAGGAGAACGACCATCAGGACGAGGATGAGGACCGAGATGGCAATGTCCGTTAATCCCACTCCGTACCTGCGTGTTCGGGGTGAGTGGACAAGGATTAGCCCAGACGAACCAGATCGCGATACAGAAACGAGACTGGCGGGACTGACCAGAAGACTTGTTTCGGGAGATTGACATTAGTCTGCGCGTATGATAAGAAATGGGGCAATGTTTGCATCTCGAGGAACCCGTAGATCTCCTTGTAGACAGGTAAGAACTGATTCATCCCAGAAGCCAGATGACGACGATGAAGCACGCAGATCAACAAAGGACAAAGAGATATCGATTAATTCAGCCTGCAGATTCACATCCTCGCCTAGATTCCTGGGTGTAACCAAAAGCAGACTCACCACCTCCGGATGCGTACTCCCCTCGAGGGCGACTTTACACCTCGTCCTCATCTCATCAGTCACGTTCAGCTCCCTCTCTGCACCAGGGACCAAGAACGTCCGGAAAGCGCGTTCGGCCTCTTGTCTCATGGGCTGGTCGGCTGGGTGGAACTGGGGCAGGTAAGTCGATGATGGCGAATTGGGGTCGGTGTTGATGGTAGAAGAGATGGTGAGAGTGGCTGGGAGGGCGGATTGGCTGGGCGTCAATGACGTTTGCAAATCCGCAATTTGAGTCTGGGTTGAGGAAGATCCCGTTCGTCGGAAGATGGACTGTAAAGGGATCGAGCTCGATCTCCTCTCCCTCTGCTCATGATCATCGCCTTCCGCTTGTCCCGATGAAATGCTCCTTGATCCCAGGGTCAACGTCAACGTCTTCCTCCTTCCGCCCATACCCATGTTCCTTCTTATATGTCCGAACGGTCCGCCAACCTCTCCCAGCTTGCCACTAGGTACATCCACCTTCTTCCTCTCTTCCTCGCTCAACTTCTCGAACCGCCGTTGATAGGACCGGAACCAGATGATGAAGAGGAGGTTTTCGATGGTATACTCTTTGTGGGTGATGAAGTTCTGGAATTCGCGAAACCTGCGATGGGTCCACGCGAGTCGGACGACGCCAAGACGGGAATATGAGGACGAATATCAGTACAGTCGATTTAGATGAGATTCTGTCAGAGTGTCGAGACGAGCTAGAGATTGTGAGAGCTTACGAGATTGGACTACAACTTCCTCCCTCCAAGACCTCGTCCAAAGTCACCTTTTCCAAGGCTTTCGACCCCAGTCTCTTCGCCAGCCCATCGAGGATCGGCATGTGATTGTCTCTGTTCTTCTGAGGACCATCTCCGCTTTCGTGCGTCGGAGATCGACCATGACCATGCTTGTGTTCGCCAGAGACGAGCATTGGGTTGGTAAGGAACGGGTCGAGCGAGGCCGTCGTTTGTCGACGAGTTTCGTCCGGATCCACGAGGTCATGCAAAGATGCACCGCTTTGGAGTGGAGCTGAAGATGTCATCGCTACTTATAATTCTGCTTCGTCCCTGTGGTACTGATCGATATATACTAGGAAGGTGTATTGGTAGGGCAAGAGAGAAAGACCTCAACCGTAAATTCTGGCTAAGATGTCCAGCAGGTTGTCCGAGCGGTAGTCATCTTCGTCCACCGTGTTCGAATGCTGTAGGGTACCCGGTCGTTAAGAATCGATCGATCCTTATCACAATGTTGATCCAAGAAGATTCGAGGCGAGGCGAAGTTGTGATGTATGGTGGTGAACGTCGTAGGTGGGCAACTTGATTTCCCACGAAGAGCCAAGAGCAAGACAGGACGGGATCTTTCGGTTCCGAAAACGGGGTCGGGTCGATCGCGAGGAACGACATCAACAAGATTACGGCAGCCATCTCGCTCAGTGGGGGCTTGCGGCTGGGATGTCGATGCTGATACCGAGTCGATCGCAGCAGGTCAACCTAGAATCTCACAATTGTAGTCATTGGCCGAGGGATGCATCAGGTCTGCTTAATTGCTTGAGGAGTACATGAGTGAGCATGAACGTACGGATGAATGTAGTCAAAATGTAGTGAAATCTAGAGACGTCAGAGATCAGCGCGATGTCGAATTCGCGCGCAGGTCACGTTGTTTCCTGCTCGGATCCTTTCCCGCCTCGCCCTCTGTTTCAGGTTGATCTCATCAATCGATCAATTCCGATCAAAACGACGAAGCTGCCCAATATGATGAGATCTAATCAGCCAACCACATAACAATCTCAGTATCGTCGTGGATCCTATATTGATACTCCTGCTCAACTACCATCTCCTATCGCAACCTGATATCGATGAGCTGATGAACGAACGATACGAAATGTCTCGTTCAATCTCAGCTTGGGAAGGCCTGTATGTCTCGTATTTCGTCAGCCCTCTCATCTTCTAGGCTGATATGATACCTCAGCTTTTACTATCCCGGATCGTCCAACGATCTTACCCGTTGGATCACCCGGACTCCCTTGCCTCCGCCAAGTCAAGGGTCGAAGCAGGTCACCCTTTACACCCTCGTCGTCACCGATACCGAAAGGATCGTCATCCAACTGAATACTTTCACCTCGAGACCAGGTTTCGGAACCTTAGAGAACGGTTTCAGGGCAATTCGTCGATCCGTCTTTCCCCGTACGTGTATCGTCATCTTAGCTTGTTTCGAGCTCTCGAGACAATTCCAGCTCACTGTCCTATTCGAAATTGAAATAGGGTGCGTAGTATACCTAGATCCGAAGGTGTGGACTGTGCAATCTCATCTGCCCGTAAGATCCCCTTGCCTCCCTTCCCGCCCTGCAATCTCATGGTTGGGTTCGGTTTGATATGCTCATTCCCATCTTCTCCATTTCTATCTTACCGTATGATCCATCTCTTCAATGCTAGTTGGTCGAGATCAACGAACTCCCCGTCAAAGTCGCTTTAGGGACCCTTCATCTCGGGTCAGTCCAGCTGTCGAATGTCCAGGATCGCCGCTCGGATCCTGCCTGTTCTGAACGATGCTAAACCAAACTCTCCCCCCCAACCGACTCGATCCGGCCACGGGATGCAGCTTCGTAGACGAGACCGACCACGGGATCAAACGTCTAGATACGAACGCCAACGTGGAGAGCTTCAAGAAGATGACCGAGAAGCTGTGAGTATGAGCCTCCTTTGGTATCCCCTTTTCCTTTCGCTTTCGATCGAGGAGTCTTTCACCTGGTCTGAGAGGCCTGAGGGTGGGCCGGGCCGCATGGACGGCGAGACTGGCAAGGGCCAAAACGAGAAGCTGATGGGTCCGAGACCGGACTTTCGTTCGATTTGACAGGGCAAAGCAGGCGATGGAAGCGGCTTTCGTAGAAGACGAAGAGGTCTGATCAGCACGGATGGAATGCCGACGCAGCAAAAATGAAGCCTTCTTTTTGATGAAACTGAGATTTGCAATGCCATTATCGTTATCATTGTCATGTCGCTTGGCCTTTATTGTACACATAACCTAGTCGAGAGCAAATTTGCAGAACCCTTTCACTACGAGATCGATTCGTTCCTCGTCAACCCTACGACCGCCGCCTGACCCGTCCTCAATTCTTCCCTAGACTGCGCCGTCTTCAACCTTAATCCGCTCGGCCTGACCGAGACTTTGCCCTTGCGCGTGATCCCCGTGGTTGATGCGGTACCCGCATCGATCGGCGAGTCGGCGAGAACCATATCGGCAGGATTTGTTTTGCTCAATTCCACCGGTGCGTCGGAAAGTTGATATCGTCGAGCTTCTCCGGTCGGCTTGTCGTCCTCGACAGGGCTTTGGGGGCGAGATGCTCCCGGATCCGCCAGCGCATAACGCTGGTTGACCGTCGTTGATGGCGTAGTGACACCTGTGTCATCTAGTTCGACGCTATTCTGACGAGAGGGCCGACCCAGTCCGATACCGTTGGAAGTGGCTGTCCGTAATTTAGCTCCGGTCTGCTCAATCCCACGCCGGGACAGACCGTTGCGAGCGGCCCCGACCGACGATACTGGGATACTGTGATCTCCCGATGTTCGGCGCAGCGAGATCTTGCGTGGGACATAATACTCGATGTCGAGTCCGTGGGCACTGCCCGGTGATCCAAATGACAACGGCGATTCACGTCCGCTAACGGCAGACTTGATCGAGGTTGATCTCGAGGCGGGACTCGCGGGACGGGCTGACGAGCTCAACATTAAAGGTTTGATACCCGCTCGTTCCTTTTCAGCCGGGAGACGAGTCGGCGGGACGTTGGTAGCAGCAGCAGCGAGACGGTTCTGCAAGGACGGCTTGCTCTCGTTCTGTGCAGTCTTGGGTCGATATCGGCCGGCCGGGTAGACAATACTCCCACGCGGCGAGATAAAGAATGACGGCGGGAGGCTCGTGTCCCTCCTGCTCAAATTTGCACCGCTGATCGAGGCGGAACGAGCCGGGCCGCGTGTCGGCGTAGTGACCCGCGGTGGAAGGGCCGTGAGAGTATCCTCTTGCGGCGGTGTACCCGGTACGACGTGAGCAGCGGCGGCGCCAAGATTGACACTCGCTTGCCGAGCGACCGACGCAACGCTTCCCCATAGACTAGATGCTTTGCCGCTCCAAGCCGATTGACCTGATTCGACCGAGTCTTCCTTGAGTGCGGCCTGGGCGGATGCCGGGATCGGACTACTCCATCGAACCTTTGCTGCTGCCGATATGTTACTGGACGCTTTGGCCACATTGGCGGCGGCGTCGCTGTCCATCATGTTCGAGGCGTACTGACGAAACAGCTGTTCACCAGAGTTCAAGGAGTGTCGAACGTTTTCCGCCTTGGGCAATTTAGGTGCCTGAACTTGGTTAAGGTTCCAGCGAGCGACAAGGTTATTGCCCGCAGTACTCATGATATTTGAGAATTGCGCTGCCAACGCATTCTCCTGTCTGTCCTGGCCATCTAGCGGACCTAGATCGACGTCATCCAAGTTCTGACCCTCCATGGTAGCAAGCACACGCTGCTGCTGTATCTCCCAAGTGACGCGAAGCACTTCGTCGACACCAACTTGCTCGATCGGATAATGCCTGATCAGCTCGGTCTCCCGGGACGACATGAGTTTCCGCTCGTGTTCCGGTCGATGGGCATCTCGCATATCAAAGACGATCTCTTCCGCCAATTCGTTCCCCCACATGTCCTTCCGGTTCGTCGGGCCATTTCCAGAGATTGTAGACGGATCGATCAGGCCGTCCCGCACCAGAATGAGCATTGCAGTACACATATCGACGATGGTTTCCATCTTTGGGTTACTGTCCGCCGACGCTGGCACCTCGGCAAAGACGAAATCCAATACTGGCAAAAGGTATATGATGGGGAAAGTACCTGTAAAACATGTCGTCAACCACCGATGGTAGATGTCGGTCGAGACAGGGCTCAAGTGACGTTCAGCCTGTTGTCGCGTAGGTTGTAAGTGTATCAGCCAAGTTCGTCGATTGTCGCCTCGAACCAATAATCTTAACTCACCATTACCCTGTACAAGCCCTCGTCTGCCCACAGTAACCGGCGCGCCAACTTGGCCGACCACAGCTGAGCTTGGTTCGGTGGACCGCCTGCAGCCGTCTCTTTGGACCCCGTCACGATTTCCCCGACCTCACCCATGAACGCGATCAATGCCCAAAATGTCTCGGCCTCGGCATGTCTCGCCCATCCATTCAAGACGATCTCTTGCGTGGGCTCTTCAGCCGCATGAGTGGAGTATTCTTGACTTCGTGTCTTGGTCAAACCCCGCTTTGTATCCTGAACAAGACTGGAATCGTCAAGCGCCTCGATCTCGCCTCCACTAGCAAAAACTGTGTACAACGCTCGGACGATTTCGACGACCGACGAGTCGTATGTCCATTCCTTGTGGCTTTTGAAGAAGACATAAAGCAGCCGAACAAGACACTCTGCGTGGGTGTCGGGTTTTGATAGCTCGATCTCGGCAGTTAGATCTTGCAGAACGGCCGGAGTGGGCGGTCGAATCTCTGACGATTTCAGGAGAGTGATAGAATCCGACATGTCTCTCGAGGAGGCTAGGTCGTCGTCTTGAGCAGTGGTAAGGGATATGGCAGGAGAGACAGGTCGGACAATGTCGGTATCGTGTATCCGATTGATAGCCCGGTGAAAATGCGGTGTCGCCTTTGCGTCCTCATCGTCGGGCATGGGCGACAAGACGATCGATGGATTCGTTATGGCCACGGGTTCCAGATGCAAAGATTTTGGGATATGACCGGAAGCTCCCGAGGCATCCCCATTCTGCACGGACACCGAGTCCAAGCTGTTCTGCTTCGAGCGGGTCGCCTTGATACGAAACTCTTCCGCTGCAATCTGTTCCAGCCGGGAGACCAACACTCTTCTTGTTTTGATCGGTTCTTCCGAATCAGTCGCCTTGTTGTGCTTGGAAGGCCCTGCCTCGCCCCTTGCACGTCCTTCATTCGCAACAGCATCTACGCCGTCCGAATCTTCACTGTCGCTCGAGCTCGAAGCGAGCGCCTCTGGGGGTTCTGGTCGGCGTTTCCTGATACTAGCACGCTTGAAGGCCGCCAGTGGGTTGGATTTCCCGAGAGCATTGGACCTGCGGTTCAAGAAACGGTATTTCTTGCTCGTTGCCTTGACGTCCCTTCCAATCGAGGCGAGGAGGGTGTCCGAGGTGTTCTCGCCCGTGTTTAGACCTTTCACCGGGCCGGCGAGAGTCGGATCACTAGTAATGGTTTTAACAAGGTCCTATTATCATAGAGCCCAAGTAGGTCAATCAGCTCGAACACACCTCGAGCACCGGGCACAAAGGGGATACATACATAGTACTTCCTTCTACGGTCTTTGGTCTCTCTCCGCCATGCCCTCTTATCGGGAGAAGCGGAACCCAGCAATAAGGAGTACGATAGTGGCCGCAGATGAGGAGGATTCGGGGGGATGCCTATGACGTCACAGACGATGATTCGATACGACCCGGACAGAGAGCGTCCTCCCAAGTCTCCTACCTCTTGCACAGAGCCGCCTCAAACTGTTGAGCTCTACGGTATGTTCTGTAGCATATTTGGACGAGTCGAGTAACAGCTCGAACGCATGCAATCTGGTAGTATTTCGAGAGAACAAAGGATTAGATGGCTTGTCAGCGAAGTAGCTGTACGGCGTCCTCCCGTCTAATTTCACCTGTTAATTTGGTCATCCATAGTTCAAGGACGATAGGTTATCTCCAAGTGTGTCATTACAGAGCTATCTTGCTTTATATCGAGACGTCGACATGCCCACCACCTTCTGATGCATCTGATGATCAGATGACTGGAATTGCTGGAGTGAATATCAACCGAAGTGGATGTGAGACTAGGTCGGTCGCGTCGCGTCACAGCTCAAACGCGTCATTTCGGGAGAGAGAGAACGGTGCTAGAGGACATAATTGGTTGTTGCTACAGCTACATGACATGTCGTAGAGTCCAGTCGCTCCTGAGGGCGGGCGGGGGATACAAGGTATTCGAGGCAGAAGACATGCAGTTACAGACGGGCTGAATGATAAATGCGAAGCGAGATGATAGTCCGTAAGAAAAAGTCGAGACCGTCTAGGTCGTTGGGGTCCGCGTTGACCTGGGCCTGCCCGATTATGCGGCAGGGGGAGTCAATCCCGCTTGGGACTGGTATTGTAACACTTGTCAGTTTGGTCTTCCTGAGTTTACCGTGCGGAAGTTGGCGGGCTCACCCATGCTTCCACCTTGACGACCCATTTCCCGCTACCCTTCTTTTCCCTGTCGGCGACCAGTCCAAACGTTTGCCTGATGACCTTTTGCGTGGTCGCCGCTTTGAACTGTGTGAATAAGTCTTGAAGCATCGCCTCCTTGTTCTTCTCACACCCTTGAATGGCGCGTAAGAAATCGCCGAGCGTATCCGCCGGGAATGGTGATCTGGTGACAGGAGCCTTCAAGGCGCTCGATGCGGGAGATCCAGGTTTGACGGCTTCTCCTACCAGGGTAGTTTGGAATGTCGCCACAGGTGGTTTGACAGGGACGACAACCGGTTCGTATGCCACGGATTGAAACGAGAAAGGATCGATGCTGTGCATCGGGGTATCTAGGGTTGCAAGCGTGAGTCAGTTGAGCAGATCATAACTGCTGAAGTTTCTCTAAGCGGAGCTTACCGTTCAACATGCAGATCTTGTACTTCTCCATGACGGGATCTACCACGCCCAACCTAGTCTCCATGCAAGGTCCCTTTTGAAACGGCACGAGCCTAGCAAACCGCTGATTCCTGCTGACAGCTCCTGCTTTGCCGACCTCGGTGTAGTAATCTTCGATCGGTCGCTGATCCTTCTTCTCAGCGCCCTGTTTATCTTCGGTATACCCCTCGGCGCCTTCTTCAAACTCGATCTCGTCATCGCCGACCATCCAGTCGTCCATCTCGTCTTCGTCTTCGGTCTCGGGTTCTTCGTCCTCGTCGAGCGTACTGCTAAGCTCTACTTCGGCCGGGTCTTCGGCTTCCCACTCGATCCCTTCGTCGATCGAATAATCCAGAGCATTGTCCTGAGCAAAAGGTGTTCGTGGTCCCACGGTCAAGGACGGCTTGCTCCAAGTGCCTAAGAAGGGGTCCGCGATATCAACACCTTGCCATGCTCGTGAAAAGACAGCTCATACTCACCCTCATAAGCCGGCCTCGAATCCTCCCAAAACTTGAGCGTCTTTCTCCAATACAGCCTTTTGTCCTCGAACGCTTTGTATACCCGTCTAGCTTCTTCTCCATCTCCCGTCTCATTTGCCTTGGTGATGAGCTGGTCTACAGTATAGTATGGGTATCGCGTCTTGAGATGTAATCCTGGTACGATGGGTGGAGGCGGTAGAGGTAGTTCTGGGTTCTTGTTCCGGCGTAAAGGGTCCCGAGAACGACTCTGCGACATTGATGATTGCCGAACCGGAGCCATACGCTTTTCCGCAGTCTCGGTTCGACTGAAAGACAAGCTCGAAAGCTGGCTTCGCATTTCTTTCAGCAAATCTAGAAGCAAATTGTTCAGTATCGTGCAGCAACAGGACGGGACGATGTCGCCGCCACTCACCCTCTTTCGTCAGCTCAGCATTCGGTTTCATCGGATCGGCCGACGAATTGCTATCCCTTCTGCCTGGCCGTCCTCTCGGTTGATCTGCTACCGTTTTGTGCAACCTAAATCTATCGACCGGAGCGAGCGAAACATTCGTTCCTTGATGGAACGGCTTGAAGTCGGCGCAGAAATCTGACAGCTGTACGCTTGATCCGCCTGGGTTGCCCGTTTGTCAAGACAAAGCATCCCATCAGCCCCACTTTCCTCGTCCCAAGCGCTCGATCGATCAGAAAGCTAGACTTACGACTGCTTCGACTAGCACTTCTGTCCCTCTTATTCTCTGCCCGAATTGGACTGCTCGCAGGTGCCCTTCCAAAGAAATTGCTCATAATCCTCGCCGACTTCTGTTTCTGCTCTTCAGCCTTGGCCTCGGCTTCGGCTTTTTTCCTGGCCTTCTCTTCCTTTGCTTCTCGTTTCGCTCGTTGTTCTTCCGTCTGTATGTGACACATAGTTAGTACGTTCGTATGGCTGGATCGCCTACGCTTGGCGTCGAGCGCTCACCTCTTCCTTCGGTTTCCGTGTGGATTTCTTCTTCTTCTCCGCCAGCTCCCCTGTTTCCGCATCGACATCCATCACTTCCACCTCCATATCGACCTTCTTTCCCTTCTTTTTCTTCTCCTTCTCTTGACCGACCACCACCTCGACGACATCCTCCGGATCCTTCTTCCCCAAGCCCGAGCCAGAGGCTACCGCATTTCCTTCATTCCCATTTTGTATTCCGAGCAATTCCAAAATCTCCGACTCTTCCAACCCTTTGACGAGTTCCAAAACTACCCCCTTGATCCCTCTCCTCTCTGTCCTCCTCCGCTCGAAGACATCCTTCAATCCCATCCGACCTTTACCTGCAGGTCCTTCTTTCTCAGGGATGAGGTCCAGGTCTTTGGCTTCCCATCGATTCAAGCGTAACGTCACTGGAATCTCGGGTATCGTAGAATCCATGTCGACATCGAGGCTCGTATTGGGTAAGAGTTGGCTTAGGTCCTCTTTCTGTAGGCCGTAAGAAACCTGTTCAAAGGTCTCCTCGACCGCCTTGACTAATCCAGTTAGATCGATCTCTGAAAACATCCCGGCGTCGAAATTCCGTCGAAATTCAGTATCCTTCATCTTCGACCCCTTAGAGACACCCTTGCTAAACTCTGAACTTACCAACGACCCCCTCGTCCTCCCCCATTCCCATTACAGCCGGCTTAATCTTCCCTCTGATGTACCTAGCCAACTCCTTAGACCCGGATATACTCGATTCCTGGCCAAGCATGACGATCAACGGTCGGTATGTCTCTGGGAAGACTTCGAGCTTGTTCTTCTTCTTTGCAGATGGCGTTGTAGCCGCTGTTGTTGATGTTGTTGATGTTGATGGTAGGGTTGATGTAGACGCAGAGGGGACGGAGGGTGTCGAGCCTTCCAGAGGAAGCGTATAGAGGTAGTCGTGGAATTGTACAAGCACTGAGAATCCCCCATTCCCGTTTTGAATGTCATCAAAAACATCAGCCACCATGAGTAACAGCATCGATATAACATCCTTCTGAGGGGTAAGACTTACGGGTCATGAACGGTGTATAACTGCTAACAACCCCCGCCAAATCGTTCTGATCGAGCGTCAAGAGCTTCTTCTTCTTGTTCAACCCGACAACTGTATTCATATAAATCCAATTCGGAACCATCGAGGTCGTGATCCAATCAGCTCTCGATCTCATTTGCACAGCTAAATTGATCGCTAGAACAGGGAATGAGGAACCGCGACCTACTCCCAGACTTGACGATGTCCGATCTTGATTTCCCTTTAGCTGTCGTCTTCTTCGTTGCCGTTGATGTGGATTCGGGTTTAGGCTTTGCCTTCTTTTCCTTCGTAGTAACACGGCTCGAAGAGGACGGCCCAGCTTTGGCTCGCTTAGCTAGGTTTGTAGGGAAGGTCGGTGAAGCCGGGGATGATGGGAGGTTTGTGAGGTCCAGCACTGCATTTTAGGAGAGGTTGAAGGCACGCGATCAGCGAGTTTGAGGGCTGGAATGGCATGGGCGTGCGGACTTACCATCTTCCGGGGTCCCATTCACTGACGGCCTTCCCCTCACATCTATTAGCATCTTTTGTTCATCGACTGCCTTCATGTCCTCATCCTTTTCTGTCTTCCCTTCCAGAGCCAAGTCTTCCTCGGCCTTTCTCTTCAGCACATTCCCGTTCTTCTGAGGCGACACTGGTGGACTGCTCATCCATTCCATCGATACGTCTTGTTGATTCCCAGTAGACTCCTCCATGATGGCGATAGGCATGGACGGTAACGTAACGGGAAAGACTCCTGGATCCACCTCCGGACTATGATATGAGATCCGATAACGAGTTAGATTACAGAAGGTGAGGGTATCGATATCAACCATGACCTCGTTCCCCACCTTGTCCTCCCAATCTCGAACTCGAACCTCGTATCGATTCATCAAACGCGTCCAAACGCGCCCTCCCCATCACAAGTCGCGTCATTACCATCAGCCGGATCATCGACAAGCGCAGCCGAAGTGCGCTTCTAGTGGGTTATACGGTAGCATGATGCCGGCATTCATTACCTGAGGGATGAGTTCGGAAGCAAACTGTAAGAAACGTGTGTGAGCGATCTTGTGACGCCGTTGACCGAAGCGATGATGATGATGAGGTGAAGGGAAGGTGGTCGGGAGAAGGTCAGCGTTACTTGATACCGAAGTCGTTACGGATACCACACGCTTCCCCGCACTTGACCTACAGCCAGAGGATTCGAAGAGAAACTTCATCACAGCCATGTCGCAAGAACAGGTAAGCAACTTCCTATGCATCGGCCTGCTCCGCCGCTCAACCTTTGCTCGAACTTGATAGACCACATCTACAACCGATCCTTCCTCCTCGCGGCCCGAGGAGACCAACCGATTCAGGCGGACTCTGGACAAGATCGAAGACATCTTTTACCACCCCTTCTCGGCGTCGGCACTTTCTTCTTTGCCTTCGACGTCGAACGAGGGCGGTGCAGGAGGGTCGTCGGGAAAGTCGAAACGAGCGGATAGGATCCCGGATGTCTCGTAAGTCAGCTCCTCTGATCAGCGAGGGACGTGTATACTGCTCCTTGAGTGAAGATATTGATCTCCGATTGGGTGATATCGTGTTCAATTAGAGCGTCGGGGAAGAACAGGCCTCTGATCCGGGATTACCAGACTATCCCCAATGCGGACAATATTCAAGTCCGAATCCCTAGTCAGTCCTTCCGCCCTTTTCAGTCCTCTCTTCTCTTCCCCTCATGACCAGTCACTGACTCGAACTCTACGAACATTCTGATTTCAAATGATCTGACCTATCGACGCACGGCCTTCAATTTCTATCCACACTTCGACCCCTTAACCTCGACCTAAACCTCAACAGAAAAACTAGCAACTCCGATCAAGGTCGAACAAAAAGTCTGGCTCGCCAACGAACGTACATTCATCTCGTACTTGTCCATCACGATCCTCATGTCCACCCTGAGCTTGGGATTGTGGAACGCTAGTGCCAAGGGGAGTCTGGGGAGGTGGTTTGGAGGGATTTACGCGGCCATGTGAGTAGAATGTGGCTTCGAGTTCTGAAGGAACCTGGTCGGGGGGACGAGATCGGGAAGCTAACATTCGTGGATGGGATGATATGGAACAGCTCGATCTTGGTACTTGTCTATGCTTATGCCATGTTCCAAAAACGACTGACGATGATCGGAACCCGGGATGCCGGACAGTTCGGTGAGTGTCTCGCTCTACAAAACTCTACCATACCATCTCCTCTCTCGATGTTCCTCATCGACCATCGCTCAATGACCTGACTGATGAACGAGACTGATCACGCCCTCGTCCTGACCATCTTCACAGATCAACTCGTCGGACCCCTAGTCATCTGCTTAGCCCTGTTTATCGCCTTGTTGGTCAACTTTATCCTGCGGTATCAAGACCTGTAAGTCGTCCTGCCTGCCTTCTCGATCGCGTACACCGCTTGCTGCTCCCCCGTCAAGCGAAAGCGAGCCCTTTACCTATTGAGAGATGACGAGCTAATCTCGTTCGGTTGATCGTGAATAGGAAACACACTGTCGAGGGTAACTTGTGGTAGATATTTGACCGGCCACGATACCCTTCTGAGCCTCCTCGATGGCGACCAGTTGCTTGTAACAGTATTTGACGCATGGACGATATCATTTTTATATTGCATCACGTTACCTCTGGAGCCGCCAGCAGCGTACGGTTGGAAACCTAGCCCACGGAGACGATCTCCAAGAGGGTAGTAGTGGTTGCTAAGGGGGTATCACAAGCGATCAACGGCATGGGGACAACGATTACTTCCTCGATGGTGAATTATATTGCATGATAGTATGAAGGCGACGGGCGGTTCTGAGATATGCTGTGGACGGATTACGGCGGACTGAAGAGACGGCTACGGTTTATGGAGACGGAGCGATCGTTGCGGTCGGCTCGATCATCTAAGAACCCGAAAACGCAGGGACAACGGTGCAGTGCATCAGCCACTTCTGTCAACCAAGCGAAAACGTCGGTTCTGCGATCTTACCTCTCGACCAGGATCCATTCACTGGAACCTCTTGATCCACTTGGACATCTTTTCCAGGTGTCGATCTTCCAAGCCTTCGAGTGCCGCCGTGATGCGTTCGAGGTTTTGAGCTCTGGAGGTCTGCTCGATAGGAACAATCCATCGGAAGATCAGCATGAGTTTCAGCACGTTTCAGTGCATCATACCAGAGATAAGAGGGACTGACCTGGTTGTTGGAGTTACTCGAAGCCGGACCAAACTCGTTGACGATCGCTCGTTCTCGATCGCCCGCACCCGACTCGGTCTTGCCAGCACCCGTCTCTCGTCGTGCGATAGGCGACGATGCGGGGATCACAGGAGGAGCATCGCTGGAGACGGGTTGGGCGTGGCTGACAGGAGGAGTGGGAGAGGCGGCGTTCCTGCAGGCCCAGTTCTGGCGGTAAGAATATCCCGAAGACTGCGCATGATGTTGCGAACGGGAATAGAAGAAGGCGGTCGCCCCGGCTCCTAGCGCGAACTGTGACGAAGATGACCGTTTCAGCTTCACCAGTAAACTGGGTAGAAAGCGCAAGACGACTCACCCAGATAAGCCTAGAAGGTCCTCGGAACCTTCGGTAATGCTGGGCGCCGTGCCAATGACCATAACCATGCCCGCATCCCGGTTGGAACGTCGTCGCCGCAGGTCCGGCTGGTCCTAGACCGGGCATCTGGGCGCGAGGATGGAACAGGGAGTGGTGGTGTACGTGTTGAGTGAACTCGGGGTGGGGTTTCGGACCTTGACCTGGGAAGTGAGGTCCGGTGTTGGATGAGTTCATCGAGGGGTCTGACATTGTTAGGTGTAGATTGTTGTTTATGTTTGTGATTGTTTGTGTCGATACATGTCGATAGAGGATGTCTGTAATACAAGACAATTGTCCAGCTTATATACACCACGCCTATCGACATCACCACTTTCACTCGTTGTGACGATTCGTACGTCTTTCGGCTTTTCAGCAAGAAGTATGCAATGACATGCCCGTGTCGACGACGTCAGGGAGACGGCTTGGTCGAAGATCGGACGGCCTTTCGCGGGATGTCTCTCGAGTCGTTCTGAAACGCTGACGCGAACTTGCCGGCAGAGATGATTGACTGACTGATGGGGGGAGCGGAGGCAAATCTGAGATGCCGAGAGAGATGCCGGGGGTGATGCCGAGGACGCTGATGAGCTGATGATGATCGACCTCACACGATCAGTTTGCAGCTTGCTCATCGTCATCGTCAGCGCCACGCCGAGCCCGTATCAGCTACTAGCTACTAGTCACTTACCGATCATGCCATGAAGAGGACAGAGGAACTGGCCGAGCTGCTTCTGCCGGCAAAATATCCTAAAAGGCAGCTCGAAGAGGCTCTCGAGCGTTCCAACGAGGATGTAGGGAGAGCGGCCGAGATCCTGCTGCTCGGAATCGGTCCGAGCAAACAGGCTAATCTAGGTGGATGGCTCAAGCCCAAGTCGGAAGGGATCAAGAAGAAGAGGAAACGATCTGGAGGTTCAGACGACGAGCTTAAACCCGAAATCCATCGGACTGGACCGGTTGGAAAGGAGGACACCGAGCCAATCGTGCTCAGCTCGGACGAGGAAGAATGCCTTATCCTGGGTACAAAAACCGGTTACCCTAAGAAGCCCGCAAATGTATCGAAGATTCCACGGCCTAGCAAGATTCTTTCTCTCGCAACGCTACAACAAGCTCCATCACCTCCGAAACGTAACATCGCTCAACCTCCGATTGTGCTTACGACACCCCGTTCAATCTCTTCGACCTTGCCTTGCTCCTTGGTACCTTCGCCGCTCTCAGCAGAGTTTGCGACCGCCTTGTACTTGTCACTAGTCGAAGAGTCCAAGAAGGAAGAAGTCATCTCCGAGATCGTCGATGCGCGGGGAAACAAAACGAGCGTCATCACCCAGGCGGGATTCAGACGGCATAAATGGTTCTTGAACGGGAGATATGTCGTCAGTCCGCATACGAGCGGGTATTATCGACTTTCAGAAGAAGAGGGCGGGGTGGAAAGCGGCGGAGAGTATTGTGAGTCGGACATTGCCTGCTGCGAGAAACGACGCGCCAGCTGAACATGTCGACTTGTGTATAGGGTACGCCGGGAAGAAGGAACCGGAAGCTCCTGTAAATCCACGGTTGACCATTTTGCGATCGTCGATGACAAGACATTCCTAACCGCTCGCATCGTATCGTACGAAATATAGGGCTTCCCTCCTCTTCTGAAAAGGGCAATGGAAATTATCAATCCCTTCGTGAACGATATCCTCTCTCCAACGCCCTCGTCGAAAAATTCCGGCCTGGATCCGGGATGGAGGAAGGACGCTCGGGGTGGGCGAGCTGGACCCAAGCGTTATGCACTGGAATATGATGGACCTTGGCGGGCGAATGTGGCTGCTGTAAATTGTTACGCGGGAGGAGAGAGTGCGTGAGTGCATTTCGAGCATAGAGTCAATCACATGAGTGGCTGAGACGGATACCAATCATCGCGCAGTGTCGGTTGGCACGCAGATCAATTAACCCGTAAGCAAACGGCCGACCTGAATCGCTGAGTCCATTCCAACTGATAAAGACGACTCTTAGATCTCGGACCTTACCCTACAATCGTGTCTCTGAGTTTAGGTACACCTCGGTCGTTTCGCCTTCGACCCTCTCCCGACCCGGACAATCCGTTGCTCGATGTACTCGGGCGTCCGCTGCGAACCTACGAAGTCGTCCTGCCACATAATTCCATCCTCATCATGGTGCGTTCCCACAAAGATGCAGTCCGTCTCGGGATCAGCATGTCTGACGGCATGCTTGTGTCATCTAAACAGCACGCCGGATGCCAAGAACTGTACAAGCACTCGGTCGCTCCGCTCGGCAAGGGAAAGAGTTTGGATCTTTTCCGACCAGCATGGGACATTGAAGGCAATCCCGTCGAACCTGCCAATCGGGAGAAGCGGATAGAGAGGATCAATATCACGTTTCGCTTTTATCGACCGGACTACCAACCGATTGCGAAGGGCGCTCGGAAAGGCACTCCGGTTTGTCGTTGTGGAATACCGACGTGAGTTTGTGTGTACGTCTCGGATACTCAGCCAAAGCTCAACCGGAGTTCACTTTCAGCTTGTTGGGTGCCGATCAGAAAGGAAAGGTCAGAGCGAATATGCGGAAGGATACAAGCTGCGATTCCGGCAAGTCAGCAGATCCAGCAGACGAGATAATATTCTTTTATCGATGTCAGTCGTCGAGCGCAACTGGCGACGTCAAGGGCTGCGGCTTCTTTCAGTTATTAGATTGCGAGAAGGAGGGTAAGGGTCCGATGATAAGTCAACGAGCGGATCCTTCGAAACATCAGGAAGGTCCAGATCTTGTTTCGTAATAGCGCCTTGACTCGAGCAATCGTAAATCTACGGATACATCTATGCATTCATGTACATCGTGGAGCGTTTGAAACCTCAGGCTTCAGCTTCGGCGTCGGCGTCGCTACCCTCTTCTTCTTCCAGCTGACCAACATCCCACTCTCCGCAAACGTCCCATCGACTTCCCTCGGCAGAGGTACTCAAGTACTTGACGAACCGCATGACACCGGGATCTCGCAAGACGAGCAAAAACTTGTTGAAGCCGAGACCGAGGTGGAGAAGAGGACCATCGTCCATATCACCGCCTTCTGAATCGGTATCAAAATCAGAAGGTGAAAGTTGTGACTCGTCGAATTCGAGCTCGACGCCTCCCATGGTGATCTTAGGTCCATCGGCTTTCTTTTCTTGCTCCGAAGTTGCGTCTCCGCTTGGTTCCTCGCCGTTGGCGGGTGTGTCTTCCGTCTTGGCGGCCTTGGTGGACTTGTAGACCGCAGGATCCTCGTCGACGTCAGGGGGTGCGAGGTAACACTGCTCAGGCGTCGAAAGATCAGCACAAAGCGAGATAGACTCGGACATCGAGCGCTGACATACCTCCCATCCACCAACATCCTGTTCGTCCTCATCCTCCTCTTCCGTCTCCTCCTTCGCCCACCAAGTCAAGCCTAACACGCCGTCCAATCTCGGTTCACCCTCCCTTTCTTCACCGTTGGCAAGGGTATAATCGAGACCTTTCCTAAATCGTCTGGCTTCCGCTCGGTAGGCCAATACGACCAGCGACGACACCACAGATAACCAGGCTCGGAAGGCCGGTGAAGGGTAAAGGTCGGTCAAGACGGACCTGATCGTCGGCGTTCGTGCTGCGGATTGAGCATCAACGGAGAGGCCGAGGTAACGGTGTTTACTAGCAGGTCCCTCCAGCTTCCACTCGTCACTCTCTCCGGTCTCGTGTGCCGGGACCAACTTGTTCCCATCCTTGGTATACGGTGCATAATCATCCGCGTCGACCTTGGTCACTTCGGCTTTGATGGCCTTGGCAACCTCGGGTTTCAAAAAGTTGTGCATGACCACCTCGCTACCCTCGACGAATTGACCGGCGAGACGCTCGAGCGTTTCCGAGTTGAGGTAAGAAGGTGATAAGTACTTCGAAAGATGCTTGAGTTGAGCGGCAGTCAGGCCGGTAGGAGGGGCAACGTCGGTAGGGTAGGGGATCATGGGCTTGGCAGGAGTGGAAGTCTGCAAGGTAGTGAAACGCGACGATCAGAACGCAATGATCATGGTTCTATACGAGGTGTCGTACTGACGATCTGAGCCAAAGAGCTGTGTTTCTGCTTCAAGATCGTAGCATCTTGCTTCTCATAGCCTTCTTCGCCCTCAATGGGTCTGTGGAACCTGTTTTCTCCAATATTGCAGATCAGTCAAGGGAACTCGAAATCAGCAAGTCCTTCGGCGAACGTCAATTTGGACTCACCATCCGTTGATACTGAGTCGCTGTCGACCTTCCCCACCGACGACCTCTTCGACCGAATGATAGCTCTTTCCCGGCTGAACCTCGAAGAACACCAAGTTTCCCCACTTGACATCCTCCTTGGCGGACCTCTTGATCGCAGGAGGTCCCACCTCTTTCGTCTCTCCATCCGCGATCGGGTAGAGCTCGAGAGTTCCGCCCCATTCAGGATTCCAGCCTTTGAGGAAGGTCTTGTCGGCTGAGGGAACAAGAGCAGGGTCTTCGAGGTCGGCAGGGCTGTTGGGCAGGTACAGAATGTAGGACACGACTCGGGTTGAGATGGAGTCATCGTGCAGGAGAAGGTGCGAGCTGCAGATTTGAGAAGCGTAAATGTCGGCTACATATTTGAAAGGAACTCTCTGAACAGATAGCTATGTCGAGCTCACCCTTGAGTATAGGTGCTGACTGAGCCGTCCACCTTCAATCCTGAAAGCGGTCCACAACCGGTCACCTTTTGAACGAACTGACGGAATTCTCTGGAATAAATCGGATCAACCCGTCAACACCTCGACCTTAAGCTTTCATAAAGCCACCATGCAGTTCCTCACTTTGAATAGATGCTCTCCTTGAGCTTGCAGAGGTAAGGGAGCTGTTCCAAGGTCTCTTCAGGCAGATGTTCGGGGTCGAGCGAGGTCAAGTCGGGCGTTTGTCGAATCTGACAAACTCGATCGAGCTATCAGCATATGACCGGCTTTAATATGTTTTTTTTTTTTCTTTTTGATGAGCTAACCTTGTAGATGTCGGTCTCCTTGTGCTCCCAACCCCAACCCGGCAGAGATCCTTCTTCATGACGCATTCCATAACTCCGGCTTTCTGTGACAATGCCTTCGAGCTAGATAAATCTGGCTCATAAGTGTAAGCTCGGCCTGACGGATGTTCAGAACGACTTACCACCGCATCGTCAAATAGACCGCCGACAGAAAGATGTCTGTATGGCCTGTTGTTCTTGTAATCGTCGGCAAGAGTAGCCGGGTCAGGCAGGTGGATAGCAGGACCCGCTGCGAGTCCTGCAGCAGAGACTTTTTGTTTCTTGTTGTTACGCTCCTCGGAGGCCGGAGAAGCCGATCTTTCTCGGGCAGGCATGATCTGGTTTGTGCTAGGAATGAACCTGTGAGTGTCTAGTGGTCTAGTCTGATGAGATGATACCTCGGAATGAAACGCTCCCTGCAACTCAATCCTTGATCTGACGAATCCAAGAGAAATTTCAGAGAGATGGGAGAAGGAGCGAGGGACATCAGGCTTCGGGTGAGACCGGCCTCGTGGCTGTTTACGTAAGCGAAGCGCATTCGATGGCAGCAGCAGTAAAGGTCGATACCCATTACTTTTGACCGCTCAAGGCCCAGCTTGCCCTGGGTATCGAATCTGTGCGGAAATGGTGAAGTATGGGGTATGATTGTATATGCATATGTCGTGTCGAGTGCCTCGTAATGTATCGTATCGTATTGTGCCACAAAAGCCCTCAAGCATCCTTTCTAGCCACTGCGACCCGCTTGGCCGTCTCATCGATCTGAAATCCATTGACTTGCTGCAGATAAGCACTCGAGGCGAGCTCCAGTGTCCAGAGGTCGTCGAAATGGTTGACTCCGTTGTATCCGGCAAACATGATGAGTCGGTTGTCGTGCAGAACCGAGACGTGGTAGCCCCTGCCTACGGGGATCTTGCCGGAAATGACCTTGGACTCCCATTCCAGGGTGTCTGCGGGCAACATGCTCGTCAGTGGGCTGTCTCCGACTTGCTAGCAGACAGATCGAACGTACCGAGATTCAAAAAGAGAACATCCTGAGCATACTTGTGTCCTGTTCGATTCAAGTCAGACAAGGACAGAATTAGTCATCATGTCCAATTACCAGTCACAACCTGCCTGTACTAACCGTCGTGTCCGCCGATGATGAACAGGTAAGATCCGACCTGTGTAGCGGTATGCGACAACCGGCTGAATTGGAGTTGCGTATGTACCATCGTCCAGACCATGGTTTCTGTGGGTTAGAGAGAACAGATACACCGCTTGTGTCAGGATCATGCGTGACGAGGTGGCATCCCAAAACCATCTGCATTTGCTTACCGAGATCCAAAACATGTATATCCGAAAAAGAATGGTTCCCATCACTTCCCCCATAGACTAGCATCTTGCTTCCGACCAGATTCGCAGTATGATAACCTTTTTGTACCGGGACGTCCCCCGTAGCCTTCCACTCCTCCCAGGTCAACTCGTCCGGATCGGATATCTTCAGAGCCCAGACGTCATTCAATGCAGCCTGTCCGTTTCCTCCTCCAAAGACCACCAGAAAGTCTTTATAGTGTACCGTAGTATGTGCACGGCGTTGTAATGGCCAGCTGTTCTTTGGAGTAATGATGTTTGGTTTCACCCATTTGCTGTCCACTTTATACGCCACGAAAAAGAGGATGAGCCAGGCCGACAAGCGATATCGTGGTGTTGTGACTTACGAGTATGATAAGCCCACACGTCGTTACTGTAAGTAGGTCCATCTCCTCCGCCAAAGACATACAGCACGTTTCCGACAGGAGTGGTCGTATGCGCTCTAAGTGGCGGCAGGGTCACTCCAGTCGGACAAAGTCGAGCCCAGACGTGAGATTCTGTAGTTGAAATCAGCTACTGCGAAAAGTCAAACCACTTTCGGAAATCGCGCTTACCCGTATTATAGGTGCATACGCCACGCCAGCATCCTTGTCGATCGCAACCTCCGATGACGTACATCTTGTCGCCTAAAAGTGTACCTGTATGTGCACGCAGAGCCTTTTCAGGTGCCTGGCCTTGTTGCGACAACAACCCCCAGTACATGGCTAGAAATTGCGCGAGCGAGTTCAGTTGCAGTATTTTGGATAATGATATCATGCTTCTACTCACTCGTTCTCGAGGCGATCGCAACGTCTGCCGCCGGTATAGCGAAGACCCGTTCACGCTTGTTTTCCTTTTTCGAACTCCGACCTTCACGATCCTTGTCCCTGTCCCTCGTCGTTCGGGATGACTTTCCCTCACTATTGCGCGTCTTTCTTGCGACCTCTGTGCTGCTCTTTTCTCTCGAATGGCCGACTTCATCTGGATTCGTTTCGGCTTCCGCACCGTTTCTCTTTTCTCGTTGTGTGGGGACAGGCAGACGGCGGACGCCGCGATGTGGCTTTTCTGGAGTTTCAGAATAAGGATCCTCACTGCCGCTCTGTTCAACCCCATCACCGTTGAGGATCTCTGTTGTTGAACCGTTCCCTCGCCGAGCGCTCGAAGACGTTTCTGTAGCCTGACGGCTAACCGAATCCGCACCGGCCGCAACGCTCTCAGAGGCCCTGCTACGATGTTTAGGCGTACGGCGTCGCGCATCGTGCTCTCCATCACTGGTCGCTCTGTCCGAAGCACTGTCGTTGTGGCCCTGGCTGGGGACGGTCAAAGTCCTGCTCCTAGAACGACCCAGAGTCATCGAGCCGTCTACCGGTTCTGTACCCACCCGGCTCGATTTGCGCTCAGGGGGGATCATTCGGTCCAGGACTGCCGATGGTACGATCGCCAATGTGCGGTTCCTCGAGTGTCCGTGTTCCTTGCCTGGGCCTGCAGTTTCAGTATCATCGTTCCTCACAAAGGAGGCTCCGTGATCACGCTGAGACGCGGCTCTGTCTCTCATCTGTTCCACGTTGCGACTCGATTGCGAGCTTTGGGGCAACGCGGAGTGAGATCGAGTATGTCCGTCTTCGGTAGCCGGATGATCGGTCTCTCCATATGAAAGCAATCTCGGCCCAGTCATCATGTTGCTAAACGTCTGACTTGAAGTCAATCCGATCTGCTTTGGTCGACTGGGTTCTGCGATAGCAGGTGCGCTATGAGCGCTAGTGATACCCGCGGATTGTAGCCGAGGCGAGACGTTCGGTGAGACCAGGTTCCCAGCTGCATCGCCGGAACTGGGCACTTTCACAATGAGCTTTTTGTTTTCGCCCCCTAATCCGCCAGACTTGTTCATTTCCTGCAACAGTAGCGTCGAGTTCCGACGAGCGATATCGTGGGATGAAGGTGACAAAACGCCATATGGCTGGTTCCCGTGAGGTACGTGTGATCCTTGATCGGTCGACGGCCGTCTCCTGAGTGCAAGCACTCCTTGATTGTCGAACGTGTTGTCCAGCTCGACCCCAGGTGTACGGCTATCCGTACTGTTGTAGCCTGTCTCGCAATCTGAAATATCCTTGTCCTGGTGAGGACGATGTTTAAGCGAGAAGGCGTGCTCTATCCCCAAAGCCAACCGATCGATTCCCTGCTTGGTCTTCGTAAAGGATTTCGAAGTCGAGGCCTTCCTCCTCAGTGACGACTTTCCCATCGTCGCGCTTCCCCGACCGCCTTCGTCCCTAGACATCCTATCACTGTTGTCGAATGACGAATCCGTCCCCTCCCGCAAGCTGTATCCTTCCAAGCTTTCCGGGGGAAGGAACGGAGGGTGCTCATAACCCTCGACATCTGCTTGAGAAGCAGATGCCGTTCGATCCCGTTTCCGCCTGAAGAACCCCGAGACGCTCATCCCACCCGACTTGCTCTCTGATGGCCGATGACGGCTAGACGACCTCCTCCCGCTATTGCTGTTGCCATTACTGTTGTTCTCGTTGGCTATCCTTCCGTGGACGCCTTGCGACCCATAGTCACTGTCGCTCAGAGCGGGTCCGCTCTCGGCAGAAACGTGGCTATCGGCGGTATCCTTCGATCCTCTTCTACCTTGCAAAGCATGTGGAACAGATGCTCCGAGGAATAGAGATGCATCATCTTGTCTATCATCCCGATCTGCTCTCGCGATCAAGTTCGTCTCTGGTGACGGAGGAATGTGTCTGAGAGTCGGGGGGTTCATCGTTCCTGTTATAGGCGTGATGGGAGCTCCTGCGACCTGCAGGAACCCGTTCTGGTGGTCATTCTGCCCGTTGGCACGGACTGGGCGAGAAGGGTTCTCCATAGCGAATTCGAAGTTGGAAGAAGGGGGTCGTGAGTTATAGATTATAGGCTGCTGGTCGATTGCGGGAGCGAGAGCCCGGATCGTTGTCTATGTCGTAAGGCGAAGGCTGTATGGCGAAGTTGGTTCTATCGTTATGGTCGTCAAGATGGTTCGAGTAACGTGTGAGAAGGAGGGACAGCGGTAGTTGGATGGCAGTCGACCGCAACTCCTAGTGACCTGTGTCTAGTAAGTACCCGCTGCAGCCCTGCTTCCGATAACCAACTGCTTGCAATAGCAAGGTCCTTTTCTCGGTCCTCCTCTCCTTTCGGTCCTTGAATCCAGTCTAACCTGGTGATCGTGGTCTACGGTCTACACAGAGTCCTTTCGAAGAGGTATTTTCCCTCTAGCAGATTGCTTCTCCTGGTCTGCCCTGCATCAGTGGGTGCTATCAATGAATGTAGTATGTCCTGCGCAACGAGGATGTTGAAGTAGGATGTAGTTGTAGGGCCCGGCTCTTAGTTCGGCAGAATCGAAGTTGTTGTTGTGAGGAAGACAATTGAGCTCGTAAGACGGCGTGGTCCACCTTCTCCCGTTCGAGGGGTCGTAATAACGGGGTAAGAAGTAGAGTCTCGCGAGCGAGTTTCAGCTCGGCAATCGATCACCGCATGGATCCGGTGTGATGCAAAGTAGCTAATTCAAGATGAAATATCAAGGATCAGAGGGTCACTCGTTGATACCTGCGTCGATGAAAAGTCAGGATCGCAGACTCGAGTGTCATTAGCCAATTAGCCATTTGATTCGAGTTGGTAGAAAGCAGAGATCACTCCCTCGGTCGGAACCGAAGCAGCTGCTCTTGAACTTTAACGAGAGCCAACAACGTGATTGATCCCGAGAGCCGTAAATGAACGATCGATGTGAATCATATCCATCGGACGAAATCGAAGGATCGAAAATGGCCGTCTAGTGGCCTCGTAGGATGTTACAAAAAGTGCTCATTTCGAAGCGTATATTCACTGCTTTGCCTATCTCGACACAAAGGGCATCAATCACTTCGGCTTGTTTTCGGAACCCTCGCCTTTCGTCTCCCCCTTCTTCCCGAACCCAAAGTTCAATTTGATCTTCTTTCCCGCGTCCTTGACCGCCGTCCCAATCCCAGCGAACCTCTCTTTTGCAGTAGGATCTTCAGTCTTGTTCGCTCGTGGGGTTCCAGGTCTCCCGCCCGACATCAAGTTCGCCAGCCCACCTTCCTCTTCTTCTTCCTCCTGTCGCAGTCGTTTCTTGGCCATCTTGGCTGCCATCTCGCCTAGATCCGAATCTCCCACCGGAGCTGGACTCTTGCTCAACTTGAATTTGAGCCGTGGAGTAGAGGTCGAGCTCGTCGAACTTGAGCTCGAGCTGGCTACTTCGTTAGCAGGGATAGGGGATGGCTCCAGGGTTCCGCGCGAGCCTGGGCTGACCGAACCGCTGCGTTCTGGAGGTTCCTTTTCGGGACGCTCCGTATCTGAATCAGACTCGTCGCTGTAATCCAGACTGAGTGAACGAATGGAGCCACCTGATGAGGAGGCAGGGATTTTCCTCGGCTTGGTCTCGACCTTGGGTCGTTTCCGTTTGTGACCTGCGACCGGCTGCTCTGCTGATCGTGGCGGCTGCGGTCCCACGGTATCATCATCCGTCTCGTTAAAGTAGTCGTCCTCGTTGATTTTCGTGCCGCTATTCAAACAATGTGAAAGCAATTAGGATCGATTCAGTCGCAGCTCATCTGGAAATGCGACTTACCTGGTCTCTTCTGTAGGCGTTGAAGGTTCGGGAGGAGGAGGTTCGTTGTTTTGTTCCCATCGCGTCCGTAAAGCGTTCATTACGCCACGCAGATTTGGCATGGAGCTCAACTTTTGTAGCTTTGCGTCGTATTTCTCGAAGAGGTGATTGATGATCGCCTTGATATTATCCTGTTTGTACAGCAGAAGGGAATAAGGTTTCCGCTCCCAACCGGATCAAGCAAAGATCGAGCTTAGCTTACCTTGCGTATAAGCTCAAACACATCCAGGCACGAGGAGCAAAGCATATTGTCACGGGGACCCTCTATCTCGAGCATTTCGATCAGAGGCAACAATAGCTCATTTTTTATGAGATGTCGGTGCAAAAAGTGGTTGTTTGCCTTGATACAAGCCTTGAAGAACCGGATGGCGGCTAACAAGAACAACGATTCAGCGCTGGGAGCTATCAACGATCGATATTGCTGGGGCTTACCGTGTTTCAGAGGTTTCTGTTTCATGTAGGCTAGTGAGGCCACTCTTGATGCCGTAGGATTGGAAAGGATGAAGTATTGGACGCGGTGACCGTGTTGAGGGATCGCCGTGGCCAACAATTCTGTTACGAGCTGTATCAGACCCGCCTGTGTAGCGTCCAAGTGTCGGGGGTTGGCTGTAGAACAAGGTGTATTCATTACACAGAGCAGGAGGGATGAAAATGGCCAACGGCTTACCCTTAAAGTTCTTCATTTCGGGCAAGGCCATGAGAGGACGGTATAATGAAGGGGCAATGGAATCGTAAAAGTACGCGGTAAAAGAATCGGCCACGATTCCGCCTTTTTGGGCGCGCAGGGTCGGCGGCTACGAGAGACCAATAATAGATGGTGAGCATCCTGACCGGTCCTGGCAACTTCGATGGACGAACTCACATCTGTCGGATCCAGCCCTACGTCCACCAGAGCTCGGATAGCATCGGACATCTGACTCTTCAAGCCCAAATCCTTCGATTCTATCAAGAGGGCACAGATATCGTCGACTATCGTGCGTCTCTTCGCTTCGTGTTCCCTCAGACAACAAGATCGAAATCCATTGAGATCGTGATCCAGGATGAGCGATATCATCTCCGCACCCTGGTTGATGACTGTTGTTTCTGGTCGTTGCAAGGCCAGTTCACACACGTAGAGCAGCCCACGTTCTAGCAGAATTTTGTACAGTGCCAAACGATGCTGGGCCTGTACCTGCTTGCCCATCAGCATGAGTTGGTGGAGGAACGCCACGATGTCGTGCTCTCGAGCGCTCGGCGGCCGGGATTTCATTTCTCTGAGCGGCATTCCTGGAGGGATATTTCTCTCGAGCTTGAGTTCCCTAAAACCGTCAAACACCTGGCGCAGGAAAGTGTCATTGTTCCCTATATGCGCAATGATGTCGATTTGATTGAAAAATAGTAACGAGTTGAGGATATTGAAAGTTGGGTCGTCCAGAACTCTTGCGAGGATGACGTCCTTCAGGTAATGTAGCCGGTAGGTTTGATGTATTTTGGCCAGGATGGCGGGATCGCTGATCGGGACAACCATCTTGAAGCGGTCGGTCTCGGTCAGAAAATCACGATAAGACGCCTTGTATCGCGGATATTCCGGATCATCTGTTGCATACCGTTCGGTTAAAATGTCAGTAATGCATGTACCCGCACGATCGCAGCGCGACTTGCATTCCATGATTCCGGCAACTCCAACAAAGATGTCCTCTTGCAGAAGGTATTCATACAGTGCGTTGTCATTCAACGTCACTAAGAATAAGTGATGGATGCATGTGAGCAGACCGAATCGGCACCTTCGATCCTGCTGTACTTACAGATTATCGTCATCATATTGCATAAAATATGCAAATCTTCGAGGCTCTCCAGATCTTCCGCTCCTTGGAAGATATTAATCATTTGACGAACGTAGTCCTATCGAATCAAAATCAAGGGGGCGTAAACACAATAATATGCGACAACACGAAAGCCATACTAAGCTCACATTCGATAGCACAAACTCCACCGTTTTCTCCCGGCCTGCGATGGACCGGGTCGAGGCTCTCAAGCTCTCAGATTGCTCTCTGCTCACAGCGAAAATGTGAGCTTCTATAAAGAACCTCTCTGGGCGATCATGGACTCACTTGAGGTTGCTCAGCTCTAAATCTGCCCATCCCGTTGATTCTCGCTCCACATATCCTGACTGGACCGCTTCCAGTGCAGTAGCTTGTGGTGATGCCGGTGCAGGAGACGAAGATGATGTTTTGGCATGTTCTTCTGCTCGTCGTCAAGCGAGATTGGCTTGTTATCAATATGCCGAAAGTCACATCGTAGAACCAATCTTCATACCTGAGACCAGGATGAGGTGATTTTGAACCTCTCCGATGAATTCGCAGATGTTCGCACAAGCGGCTGGGTCTTGGAACGACAAAGCGATTTCAGTCCCGTCGGGCTCCGTCCATACGATCAGCGTATCTGTTTTCACCAGGATGTGTCAGCGTACAAGACTGATACTGGATCCCAGGGCGACGTCAGACGCACCCTGTTGCCGGGAGTACTGTCCGCCTTTGCTGACCCTACTTCGCAAGAGATATGTTGGGTTCTCAGGCTCCCGCAAGAAGCCACCAGGTGCTTGTGACCCGCTCGACTCGTTCTGCTCGGCTGATTCGTCTTCCTCGATGACTAGCAAGATGGCTTCATCCTGCTGTTGATCGTAGATGCCTTCGATGAATCCCGTCCCCTTGTCTTCCCAGCTCGACTCTTCCAGGAAGTACACCTGTAAAGTGACACTGATTCAGCTTGAGCAGGAAGCAGCCTAGTATTTCAAACAAGGCTTTACCTTCACCCTCTTGTTAGCTTCAAACGTCCGCTGGTCCCCTTCGATATCCATGTCCTGTTCTTGCGTGTCCGGGTTGACCACTTCTTCGTTGTCCGACCTCTGATCCGCCTCGGGCTTCTCCTCTCCCGCCTGAGCTTCAGCTTTGTACTGTTCATCGCCAGGCTTCACCAAAGCCTCCTCTTTCGATGGTTCGGTGGTCTCCATCCTGGAGAGGATGTTGGACTCCGATCAGGATGCTTTTCCTTGTCGTGGTACCGAGATAGCTCGTCTAGGACGGTCGATGATGATCGGACATCGCCAGGTCGTCGTCGAATAGGGGGGAGAGTTGCAGAATTCAAGAGACACTTCAGCTACGTTTGCTTGTTCGAGGTTGAGCTCTGGTAAGATGGCTAATAGCTGTGCCCGTCGTAGTCACACGATCACACGAAATCGGTATATCGGAAGAGTAGATGTCTTTGGAATGAAGTCCCGGGGCCGAGCGCTGATACCGGGTCTCGGACTGATCGAGCGAGAGGGTGACGAAAGCACGCGACGCGTCGCTCAGCAAGCAGGTCAAGTATGGGCATTGGTCTCTGTTGTGTCTCTGCTCGATGCGAATTCTACAAATGCTGCAAGGTCTCAGTCATGGACGAGTCCGATGTACAACGTGATACTCCTTCCACGACCACCCTAAAGCATCTGGATCTCTCCGATGATAACAGCCTGGGCGTTTTCTCCTTTCGATAGCCGCTCGGGACCTCCCGTCGTGCGCATAGGCAGATGTATCAATGCGTTCGCTCCCGCAAGACTGGCTACCCTGGAGCTTCGTTGACCGCCCGTAGTACGGGCTATGAGCTTTGAATGTCCATCACGGATAGTATGGTAAACAACCACTCGATGGAATTCCTCACGCGAGTCCAATGACATGTCGGAATCCAGCTAAAATGGCCAATATCGTCAGCCTTCTCATCCCCGATCAGAAACTAAATCTTGTGTGGAAACGCACCTCGACGGAGATCTTTGGCAAATGTGTCCTGCCTTTGGGCCATCCTCCTAGGCATCGTAGAGCAGGCAAGACAAAGAGGTAGAATGTTACCAATGCCGATGCCGGGTTGCCAGGCAAGGCAAACACCGGCTTGGCCACACCGTCTCCTGTGGTGACCGTGGCGAAAGTGGTAGCTAACAACCTCGAGATGTGTCAGAAAACGGCAAGGTGACAGGTTTGGTGGTATCTCCCACTCACGTTTTCCGGGCTTCATGGCGACCCGACCGAAATGTACCACGCCGTTTAGATGGTGCTCGATAATTGGCTGATATCGCAAAACGAGTAAGAACCGGCAGTGAAGAAGTCCAGCAAAGCGTAAGGGACTGACCTTGAGCAAATCTGCCTCTCCCATACTCGTACCACCTGTGGTAATGACGATGTCCGCCTCTTCGAGACCTTTCTGCAAGGTCGCTTTCTGCGTCTCCAGGCTATATGGAAAAGTTCGTCAGTCAGACCGACGGCGAAGGATCCGAAGCGGATCGCGTCTTCACGTACACGTCCACAGCTATACCAAGGTCGACAACTTCATACCCGAGACCCTCAATAGTAGCCCGTAATGAAGGTCTGTTCGTGTCCACCACACCCGTCCATGCTGCGCTCGAAGACGGTTGTGGTCGGTCCAGATCCACCAGCTCATTCCCTGTTGACAAGATCGCCACCTTTGGCCTTTTGATAACTTGAATCTGCGCCAACAAAAGATGTCAATAAAAGTCGATGCGGAGCCGCACCTGATATCGTACTTACTTCTCGCTTGCCAACAAAGCCTAACAACCCTACTTCGCCACCACCGCTCCCTATCACCGTACCCGCATCCAGGACCTTGGATCCCTTCTTCGCATCGCTTCCCGGTTGCCGGACATTGTCGCCGACCGGAGTCGTGCAGAGGACCTCGATCTCCAGCTCTTCCTTTCCTTCAGCTGCAAAGATGTGAAGAACCATCTTCGAGTCAGCCCGGGACTAATGACGCATTCGCGTAGAACGGATGTCGACGTACTTTTGGTAACTTTGGTGTCTTCGACCATGACGACAGCATTGCACCCTTCGGGCAAAGGCCCGCCTGTATTCACCCTGTAACAGACCTTCCCTGCCTTACCGATCGACGATGCTGATGTTGACCCTGCTTTCCTGACCTCAAATAACCCCGGTCCAAGCTCATTCCCTTCAACCACCACCGCATACCCATCGACATTGGTCGTCCTCGTAGGGGGAAGGTCCATCTCCGCCAAAACGTCTTCGGCGAGAACGTGGTTCTTCAGCTTGTGATCGACGCGGACTGTGGCAGTTGTTAGGGGTTTGATGGTGTTGACTATAATGTCGAGCGCTTCTGACAGCGGGATTAAAGGGAAGGGCGAGGTCCTCTGACGGGAAGAGACTAGAGTTGGGGATCTTCTTCAGCTCAAGACGGGTACGAAGGCAACATATACGGAATTCTTACCCGCAGCGGACGGATCTTTGCTCAATGCCGTTTTAGCGGTTGCATGATGGTGTTTATGCTCGCCGTGATGGTGATGATGATGATGATGATGGTGGTCACTTCCATGATCATGTCCCTTAGTAGACCCGTCTTCGTGTCCAAGTTTTACTGATTCGCGAGGAGGATGAACATCATCCCCGGAACCGCCTCTGAGCAGCTTGAAGCCATGACTCAAGGCCTTTGTAATCGACTGAGCGGTATACGTTGCGATATCAGCTTTCACAAGCGACATCGACTGTGTTGCACCTGCTCCCGACTCACCTCGGACGTTAAAGCTTCCCAAGTCTCCGCACAAGCCTTCTTACTTCCACTGCACGCTACTACCAAGGTCCGGTCCAGGAGGCCTACCACCGGGCGGGACAAGATGGACATGGGTGTCTTAGCGAGGAAGCTCGCGGAGAGGTAGTGGCTGAGCGTAGGCAGGGGTTCGAGAAGTGGGTTCAGGGCCTAATTTCGACAGCAAGCGAGGGAGGTATTGAGATCAGAACGCTGGTGCGAAGGTTCGAGCCCGTTGATGTGCCGTACTTGCGGTGTCACGTCCCGTTCGCCCCAGCCGGTGCCTATACACGCAGGGGCATGAACTTAACTCGGCGACTCCTCTTGAACCAATTTGACCCCCAGCTTACCTCCGGTAACGATGATCCAATCGACCCTCTCTCCTCCGTTTCTCTGGCTCCATTGCATGACCTGGCTCCTGATCCGAGGGATCTCATCCGGTACAATCGCGCTCGGTCCAAGGGAGAACGAAGCGTGCGCCTCGATGGAAGAGCAGAGATGGGGTCCGGCGACATCATACTCCTTGCCCTTGTTATAGGCAGTGTCCGATACTACCAGTAGCCAGAGCGAATCTCTTAGACAGCTGACGCCTTGAAATTGTGATTTGAGAATGCTACTTACCGGTCAGGACCGCAACTCGAGGAGCGGACATGGTCGATAAGGGCGTGTGAGACAGCGATTTGTGCGGATCTTCAAGGATGGACGTGGGTGTCTAGGATCAACTAGCTGATCGAGGTCCGTGCTAGCTATTACAGCACTGGATATACTGGATATCAGTGGTGATGGTTATCTGAACAACCCCCCCCGTCTCACGTCATGCCCGTATCAGCTAATATTTGCTTCCGCGCTCGAACCGAATCGTCGATCAACCCCCCGATCTCAGTACTAGAACTGACCATCTGTGCCCACATTACACCTTCTAGGAATTCGAGGGCTTAACTAACAACCAGCGAAGACCAGCATAGAACTATCTGCCGCCATCGGCATGGGTTCATCTAGCAGTAAAGGCGCACGTCGTCTCCCTCGAGAACTCTCAAAACAGGCCGAACAACGAGCATCAGCACCGAGTTCAGCGGCGCAGGCTCCCAACAGGTTCGCCGATGCGAGCAGGGCGACGACAGGGAACGTCGAGTACTCTGCATCCCGTACTACTGGACCTGGGACTGAACATGGTCGAGGGCGCCAGAATGTGTATGCGAGTGAAGAGATGGACGATTGTAAGTCAGGTACGGTTTCAAGTTAGCCAGCCAGGAGAGTCTTGACTGATCTACTTCGCTACTTCGTGACGTTTGTAGCCATCAAGGAGGACGGCGGTGATCCTGATTTCCTGAAAAATCTGTCGAGACTCGGGCAGGTGGCCGTTCCCAAGCCAGGAACACCGTTCGAGAAGGCAAGTCCTGCTAACCCGGATCTTGTAGTTTCATCGAGGCGATTTCTAACGGGTATATCCACCTTCTTCGATTAAACAGCAAGCACCTGCCCTCCGTACCCTCATGTCCCGAACAGCCACATCAACCTCCTCAGCCGCTCCTCCGCAAAACCACCTCTCCGCAGCCTCCCTCTCTAACCTCCTGGATCGACTGAAATCTCTACCTGCCAACGAGAGCAGTACACCATCCCAAGCCGAATTGTCGCTCTATAGGGACTATGCTGTGGATCCAGAGACGATGAGCACGTTGAGAAGATGGGTGAATAGTCCGAGTATCGACCCGGAGAAGACCAAGATCATCTTGTCGGAACAGGGAGAAGAGTCGGTAGAGATGACGGCAAGTATCGCTCTTGGCGGAGAACTAAACTACCCAATTAGACTGACTTTCGTTTACGCCCCACTTCATAGGCGGTCTGGGTCAGCTCTTCTGCTACGGAAGCGCAGAAGGTCATCCCGCCCGGTCAGAAGACGAGTTGAGAACTGTATACCGACAACCTTACGAATCTAAAAGATTGCATTATGACATCCTGCTCCAAGATATGCTACAGTATAGTTTATTACAGGGCGCAGCGTTAAGTTGCGTGTTTGCGGTTTCATTTACGTCGACTGTGTCCATTTCCCCATCGCATGGGGCCAACTCCGTACCACCACGTCCAGATACCTATCAGTCCACCGGCCATCTGCAAGCTACCCGCGACGGCCTGGAAGGTGAGCCAACGGCCTCCACTAGCGTTAAGCACAGCTCCTGCCAGGGTAGGACCGGACATGGACCCGGGAGCACTCGACAGCATCGCCAAGCCGACGATGGATGCCATGTTCTCTCTCGCGCCGTAGATCTGCGCTATGACGGGCGCGATCAAGCTGAGGGCCGCTCCGCCTGTCAGACCGTAGATGAATGCAAAGGCCAGGACGCCTTCGAAGCTGGTGGCGAAATGCCAGGCTACGATCTGAAGAAGACCGGCGATCTCGAGTGAGAGGACGAGGCTCTGGATCGAGCCTAGTCGATCGGCTGTGTAGCCGATGATCACCCGACCCGTAAAGAGTCCAAAGTTGGCGCAGAAAAGTGGCCAAGTCGAGGTCAAAGGCCCCATTCTTGAAGGGTCCATACCGGGGACGACAACGTCTGCAGCGTAACTCGTCAAGTAGGCGAACGGGCAGAGGTATCCGCTGTCGAAAGTGACGAGACGTCAATTCCTCGTCCCGAGCTACGCTAGCCCTTGCATTCACTCACAAGCACGAGACGAAGATGCACAACAGGAACGACCAAAAGACGTGATCCTTCAACAAAGGCCCCACCCCAGGTCGTTTGACCAACTCAAACTTTCTCGTCCCATCCGGTCCCCGTTTGACCAAACGGCTCAGATCTGGTGTAGGTCGATTCTCGCGCAGCAACAGCCACGCGATGGCCCAGACGATCGCACATATACCGGACCAGATCGCGAGGGGAGTTCGGGACTGTCCAAAGCGGTTGATCATGCTTCTCAGGCCGAAGGAGGTGAGGGCTCCTCCTAGACCGGCGCTTCCTCCGACTAGGCCTGGGCGGATGGAAGCCAGCGATAAGCGGGGAGATTGGCGAGGTAGGGAAAAGAGATGTTAGTCTTACCTGTCGCAAGTCCTCGATGCTTGAAGAACCATTGGCTGTGGAACAGACATCAGGTCAGGCCTTCCGCCGGATACAGCTTCATCGAAAGAACACCCACCTGGGCAAGGATAAGATGAGAGGTACCATGAAAGCTTGGCCGACCCCGAACATCACACCCTAAGGTAATCGAAGCCATGTCAACATTCAAGTCCGCTTTCATGCCAAGCTCAGCGTACCTGCGTCATGAAGACCTGCCAGAGCTTGGTAGCGAAAGCATCAAGGAGGATCGCTGCCGCCCCGAGTATACAGCCGAAGAAGATCGTAGGCTAAAGGCGTCCGTTAAGATCAGGTTCAACCCTTCCTGCCGCAGCGCCATGGCTGAGGCCTACGGCTTCTCACCTTGTACCCGCTGAAAAAAGAATGCCGTGGTTGGGTCAGGCACCCGCTCAGATGACTCGGTCGTGCTTGTTTGCTTACAAGCTATCCGCGGCTCTGCCCCCAAAACTCGCCAAGCTGGTACAACACTATCGCCGACCCGGAAAATTGACCATCGACATTAATTTCCATTTAAACGAGACAGACACCTTGAGGGTTGCTTCTGCTTACGAATGCGATCAGACCTCCTATCAGGGCGATCACGCTCTCGGGCGTTGATGTATACACTTCCGAGTGGTAGTACGTCTGAAGGGCTCCGACGGACATTCCGAATCTGTATTGGGCATGCAGCATAGATCCAGTCAGCCATACAATCTCAGACACAAAAGCATGTGTTGAGGAAGTATATTTACCCCATGTTGGTCGCTGTGCGTAGTATCGCGATCACATCCATCGTCAGGACCATGCTCGCGACATCTGGACATGATCGAGATCAGGACGGCTGGCTTACCTGCTATCAAGACACATCCGAGCAAGACCACGCACCCCCTCAAGCTCTCTTTCGGTGGATCTGGTTCCTCGGGATCCGGCGGCAGACCCCCGCCTAGGGAAGCAACAACGCTCGTCCGGGTGTTCTGTCTCTCCGGACGCGGGAACTGCGGGATGGGCGAGAGGTAGTCTGAAGTCTCTTCTTTCTTGAATCCGGGCGTGTAAGGCGACTCGAGGTTGTGGTCGTGATCGTGAACGTTCATATTGCGTCAAGTGCAGGTCCTGCTGCGGAATGGGTCTGTCTTCTGGGCGCTTCGCAACCTAGTCTCAAGGGGCGAGATCCGAGATGAAGAAACGACGCCTCGGAATGCATGAGGTGCTGAGAGACCTCGTGATGATCTTTCAGTGAGAACAATTCGCAAGTCAGAAACCGAATATCACACGAACGGCGCGATGAAATGTCAAACACGAGATACCGAGATATATAAATCGAGATCTCAAAGGTCGGATCGGTGTTGGTCAGACTGAAACTTGTCCGTGACCGGTCCGGGTCAAGCAGATCCACCTCCGGAGTTGGCCGAAGCGCGCGCTCGAGGTCGTTGCTGCGCGCTTCTAGATGGCTGTTGCTAGAGTTGAGATCTCGGCTAGACAGTCTGAAACAGGTCCAGGGCCAGTCATGCATCCATGAGGCATAGCCGATGCGATATGAAACAGCGTTGTTCCGTGCTTTTTTACCAATCTGATCGCTACCCCTACTATCGTATCCACGCCACAGCGGGCCCAGCGCCCTTCCCTTCGCCATCAATATGCCGATTCGGCCACCTTGCAACCGGCTCCCGATTTGCCGCCGCGTTCCTAGGGATTCGTCATTCACCTCCGCCGTCCAACAAAACTTCGAGGATTGGTTCGTCGGGACCTCATGAACGTTTGTCCACATGATACGAGGATCTTGGCCTTCAGCTCTTCATCGTCGTCGACAAGTAGCAAGTAAACAACGTTAACCAGCTTGCAGACTACCCTAAACCCTGAACCTCTTTCAACTCGAAACTTTACGCCCAAGATGCCTTCCTCTTCAAAGATGACCTCTGGAAACTTCCGGACCTCCTCCTACGTCCTGGGCGAGGGGAACACCATCAAGATCCATTACTATCGTTCTCAACCTAGCAAGTCCGAGGAGACTGAGCAAGCTCGACGAATGCCCATCTTGCTCCTTCACGGGTACCCTCAGACGAGCTTCATGTGGAAAGAGGTCGTTAGGGAGATGAGCGGGCAGTATGACTTGGTCGTCCCGGATCTTCGAGGTCAGCTGCAGCGATGACGGTCAAGACCGGTGTGAAGAGGGACATCGACTGAACTCTGTCATCGTCTTCATCAGGATATGGGAGAAGCTCCAAGCCTAAGGGTAGCGAGACCCACGTGGAGTACAGCAAACGGGAGATGGCCAACGACATGGTCAACCTGATGTAAGCCGCAAGTCCCCCTCTGCGACCAACTCCAGACCCCCTTGCCCGTAGCTAATCGCACGCTCCACATCATTTTATATACAACTTGCAGGAACGGGCTCGGACTCGAATGTTTTGACGTGGTGGCGCACGACCGGGGCGCCCGGGTGGCCCATCGCTTGATCCTCGATCATCCGGGGTCCGTACGGAGAGCCATGTTGATCGATATCGCGCCGACTTTGACTACTTTCGAGTCTATGGATCAGGATTTCGTGAGTGATCTCCCCGACCTGAGAAACTCTTGAAATCAGCTGATGATTGTGGATCCGCCAAACAGGCTACTGGATAGTAAGCCCTCGATATCAGAGTCGCAGAGAAACCCCCGCTCAGACTCGATTGGTTGCAGTTGGCACTGGTTCTTCCAGATCATGCCTAGCCCACTCTCGGTAATTCTTGATCAGGAAAATCACCCGCTCCACCACAGCTCATTTGATTCCCATCATTTTCGTGTTTAGGAAAACATTATCAAGAATGCCGGTGACGCTTATTGGGAAGCCGTCACTCACAACGCCAAGGCCGGGAATTTCCAGTTTGATGAGGGCGCTGAGCGGATGTACAAGACCGCTTTGCTCACCGACGATTCGATCCACGCTGTAAGCCGAACCTGAATCGGTGATTGGCGTGATTTGTTGCTGATGACAGGCTTCATGTAGACATGTGAGGACTACCGAGCCGCAGCTAGTATCGACCTGGAGCACGACCGCTTGTCTCGTCAAGCCGGGCAGAAGATCGAGGTGCAAGCGTTGCGAATCATTTGGGGCGGTCGAGGTCAGGTCGAGAAGACCTTTGGCGAAAAGACAATCCAGGTGTGGAAGGATTGCTGTGACGACAAGACGCCCGTCTCTGGAGAAAAGTACGATGCTGGCCATTACATTCCGGAAGAAAAGCCAGAACAGCTCGTCAAGGATATCATCAACTTTGTATCTTGAAGATTGTCGGACGGATGTGTGTATTATCATGTGGGTGGACATCTATAACTATACAACGAAACGGCGGAAAGGTGTTGCTACAGTCGGGATATGCGGCGGTGGTACTATATGCTTCAGTCAAAGCCGGAAAACTGCAGGGATAAGGGATCAGCATTGTCTGGACTGAGCCATCACATGGGGACTGCTTGGCTTACCTTGACCCAATCGTCGATATTTGTGACGGTACTTGAGCCAGCGATTTCTCGGGCTTCAAGGTATACCCAGATCTGCCACATCGAAAACGGATCAGAACAAGCGTTCTTTCATGATTATCCGTTGCGCTTGGCTTACCTTTGCCATTGCCCAGATATTGCCCTTGGGGACCTGCGCGATCGCTTCCTTGGTGCCCATCTGCCGACCGAGTTGACGCAGAATCGGGAGAGCACTCTTCAAAAGGTCCAAATCATCCTTCAGACGCCGACCAATACCCTCGAGCAAAAGGATAGAGATGACAGTGTTCACAAAGTCCCCTTCAAGCTTGACGTGATGATCCCGGACGTTCTTGAGCACGTCTGTCAAGATATCGGAAATTTTGATGGCGGCGAGCGAGAAAGTCGTCGACTTGACCCGGAGGACCAGGTGCTGAATCTTCAACGCAAAGGTTTCTGCATCGATAACCAATTCTGGATTTCGACATCGTTCCACCATGAGGTGTCCCGCCTTGTATCCGTCGAATTCAGCAATAGCCTGGAACAGGTCGAGGAAATTTCGTCGATTTGTCGGGTCTAGAGTAGTGACTAGTCCAGCATCGATAAAGATCAATTCGGGTTCGTACCCCTCGGCTGCTAATCTGTCCAACTCGGCCACCCATTGCTCGGGATCGTTGTGCACGGCTCGAAGTCGCTTGACGATACTGGCCGTCTCGGTGGATAAGATAGGGTCTGCTGGCTCTGGTGTAGAGAAGAATTGAGAGGCGAGATGCTGAAAGAAGTCCTTTGTAGTTGCTTTGTAGAAACGGATCATGATATTCCCGCTGCGAATCCGGAAATTTCAGTATTGTATGTTGGACATTGGCGACTCTTGACTTACGGATGAAGATCCCCATGCGTCCAGTTGTCTAGCAACAGCATGTTCTGTATTTCGAAAGGACGATTAAATCAGCCTTGTGGGTTGAGTCATCTACGACTTGATTCTGCTGCTCACAAGGAACGCGTCCAACCCAGAATTTGCGATCGCGGCGTCATACTGGCCGCCGCCATTAACAAGGAAATACTTGAGGGGTAGCGCATCCTCGTATTCTTCGACGAGGACCTTTCGGGCAGCATCGCCGGTATATTCGCCCTTCGTCCTGATCGGTCGAGGGAAACTGATGCCAGGTCCACGGTGTTCAAAGTTGTTGATGAACCGCTCGAGATTGTTGGCTTCGACCCGCAAATCGAGTTGCATGTTCATCATGTCACCGAATACGTCGACTTCTTCCGGTAGAGACAACCACTCCATTCCTGGGAAGAGGTTGAGCACATTGGCAAACAAGCTCATGATGGCAAGATCTCGCCGGATATTCTGCTCGACACGTGGATGTACCACCTTGACGGCTACTGAAGTATTGACGACTTCTTCGATAGGTACACCGTCCTTTGTAGATTGTTTAGTCCTCTTTGCCATGAAAGATTCCGGTAGCAGCTTGCTATTCAGCTTGGCACGGTAGACTTGCGCGATCGCTCCACATCCAATAGGTTCCTCCTCAAACTCGTCAAAGATATCGTCGAACGACTCCTGAAAAGCCTCCTCCAGCACCTTCTTGGTGTATGAAAGAGCATGAGGGTGTCCATTTGAGTGTAACTTGCCCATCAATTCGCATAACGAAGCCGGGAAAAGGTCGGCTCGAGATGCCGCCCATTGTCCAAGCTTGATGAAAGTAGGTCCCGCCTTTTCCATCTGTCTAACCAGAAACCCGAACCACCAGACGGCTCCCCAGCGCTCGCCTTCGTCGACGACAACGCCGGCTCGTCGTCTCTTGGATGCCGCCGGCGTACCGACTAGCAGCATCGGGGCGGTCAAAATGACCGGTCCAAACAGCATGGCCAACCGCAGGAACCGGAAGAAGGTGGAGATGGGTTCCAGTATATACACCTTGATGATGCGAATGGGGCTAAACCCGACTTCTTCCTCGGTCGGAGACGAAGCCACTACCGAGGATCCACCATGGTTCCCACGGTTGCCGTACTGATCTCCTCGAGAACCCTGAGACGAGTTCGAGCCTTTGCCATTGGTAGAAACGGTTTGCTGGACGATATAGGTCAATCCCCCCATAGCAACGAAGACCAAGCCGACCTTTCCGGTAGACAATTGCCAGGCACCTGAGAAGGCCCCGTTGCCATTCCCGCTGTTGTCTTCTGATCCGTATCGAAAGTCGCCCCCTGCTTTCTTCTTGTCCCAGTCGGCATTCCGACGCTTAACCAACTCCGCGTGGATGATCGGGGCGGCGTCTTGATACAAGAGATCAAGTTCGTTTTGCAGGACCACGAGACCTCTCCGAGCGACCTGTGGAGCCTGGGCATTCATCCGTCGGACGATATTGTTCAGGCTCTTTATGTGCTCTGCGTGATATGCCTGTTCCCTCGCCTGCCATCGGGAATCCCGGAGCTTTGAGATGTCCTCGACAGTCAGAGCACTAAGGGAAGCGTTGTCGTGATATGGTGACGTCACCAAACTCCGTACAACGGCTCGAGAGTACGATTCCAGTAGGGTGGATCGGAAACTGGCGTGGGCCGCGTCGAGCTCTGTAGCAAGAGCCAGAACGGCATCAGTATTGCTTATCACTGATGTCCGATACGTTAAATCCGAGGCAGACAACGGAACTAACCATTTTGCAGTTCGATCCATGGTGGCTTAGCTCCCTGCCTTTTCATGATCCGGTTCAGATGAAACTCGGTACGATCCATATGCAAAAGATCAGGATCCTCCTTCATAGGTTTGCCCCGCCCAGGAACGTTTTTGAACCATCCAGCCTGTTGAGCTTGCTAAGAATCCCCAATACAAAGCTTTCTCAGCGGTTAATCTCCAGCCAGGATTTATTTTGCGGATACTCACCTGTATCCGTTCCTCTACAAGACCTTCCCAAGCTCTCAACGACGACAACCCTTGCACACGCCCATGACTCTCTGTGCCCTGTTTCCCCCCTACCCTATAATCCAAAGCTCCCTCCCTCGCTCCCTCTACCCTTCCGACGAGCTTTTCCGTCTGTTTCATCTCTTTCCAGGCTTTTCGATGTTTGGGATCATTCGGGTTAAATCCCGCTGGTTTATCAAGGAGCGACATTTGCGAAGTCTGTCGGGTGGAGGATTGTTTGGCGCTGGAAGGCAGGAATTTACCGTACAGGACGGAAGGAGAGACGCCAGGAGAGTCGCGGGCGACGTATCGAGCCATCCAGGGTTTGAAGTCCTCGGGAGGAATATCGCGTTCGGCGAGGATGGCTTCTGATAGCGGTCTAAATTGACGTGCGGATTCTTCGGGGGTTCCAGGTTGAGAGCCGAAAAGACCGCTTGTGGTCGAGGTCGATTCGGTAGATGTGGGAATGACACGGGGTGAAAGATCGACCTTTTTGAGAGCTTGTTTGATCTTTTCTTCGGCAGATTGCACCAGTTCCGAGCGTAATGGGCGATTGGCAGGCGAGTCGACGAGCATACGCAACACGGCGTCTTTTTGCGATTCTTCTCCTGTCCATACTCTGCGAGAGCACAGCGAAATGCTCAGCTGTATCTGTTCAAGAGATCTGAGTTACATTTGAAGAAGGACTCACGGCGCGCTCTCTGCTTCCTTCTCCCTGAGCTCTCTCCAGTGCTCTTTGGCCTTCATAGTCTCCTCCTCTACCAGGGCCTCAGCCATCAGCTTTGCGGATCCCGTGAGCTCTTCCTGCCGAGCTGCAATCTCGCCGGGTTCTTGCTTTTGCGATGTACCGTCCGAAGATGACGGGCTGTCCGTACTATTACTCGACGTGGCGAGTGACCGTTGATTGATTCGGCTAGGCCGTGATAGCTTGAAGACTCGAGGCGAGCAGCATGGTAGCTGAGCCCTGGGCGGCAGCACGCCGCGACACGCCGATAGCCTGAAGCTCATGGCTCGAAGACGTCAAGATGTGATCGAGTTTTGTAGGTCTAAAGATTGCTCTTCATCCTGGAGAGAGGAAGGAATTGTATGCCTCGAAACCCGACGTGACCACCTGCGCGAACGTTCAGACGTTGATTGTCGAGAGGCGATCGGACGATCGTATGCCATGGGTAATCGAGCGAGCGATTACGTCACGCCGAAGCCGAGAGCAAGGGGGGGCGACGCGCATGAAAGCGCAGGATAGGGCCGCCGTTTCACCTTGCTCCTGGTTCACTCGCCTCCTTTATCGTTGACGAGGTCGAGTCAGACAGCGTATCGCGTGCTAACTTGCAGAGGATGGACTTTCCTTGGATAAAATACCCCAGCCGGGCCAACACTTTCCCCACCTCCAGCAAAGGAACTTCGTCACATGCGCAACAGAAGTCTGGTGACGTGATCTCTTTCCGGTACTTGTACGAGGCTTCGCTCAGAACTGAGCAGTCATACAGGAGCCGCACGAATTCAAGGCATGGCCACATCTCGCTCAATCAGTTACCTGCCTCTCATTTATATGTCAGTTTGTCCATGACATGGCGAGGCGACCTCTTTTCACCGTCACGTCAAGCGGATTGATCGATTACACATCCACATCGAAGGTATTCGTAAAAAATTGATAATTCCGTCATATTCGAAGGCCAGATTACCGTTTTTCTGTGATCCCTCGAATCGTAGTATCATCATCACTGACTTGAACAGTAATAGGATGTGTGAAGTGTGGTATGCTTTTCACTCAGTCGTTGAGAAGGGCAACTGGGGGGGAGTGAGCGATCTGTCAGATCAACCTCTATAGACATATCTGCTCGTGCCAGTCAGAGCGATTGATACCTTCTCCGATATAAGATATGATACAGAAAATATTCGGCCATCAGACACAAATACAGGTTTTGGTTCTTACTTCCCGGAAATCTCATCGAGTTGACGATCATCAAAGTCTTCAGCCCATGGGTTCAATCCCTTGAACTTGTCGATGAAGATCCGCGCTGCCTGTTGGTCGTTAGCAGGTAACTCCATCGGCTTGTTTGGATAGGTGTACGCTATGGCGTAGTGAAAGAAATCCAGATTGTCTGACTCTGCATAGACCATGTAGGCGGGACCATCCGGTATCTGGATCGTCATCTCCCAGCGTGCCTCTCCGTTCATGTAGCCGGCCGAGATCTTCATGACTCGGTCGCTTAGTTGTTTTGATCGTCCATCCCATACCTCCTTCCATGCCTGGTCTTTTGAAGTTGCCTTCGAAGTGAAGGAGGATGGTCCCCTTGAACCTCCAGAAGAGGCTGTCCCAGGAAAGCTTGAGTAAGACATGATAGCTTGTGATGTTCGCTATACCCTGCGTGCGCCTGGATCGTCCCAGTATCTCTCCAGTAAAGAAGGGTTCCATCAAAGCATCTCTATATAATAGGTGCAGGAGAGCCAGGAAGGAATCTGAAAGACAAAGGATCGCTGTCTTGGTACAATCATCGGGGCATACCGCATCATTCCTATTCTTCCCAGCACAGCCGATGACAGCTTGGCCGAGAAAGGTCCGGAACAAACCGCTCCCATTTTATTCATCCTTTCATGTCTGATCATCGATCCTGTCTAAGGGCTGCCTTTAGTGCCGTATAGGCCCGAACACGAAGGTCGAGGCCGTCGAGCCGCAATAGGTTGACCTGTATGAGGATGATAAATTACAATAACGAATGGAAATGGACATATAACCGAGACTACTGCTGCACAGTGTAGCATAATGATGTCAATTAGGTCACATTCCGGCGCATAAGCAATAATATCTAGTTACCCTATAACAATGTACATCATCCTCTTCAGGTGAAGTGGGAATATACATCGAAGTACTACAATGTATGCTGAGCCTCGATTCCTACAATGAGCCCTTCTTTGACTTGCTCTCGATCTCTAGCACCTTCCTGTCAAGGAGCTTCTGACAATCATCGAGGAAATTGATAAGGTGATCCCCATTTCCCGGTTTACAGCCATCGTTCCAAGCATACCACGATTTCTGATCGTTCATGATCTCCTCCTTGCAACGTTCCAAATCACTGCCTACCCAAAAGACGTAAGGCGCATGGGTCGTTTCGACTGTGGCTCTCGAAGGCCTGTCTATGTACTCTGGGAGTCTTTCCTGCGCCGTGACGACCAGTCTCACGCTCCAAGGCAGCTTATTGAGCATATAGCGAGCTTCTATCGACCATTGGGAAACATTCTCTAGATCGTCGCTCTTGTTGAGGATCAGGCAATGATCGACGAGGACATCCTTAGAAATATAGTGCGAGGGGTATTTCGGGCTACCCTTTCTTGTCATCATGTAAGGTTGAGCCGATGGAGGGCAGCGATACGGATTGATTTTCCATCCGTGCGACATGGAGGCCAGAAAATCCTGAGTCTGGATAGAGCTATTATCGGACCCTGATTGCGATGGGTCTATCCCTCTGTCGTCATCTGAATCCCAAGTCGAGCCTGCGGGGCTTTCCTTCTCAGTTACGCCGTCCGATGTCAAAACAGTGCCATTCGGATTCCCGTCGGTAGAATTTCTTTGAAACGTCGACTGCCTGTCAAGGCCTGATGCGAAAGATGACATCTCGGTCTTTCTGTGTTGAGTCGAAAGCTTGAAGGTTTGAATGGGTGGCTGGACCTTGAATTCACGGCTTCAGGCTATAAAGAGTAGCTTTTGATGACTACCCGTCATCCCTCTCTCCCGTCTATATCATCATCGCTCGAGGAGACAAAGAAGCCTGCATTCTACTGTGCTCTCCTTTGTTATCAAGATCGGGCGCGAGCGACCTCGACGTATCTCCTGCTCTGATTGTTACAACATGCATGTATAGACGGATCGAGGCTGATACGCCGTGCGCGGAAGAAGAAGTGACTGGCGCCTACGAAAAGGATCCATTGATGCGCCGTTACATATCGAGAAGACGGACAAAGGACTCACTGAGATGCACACCGCGAAGGGGACTCCATACGAGCTGCTATCGTGGTCAAAATCGCTTATGCTGCCTGCTCTGCGGTGCGATTACGTGTAGTACACCACTCCATCCCTCGAATCGTTGCTGAGTTACATGCGTTCGCCTCTCTCTCGATCTGTACCGTTATTCATGCTTGTACACTTGCGCGGCCGAGAAGCATCGTCCAGCAGACTCGCCTTGATGTTTCAACTCACGCGCCGCGCCCCTGTGATCCGCCGCCCCAGAAGGCGCGAGTGACCACATGGCCACATGAAAGCAAAGAACTCAGACGGAGGAAAGGAGGCAGGGTAGGTCGACACTGAGACTGCTGTTGATCCCTCTCGGATAGTGGTATGGACTGACGAAACGAAAAGGACTCCTTGACACGCACTTGTCGCGACGAAGCGGATACGGTGGGAATCAGTGAGATGGATCATCTAGCGTATCGTATACGGTTGCAGGCAGAAGACTCGGTACAAAGACGTCTGCCTATCGTTCCTCTGGTAGAAAGTTCCAATGCTTCGGCAGCATCCCCCCTCCATGAAATTGTCCACACTCGCCCAGGACTTTCATCAGCCTGGAAGTGAAGTATTTACTCTCCCAAGGCGTCTGGTCCTTGATGTAGCGGGACAATGCTTTCTTGCATTTCCCAATTCTATCACTCTGGATTTGATAGACAGCACCGCGTTTCGTTTCCCGCCACTTGTCTTGCGATCTTTTCCATGCTGTCGTGAACAAATGCACGGACCATGGATTATCGAAAGCGTTCCGGCAATGTACCCGGACGAGCCACCGAGTGGTAGTGCGTCGTCCTGATTGGTGTACCTGCTTCGGAATACCGTTCAGATACATCTCGACGTCGAATCCGGTGTCTAACTCTTTGTATAGGACTTCATTGGGAGCATTTTCTGCGTAGTCTCGGTCGCAACATTGAGGGCCGCCAGAGGCAGGACCTGTCGGTTCAAGCCAACCTGACCATAGCTGGCTTGATTTTGCGCAACCGCTGTAAGCCTCATCCGAGTCGTCTCTTACACTTGTGACTGATCGAAGTCTCGGCCTTGTCGAATCGTCCAGCGAGAATGATCCAACTGACCAGATCATTTTTAGTGCTGCCTCGCTATAGTGAAACTTGGATCGAGCTTGTTCGGTAAGGTCCACGAGCGTGCAGGTGTTGCCACAATCAGGTCGACATGTTTGCCTTTCAGAATGGGTGGATGAGAGTGTTTCGGCAGAAAGTTTCAAAGCTTCACTTTGATTTCCTGACAGGCCTTCATGAGATTGTGACGTTCCTGTAAGTCGAAGGTCAGACATCTTGTCTAGAGGTATGACAACGCGATCAAGTCGTTTGGTTGTTCGGTGAGGGTGAGATCTCGAACCTTGCCGTGGCTAGCGCGGCTCCTATTTATACGTTTTACACTAGATGCGCTCTTTTGTGTGTGTTCACTACAAACGGCGTTGATCAGAAAGAGCTGTCAGGCAGAGGGAGCCATTTCAAGAAGCAGATTATATCCAACATCAACTCCGAAGAACTCGTGGAGCGTCTGATCAAGAGAGACAGCAAGGCAGCAGCGGTCAGTACGCTTAGTGACCTGAAAGGAAGCACTTCACGTGGATACTGGTATGGGAATGTCAATGATTCTCAAGGACTTTACTGCTGCGCGATCGGTGGGGAGGTACGCAGCCAACCATAATTTCGGCTGGATAGGGAGGCGATCACTGCCCAATTGATCTCGCTGAAGCTTCTCGTAGGATATATTCAGTCCGACTGGTCTATTACCGAGAGAATGGAAATGTCAGCATTGCCGGATCCAGGGCTGTCAGGGGTCATGGTCATAAAAGGCACAAGTCGTGCTACAATGAGATGAATAACCTATCACAAAGCCAGAGTGAGACTTGCTGACTGCGTACTTGGCATTGGAACCCGACAAAGGCGTCCATCATATCCTCTTCGCTTGAGCTCTACCCTGCTATGCCTTTCAGATCCTTTGGGTACGATAAGCCACGCAACGGATGTGACAATCTCCTAGGACCGCCACCTCTATTCTCCAACGAAATCCACATTGCGCCTTGTTTGCGCAGCTGGTATGTAATATGTTGTATGCCATAATCCAGCACTGATGCGGCATGTGCGAGCTTCTGCCTTCATTCCGTCTGGCCCTTGAGAGCAGCGGTAGACCGTGAGTTGCAGCGATCCGTACATCGGAAACAATCCTTTAATGCACACGGCGTAATGCGATACACTATGAGATTACACCTGCCACAAAGAAACATCTAGCATCCGAGCTCTACTCCGCCTTGTCACCACCCTCCGCTGCCACCTCGGGATGCTCGTTGTCGTATCCGGTCAAGACCATGTCGTTGATACCGAGGTCCTCGTTCTGCTCGTGCGTCCTGTCGTACGTAATGATCTCCATGTTGGGGTCGTCATCGGGCGCGTAAATGTTTTGCAGGTAAGAATTGGCCACCGGGTCGTCCAGAATCAGGGTAAACGGACGCGCGGCCACCATGACCTCCTTCAGGCTACCAAGGAACTTGGCAAAATTGCCCTTGTCCTCGCTGTCCGTGAGTGCCGAGTCGCCGCCTCCGGTGTTGAACACCTTGGTGCTGAGCTCTTCGTAGACCTGCTGCAAGAGACCCTCCATGGTGGTGAATCGTCCGCCCAGGGTTCCGGGCTGTAATACCAGGTCGATCTCGGGGATCTCCAGACCACACGTCTCGGACTGCGAGAGGTTGGGGACGAGACCGTGTCGCCGTCAGCTGTAATTCGACAGGCGAGACAATTCCCCTAGAACGAACGACAAGACTGACCTTGAGCAGATCTCGACTGAGGTCCTCCTCATCTTCCACCTTCAAGATGATCTTTTTGCCCTTTTCTGCGATGGCTCCACCCGACTTGACTTCGTTGTCTCGGTAGCCGCAGTATTCACAGTTTGTCGACATGATGATGATGTCCTGCCGGGCCACGACGACGTGTCAGCGCTTGCGAGGTATGGCATCAGACCTGACGACCGAGACCCACCTTGAAATGAGGAATGTTGACCCTCTGCATCAAAGTGTCGATCTGATGTCCACAGCTCGAGCACGCTCCAGGGAAAGTGAACACCTCTTCGGGCACCACCGTCCCGTCCTCTCGTTCCGTCATGCTCGGTCGAATTCCGTCGATCGCACCGACGGGCTCCTTTTTGGAGGCCGAAGCCTCTTCCTCCTCGGCAACGAGACCGAGCGTGACGTTTTGGTCGCGGGTCCGGTTGTACGCTCGGAGGCTCCATTGTGCGTCGCTCGTCGTTCCAAAGAATTGGACGTACGAGTTGCCGCTCGGGTCGTCGAGCTTCAGCGTAAAGGGGGTGAACGTCTTTTCGGGCTTTTCGCCGGTGGTCGCCTCGTCATCGTCGTCGTCCAAACACTCCTTCAGTCGGTTGAGGAGGGTCTCGATCTTGTCGTGCGTGGCCGGGTCCATGATCTTGCGTACGGGCTGGTCGAGCGATAGGTCCCGGACGATGTCGCTGACGAGACCCTCGACGTTGGTGAGCTGGCCTCGCGACGCCGGTAGCGTCAGGCTGATCTCGGGGATGGTGATGGTGCAGGTGTTGGATTTGACGAGTTGTCGGTTGAGGTCCTTGGCGTTGAGGATGTGGACCGAGTAGATGCATCCCTTGGCTGTAGGGTCGGGGGGTGTGTGTGTGAGTCAGCTCCATGAACTAGACATGGCTCTCAGATCAGGCGTAAACGGCTCACGCTGAATCTCCCCGGCGCTCTGAATCTCGGTGTTCGAGTTGCCACAGTGGTCACATCGGAAGGACATGATGATGACCTCGCGAAAGTAGGGAATGCTCGTTAGAAGCATTCGGGTGATGCCCTGCGATGCGGGGTGCGAGTCAGCCTTGACTGTTACGAGTTGCGACCTGGTCCGGGCCACCCCACCTGCTGATGACATTCCATGCATAAACTCTCGACCTGCTCGACCTCTCGCTCATTTCCCTCTTGAAAGTCGCCGCCCTCCTGGAGACGTGCATCGTCGTCGTCGACCTCGGGCCGTGCGTCCGTGTCCTGGGCGAGTTGTCCGATGGGTTTAAAGAGGTTTTCCTGTTGGCTCATGGTGGGAACGTGTCTTGGCGAGTACTGGAACTGTCTAACTGTCTGATATATCTGATATTAATCAATGACGAAGCCAAGCAATCGAACAAACAGGGTGAATAAGTTTCTGGCTATTGGGAGACCCGTTGAACGCTCCAGAGGCGAAATCTCGATTGTACACGAATCGCGGAAGCAAACAGGTCGTCCCGGGCGTGTCGCGAAAAGCGCGTATTCGTTCGACATGTGGACAGCAGACAAATCGACCTATTCCTATGCAAAAAGTGAGCAAAACTAAGCAAAAAGAGTGCGGAAAAGAGGGCAAAAAAGAAATCTCTCCACACTGATTCGAACAATGGACCTAGGGATGCCCGCTGAAACTGGGTTCAGATCGGACTCAGGAGAGCAATTACAGTCCCTCGCTCTACCAACTGAGCTATAGAGAGTCCTTGGGAGCGTCAGAGTCTTGTACATATAATGTCAAGATTCCGAGTGTTGCGCGCGCGTACTCAAGGGGACGCGAGCATATAAGAAGATATCAGAAGATGTCCGCCCCGATGACGCGGACATGGACCGCGCGCATCAACCCCATGTGGTAGGCACCCTCGACCTTGTCAGCAACACACTGTTCGATTAACCCTGTTCGATGAGGGATGAGGTCAGCCTGCTTTGCTGTTCTTGTCTCGTCGAACAAACTTCTAGCCCTGCACACGTTATAGACATCGCAGCTCTTGTACAGCTCACATCATCGCCTCGGCAACATCCTTCCCTCTCCATATCCTACGCTCACGCCAGATCAGAGCGGCGACAACCGAGACCAGAAACGAGAACGGTCGAAGCAGAGAAGAACGGTCGAAGCAGAGGAGAACCGTAGAGACAGAGGAGAACGGTCGGGAAAGAGGAGACAGACGAGACAGAGGAGAACGGTCGGGAAAGAGGAGACAGACGAGAACGGTGTGGACAAACCACAACCAAGACGAAGCCCGGTCCGGCCAGAGCGAACGAGCGCAGAGAGAAGCGACGGAGGTCGAACAAGAACGAAGAGCAGGAATCAATCAGACGAGAATAGAGAACGCTCCGGCGAATCCGTACTAGACGAGACGACACTAGAGGGGGGAATAGCTCCATGTAAGTCGACCTCGTTATCGCCATAGCAGCTCTCATTATTGTTCGACCGCTCAACTACGAATGGCGACCGTGGCTGCCGTAGCAGCACGCTGCCGTAAACAGCATCCGGAAGAAAGCATCCGAAAAAAAGAACGAGAAAGTCGTTCTTTTTCTGCTTTTCGACGCGAGTCAGTATCCGCGGATCGCCCAAGGTGTGTATCTTTGCTTCCGATCGCGCTGGAACAAGCAGTAGTTACTGACCCGATGTGCATCGATCGACAGTGCCGCCATCGGCCAAGGTAACCTGCACTGGCCTTCTCGCCCTCGTTCACCGCCAACGTCTTCACTCACTACACCTGGGTGCCCACGGTATGCCATCGCTTCCAAGCGCGCTGGATGAGCTGTCACTGACGGACATGTGTTGATCGACAGCGCTGCTATCGCCCCAGGTACCCCTCCGCGAATCCATACTCCCTTTGTTGTCGACCTCATCAGCCGATTCACCCTGTTCCCAGGTATGTTTTGCTGCTTTCGGTCCCGCCTGACACGCAAACACTGACGCAAGTGTATCGATCGACAGCGTCGCCTCCGGTCGTTCGCCTCGGGTCGGCAACCTCGACTACCCTTCTGGACAAACAACCTTGTCACTCGCTTCTCTCTGTCATCACCATCACATAAAATGTCATGTTCAGTCAATCTCGCCCATTACCCTGCAACTGAGGCAGCGTACTCACAGCCAAAAGGGAATGCTCTGGCCGCATCCAAGTTTGTCGAGCAGGTTCGCAATCACCCAGATCCTCCAGGAGAGAGCGTGAGGATTCTTCGCATGCTTGCCAGTGATGTTGGTCAGACTGGGGTCACCATTACCGAGGTCTACAACAAGCTGTTGCTCTCCAAGTTGGTCACTGCAGACGACTTGAAATCAAGGGCTTTCTACATCACGGAGGTGGTAGTCAAGTTCCGAAAGCACTACAATCTGTTCAGGCAGGTTCGGTTGGAGCATATGATCAGTGAGAAATGGGAAGGAGAGTGGGACCTGGATCTCGGCTTCAAGAAGACCCCATGCAGGGACATCTTGGAGGTCATCGTCAAGATCGCGACCAAAATGACTGTGACCGAGGCACGTGAAGGACTGTTGACTGCAGGATGGAAGCCTGGTCAAAAGCCCACCAAGAACCATTTCGAATACGTCCGGGACTACCTTCTCCCCAGCATCGTTGCCGGGAACGGAATTCCGAAATCGACTGGCAAGCTCGCGATCGGCGCTCCAGGCGAATCGACACGGGAAGTCGCCATTCGCGGCTTCATCGGCGGCTCAGGCGAACCGACCTGCGAGCTCGCCGTCGACGCTTCAGGCAAGTCGCTGCACGAATCGTTTGCCCGCTTGAGGGAATCGAGGGAATCGAGGGAATCCGCCGCCTTGAACGCTCCCGGCAATCTGGACAACGTCAGGGCACGCGGGCCTGGCGAGCCGAGCGCGGTCCCGACTGCGAGCAATGTCCTGCCTACGATCCCTCCTGTGAGCACGGTCCCTCCTGCGATCCCTCCTGCGAGCGTGATCCCTCCTGCGAGCGTGATCCCTCCTGCGAGCGTGATCCCTCCTGCGAGCGTGATTCCTCCTGCGAGCACGGTTTCTCCTGCGAGCACGGTCCCTCACGTGAGCGCGGTCCCTCCAGAGGCTCATCAAAGTGAGTCGAGCGCCGCTCCTCCATCAACCTCAAGAGGACTACCACTCGGAGCTGGAGAGATCCCTGAGGTCTTGAAGGGCCTTTCCTATACCACCATCTGTATTGGACAAACATTATCAGAATTTGAAAATCATGCCTCTCGTCGCACTCCTGTTGACACAACAGATTCAGAGTGGAATCAGCTCAATCTGACCTTGGGGAATGTCCTCATGCTGTCATCGGACCGATACATCATGGCGGTCAAGCTTGATCCCATAGGAGAAGATCAAACGACACCCATGTCTCATGCATTTGAGAGGCTCCGGCGGGTTTGGGCACATAAAAGAAAGGTCAATGCAAAGGAGAGCCGAGCTACCCGACGAGCGCGCCCTGCGCCCAGTCGAATCCTTACAAAGATGCGAAGGACTATTCGTCGGCCTCATCCGTACGCCACAGCGAAGAGGTCCAGGCTCGACGAAAGGGAGGCTGTTGGTGAGAAGAGTTCCAGGCTCGACGAAAGGGAGGCTGTTCTCACCAACAGTCTGCCTCCTCCTCCAGCCTCAGATCATCGACACCACGACTATATTGCCATGAAGGGGAGCTATGGTCACAGCAGATGTGGCGTATTCCATCTCTGTTACTGGATTCCAACAGGACAAGAGCCGAACGGCCCTTGTCTTTCTGCTCACATACAATCAGGATCTTACCGGGCAGATGCAGTGGGCAAGTTCCTTCGAGCATGTCAGACCTTTCAAAAGACAGCTACAGACGTGAGTGTATCCTTCCCGTGCGTGAAAAGCCACAATCCATGTGCTAATGTCGATGTCTTGCAGGCCCTACAAGCAGTAGCCCCAGAGGTAGCATCCAAGTACAAAGCTGCAACAGACAAGGTCAGGGAGTGGAGCGAGGGTTTCTCCTTGTTTGGGAAAGACACTTGCTTCTTCGGCATGGCTGTTGTTCACAACCTCCAGGTCGGTCTTCACTACGATGGAGGCGACGACAAACACGGCTTTGTCGTGATGACCCCTTTTGGCCGCTTCTCTGGGGGTCATCTGATACTTGGGGGTAATGGGGAATACTACAAGCTAGATTACCGGCCTGGCTCCATCTGCATCTTTCGATCTTCGCTGGTGCCACACGCCATAACTCGCTTCACCGGCACAAGGACAGCGGTCGTCCTCTTTACCAAGGACGACGCTTTGAAATGGGTGCAAACGCACGACGAGCCTCCCATGCCGTACGAAGAGGACGCCGGGTTGATGACAGACCCAGACGAGTCATTATGAGACTCACGTCTTGCCCGTGCCCGCAGCAGGTACGTCGGCCTCGTAAAGGCCTGCTCGCGCCGATTGCGGTCGCCTCGCATGTGCTGACACAGAGGCGCGCCTTCAACAGCACAGGCGTCACTGCCGGACTGCTCGCTGAATTCCAGACTCTTACCTGATGCGCTTGGGCAGGATGATGTTGCCGAGGCGATTTGCTAGAACAAGAGCCCCCAGTGTTACCAATCAGCAAAACTTCCAGGCACTATCATTTCCATGCAAGACGGCCTTTCGTGAACGGTTACGTTGCCACATCAACGCTAGCCCAATAGTTCCGCCTCTCAGCATCTTCAATTTGCGGTCGATTTGGTCCGTTCCGGGTGATATCAGTTGGATCTGACATGTCCTTGCACGCAACCTAGAGTCGGTGAACAGATGAGATGACTTTGCACTTTCGGGGGATTATTGACAACGTCGACAAGAGCCATCACAAGGTATCTGGTTCATGAAACGACATATTTCGTCTACAAGGACTTGGTCCCAGAACCACAGAGTCACGTGCATAGCGCGCATAGTAAGTATGTCGTATGGCCATCTACTTTTCAAGGTTGAAACGCAGACTTGCGCAGCGAAAAAAGGCAATCTTGAGTTGTTGTTTCCTGATCCTGATGTTTTCGGGTCGATTCCGCCGTGGCGCCTCGTTTGAATTGATCCCCGAAACGGTTTCACTCGATCCACCTCGTGGCACTAGCGCCCCTCGGCAAATCTGAGAGGAAGGGTATTCGAAACGGTCTCACTCGATCCACCTCGTCGCACTCCTCGGCAAAACTCAGAGGAAGGGTCCTTTAACTTTTCGGCATCGCCTGGTCCGGACATACATCGCTACGCTATGCCCGAATTAAGGGAAAAGGTCGTACGACGTCTAGGATCCGAGTCGATTTTGCTGAGTAATTGCTCAGGCGAATGTGTAACTAGACAACTAGCAATTCTAGCAACCAGCAATTCCAGCAACCAGCAACCAGCTAGTCAATTAGTCAGTAGATAGTAGTATTCATCTGAAATACTTCAAACGGCGAGCTGATGAGCACAGAACCTGATCTCCTCACCACTGCTAAGCTTCCTGTTCGCCATCCCGCCCACATGAATCGCGATCTCGCAAAATCTCAGGCCTTCCACGACAAGAAGAGGTCCGAGGTCGAAGACGGCACCGCACAACGGGATCGACATGCGAGAGTGGTAGAGAAGGGTTTAGAGCTCGGCAAATTACTGGCCATCAAGCCCATCACATCGACCTTTGACACCGTCGAGGAGCACCTCGACACGATCGCTCGAGAGCGCGGTTTCGCTCGCCTCTCTGCCTCTTTCTACAATCGGCTCGACATTCCTACTCGAGAATGGCTAGCCCCTTTTCTCGTGAATCCCTACACCACATCCCCTAAACATCCGGCTCTCAAGCTGTGCGTCAAAGGGGAATTGAAGAAGGCCTTCCGTGTGTACATTCGGACCTACGAGACCACGGTCGGAGAGGAGAGGGAGAGGCTGAAGGTACGACTTGAGTCAGATGTGATTCGCTGATCGATCCGCTTCGCTGATCGATTTGCCCTGCTGTTCGGCTCGCTTTAGGCCTTTATGGCTGCATACCCGCAATACACGCCGTCGGTCATGGCCAAGCTGCAAAGCCTTTCCAACGCAATCAATGACTCTGATATCATCTGGGGTCACTACATTGGACAAACCATGTCAGACGCAGGACCAATCGGAAGACACGAAGCCGATTGCGAGCAGGCGTTCCGGAAAAGCGGTATGATGACAACGTTCTACCGGTGGATCACATTCACCTCCTCTCCGCAAGACAATCTCCCCGCCCTCGACTGGAAGATCTACGAATTCAGATCTTTCCATACTCCTCTGGATTTGAATAATTCGCTCGGTTCTGATGGTGATATTTGGAGAAGTCGGTCGGACCTACAAGAACTTGAGGCCGGTCTGGTACTAGCGGCTGATCGACGAGGATGGAACTCGGCACCGGGAGGAGTTCCCCAAACAAGATATACGGTTCCCTCAGGGTTGAAAGACATTCTATCGTCGCCTTCATTCAAGGCACAAGTATCATCCGAGCTTCTCCAGACGACTTTCGTCCCCCCACACCCAGATTTGCGACGGCACTTTCAGGTAACACGCGCCGCCGACCTCTTCACCAACAACCTTGCTGACCCCTCTCGCGATGAATTTATCGCAGGAGAATTACTCGATGGCTCCTGCCGTGCTCAACCGTGCTTTTAATCAGACGGCTGCTTTTTGTTATACAGGTACATCCGTTCTCGGACGGAATGCGCGCCTTATAGCAAGATAGCAAGTCGCTAACAAAGTGTTCCGCCTGCGCGTATACTGTACCCACTTCAAAGATGGAACAGCGGGATTGTTACTTGTGGGGAGTAGGATTACTAGAAGGGATGACGGGGGTGACAGTGATTGGTACGTATCGTCTCTTTCTCACACTCTCGTTTCCCTCTTCGCCTCCTTCTCGATTAGACAAAGTATCATCTTGTCTGCTTTGAGAACGAAGTGAATCGAATCTTTTGGAGGTCGGGATCGATCGACATCTCGCTCGTTCGCAGATTCTGCAACATCCCATATCCCATTCCTCAACGGTTGACTGGTCTTTTGAGACAGTCCTTCTGCCGGTATTTCATTGTTCGTGAGCAATTTTCTGACCGATTTTCCGGACCGATTCATCAAACAGGTGGAACAATGCAGGTCCTGCATGTGTCTTATGGAGGTTAAGCTTCGATGCGGTCACATTATACGACGATCAAGACCGGGACGAAATCAGGTCGCAGTGGAGATACGACGCAGTATCGATTGCAAAATATGGGGGTTTCGCCGACCTTTTCGCTGTCCCACTCGCCAAAAATCCTAGCACTGAAGATCTCAGGCGGGCCGGTACTCATCTCGGTCGCCTCATCGGGGAACTCGTGCGTCCCCGTGTTGTTTGCTTCATGAGCAACGAAGTTCGTCTGGCACTCAAGGAGGGCAGGTTGCGGACGTCCTCGGAACCTTCTGTCGAGCAAGTTCAGGGAGTCGAGGACAGGGAACTTCCCGGGGAGCAGTGGCGTTGGACCGAGGGCGAGACCGGGGCAATCAGGGAGGCTGGCTCGATCCAGGTGGAAAAGGTTGGTAATCATCATTGTGTTGCTGTATTCCAGGTGAGTTTAGGCAGGTAGTGGATGCCGACACGGCAAGATTGCTTACGACTATCGCAATCTGATATCGTGCTTCACTCGATCCACCGGCCGTTGTGCCTGCAAAAACAGCCACACCCTGGTTACTTCGCATACAATCCCTCCATTCAACCCCTCCTGTTTCCTCTATTCATCTGCTGTTCGGCCATCGTACGCCTCGCCAAGGCAAGTCGGCACGACAGAACAAGATTTTCCATGCGTCGCTGATCGTGTTATACTAATGACCCAGGCAAGTGCTAGCCGGCAGCAAGCTACTTGGGGAGAAAAGGCGGCTCTTCTGGTCGTTGAGGATATTAAGCAACATGACATTCTCAAATTCTTGGAACGCCTCAAGAAAGAAATCCTGCAAATAACTTCTCTTCAATCGGCCATTCGTATGCTTCAGAGACCCATGAGCGTGGAGACTTTTGACGAAAGGTGAGCGAATGGAACCGCAATATTGAAGTTGACATAGCAGATTCACATCAAGCCGGATTGCTTGACAGGTCTACCATTTCCAAGACCGTACGGAAGAACTTTGTGGAGTCCGATCCCGTAGCGATAGGCAAGCCATGGAGTAAAGAGAGGACACAGCAGGTATGTCGGGCTTCTTGAACCTATGTGACGCTCGAGGATCAGCTTCGCCTGTACTAGGTCAATAACGCCACTCTCGTACGGCAGGTAGAAACCCTGCTAGGGCAGGTGTCATCGTGGATCGACGCTGAGGACAAGAAGAAAGTGGACACGACAATACAACAGATGCTCAAAGCTCGAGAGGGCAAGGTAATTCTTCTGAACGTGTTGTCAGACGAATGAAAGCAGTATATTGATAAGATTTATGCTTCCCATTTTTTCCCAAAAGCACCTTCGTATTTCGATATACAGTCAAAACTCGAAGAGCGAGCTGACCGGTACGTTGACGCTGTGGCGGAATGCGCCTGTAGCAAATTGCTAATGAAGCGTTCCGTCCATGCGCGAACCTGCCCGACTGTACAGACGCCGCGATCAAGAAGGCAAGGAGTTGTATAGACATGGTCACCCGCGATCGGGGGAGAAGGATCACGGCGGCGAATATGGACGGTCCTTGGCCAACCTACAGCGGGAACAACCCTTCACTCAAGGAAGCGCTTGACTGGGTCTCCTCGGTTCCTGGTCCTGAAGGTGCGCATCCTGCTCTCTCCTTCGAGTTCATGCTCACTGATTGCAAGTCCTTCTATTCGATTGGCAAGGTATCAAGCGCACCACTGGCAAGGACCCCAACCAGTGCTTGTTCCTGTGTTCATGCACTAAATGCGGTGCTGAGGGCCTTGTTCGTCTGAACACTCGCCTGCACTTTTGCAGGTACGACGTCGCGCTCACGACCTGCTAGCCAAGAATGATATCTGACCTAAATGCACTTTTGCAGGGGAGAAGATGACGAATTGGAGGAGGGGCTGAGTATTTCGGCGAAGAACAGCCCGGTACGGTTCATCAAGGTGGTGGTGCCGTTCATGTTGTTCCGCTCCAAGTTCCGCAGTGATATCGAGAAGACGATCCTGGCAGAAGCACCTGAAGCGTACAGGTACGTCGAATTCCCCGTCGTTCGGACGTTCGGAATGCGTTCGCTGTTCGGACGAGAGTTCACCTCCGTTCGGACCGCGTTCACCCGTTCGAGTGACGAAGCTCTACATATCGCTAACATCTTGCTCTACTAAACAGACTTCAATGGGGGGCCGTCCCGCCGTCATCGCAGATCATCTCCATCGTCAAGGTAAACGGGGAGTCACAGGCTACCGCTCAGGCATGGGGGAATTTCCAACTGGATCTTTGGAAGCAGATTTACGAGATGCAAAAAGCAGGAAAAGCATGGGATAAGGCTCAGATCAAGCTGGATATGGAGTACCAGAAGTTCGTGAAGACTACTTATCAGTAGACCTGTAATGTGGAGAGAGCATCGACTGTACAGTGAATTTGTTACAAGCCAATCACTGCTCCTTGGTGATGCCGGCGGTGTACGTAGAAAGACATTGACGATAGACAGTCCCGGTTCGACACTTTTCAACACAGGTTTGTGCAGCCAGTGCCAGCATGCCTGTATGGACGCCTGAAGATATCACGATCGTGCACCAAACATTTGCGCGGAATGTACATGGCATCGTCGCATCGTGGCATTGCCATGCTGCCTGTGCAACCGAGCTCGATATCCCTGTCGGTGTGTGTTGTGAGATCGATGACGATACAACTCGCAAGCCACCTCGGGGATTTGATTCGCGGATCCGGCATGCAGGCACGTACACGCGCAATGGTGCCGGATCCGGGCTGTGGCTTGCTCCTTCCGATTTGGTGTTTCATATCCGCCAAAGGATCTTCGGTCGCATTCCCATCATAAATGATATACCTCTATCGAAGTGACGAAGGCTATGGCTCTGTCGATCAATCGATCGTGAACATGAGCAGACCCGGGTGATTAGGCGTGTAGAAAGCAACTAGGTAGCCTATACTAGGTAGCCTATCTTACAAATGTAATGACAATACCTGTTCATAACCTCCACCTGTTCATCATCGTCATGCCGTCGACTATTCCTGATTTTTGGTACGAAATGGGCGACGCCATCAAGTACGAAATGGGCGACGCCATCAAGGCCGAGCTCCAGGCCCAGCCTGAAGGCCAGAAGAAAAGGCCTTTGAATCAACGCACCACTTTGAATCAACGCACCATCCAAGAGATGCTCCTCCCTCCGAAGAAAAGGGTTCGAGGTGCAGGGTCATCTACTTTTCTTCGAGGTGCAGGGTCATCTACGGATCCCATCGAATTTGAGGAGGACGATCTGGTTAGCGGCGATCAGAAAAGGGCAGATCAGAAAAAGGGCGGTTCGAAGGATGGTTGTCCCCCGGGCGATCTGAAGGCGGTAGGTATAGTCAATTGCTTGTCACTTACAACCGATATGGAGCTGACGTACGTGGTATGTCTGGTTCAAAGGATGGTCCGAAGGGCGGCCCTGAGAAGGCGGTAGGTATATTCAATTGCTCGTCACTTACAACCACACTTACCACCGATATGGAGCTGATGTACGTGACATGTCTGGTGATTAGAAGCTGAAGGTCGATCAGAAAGGTGGTTCGAAGGAGCTGAAGGTCGATCAGAAAGGTGGTTCGAAGGAGCTGAAGGTCGATCAGAAAGGTGGTTCGAAGGATGGTTCGAAGGATGGTTCGAAGGGCGGCCCTGAGAAGACGAGGCCGAAGCCGAAGGGTGGCATGAAGGTTTGAGGACGATGGGTGGCATGAAGGTTTGAGGAAATTTGAGGAAATTTGAACGAAAAAAGGAAGCAAGATTTGCAGGAGGAACTCGAAGTTGTAGTATGTCACTCCCTCGCTAGGCGATGGTCGCTGTTCGCGCCGCGTCTCGCTACCAAGGCTGTCGTTCCACCGAGGCCCTTGTCGTTCCCCCGTTGCTGGCGATTTGGCCTTTGACCGTTTTCCGATTTTCCTTCTTTGCTGACCATTTGACCACGGTCGGATTGCCGAAAGTTACTCCTCTAGGCCAGAGGAATGAAGAGATGCCGTTGTCTTTGCTGCGAGTGTGACTGGTGGCTGCTCCGTAACCATCGGCTCCGAATGTTTCCTTGAGCTCTTGCCGTCTTCCGTGCTTGACTCATATCCTTCTTCTTTCTCTTGATATGCACATATGCAGATGCTCTTTGGTCGCAGGGCTGTAGATGAGATACCATCGCTGTCCCTTTCATAGAAGTCCCCATGGCTCTTTTTCGCGCACTGTTCCTTCTCGTTCCCCCCTCGCCTCCTTCGTCCCCAAATACTTCTCCGCCTGGCCCTCTCCTCCCGTTCAACTTTACGCTCGCAAAATTGCTTTCTCGACAGCCCTCCATCGTTTCATGGAGGGGTCAAGAAATCCGACCGACCATCAGACTTGCTTGCCATGCGCCAGTGGCGCTCTTAATGGCATCTAGTCTCATCGTGCCTGAACCCCTGGGTCTCTTTCCTACTGCCGGTCGTTTATCACCGAAGCTCGCAGACGGTCCCAGCAAGACTCCCTATTGGCAACAAAATTCCCCGAATAAATGAGGCGTCAATGTCTGGTCATTCACGACAGGCCTTTGGACACGTACAGATTTCCTAGTCGTTGGAGGTGTCTTGCGAGCATTCAATACCACGTGCTCATACAAGATGTTGATACGCACATCATGGCGCTCCGCCTTTGCCTGCAGCCAAATCATGACGGCGACCGCCACAAACGGTGAGCATTCGAACATTGGTATCGGTTTCGAATTGATGTAATGAGCATTAGTTTGAAACCCAACGTATCGAACCTAAATATGCACAATGTCTGAGCGCTGTACTAGTACAGAGGGATATCATATCTATGGTCTTGCCCGAGCTGGCTATATTTAATTCAAAGCAGATCTCGACATACATGTCGGCGGTTGACGATTGTCCCGATGTACAAGCCTAATTCTAGCCTAGATAAAGTTGAACCCGCATAGTAAATGTCCTGTAGACATGTTGTCCAAGTGTTCTCAGATCCATCTCTCCTGTCGGACTGATGTGATCAGTCAGCAACTGCCGAAGGGACTGTTCTTCTTCCTTGATATCTTGGTTGCCACTGTGAGCGGGCGTGGGTAGCGAGCGTGAGCAGTCAGAGTGGAGAGCGACGGCGATTTGCCAGAGTCGGGCGCGTGCGTGGTCAGCCAGAGTTGCGAGTCCCCAGAGTCGAATCGCGTTAGCCAGACAAAGCCGTGTCGTGTCAGCCAGGATGATGCGGTCAGCCAGAATTGAAAATCGTTCATACCTGTATCGAGGGGATTCGAACCGACCAATAGCTCCCAAGGCGATGGCTCCTGCACGAACTCTACCTCCAGCCCGATTCCTAGTCTGCCATCTCCCTTCTGTCCATACCAAATGCTCTGGGGCTTCCAAATAGGTCATTCGCTTTGTGGGATTTTGTCGGCAATAGTCAAAGAACGCCACGAGCATAGGGGATAGGGCAGGCCAGCCTGTCCCTGCCACAATGTCGAGTTGCAAGACTGCTGGTAATGTCCGGGCCAAGCTGAATGACTGGATTCTCCACGCAGCTTCGTAAACTCCTAGATGCTGATTTCGGGAGAAACCTGCGATGCGTTTGCTACCCTGGATCTTGAATATATAGTCCACCACTGCCTTTGGGTCTTGAACTTTGCGACAATAGACGTGTGCATCATATTTCTTGACCAGATAAGGGTTGAAGGTCGAGTTGGGATCCGCGACGTGGAACGTAGAATATGGGGCCGGGTGAGTTGCCGAGGGAGCGACGGAAAAGATGTCCAGGTCTTGGTCCCTTTTCTTTAAAGCCACGAGGATGTGGGCGTGAGGTAGTCCCAGGTGCTGGAACTCGATTGAATACACGAACCTGTCATGCGCATGCATGATCAGCCCATCCAGGACTATCAATGGCAGCCTCGATCTGGCTGCATACTCACCCTGCAAGATCCCCAAAAATACCCTGCTTGACGTCGTTCATCAGGCGGTCAAGTTTGATCTGGTCCCCTCAAGAGGCAGACGAGTGTTAGTACCATGAGCGTTCGCTGACCCGCCCCACATGTACAGCTCACCTTGAAAACACGGACTAGAGCGTCGGCACGATCTTCCGCTGGGCCCTGCCCTGCAACATCAAGTTCGGCCCAGTTGGGATTTGCGGTGAACGTCAGAAACAGATGAGGCCCTCCGACCCTCTGGAAAAGTCTATGTGCATCCGATCGCTTGTCTTGGGCCCAAGGAGCCCCGCCTTGAAAGTCACGGGGCAGAACAGCCTGTTGTGTATCAGATATCAGGTCAGTAGCGCCCACGACCCAGGTGTGATGATCTCCATTCACCTGGTCTGGCGGCAGTGCCATTCGATTCACCCGGTGGTCAAAGGTGTAGAATCGGTATTGATTCCGTAGTATCTGCGTTGACCAGGTCGAGATATCAGTCGTCTCATCCTTTATCACCCTCGCTTCCGTACTAGCTTGACTTACTTGAGCGGCCATGTCCACAATAAACTCTTGTCTAAGTCTGGAGGGCACTGAGAGGCTGGAAAAACCATCGGCCCTCTTTTGCAGTTGGTATCGTACATATTTGATCATGGTCATGGGTGACGAAGGGGTCCAATTAGGCAAGACTGCCTCGAGCGCCAGCAGTATTGGGTAGCGCAAGCTCCATGCCAGTGGAAATGTTGAGGGTACGTCCTGCAACGCGGCGGATTCACCGCTTGGAAAGGCAAGCGTGATGGGAGGCGCTGTGAGATGCACACGTGGACCGACAAGAAAACTGCGTGTGAGGGGTGCCCAGAAGTTTGCTCTATCAGATATACGCACCGGTAAGCGGCGGACTCATAGGGAGAGATCCGATGGGATGCTGAACGCCTTCAATGCCATCATCGTCGTTGTCCACATCCATCGCCTGTGGGTCGTCATCATCATCATCCTCATCGTCATCATCATCATCGTCATCAAATTCGACAATGTCATCTTGGTACCTGCTCTTCTGCGTGGAAGGGAACGACTCGATGGGATCAAAGGAATCGATCGACCTGTTCGACCTGTTTGACCTGTTTGACCTCAGCGAAATGATCGAGGCTGCAGGAGATAGGATCCGTGGTCGGGATGGCCCGGCCTCGGGCTGTTGTTGGGCAGTACGGGGAGGGGAGATTGGCGGGGGAGGCCAATTCGGGGCCGGTACTGGAGGAGGTGCGGGAGCGCTATGAGGTCGGATTGTGACACGACCGTTTTGATAGTGGAGAACGGGGTTGGCCATTGCAGGTCCGGATCGATACGTAGTAAAGGTCTGCCAAAGGCTACTGTCTGACCATTCGGGGAGGTCGATCTGCTGGGAGAGCCTCTGGGTTCGCAAAGCCTGACTGACATGAGGCGTTAGGGCCCACATCTGAGCGTATCTTGCCGTGGTCTCATCCCTGTCAGGCGGTACGTTGAGACGTCCCAAACGGTATGGCGCAGAGGAAGGGATCCCGTCGATCTTGAAGACGTAGTGACCGTCCGAGGGCCAAGTGGTCTTGTCTTGCTTTGCCGCTTTGCTGACGAGAGCGTACTCTTCGTTGATCGACCTCGAATTGCGTCTCACTTTACCGTTCAGAGAGTCGTCAGAGATGGTGTAAGCCAGCCACCCAGCACGTCCGAGATTCAAAGCCACCCGACCCACCTTGCACGTCCAATAACCAAGCTTGCAGCCTCTCATCCTTGACCTCACCCAACAGCGGCTCCTTGATCCCGCCTTCACCACAGCACCTTTTGTATCTGGGTGATCGCCGAGTGGAGTTTGATGTCCTCTCCGAGAGGAAAAAGGTAGCTTTGCAGTGAGCGCAGACTTGATCTTGAAGGCCAAGGTCGTCGCGTTCAACGACACCTTCCAATTGATCGACGGTCAGAGCGCCCAGGAATTGATCTCCGGCCGCTTCCCTAGCCCGACGTCTTTGTTGGGATAGACTGGCCTTGGAGGATCTGGACGAGCGCGACGATTCGGAAGACGAGTCCGAGGGAGCGTACGATTGAGCACGGGCTCGTTGCTCGCGTGCCTCTTGCAGGGCTAGCTGTCTGCGGGTAGGAGGCATTGTCGCCCACGCGGCCTTGACGGCCTCGACTTCGAGGTATATATCGAGCGTGTGAGATACTGACCGTGAAGGCAGGGCCAAAGACGAAGGGTCAAAGTGGGTCGAAAGGAGAGTCGGATTGTTGTTGACTTCACGCTGGACAGAGAACAAAAGCGAGCTTGCTGTGGTTGATCTGCGACACTTCTGGATATGCACCCGGGATTTGCTCCCGATGACATGACTGAAGCGCGCAAGGACGTCTCTCGGTCTCAGCGAGCATTTGCTAGGACATCTTCTTCTACACGATTAGAGGTGCTTTGTTTGGCGTGCTCCCTACCTTGATCATGACCAGCTTTGTTCGCTTTGACTCTGTTTGTGGCTTGTCCAATGTTGTAAGAGACATTTCCGTGCCTGTTATCCCTGCTCACCCGAATGTATTCCCATGTACACCAACCCTCTCTTCCAGCCTGTTCCGTGCCTATGCGCGCGGCTGTGTCTATCCCGCTTATGCTGCTTGTCTTGTCTCGGCCGAAGCCATGAGACAATACAACATTGACATCTCCTCACCATATAACCCTCAATCAGATGAGATGACGTTGCAGGTGTTTTTGTGAGGCGCCCGGCGGGCGCGTCACTTCACACTCTCTCAAACCAATCACAGACGACAATTTCTTGGTCGACCTGCTCTCGGGTGGTAAGCACTACTCGTCTGGCAAGCATCTGCTCTACGACAGATTCGAGGGTTCTCGGGCGCTTAATGTAAGCGTCTGCTCGTATACCTAGCGCCGGAATGCTGTTGTTAGGCGTCGAGAAGGCTCCAGGGAAGACCGGCTCGATGTATACCTGTGAGGACATATCCGGGAGTAATGTAGAACGTAGGACTAGGGTATATAGATGTAATAACAGATGAAAGAATATATACTACAATGCTGATACAAAGTGATACAATACGACATGCTCCTTGAACAACTCCGCCGGAGTTGGTACGACTCGAGTCCGGCGTACGCGCGTGTCGCTATAACAGCTGTTATCCCGTCACGTCTGCACCTTCTCGACTCACGGCGTGGTGGTCGGAATTGAGACGTGAAGCTCTCCTGCGTTGCGTGTAGGATGTTACAGATCGCCTCGGAAGGATCGCGCTGCGGCCGAAGCGACTCTCGGCAACCTTTGGAAACAGGTGTCGCTCAGGCAACGGTGAAAGCGGAGTCTTTCCATCTGCGACCTCTGCAACATGAGTTCAAAGCATTGGGCATCATCGAGCTTGCATGTTCTGTATGATCCAAAGCAGCCATAGTCTGATCGGTCGAGTACGACCCGGCTCATAACGTGATGAGGTTTAGCCCCGCCCTCAACCCTCTGGGACGTCTCCGCCCTCTTCATATCTTGCCCACAATCAGTCATCAGAAATAAGCTATTCAGTCGCACGATCACGGATTTATTCACGTCAATGACATATAGGCGGCCCATCTTCTACTTGTCATCCTGGCCGGCGCTCTCGAATCCTTGTGGCGCACCTATCGAAACAATGCTGAGAAGAGATTGTCATGCGTTGTACGGGCAGTCGCGTATGACCGCGAACTTGCCTACGACCACATTAACTTCCCCTTCTCACTTTGGATATCTGCCGCATCCACCTTACTTTTGACCGCAGATCCAAAAGCCTTCTCGGTGAGATTCTTTGACTCGTCCATAGTATCCATCTCCCTGGTGTCTAGCCACACTCGCTCGCAACTGAACTCGACGCTCGTTAATCTGACACGGAAATTCATGCTCGAATGTTAGCCGTTCGGGTCAACCGCGGTCATAATTACTCGCAAGCAAAGGCGGTGCGCAGTGATGTACTCATTGCCGGGCGTGCAGAGGTTCGCGACACCCTGTGTGTAGACGGCCTTGACAGAGATTGCCAACAAGCTGCTCGCAGAACACCTTCATCGACTGGCATATCTGTACATGCCCAAAGGACTGTCGTGATCTACTTCGGACTTTGATTGTGGCCCTGAAGATTCACGACTCATATATTTGGGGAACTTTGTGTTGCCGATAGGTGACGGTGACTGACGACCGGTAGTAGGGACGCCACCAAGGGACTCGGAGAGGAACAAGCTGAACGACAAGCCGCGTGAAAGGGATGGACAGCGTAGCAAGTACACGCTGGTTGGTCGCCTCCCCGCCTCCCCTTTTTTAAACGATGAAAGGGCGCCGGACAAAGCATCTTTAAGATTGTAGGACATTGAAGAGGTGGAGAGGGCCGGACGGTTGGGAGGATGAGCCAGAGGGAGAAGGAATTGGGGATGAGGGAGGCGACGGGGAACGGGCGAAGAACAGGACAAACTTCAATCCGAATGAGCGACAAGACAAACAGACAGGGAGAAGATTTAGCGACAACGGACGGACGCTCGCGATCATTACAAAATTAGGTTTGAGGTCTTCGTCGCGGCTTGCTTGCTACCGTAACGCCGATCTTGAACAACCAATAACAGCACATGCCATCGTCGCACCTCATACTGTAAATAACAGAGCGTTCGGAAGTTTCCAGATAACACCATCGCGATTCGTGCGACGATCGTTTGTACGATGCCCCGACGACGTGACGAGGATCACATCATCGCCTCGTCGCCATCGTCATGGCTGAAACGCCGATCCGGTTTCGTGATCTTACGTGATTTACCCCACAAACTCGCTTGCCGAGGTCCAGCGGGAAGAGCAGCGGGAAGGGTCTCTTTGTGGGGAAAGCATGGCGTTATCAGCCGACCGCGGATGCAAATACGGGCATGTCCGGGGCAGGAGGTCGAGGTCAGTTGATCAACGGTCGCACGAACGGAGCACTAGGAGAGGAGAAGGTATATATATGGAGACGTCAGCATCCCCCTTACCCTCCTCGAATTACCCTTCTTCCCATCATTCCTAACGCACAAACATGACTCGAACTCAAGTCAGTAACTCGGTATCACCTATCCTATGCCGCTACTGACGCTGACCTTCGCCCTTCTCCAACCCACAGCGCAACATCTACCCGGCCGCTTTGGCCAAAGACCGCAGCGGTACGGCCTTCTTGCGTTGTTTCCTTCACTTCGGTCTCGACCTGCAAGCTGACCCTCGATACCTGACCCTCAGTCTCCCGCTCCGGCCTTGACAAGTCCCTCCCCAAAAAGGGCGCCGGTGCCGGTAACTGGGGCAGCCTCACCCAGGAGACCGCTGGGTACATCAGGAACCCCGACACCATGGACCAGATCCAGCGTGACGAACGTCGAGCCAGCGAGGACAGCGTCGGGTCCGACAAGCAGAAACAAGCCAAGGTCAAGCCTGCGCCCAAGGCAAGGAGGATGAGCTCGATGAGCGACGAGGAGAGGAAAGATGCCGCCGTCTTTAGGAAGGGAGCTATGGCTAGACAAGGTCGTCAGTGTCATGTTCCCTCGCTCATCTTGCCGTCTCTCCTGCACCTTCACTGATGCGATCTCCGCAGTCGATCTCAATGCCATCGCCAGGACATCCGGAGCGTTCTCTCAATCCCCTCCCGAGACCAGCGTCCTCTCTTCGTCCCCCGTCAGGAACATGGACGCCGTGAGTATCTCTCCCATTGCGTGACCGCTTTTCCTCTTCTTCGGAACGTCACTAATGACGCTCGATTGCGGTCATTCGATTCGGTAGCTCGCTCAAAAGCTGGGCAAGTACTAGATTACTACCCGAACCGCCTTCATCGTCCTACGTTACGGTACGCTACGGTAACAGCATAGCGAGGGCGGAAAACAGACGTCGCGAATCCAGCGTCTGCTCGAATTGGGAATCGGAAAACGGATTTAAATGAACACGACTGCGACTGAAGAAGTGGGCATGAAATGTGACGACGACGAAAATCAGAATACGAACGACCTCAGATAGAAAAGCAACAAAGAGAGTTTAAAGAACGGAGTTGATTCACGAAACGAACCGAAGAATACGCAGTCCAGAGAATAAAAAGTTGTATCGAAGAAAAACAGAAATATGCAATCGAATGCGGAATCTACTTAAACAGTCTTATCAGGCTTCGGCGCCTATGCATGGTTTCACCAGGCTATTCGTTCGGGTGACGCACGGTTTGCATTTGGCTTTCCTATCGTTTTTGATTCGTTCAAGAGCGCCGAATCAAGCCCCACATAGAAGATACATGATCTAGGAGGATGGCTGCGATGCTCAAGGCGGAATTAACGAGCCGCGTGGAAGAAAAAGTGTACACAATCACGATTGCAAGCCCTGTTCTACTATTCTGAACTGGTTCTCCTTTCGAGCAAGCGCTTATCTTCGAAGCATAGCCTGTTCCGAAGCTCATCGGCTCTGAACGATATTTGTGATCATGAAAACAGTCGCTCTGTCGACAATGCCTAGAGCGCAATACATGATGAGTACATCAGCCTGCTACGATCCATGCATCGAAGCCTTCTAGCAACGATTGTGCATTGTGGTCATCGCAATCAAGTGCTATCAAACCATCTATGATGTTGGTACAACAAAATCTATCGGAATCGGGAGAATAGCGGTCAAAGAGCATCGAAACCTCGACGCTTATCCAACTGGGTTCTGGAGACGGTCGACTGCGATGACACGACGATAAAGCCATCAGCTGGCGTAAGACTTGTACAAATCGTATGCGTGTGGAGGACTCACGAATCGTCTTCTGTCTGCGTAAAAGCTTCTCGTTGTCACTACGAATCTCGAGGTTCCGAGCGGTGATCGCTTCCCGCTGTTCGTGAGTCGCACGAGAAGGCAATTCGAGCCCCTCTTGAGGCTTTGCATCCAGCGTGTTCTGGTCATCAGTACTTAGAGTCTTGTCTCCGAGGACTATAAGGGCGAGTCAGTCGAAAGATCACCAGAATGGACAAGCGGGGAGGAATCGGCACTCACTCAACGGATCGAGCGTATCAATGAACGCGTCCCAATCGCCCGTGGTGATGGGCTTGTCCCAATTGCCCCGGTTGTACGGCTGGTCCTTCAAAATTCGCCTCCCTTGAGCGTCGTTGCGGATGTGCGTCGGAGAGTTTGCGCACAATGACGGCGGGACGGGTAGATGCATGTCATACCCGCAGTCGCAATTTTGCTCCCTCAACTGATGTAAATCGGACAAGAATTGCCATTGCGGAGCCGTTTGACATTGCATCTTGTAATCCTTGTGCCAACCGGGCGCCTTTTTACCCGGATTGTACTTTTTGGTCCTCAAACCCTTCAACGGGAGACTGTACGGGTTGTGCTTGGGGATCGGATCGATCATTCTCAACCCACCGTCCCCCGAATTGTGGGTAATCGACATGCTCGTGGCGTCCGACACCGAACTGTACACGCTGGGCGCCGTGTAGGATTGTCCTGATGGTTGGAGCGTACTATTGCGGTACATGTGTCGCAGCTCGAGTAGTTCGGCCCGATCCGCATCGGTTTGCGACGTAGTAGCGTTGCTAGGATTTGTGCTCGATCCTGGATAGGCAGGAGGTCCAGACTGACCGGCGGACCATTGGGTGTTGGCGCTCGAGTCGGGCACGGAGAGGTTGGCTTCGCTGAATTTGTCCATGACTGCTTTGACGAAAGCTTCGGTGTAGAGTTGTCTGTCTCATCCAAACAAACTATATTCCCCATTGAAATGCCAAAGCATCACCTCGCTATTTATGCTCGGATGATGGAACGTGTCTCGAGGCTCAATGCTCCGAGATGGCTATTCCTTTCTTTTCTTTGTGTAGCGGCCATTCTAATGCTAAACAATGGATGTGGTCAAATGACAACGGAAGGCCAGTCGATACGCAGACATGTGCAAAGGTTGCTGAGGCTACGAGGAGAAAGGAGCAACGGCAATGATCGAAGAAAGGAGCAACGATAGCAAAATCGAGACAGGAGCAAAAAAAAAATCATGAGAAAGGAGACCTGGCGGTATCTGCGAGAATTACGTATCGTCTAGCCTTGACCGGGTGAAGCTTTGAGAAAAGACCTCGAGAAGGAGCCTCGCAGTGTTTGCGAGGCTGCACGGTCAACTGCTTGAGCTTGTTGAAGGAAAATGAGAAATTACAGCATACAAGGACGATCTGCAAGCATAGTACTACTACCGTGCCGCGAACGTGATCCCTCAAGGGCGCAAGCGCATCCTATGCAAGGAGAGCTCGAAACTGGCGCGAGTCAAATCACGAACCATTCCCAGCCGGAGAAGCCAGGAACCTGATGGACGTGTATCTAGAGAACGGAAATGAGAGAAAATTTGGGGGGATTGCGAACCGCACGGCGGTAATTACAGTTGTATAAATCAGGAAGAGAAACATGCATCAGCCGGATGTGTTCGGCAGGGTTCAATCGAGCGGGGTGCACCCTTTGCTCCTTCCATTCGGCAAAGGTATTTCGTTCGATCTTAGAGGTTTCTGAAACGAAGCGTGACGTGAAGAAGTTGCAGTTTATGCACACATCCCACCCGCCCCGCACTCTGCGGCAGCGATTCGGAGCTACAATTAAAGATAGTATGATAGAATCTAATCACTTTGTTGATACAACACTGTCTATATGGGGTTCGGCAGATAAACGTTCAGAACTCAAAGACAACCTGGGACGTTCTCAAGATCTCAGCAGTCCATAGCACGGCAGCAGCACGCTGAGACTGACGGATAGGGAACACGACGACTTAGGAACATTGTAGGGATCACTCGCTGTGAGCGAAGAACCATTCAGGGTGCTTCGACTGCAAGTTGCGCCACCTGCTGATTTTTTCGGGGCCAGGTAGATGACCGGAGACGTCTTCATCCCTCTTTTGCGCCGTGCCTGCAGGGAGACGCTCAATCATGGCCAAGTCAGTATGCGGTCGACTCCTTAGAGTTTCGGAGGGCGAAGTCGAAAACTCACGAAGCCTGTCTCTGTTCTCGGCGCTACCCCAGTAGTTCTTCGGCATGTCGGGATTGGGCTTGCTGCTCCTCAAAGTGCCCTTGATCGTCGATACTATATTGTCGGCGGTCAAACACCAAGCTATCAGTGCGTCGTCGCCTTGCAACTTCTTTGGATCTGTGGTGTAGCAGTCAGGTGTCAGTAATCGAACTGGTGTGGTGTCCAAGCATGAGTAAATTTACACTTCAAGATCATGTCGTCGTAAAAGTGATCCACATCCACCTCCCCTGGCGATCGATCTGTCACGTAGGACCAGAAATCTCTCATGGCTTTGACGGTTACCGAGTAGTGTTCGTCGTGGATTTTTCGGTTCTGGCAAGTCTCTCGTTTTCGACCGAGAGGAGTGCGGCATTTTGAACACGTCGCTTCCTCCACGCTGGCCTTAAGCTTGATCAATGAATCCTCGTTGGGAAGGTAGAGGGTGACGATCCCTTCCGTGGAGGGATATTGGTAATAGAACCCCTTGTCGACGTACCGCTTCATCAGAAGACCCATGTCGGGATGCTCACTGGGCGGGGGCATCGGAGAGCCTTGCGGTCTGTTGGCGTAACCCTCAGATGCGTGGCTCGGGGCTTGACTCGCATGACTCGAGGCGTGGGATGTACCACTGACGCGACTGAGCCGCGACTCGCTTTGTGCGGTGAGGTTCATTGCCGCTATTTCCCCCGTAAGCTGGGGGACAGAATCGTGCGGGTGATGTCCACCTTCCGCAGTAAAAGCAGAGTGGCCGGTTCCGTATCCAGATTGACCGTCGATCGAATATTTTTCGCCCATGTGTCCCGACTGTACAGTTCCATTATGAGACCACACCCCGACGTCTTTGTCATTGTGCTGCTCTAATTCTCTCCTCACGACTTCTTGTTGTTTCAAGTATTCTTCCGCTGCCCGCTTGAATTTCCCCGATTGAGTTTGCACTGTCGGTTCTTGGGTTTGTACAGAATCTACGAAAATGCTGGGGTTAAGTTCTGTGATCCTGTCGGATTGTCCGCCTTGCTCGTAGGATTGCATCGTATTGGATTGCTTCTCAAGTCGCAGTGAAGTGGAGGAAAGGGGAAGTGAAGTTGTTTGATGTATTCCAAAGCGACCACGATTCCCTCACCATGCGTTTGAATGATTCGGTATTTATGCTGTTCCGTTGCGCCCAAGAGTGCACACAACGAGTTGTCCATCAAGTCATTTTTGCTAGCGTACTAGGCCCCGTGACGATCGAACAAAGGATCGCCACAACGCCAACTGTAACCCCCCCAATCGCGCCTCAGTTGCGCTACCTCACCCCTTCCCCTCCCCTTGCGCCGTCCCCGATGCTCACATGACTACCTCTTACTAGCACGTCTTATCTGAAACCAGGGATTCGAATCATCTCGCCATGAAGATGGAAAGAGCGCCCATCAAGTCGATCACGAGACGAGGGCTAATGCGTTTCGGCATTGGGTTCGCCAGTATCCTCGTGCTGGCGGCAATGGGAGAGGGAGGTGCAAACATGGCGAGCCGTCCCGTGATCCAGTCGACGGTGACGAGCGAGAACCATACCATGACGCGAGCCTGATCAAAGGGACGCACTAGGTTTGATCACGCGCGAGTCGATGGAGAAGCTCGAGATCGATCGAGTACGTCAGGTGATGTGACATTTGGATGATTGATAAGGCATGGTATCATCGATGGTGAAACAGTAATCAAAGGAAAGAAGACAGGAAACGTGTATGGTCGGGTGAGACGGAGGAGTATGCTGGTGGTGGGGATCCCACCCTCTTGCTTTCGTGCTGTTAGGTTCGCGAACAAGGGAGGTGATAGTCGGCCGAGTCTTGCGTCTAGTCCGAGTAGACTGTGGTTGGGAAAGAAGGGTCCGACGTCAGCTTTTCAGAATCGTTTCGGCCCCCCTTCGCATTTGCAGCTCTAGCGTGAGCTTTCGAGGTGAACTCACCGAACTTGAGGATGAAGTTTGTGGTGATAGCAGCTGTATGCAGGATCAATCGAGTCGTGCAATACCAATCAGCATTTCGTCCCCCCTGCATCGCCCCCGGTCATTAAATCCCGACTTACCGAGCAGACAGAGACACAGCACAGTCTAACCAATTGAAATTCCATCCCCACCGTCATGACCGCGATCAGCGACTACTCATTGACCCTTCCATGCCACACATCGACACTCACGGGTCCCAACCGATCATCATAAGGAGCTCCAGTCCGTTTCCTGATAGCCCTCGCCCGGGATTGGTAGATTACCAGAGCGTAGATCATCACTCCCATAGCTGTTCCGATACAAGCCCAAGTTGACGAGATAACTGTCAGCTTACATGCCATAAAGACGAAAGTAGGAGGGAGGTAGAAGATATGAAGCTCGTAGCTTAGGGGGACGGTGCCGAGGACTGACCGATAATCGTGTACATAGCAGCCGAGATCTTTCCGACCTTGTCACCAAAGTTTAGGAGACCGACGGCGAGACCTCCGAGGACGACGGCGAAGTGGAGCCAGGAGAGGAATGTCCTGGAAGGGTTGAAGCCGTTGAAGTACATGGCGTTGTAGGTGCGAGATATGGTTGTGGTCATCGTTTCGTACGATTCCGAATTGGTAGGCCATTAAGACAAGATCGGAGGATCATCATCGTCATCGTATTAACGGTCGTCCGATTTTGAAGAGACAGAAGTAGTCATGAAGAACGATAAAGCTGAGGATCAGCTACGACGTCTCTACTACCTAACGATCCCAGCTTTCGATGCGAGAACAAGATCGAGACTGACCTCTCGTTGGCAAAGAACCTGTTGGAACCACCGATTTGAACCGTCAGTAACAATGAACCTCTGTTAGGACCAGATTAGGGATAGAGACTCACACTTTCGGTTCCACACGGACGGGCAGGGCAATCCGCTATTCCACGCAAGAGCACATCCGGCATATCACAGCATCAAACCGCAACCCGACGTCAATACTTTGTGACCGTAAAAACTTTCGACGACTAGGCTAGACAATACTAACCTTTTGAGCGGTCCGTTGAAGCAGAGGTTGGGTGGACATGTCGAGGAGGTAAGGTCTGGACTAGGTTAAGGGCTGGTCGGAGTGAAGGCGAAGCAAGGGTCGATCAGCTGGCTGAGTGGGGGGTATTGACGGCCGTGCGTGACGACAGCTTTTCTCACCAAGTCGTCGAAGAGGAATGCTATGACAAGAGACGTATTTTCGAGCTCGGATTGTAGGCTGTTCTAGGCTATATGAAGAGATCGCAACATGTCCACAATCCACATGAAGTCGACCTCGAGACTTGCCCTCGGTCAGATGCAGCAGCAGCAGCTCCTCCACTTTTTGCTTCCGCGCAACCTTCACTCGCACTCGCGCACGTTCTTGAAATCATCTGATAACTCGTCGTGATCCCCGTCTGACACCAGCTCGCACCTGTCTTTCTCTACTTTCCGCATAGCAGTGGCCCGGCAAACGATCGGTACGAGTCTTCAGGAGGTTTGAGGATTGTAATCGAGTTTCAACTCTCTATTGTTCATGCCGTAGGTTGGAAGTAGGAGCTAAAATCGTATCCCGATTGCGAGTGCGCGTGACGAAGTTGACGCGGACGGACCCAGCACGATCCATAAAGACAGATTGTCATGTATTGAGGAGACAAGGGGGCGGCAGGCTAAAAGGACACCAATCAGCATGGACTTATTAGTATGTTAACGAAGGTATATAAGCCAGTCCTATCTACCAGTATTTCCTGGGATGGCATTGGTCAAGGTCAGCGGCGTTTTGCATGCACAATCTCGTTGCCATTTGCCTACATTTTCGCGTCAAGTTTGATCCGACCAGCTTATCGAAGGGTAAAAGCGAGACACATCCTCCCTAGTGACGAAAGATCAATCCTAACCTCCGAATCGATTTAACGCATCGTCATCGACTCGGTACGTTCCATAAGGCTTCCAGCGATTTGCGCGAGAAGCCCACCGATTACTACGTTGAACAAGTATTCTACTCACTTGGGTAAATATGTCGAGCGGCCCCAGCCTGACTGCAGAAGCACAAACAATCCGCGTTAGACGATACTTCTAAGACTTATAGCTAGTTATCCGGAACCCGAAGTCCTGATTGGAAACATCGGGATCGCAGCCGGACATTGCTATCTCTGCTCGATAAGGTCCCAGAGGTCTACCGCTTTTATCACAATGGTAGCGCTGAATGATATTGGTCGAGCTGAGAAACCGTCATTTCAGTGACCATCTTGTTGGATTCGAGTCGGAATTTCTAGGCGCATGTGAAAAGCTGCGCTCGGAGTTGATCGGTTTCTATCCGATGATACTGTACCGTACCTTCTCGCGAGGGGCGTTACCGTGACAATCACCAATGAGCTTGACTTTGTATGTAAGGGGTCTCTCAGATTGCAAGGCGTCATTATCGTCGCAATGGACAAGCTTTCAGTGCCACTGACTGATGGTTTATCTAGTTGCCTCGGTTGAAAGTCTTTGTCTGATCGAGCGTCAAGCCGAGGCGAACCTCGTGTTACTCAGGTAACCAATTGAACCGCTAGACACAACCTGAATTTGTTGTTAGGAAGAGGACCTCAACGTTGTAGCAACATGCTTCGATACGCTGAACTTTTACGAGGACCTCCATATCCTGAAGGAACGACAGCGAAAGACTGAAGAGCAAAGGTGAAACTCGACAAAATGATCGCGCGACGTATTTCCGGAACGGGAGATTGCGTGGTGGCTTTTTCGCTCATCTTGGGCAAACCAAACGTAAACGATCACGTCATTTTGCTTTTCAGGAACGAGGTCTTGGATCGCGCAGAGAGGACAAGGTCAACCCTGAGAAGCAACGGAGGTCGAGATTTGTGAGGATCTGTCGAGGCCGAGGGAAGGTTCGAAGATGACATCAGGGATCAGACGTCTGTAAGGTATGTCGGGTTCACGGGCATGATCAAGTGGCGGGACTGAACGATACGAGGGGGAACAATCAGTCGATGTCGCGGGTGCCATCTTATCTCCACGAGTTTATCTCCAGGCTCTCTATCTGGTGGCTTCGGGGCTGCTGGGCCAATCCTGGGAGATCGGGAATTGACTGGAGCAAAAGGGTGAACACAATCGATCGGGATCATGCCAATGCCGCTCCGTACATGACAACCCATAGCCGCAAATTTCATATCGGAAGAGATTTCTTTTGATCCTCGTGCATCGTAGAGCTTCGTAGTATAGCAATGCTCTCAAAAGGGTCGTCGTGAACTAGAGCCCATCCGTCCGAGAACCTAGCGATTAGCCCAGGAAACCTCCCGCGCAGAAAATCGTCATCCCCCCGCTCCAAAGCTCTCGCTCCATCGAGCACAACCTTGCGCAGACCTCGGCACACCGGACCTCTACAAACAAGAGCAACTGCAACTCGTCCCAGAAACCACTCAATTACTGGTTGGCAGAGAGAGAAGGATACGAAACAAACACCAAGACCTTGGCAGATCAAGGCCGAGCCGGAAGTTTTGAGCTTGTGTTTCCCCGGACCCGAACCCCCAAGAATCGCTCTCGCTCTGCGCACGCGAACTCTTGAACCGACAACGTCTTCGATCTCGATTCTGACACTTTCACACCAGAATCTACCATAAACACTTTGCACAACTACCAAAGCAGTCTCATACTACCACCCAAACATTTAGCTAAACGACACCTCACTTCAAGATGGAATACTCGCCCTCCCCCAGCTCCATCCGGCCCCAGCCGATAGGCATCTCCGGAACGTCCACCCCGTCATATTCGGGCAGCTCGACCCCGCTATCAGGATCGTTCTCTTCAGGAGCTGTCACTCCTGGAGGTTCGTCGTCGTTCTTTGGTCTCAATCATCATCATAGCCACAGCAATCACGGTAGTCATGGACATCACGGACATGGGCATGGGCACCACGTCCCCCTGCCGATACTCGACATTCAGCTGGATAACGACGAGATCCTCCTCCGAGGTGCAGGGTCAGACTACAACCCGGCGCTCTTGAGCGGGAGGGTCGTCTTGAACTTGCAAGAGAGTACGAATATCAGGGAGATTAGTATGCGGTTGGAAGGCAAGGGCAAGGTCGTCTTTTATGAAGCTGGAGCGTGAGTCGGACTCCCAGGGGTTCAGGTCGAGGTGGAAGTAGAGTATAAGAAGCTGATAGGAGAATTTTGTCGTGACGCACGCAGGTCGTCGGCCAAGAACCACCATTACAACCACCCGATCATCACCCACGAATGGAGCTTCCTTCCCGGCGAGAAATCACACTACCACACCATGAAAGCCGGCCAACACGTCTTCCCCTTCAACTTTACCTTCCCGGGAAACCTGCCCTCTTCCATCCGGACTTATCTGAACGACGCGGATATCACTTATAAACTGAAAGCTACCGCTCACAGGTCGGCCTTCCAGCACAACTTCCATGCGGCGAAGAACGTTACCGTGCTGAGGGGGTTCACGAACGAGGCTCTGGAGTACAATCAGACCCTGGAGATCGAGAACACTTGGCCTGGAAAGGTCATGTACTGCCTCACCCTCCCCCACAAGGCCTACGCGGCCGGTGACGAGATCCCCGTCAGCGTCAAATTCATGCCGCTGGCCAAGGGGACGAGGGTGACCCACATAACCTCGGTCATCAAGGAATACACCCTCGTACATACCAGGCACTCCAGTCATCCAGAAGTCAGGGTGGCAGCGACTTGCAAGCACGAGCTCAAGGAGGGTCGTGCGTTCCGGGTGACGGAGAGAGGGTCGGAACCGGTCGCTCCGGCTCATCACTTCCAAGGAGCCGGAGGGGAATTCCATGGGATGAACAGCGCTCCCCCTAGTGCGCCTCCTAGTCCTAGACATGGACCTACGCTCGTCCACGGACATGGACATGCGTCGGGAGCGCAGACGCCGATGAGCGATTTCTCATTGAGTAGGGCGGGGAGTTTTGCCAACCTGACGAGCTTGGCAGCCGGTGCAATGGGTGTGGGATCTTCTACGGCAAGTTCTCAGACTCAAGGTTCGGGAAGTGCTATGGGGGGTGGATCGGGTAGTGGCGGTTACTTTGGGTTGGGAGGCGGAGGACGGGCTGGTGCTGGTGCTGGCGCAAGTTCGGCGGCCGTCACCCCGATGGCGGGTCCCAGTGCTACGGGCCAGGTCGCAGCGTTCCCTGACGACATGAGGGAACGTGGGGACGAAGAGGACATCCTCATCGGGGACGAAGAGATCGATACGATGATTACCATTCCCGTACCTTCGTGGACCACGCCGTCTCACAACATTCACCCGGTCTTCGTTACTCACAAGATCAAGTGGTCCTGCGCCATCTCGAACCCGGACGGACACGTCTCGGAACTCCGTTGTGCCCTGCCCATCCACATCCTCCCGCACGCGCTGCTCGAGGAATCGCAAACGGCGACGAGCAGTACGAGGGCGTTGTTGTTCGGCGGGATGCAGGAAGAGACCACGCACGTCGATCTGCCCAGTTATAACGATCACGTATATGACCGGATCGCCAATGCCAACAACCAAACCCCGACCTCGGGGTACGTCTCGGCCGGTCATAGGACTCCAGGTTCGGGAGGTAGGACGCCGGCCTCCGGTGGGGCCACCCCAGCTGGGTCTAGGGCGCCTTCGAGACCTGGGTCTCCTGTGCTTCGAGCTGCTGCCGCTGGAGGTTTGCCCACGCCCGGTGGCATGGACATTACAGATGGATTCCATCCTGTCGACGACATTCCACCTCGACCGGAGCTCGGGTGGGCTGATAGCGAGCTCATGATGTCCCTCGGCGCACTCGCCCCTCATCAGGGGTCCAACCCGAACTCTCGCGGCGGATCTCCGCATGACACGCCGCCCGACTCGAGAGGCCCATCCAGGCCTACCAGTCGACTCGGTTTCCGAAGCGGGAGGAACAGCGCTGGAGGAAGTCGCGCTGGCAGTCGGGCTTCGTCACCGGAACGACCCAGCTCGACCGGTACGGTACAGGCAAACAACTCGAGCCTGGCAAACGGGACCGCTAGTATCCGTCGACCATTGCATGAACGACGTCCTTCGCTCGGTGTTCCCGGTGGGTTGTTTAATCTGGCTAGCGTCAAGCCGTTCACCGCCATGATGGGCAAACACCATGGATCACATAGCGTACAACATTCGCCCAAGTTGCAAGCCACTCAGGGGTCCAGCAACTTGCCTCGAAACGGATTCTCGCTCGGTTCCCATGCCGCGTTTACCAACCTCGCCGAATCGCAAGCCAACGCTCGAGGGGAAAATCTACCTGGTTCCGGTCCGGGCTCGGGGTCGACTACTGCAGCGCATACGCCATCGGCTCAGCCCGTCGTCGATCCTCTCTCCCAGGTGCCGTCATACGAGGTCGCTCGAGTCGGATTCCTAGGAGGCGGAGTCACCCCGTTGAGCGCGGCGCCACCCGACTATGCCGATTCGGATCGGTTCGAGAGGGCGAAGAGTGAGACGGATCTCACTCAGCTCGCTCGAGACCACGCGGTCCAAGGGACGAGCTTGGCTGCCATGCTTGAAAACCTGGACGTCAACGATTCGACGATCCGTTCGACGCCGAATGAAGCACCGCTATAAAACACGTCTTGGGTCCGATTTCTCACTGCTACCACTTTGTAATTCATCTCGAAAAGGTCTCGCGCACACAAGATGATCATGATATTATCCATCCATCTAAATGATTACATTCGCTTGGTTATGCGGCCACTGGCCAACGGGGGTGCGGAGGGGTATCGCGTGAGGTTTTGATTATCTACAAGATGATGATGTAAGCAAGATGTGTTTCGTGGGTGTCGTTGTTGTCGTCGTCGTCGTGTTGTTATTCCGTTTTGATGGCTCCGGCTCGTTTTCGGAACGAGCACTGGTGACAGATTTGCGGGCCGATCGGGGCCGACGATTTCTTGCTCGTGGTCGATTGTGCCGTCGTCGGTGTTGTCGGTATGGCTCCATCGTTTTGCGGGTACCATTTGGGCGAGGCGTCCGTCCCGCACTCGATGCAGCAAGGATCGGACGAAGTGTCCACCTTTGTCTCGCCATAAAATCGACACTTGGCCACCTGGTCCTCCAATCGTTTGGCTTTGCGCAACAAACCGAACGACTGCTCCCGTGGTACCTGACCTGCCGAGTTAGCGTATGCTTGAAGTGCCGACTGCGACGAACGAGTACAAGTCAATAGCAGGTCAGACAGTCCGACCACAAAATCGCGCTCACCAAGCCAGAGACCGGGTCGATATCCGTAATGTCAAAGTACCGCTTGTCCTTTGAGATCGAGTGATCGGTACACAGACACTGCGGCGTCAAGACACCGGTAACACCCTTGAACGTGATGATCGAAGCTTCGGCCTTTTCTCGTCGATACTTGCCACCGGTCTATCGAGGAGAGACGTCTCAGCGAACACGTCCGCAGCAATGCTTGTTTGCCATCACTTACTGTTGAGTGCATCTCGAACGCGAAACGGTATCCAGACATCCACGCGCAAGCTGGATGGAACCGTCGAGGGCAATCGCCACAACGAATGGTCACGCCTGCTCGTGATTGTCCGCAAATGTCGCACTGTGACCGATTCACACCCGTCAGTTATAGTATCGAAGTACTGCAGAACGACTCCAAACTTACATCTCCAAATTGATTCGGCTTCAATGACATGATGCCTTCGGTCAATTGTAGATGTCCGCCATCTGACCATTGTAGATCCGGTGTGAACGTTGCACACAAGACGTGGGTCCACTTGTACCCCTCGGTCGGCTTGACGGCCTGGAGAAAGTCGAACTCGGGCATGACACGGGGTCGATATGCGAGCGGTCGACGCAAGTTGGGCAGGCTTTTTGGGCACAATACGCATGTGATGTCCTGATATGCGACAGGCTTAGCTGCATTGCGAGGAGTCCTGCTTGCTGTCACGCAACACTCACGAGGGACGCCTCCAAGGTCTTTTCATTGGCGCACGGATCGCAAAGCCACATATCCGTAATCTCCTCCTTGGGGACACCATAACAGCCTATGGAGTAAGGTCGTGAAATGTATAAGAAAGAGCAGGTCATCAACCAGGTCGAGGGCTGCAAACTCACCTGGATGCACTGCAAAAGTGCAATTGCGACAGCGAGCCATCGGTTTCGGTTCCATCTTGTAGCAGTAAGCGCAAGGAGCCAGCTTGGCGGGCGCTGGTAGCGGCGGCGGTGGTGTACCTGCCTTGGAACCGCCGGCTGTGGCGGCAATCTAGTCGATTCGGGACGTGTTGAGCTATGACCGGAACAATTGATAGGAGGGACCAGAAACATACCTTCTGCCTCTTGCTGCTCGGCTCGTCTATTGGCGTGCTGGCGCGCTTCTCACCCGTCAAGCGCTCGAGATGCGCACGGTATGGGAGAGATACACCGTATTTACGGTAAGAGGAACTGCACGTTCGTATCTATGAGATTTGGATCGGGCATGTTGCGATCGAGACCCGCTGACTCACCCGCAATGATTGCAGAGATACGACCCCTGTTGCGATCGGGCTGCCTTCCACCACTTGGTATCCTTCTTGACTCCACAAGCCGCACAAGCTGGCTTGGCATTCGTCAACTCTTCTTCTTCCCACACCGAACCTTCTGCATCGGTCTCGGGAGTGGCTTCCCGTTGATGACCTAGTACCGAGGCGGCACCGCTCTGCACACCCGTGACGGCTTTGTGATTCTTGGGCAGATACCTCGGAGCCTTCTTCCCCTTCGCCTTGGCTTCCTTTTTCGCCTTGACTGGAACATCTGGTGGCTCGTGGAGACTATAGCTAAGCTGAAGCCTCTGCCTTTGCCGTTCTGTCTTGGCATGGGCTATCTCGTCCCGAATCGTCGCATTCTCCGAGGCCAGTTTCTCGTTTCTCCACTTGTAGTAGAATCGAACGACTTCCCATGGTTCTCGATTGAGTTTCTTGGCCGTCTCGTGCGCTTCCAAAGAGCCCCATCGCATCAATTCGGTTTCGAAGATCTCCAGTTCTTGAGGGTTCAACTGAGGCAAGAATCGAGGTCATCAGACGAAATCGCGGCTTGTTGCCTGATTGGCGCTACTCACGTCTCGCACGTATCGTTTGCCACCAAAATCCTCTGCTGTTCTCGAAGACAAATACTTTTCCAGATTTGTCGAACCCGAGATTGCATTCCGTAATAGAGTGTGGTCGTATGCTTCGACAGAGTAGCCGGGAACAGCGAGACGCATCGTCCGCATTTTGGTGATTGCGACCTCGGCTGAGGGAGAGGAGGCCGAGGTCATTACGTTGTTCGGCCACTACTAGGATGACCACTTAACTCACGATCGCTTTGTGGTGTGCTGAAACATCCCTCTTCAGCAGTACCTCTTTCCGGCACTGTAAAAAGCCATGGAACAAAGGAGTCAGCGATTTTCGAACGTGAAATCCAAGCTAATTTCATACTTACAATCTTCGTCTGGCGTCGTGTTTGCAGCTCGCGCCTTTTCAAGCACTTGTTGCTCCTCCCACGTCGGGACGACAGCCTGGTAGCGCTGACCAAGACGGGTCACTTGACGAGGAAAGATCGGATCGTCCGAATCTGTGGGGAAAAGCAAGGAGTCTCAGGGCGCTATTTTGAGAACACCGGACAGCTGTTTTGCTAGGCTTACCGACCGAATGCTCAGCTACCGTGTATTGACTATGAATAATCGCACCATCAGTAATCTGAAAAGTCTACAGATTGACTGCGGAAAAAGCGCACCCGAAGTAACGGAAATTCCAACCCCTAAAAAAGGCGTCGGGCTTGTCGTAATCGATGGGCACTGATTTTTCCTTGGCCTTGCCCCGACTTGCTCGAGCCAAAGCGATTTGTGTCATCGGAATCGTGGCAACGCGATCCTCTGGTTTACCTCCTGTCCGGCTGACGCGGTCGTGCATGCATTGTGAGCACATCCAACTGTAGCCCCTGGTCGGTTTCGCAGGTAGAGGCGGGCTGACGCAGTCCATGTGATACCATGCTTTGCAGATCCTATAAAGAGAGGAAGAATGTAAGCGATCGGAGGAGACAATTATCAGCCGCGAAAGACTCGGTCGCTACGCACTCGCACTTGACGCTTTCCTGACTAGCAGCCCATTCGAGGCATGTCCGACAAGTTCTAAAGGCATCCGTCAGGTCCGCCACCATTTCCTTCTCGACAACGAGGAATTCATATCGCTTGGCGAGCACTCGTCGCACGTAGTCAGGTACTGTTTCAATCCAAAACTATGCGTGAACATCTCGGTTCCGAAAAAAGAAAAAGGAGGTATATGGGTATGGATGTCGGTCGGTTCAAATCTCGACCGGAGCGACATGATTTTGCCATGTCGTGTTTGGTCGAGGCGATCGAACGCGCGCCGGAAAGGGCCGAGAGCCAAAAAGGACGAGGATGGTTTCGTCGCTCACCATTGGTCACGGTCGTCGTCCTGATCATCTCGTACTCTCGTTTGATGTACGGATCAAACAGCCGAGAGTAGTGAAAGTGGTCGGGCTTCTTCTTCCATTCTTGCAGGTTTTCGATCTTTTCCCGGTGTCGAACCCAGCATTTGCCTCGGAGCCACGAGACCGGGTGGACCTCCGAGTGAATCGCAGCGAGTAGCAGTCGGTGATCGGTCGCAAGCCTGCCCGAGATCTGACCGTCGGAGCATAGTAAAAATGACGGGAACTACTAGTCAGACGACCTGTGCCTACGACGCAAGTGGTTTGGTGATGCTAACCTCGCTCGGTCGATAGAAAAGTGCGATTCTGACGTGTCGCTCTTTGCTCGGACCCTTGTTCACGTTGTGATTGTACTTGGCCGCAGTCGGTGGCAGAAACTCGATGATCCTAGCGATCGAGTATGGGGAACCTACCAGGATGGACTCTAAGACCGATGTAGGATCGAATCGAGGTCTCGATACTGGGCTTACCGTCACGCTCAGACCAGGGAGGTGCAAAGTATACATAGTCTATGCAGGGTTCGGTCGTGATGTGCTCGCGATTAGATTTGCCAGGTTGGGCTTGCACTTTTCTCGCTCACCGTTGATGGTGACCTCGTCGCCGTTGCCCAGGGTGGCCGTGGCGGGTCTCTCGAGCACTCTGCCCATCGTAGAGGCTACCACAGCCATGATGAAGGGTCACAAAGGAGGAGAAAGGTGCGACGAGTATGAGGTTGGTCGAGTTGATGTGAACAAGGGAAATGTCTTGTGATTGATTTCTGGCTGGGGAGAGACACAAAGTGGAGGGCGTCGATCAGCCTTCAGCGCGCGCGGGAGGGGAGCGGCCGAGAGCGAAAGGGAGGGATGCGGTAGTTGGGTTGTCGAGCTGGTCAGAAGCACTTGGCCATCGCGCACTCTGACGCAAGGGCACTGTCGTGGCGAATGAGAGGAAGTAACGATAGCGAAAAGGATGTGACTCTTGAAAAGTGCGACGAAATTAGGTGACGACGTGCGAGGTGATCGTGATGGTTTGATCAGAAAGGTGGAACTCGAGGGTTCAATCCGGCGGTGCGTGGTCGGTCAGGGGCCGAGGGCGGGGGCTTACTTTGCCACGCGAAAGGTCGACCAGTCCAAGCTCTGGAGCGAATCCTCAGCCACTTTCTTAGGCAACTGCGCCGTCCATCTCGGCAACTCGTTCGTACTCAGCAGTCTAGGTTGATTTCACGCAGATCATCGCTCAGAACTGAAGTATGATTGGGCCGTGATATATTCCGTAGCTCCATGGTTGAATTTCCGATTCCAATCAATCTCGAAAGCCGTCCGAGTGGTCATAACTCGTTCCGAAACACCATCACAAGCGGTCCCACGGCAATCTCTTTTCGCCTTTTCTCCTGTCCTGAACATTAAAGAAAGAGTTTTGAAGCGGTCTAACAGTGGAGCGAGTGTTTGGAAGAGTGTGACATCTCTTAACCTACAACTCCCGCGAGTGGTCCGGCAATCACAGCAGCTTTCGGCTCGAATGAGTTGTTTTGTAGCATATTCGCGTTACAGCAGTATTTCACCAAAAATGTAAGCCTAGGTTCTCAGACGTTTATATAGAGGGGACATATGGGGATATATGATCCTTTCATCGACTGCTTATGTGATCTCGTTTGGGCCGTCGAGAAAGCAATGGATTAGTTTACTTTCAAGGGCATGTAGCTTGGAGCATGACGTAGCCAGAATGGAAATTCCCGTCGATCATTCTTCCTGGTTAAGGTTTTGCTACTACTGCCTAGTCTTGTCGTTTCTGGAGCAAACTTCACTCCGAAATCGTTATGCGTACTATAAGCAACCTTGTACTCGTCCAGAAAGAAATTGCGCAAATATGCAACTGTTTGCAGCGCGATCTCGGCGATCGAATTGGCAACTAGTTAAGACGGTCGTGACGGTCTCGCGCCACAATCACTAGCATATGACAGTAATAAATGTACTCAGTGATGAGCGACTCTGTACCCGATAGACAAGTATGCGGATTGACGGGGAGCTTGATCTGCGATGATTTCTGGCTGTCATTTTAGTTTGACGTTCGGACAAAACGCATGTTGCCAATTCTTAGGGCAAGAAGCTCAAGGATGATGGCTTCACTACCGGTCACATCTTGTGGGGCGGGTCAAAGTTGCTCATCTGGGACAGGAGCGCCACGAATAGAAAAGGACGATGAAGCGATCGTGCTTTGTCGTTTCTGCGACCAGAGCCCAGCCATAGGCGGATGCGCTCGATCGCACTGAATGCGGCTCACGCTGAGCTCGCTTCGCAACCATGCTCAAGTCAGAAAAGAATCGATATGCATATGCGGTTCGCCCATTCACGACCTCCGTTCTCCTCCCTTTCATATCCCTTCATCTCGGATCACGAGACTCGGAGAAGTCCAAGGATGAAAGCCGGTTGGTGCCGTAAAACAAATGGGAAAAAAGGGATTCCAGCACTTGGGTTTCCACTTGCCCGCTTCTTCCCTCTGTCCGTGACATCCAGAAACACACCCGCTCGTGCGTCCGTCCGTCTCGGTCGGATGTTGCTCGAAATTTGTTTTTATATCTCAAGGTCCACCCTAGCTCCAGGTCATCCCTTCCCGAAGCCGTTCCCGCTCCACCTCGTCATCATCTCCCAGTCCATCCAACTTGTCCACTAATCCGTCCGTCCAGTCAAATCCATCCTTGTCCGAATTGCCAATCCTTCTTCTCCATTCAGATTCTTATTTCAGTATCCGAAAGGAACGCCCGAGAGAGGTGGTTGTTCAGGAAGGGATTTAAGAGGAAGCTCGGGCAGCGGCGAGAGCCTTCTGGGTACCGAGAGCGGCGTATCGGGCGTTTCGTCGGAACTGTCGAGGTGGTGTCAACGATAGATGAGTGTTGCGGTTTGTTGCGATATATGTGCCGGGTTCCGGTTGCGCAGGTATGTAGGAGTTTGACCATTGCCGTGGGTAATTGCAAGTAGCAGGTAAAGTACGTCCGTCCCGAATCATCCCCATCATTTATCCATACGTCAAATATCCAGTCCAGACAGTAGTCAGCCGTCATCAAAGAGATATTCCCGTCAGCTACCGAGATACGACCTCGCTGCTACGAACACCGTCAACTGACCTTGGGGTCAACTCCCTTCATCGAAGTGTACCTGTGGGTCTTGGGCTTGGTGATACCGTTTCGGTGAGCTGTTTCAGGTTAAAACCGCCTAATCAGTTCCCGTCCTTATCTCCCGCCGTGTATCTCCCTCTTCAACGGGCGTTTCTCCCTTTCCTTCGACTAACCCTTGGAGGCCTGGTTGTGGCTATCATGCGGAAAACGAAGCACATCAGTTTCTCAGCCCAACTTCACCCACTCGAACATCCCCCCGCAAAATCATCAACTCACGCGGTGTGGTTCTTTGACTTGGCCATTTTGACAAGGTGACTCTCCGGCTCTTTTTCTTGACGAGGGGTTGGGTGCAGAAAAGGACAAAAACCGAGGGTGGGATCCCTTTACGATCACTCGACGTCGTTCACAAGAGGTCGACTTCGAGCGCGAGGAAGAGGGAAAGGGAAGAGGATAACAAGCGCGTTTTTCGGGGATTGGCGCTTTTCCTTGGTGAACAGCCGTCTTTGATTTCCGCAATCCTGGAGCAGAGACGCGTCGCGAGCCTTTCTGAGAGATACGTTATCTGCCGTAAATGCCGTGAATCGAGTCGCTGGCTTCGGCTCCGAGATGAATGCCGTACGCGATCCCAGCCGCGTGGCGTCATCTGTCTCCACAGGGTGTCAAGGCGATGTTCGTCATGCTCGACCTCAGATCCTCTGTTCGGCATCCCCTGATCGTAGATCATTTGTTGCTGTTGAAGCTGTTATCTCAAACTCATAGCCGACTCACAAGCTAGACAGAGTTCGTTAGCTCTAGCTCATATCGTTCGACTACAATGAACGGGACGACGACGCTCGTTGGTCGGTTGCCCCGGTTGCAGCGAGCAGCTTGGGGTACCACGGGGTTCGCGGCGAGGTCATCAAGAGTAGCATGTCCTTTGAGGTCAACGACGGCGAGATCAACAACACGGCGGGCATACAGTGTGAATACGGACGGATCGAAGAAGCAGTCGTTGGGAGGTGAGTCATGCCTCTTACTCGGGTTGCATGCCAGACGTACCTGCTGACCGCACATCCTTAACCTGACAGCCCGTCTAAGTCATGCATGGAATTCGACGCCGACCCGATGGTACCCTATTCCAATCGCCCTCGGGGCCGCTGTTCTCGTCGCTATACAATACAAGAGGAGTCCGTTTGCGTACGGAGCCAAGGAGGACCAAGCCGTCGTTGAGAGCGAAGGCGAGGGCGGAGCAAGGGTTAAGATGAAGAGCAGCGGACCATGGCAGGTCAGTTGAACGTCGCACTTCGCCTGGTATAGTTGAGAGATGCTGATGAGTAGTTTCCTGAAATGATCCCAGGTCACGGTCCTCGGTGCTCTCCCTCTCCGATCATTGTCCCAACTCTGGGGATACCTAAACGGTCTCGTCCTCCCCGTCTGGTTCCGTCCCTTTGGTTTCAAGCTCTACTCTGCCATCTTCGGGTGCGACCTCTCCGAGATCGAGCCCAAAGACCTTACATCGTATGAATCTCTGGGAGAGTTCTTCTACCGAAGACTGCAAGATGGAGCTCGACCGATCGATACCAAGGCGGCTTTGGTCAGCCCAGCGGATGGGACGGTACTGCACTTTGGGGAGATTGCGGAAGGTGGGAGGGTAGAGCAGGTCAAGGGGATTACGTACTCGTTGGGCGCGTTGTTGGGAACGGGTGGCAAGAGTGTCAGTGAAGTAGAAGAGATCGCTTCCAACAGGGATGCACAGACAGTGGATGGTGGGTCCGGAAATCGCTAGAGTCGAATGCAATAACGAGGCCTTAGGCTGATTCCGTCGTACCTTACTTGCAGATGAACACTTTGCCAAGATCAACGACATCGAATACTCCCTGTCGAGCCTCCTCGGTTCAGCTCAATCCCACACCCAGGTCAAGGAGCCCAACCCAAACTCGGGGAGCGACACTTCTCCGGAACCTCAGACGACGAATCAGCCTCATGACGCTACGCCGGATGAGATGAAGAACGATCCTACCAAGCTGGGGCATGATGCTCAGGTGGCTATGAGCTTGGGACCTTCTGCTACGTTGCAGTCTCAGACGCTCGATCATCAAAACGACAACTCGAGCGCTTTGAGCAAACTCGGCGATACTTCCCCCATGCACCAGCACACGGGATCCAACATGCCCCTGAAGGAAGGACACAAGATGTTCTTCATGGTAGTCTACCTCGCTCCGGGAGATTACCACCGGTTCCATTCGCCCACCAGCTGGGTCGTCGAGAAGCGGAGACACTTTACGGGGGATCTGTTTAGCGTCAGTCCGTATATTGCGAAGAGGATGCAGGATCTGTTTGTTCTGAATGAGAGGGTGACTTGTGAGTCGGCTTGATCGGAGTCTCCAAACATCGTTGAGAAAGGGATCGTGAAGCTGATGAGGGTCCGCTTTGTGTCATAGTGCTCGGACGATGGAGATATGGATTTTTTGGGATGGTTCCCGTCGGTGCGACCAACGTCGGCAGTATCTGTATCAACTTTGACAAGGTGAGTTTGGCCTCGCTGCTTTCCACCTGGCAACCCTCCTATGCACATCGCTAACATACCTATTGCATACATGTGCAGAACCTGCGAACCAACGAACGATACCCCCAACATCCACCCCATACCTTCACCGAAGCCGTGTACACCCAATCGTCTTCTTTCCTACGAGGCCAACCTTTAACAGCAGGAGAGGAGATGGGAGGGTTCAAGTTGGGAAGCACGATTGTCCTCGTCTTCGAAGCGCCGGAAGGGTTCAGGTTTGTGGCTGAGGCAGGGAAGAAGGTCAAGGTCGGGCAGAGGTTGGGGGTGATTGATGAGTAGCATGAGTAGAGAGTCGCTTCTATGGGCTGGTTTGCGAGTTGTATAGAATGGTATGCCGGATGCCGATCGGGGGTTTTCGGCTGATTGAGGGTTTTGCTTCCGTCGCTTCGCCCTTGATCGGGTAGCGCGCGTGTCACTGCTGTTTCTTTTGTTTCGACGAGGATTGATGGGGTCGGAGACCCTGCGATCGGGGGGATTGTTTTGATTGCTGTATCCTTCCGTCGTATAGATACCCAGGCAAGTACGAAACGGACACTCGATTCGGGATGTGACGGCGCCGAAGGAGCGTACTGGCGGCCGAGTAAGACTCGGCGCTGCGGGATGATGATTCGCGTTTCAGTGATCAGATCACGGGGCAAAACACAGGCAGGAAGAGGGCACGCAGGGGCGCGACGACGCGACAATTCCCTCTTCGTCTAAGCGATCAATCATTTCCGTGATGATCAAAACATTCTCATTCTCATCAAAGGACCCTCCCTGCCTCATGCCGCTCTCACAGCCAGCCGAGTGAACGTTGCGAGCTGAATCATCATCGCTACAGAAACTCGAAAGAGCTCAAAGAGCACCCACCTCATCCTCTCACCACCTATCCACCGATCTACTACAAGCTGTCGCAGAACAGCCAGACCTGGTCGACAGACGATCATCAGCTCTCACTGAAGATCTTGGTAGATCTCTCGCACACCTCTTCCTGCCACAAGTCCGCCGACCCGCAGCCTCACCCTACCGACTCGACCCCGATCGACTTACTGCCGGTCAGCCTGCGTTCTGCTGGCTACGACGTTCGACAGGTATACACGTTCGCATCGGGAAACTTTCGCCTCTTCTTTCAAGTGACAACCGGGATATAATCACACGAACAGAGTCGGTCGGATTCGACTAGTGACGCTGGCACGCTGGTCTATCAGTCGGATCCCTACACGCTGTGTGCAAACGGAATACGAATCAGTCGATCATACATACATAACGACCATCTATAGAGTAGAGCAGAGATACCATGGATTTCGAAGTGAGTTTTTGTTTACTCATTACCCCGGGATTCGTTTACGGTCGCTAATCGTCATGCCTGTCCTTGCCACGATCAGGTCATCCCCGTAAGCTTCACCATTTGACCACACCTCGTACAGCTTTCAACCTCCGGCTGATCCTCACTTCATCCTGTCCTGGTGCGTATGATATAGTATGAGGATATCGTCTGGGGCGAAGTATTGGGAGCTGGGAGTTTCGGCCAAGTCTACAAAGGTGAGACTGTTACAGCAGCATCTCTCTTGTGTATAGGCGCTCGCATGAGGGCTGATGAGCTGATCTGCGACCGGGGTCGGAGGGAACAGGGACGTACCTGGGCTTGGATATCGCTATCAAGGAGATCTTACCTCGAAAGGACTACGATGCGTGAGTAGACTCCTATTTCATCGAGCATATCCGGTGGTGCGACCGAAATGAGATCGCTGACCTGATCTTGTCGGGGCTTCGATATGCTCTTCGGCTCGCACAGGAACAAGTATTTCATGAGAGAACATCTCCTCATGAGAGAATGTCGGCATCCGAACATCGTGCTTTTCCTGGGACTCGCTCATGAACCTGTTCACGGCGGGAGGACCTTTGTGAGTCCAGCAGTTGCTTCGTCTCGTCATTTACGACGGTCCAAGAAGGCTGACATCTACAACAAATCATCTTCGCTCGATCTTCACCTCGATAGATCTGCTCAGAGTACATCCCCTCGGGAAACCTCCGCTCGTTCATCCAAGAGAACAACCGGCCGTTTCCCTGGAGACTGAGGATCAGTTTCGCTACGGATATCGCTCGAGCCGTAGCTTATCTCCATGCGAGAAAGGTGAGCATCATTCCTGCTACTTCGGCTTGACCGTCACCCTGGCGAGGAAATGGTTGATAATGATGGCTTGTGACGGGATGGTTCGCAGTGTATTCATAGGGATCTGAAGGGAGAGAACTTGTTGATCACTTCGAACGACCGGGTCAAGGTTACCGATTTCGGATTCGCTCGGGTGGGTTCAGCCGATATCTCCGTCCGACGGACCCCGATACTGATGACACGCATTGCTGGCCACGACTATTGTGATGAAATAGATTGCTGCCAGAAACGATGATGAGATGAAGAGGATGTCTTACTGCGGAACGGATGTGAGCGACCGTAAGATGGCCTCAGAAACGAAGCTGATGGTGCATGCCGCCTGTCTGTGCAGGGTTATATGAGCCCTGAGATTTTGATGGGCTTAGACTTTGACGAGAGGACCGACGTGTTTTCTCTGGGAATCATCGTGAGTGCTCAGCCTTTCGTGGATCTTCGCGACAGATATGGGTGCTTATAGCTACGACTGATAGTTTGCCGAGATCGCTTCGAGACGGCTGGTACATGCCAAGAAAGAGATTTTCACTGTCAGTGTCCCGTCAAACTACGCTTCGAGATACCGTACTTACACGACGGTTTTCTTGACACTTTGCAGCGGTTCCCGCCTTCTTTCTCTCTCGATCGCGGCGAGGTCGAGAGGCTTGCTTCGCACGGCTGTCCTCCCGATTTCATCAACTTGATCATGCATTGCGTTGAAGTACGACCGGAAGACCGACCAGCCATGCCTCAGGTGCTGGAAAGGTTGCGCAAGATGGAGATCGAGATCCTCAGCAGGCTGACGTTCGGTAAGGGAGAGCACGTCGGAAGTATCAAGATCGTCAAGGGTCGAGGAAGGACCGGCCACCCCGCTGGTGCTCGAGGTCTGGCTAGCTTCTTTGACAAGCGCGAGGGAAGCGTGGCGGAAGAAGCGGAACACTTTCAAGATGCCAAGGAGCACCAGAACGAGTTTGAATACGATACCGAGGAGGAGGAAGTGGCGAAGATGATGGAGGGCTCGATCAAGGTTGAGCACGGTGGGCGAGCGACGACGACTTGGCGTACTGCCAGGTGGGACGAGCCTCATGCCGAGAAGCAAACCGTGATGGACCTCTTCAACAATCCGCCGGGTAAGCCTGGACGGGACATCGCGAGAGCTAGCTGATCTCATTCCTCATTCTGATATCGTAGTGACCAAGATTCCCGGAAGCTATCCCAGTAGTCTTCATCAAGGGCCAGCCGCGACGAGCTCCTCTGTCATTACTCTCAAGGCCACCGATCATCGAGGAGTCCCGTCTTCCCTCCCACAGCAACAGGTACAAGAACCGGCTCAAACGCAATCCGAGATTCCTTCGCGACTCGAAGATGAGCACTGGCAGGTCACCCACAAGCAGGAAAGATCTTCTGGACACATGAGCGTCGACGAGCCAGAATCGCCGCCTCAAACGCAGATCCTGCCTGCAACGCATAGGTCAGCTAAGCCCGTTCGTCATTCTAGCGCGATTCAACACGCTGATGTATATTTGTGTATAGGTTCTCAATGGTTGGGAAGACTTACACCAAGCCCGGGTTCATGAAGCAACCAGGGAGTGAGTCTCCGAGAGGATCACATTGATAAAGCGTATGGCCTGATCCTTGCGCTTCACCAGTCGTTTCGAGCGCGTTTGCTATTTTCGGTCATGGCTCATCTACCTTTCCTAGAAATGAATCCAAGTGTCACGCCTGCGGGGTCAAGATCGGTGAGCACATTGAACAATTCCTCAACATGCTCAGGAGTTCAGCTGACAAGGACCTTATACAGGTCGACGTCCTGCGATGGAGTGCGATGACTGTCACGGTACGTCAGGCTCACGCCAACCATCCATCGTTCAAGTGCCACTGCTAACCCATTCCCCTTATATCTGCAGTCTTCGTCCATGTCAAGTCAGTTTCGCTGGTTTCATCCGAGAGAAGTGAAATCGAGGGCTGATTCTGTTTGCCCTTACAGGTGTTCCGATCGAGCTCCCATCGACTGCGGAAAGCACTAATCTCCCAATCTGTATCTCATCTCCTGGCATTGGTATGAATATCTCCTGGTCAATTTTTACGACTTCTCGCCTAGACACATCTAGCCTTCAGTCTGTCATATATGCATTAGCTCTATCGTACAAATCTACAATCATAATGCCAGTCGTTACAATACGGGTTCCATATCAAGATCATCGACGAGAAGCCCTCAGGTTCTGTCTGGGCCCGGTGGATTGACCCAAAGATTGACCATTGACCCGCTTCTCCAATTCGGCAACCTTTCCGGTTAGGCCTTCGGTGTTCTCGTTGATCCAGCCAAGCGACGAGACGTGCGCGCTCAAGATCTGAGTCACCGAAGCCAGCGCGTCTGTACCCTCCAAAGAGAGCTGATCTGTCGACGACTTCCCAGTGAGCGTGTTCATCTCCCCAATCATCGTCGACAAGTTGGTAGAAAGGTCGTAAAGCTGGTCGTTCAAGCGGGAAGCCAAACGAGTCCTGCAAATAAGGGGGAAGTCATGAGTCAAACAGCAGAATCGACCCGCGTTGCGCTGCAGCTTACATTTCCGCCCGCTGTTGATCGGCTGGTCGGGCAGGGGTCTGGTTCATGGTTTGCATGGTATCGTTGGCAACTCGCTCATACTCGTCAACCTGACCCAACAACACGGCTTGTCGAGCCTCGACGGCGTCCAGGGTAGCACGAATGTTGGCTCGTTCGGTCTCCGCCTGTTGCATGTCCGAGTACAGACCGGCGATCTGTATAGGAAAACAGGTCACATTTAGCACGAGCATAACCGAGAGTGAGATTTATGTGTCATGGACTCACGCTCGAAGCATTCTGCATCAGAACTAGATCCCACTCTCTTACTTCCGCAGCCTGGTCCTTGAACGTCTTGACTTGGGTACCCAACTCCTGCTCGAATCGTTCCACAATCTCGTTGAACGTCTTGCCCTTGACGAACGAAGGTGCTTGTTCACCGAGAGCGACCGTCTTGGTGGCTTGGTTGTTCGGGTTCAAATTGGAAGATCCTGCTGAAGGTTTAGGAGGAGGAGCGGTCGCGGTCGAGGTCGACGTTGATGGCGCACCACCAAACAAGGAAGAGGCAGGAGCGGCAGGCTTGCTTGCAGCAGGAGCAGCTCCGGCAGGTGCACCAAACCCACCAAAGAGGGAAGAAGTAGCAGGAGCAGCAGGCTTGTCTCCAGCGTCCTTCTTCTCGGCACTGTATGGGCGATTCGCGATTAGCTACACATCACAAGCTCGAAGATGGTACCTGACTTACGCCGGTGCGGCGGGAGCAGCTTGGTCTTTCTGGGCGGAAGCACCAAATCCAGCAAAGAGGTTGGTGGAAGCGGCCGGAGCGGCCGGTTTGTCCGCTGCGGGAGCAGGCGCGCTGGAGGGAATGTGAGTTCAGCGACACAGTTGAGACAGTCTCAATCTCCACATCCGCGTCTATGACTCACGCTGCAGCAGGGGCAGTCTGCTTGGCTCCGAACGAGAAACCGCCAGCAGCGGGGGCCGTGGGGGCAGCAGGAGCAGGAGCCGCCGATTTGTCCTTGTCAGTACCAGCGGGTTCAGCGGGTTTGGCTCCGAATGAGAAAAGACCTCCAGCAGGAGCCGCAGGAGCAGGAGCTGGGGCCGAGGTAGCGGGAGCCGCAGCAGGAGCGGCCGCAGGTTGACCTAGGTTTCCGAAGAGGCTACCAGCAGCGGGAGGTTTCGAGGCAGGGCTATGTCGATCACAAGTTTTACAATCTTTCAGTGATACGAACGATGTAAGGTAAAGAGAAAAAATGAGGCACTCACGTGGTAGAACCTGAATTGGCAGCGGAGTTACCGAAGCTGAATCCTCCCGTACCAGCAGGAGCAGCGGGAGCAGCCGCAGGAGTCGAACTGAACACCCAGATTTGGAGAAAGACCTGATCAGCATCCCGATAACACAGACTTGGCGCTACGATGCGCCCTGACTCGCCTGGTCGCCGGCTCGGCAGGTTTCCCGAATCCTCCAAAGGTCGGAGCTGGAGCCGCAGCCGGTGCCGAGGCTTCTTTCGGTGCTTGTGTCTGTGCTTGAGCTCCGAAAGTCCCCGCCCCTCCGAATCCACCAAAGAGTCCTCCACCAGGAGCTCCAGCTTTCGAACCCGCAGGGTTCCCATCGTCCTCAGCTCCTCGTTTCCCACTAGAAGCCCCAAACAGACCTCCAGTAGGTGCAGGAGCAGTGGTGGTGTTGGTAGTGGTAGCCGGAGCAGCAGCAGGAGTGGTAGAAGCAGGGGTCGAGCCAAAGAGACCGGGTTTGGCAGGGGCTCCGAACAAGTTGCTGGTCGGTTGAGCAGAGGCAGTGGCAGGGGTCGAGCTTCCTGCAGGTTGAGCGCCAAAGAGACCGGTAGAAGGAGCGGTAGTAGCCGGTTTGGCACCGAAGAGTCCTCCCCCAGCTGCACCTGTTCCAAACAGTCCACCAGAAGGAGCAGGGGTGGTCGACCCGGCCGCTGGCGCACCAAAGAGACTCTTTCCCGGTGCAGCAGCAGCAGCTGGGGGTTGAGAAGTCGGGGTCGAGCTCCCGAATCCACCAAAGAGAGGCGGTTTCGCCGCTCCTGCCGCCGGTGCACTCCCAGCCCCACTCGACGCCTGAGCTCCGAACCCGGAGAACCCGCCGAACGTCCCCGTCGAAGCTGGGGCAGCTCCCCCGAACAAGCCAGATGACGTGGTAGATGTGGTGTTACCAGCGGGAGGGTTTGTTGAAGGGGTTGTGCTTCCCGTAGTTGCAGCTCCACCAAAGCTAAAGGTAGGTTTAGTTTGAGGGGTCGAGGTCGAGGGTGCGGTGGTACTGGTGTTGGTGTTTCCAAAGGAGAAGCCTAGGCGGTTTCACGATCGAGAATATTGTCAGGTAAAGCCCAACGTCCTTGTCACCTCGTAGAGTATGCTTACCTCCGGTTCCTATAAATCGACGATTCAAGCAGAGACAGGGATGACACTCGCTTAGCTTTGAATCTGTTGATACCACATTAGAACTACCATCACATACCGCTCGCAGGAGCCGCTCCTCCGAACAGGCCGCCCGCAGGTGCTTGACCACCTGCCGCGTTGTTTCCTAGGAGAGTTCAGGTGTACAAATTGAATCAGTTTTCTGGACTCCGTGTCGAGATCGGGTTGATGAGGCCAAGTCCTTGAGCTTACCAGTGTTTCCACCAAAGTTGAAAGCTGTTGTACGTTGCCAGAGGTACGATGTCAACCGGGTTCGACTGACATGGGAATCGGGCCCAGTCTATGCTTACACATGATGCTACTCGCTATTTGCTGTTGTAGCCGTTGATACGATATCTTCCTATGAGTAGGTACTTGCAGACCGCACTAAACGTCGATGATATGATGATGATGTTATGGCCAGGTTGATGTGAGGGGGTCGGTGAGTATGCGATTTCACGTGATATGCGGGTTGACGCGTTGGAGATCTGGCGTTTCATACGTTTCAGAGGATGATGGGTGACAAGGTCGCTGCCAAGGGCGATGCATTCATCTCCAGATCGCTGGGAAGTATGAGATGCGGCACGGAAACTGCCAGGACACCTCTACAGGTACGTTCATGCTCAGCCGGAACGACAGGTTTAGCAAATCTCTTACAAAGACCGGGATCCACACAATTCGTGAAAATTCGAATCGACGATCGTAATGCAGATATATAGTCATGTGCCCGAAAAAAGCAAGACAAGTGAGAAAAACTACCACACGGCTAGGGAAACACGAAGAAGAGGGCGAGGGGTCGTTGTCAACAAGTTCCGACCCATTTCCATCCTTTTTGGTGCGAGGCAAGGCGAGTCTGGACGGTCAAAGCAGAACCGTTTAGAGCTCCTCCTTGTAGTCGGGTCGGAGCCTTCGGACTATGGGCGCAAGGGCGAACATGGATTAAGGTCAGTCGGGGCGGAACATGATATAGAAAATAGCCATCTTCGTGACTTACCGGTCTTTCCGGCCCTCCAGATCTCCTGAGCGTCAATCTCGGCGGTCTCCTCGGCGAACTTTTCACGGTAGTCCTTCTGTCCGTTGAACGAGAGCGATCGTCGGGTCTCGTTTCCGTTCTTGACGTTCTCGTAGAGCGACTTGAAGACGGGCAAGTTGGCCTCGTAGAACTTGGGGGCCCAGTCGAGAGCTCCTCGTCGGGCGGTGGTGGAACAGGCGTTGTACATGTAGTCCATACCGTACTTGCCGATCAAGGGGAAGAGGCTATGGATGGAGATTGGCAGGGGGTCAGTACACGGTCGAGCTCGCCGATTTGTACTCAAACTTACGACTGGGTAGCCTCCTCGACGGTCTCGTTGAAAGCCTCGGACGGCGAATGTCCGTTCTCCCTGAGGACCTGGTACTGAGCCAAGAACATTCCCTGGATACCTCCCATCAAGACTCCTCGTTCACCGTAAAGGTCGGAGTAGACCCTGCGATTCGCAGCAAAATCCCCATCAGCTCGCTGTTTACGGTTAAAAGCCAGACATACAGCCTTTTGCTCGCACTCACTCCTTCTCGAAGGTGGTCTCGTAGCAGTATCTAAAATGCGAAAACAACAACAACAACACCATCTCCAGATCAGCCCGACATCCTTTCGCGCGCGGAAGCAAACGGCCCGCAGCAAGAAAAGTCGGCTCACCCGGATCCGACGGCGATACCGAGGGCGACGGCCTTCTCCTTGGCCTTGCCGGTAACGTCCTGGAAGACGGCGATGGACGAGTTGATTCCTCGTCCCTCGAGGAAGAGGGATCGGACGGTTCGGCCGGATCCCTTGGGGGCGACGAGGATGACGTCGACGTCGGTGGGGGGAACGACACCGGTCTGTAGGTCGAGATCGAGTTTGGGTTGTCAAGTGAGAGTTCAGTCAGCTCAGACGACCTCATGTGATGTAGAGTTGGGCGCTTCGACTCACGTCCTCCTTGAAGACGACCGAGAATCCGTGAGCAAAGTACAAGGTCTTGTCCTTGGTGATCAAAGGCTTGATCTCGTTCCAAGTCTGACTCTGAGCGGCATCGCTCAACAAGTTCATGATGATCGTTCCTCGTCCGATGGCCTCCTCGATGGAGAACAAGGTCTCTCCCTCGACCCAACCGTCCTCCTGGGCCTGCTTCCAGGATTCACCGCCCTTTCGGACACCGACGATGACCTTCAAGCCGTTGTCACGGGCGTTGAGGGACTGGCCGTGGCCCTGGGAACCGTAACCGATCATGGCGAGGGTGTCATTCTTGAAGTACCTGCGGGCGAGCGGAGCGTAAGGTGATCAGCCAGCCGTCCTCTTCACCTACGTCACGACTCCATTTGCGCCCCTAACTCTCTCAAGACCACCTTCGGCTTGTGCTGGACAAGCCATTCGAGGATGATAGGGCAAGGAAAAGTCGGCTACTCACTCGGTCAACTTCTCAGTGGGCCAGTCGGCTCGCTCGTAGACGGTCTCCTTGGTACCGGCAAAGTCGAGCGACTTGATTCCTCGGGTGGACTGCGAGTTTGCGTCAATGAATTTTGAGGGCAGAAAGAGGTGAAAGTGGGTATCGTCAGGAGAGAGAGAGAGAAAAGAGGGAAATAGGAAAGAGAGGAAAGCGAGAGAGCAGGCAATGGAGAGGAACAGAGGATCGAGACGAGACGATGATCCACGATCGCCATTCCATGCACACCCGGAAAATCAAGCATACCCGAAAAAATCAGCTCAACTTCCTTGATCTTCCAGACCGAACCTGGCTCTGCTGGTTTCACTCACGTTGATGACGGGCCTGACGACCTGAGGCCTGGCAGCAGCGGCGACGCCGGCCTTGGCGACGAGGGAGAACGACCTCTTCTGGGTGGTCGACTGCAAAGCCTGCTTGAGAGCTCGGGAGGTGGAAGTTCGGAGAGACATCTTGAGTGGTAGTTTTGGTTTGAGGAAAGAAGGAGGAAAGTGGGGAATATGGGAGTTGTGTCGGGTGAGTTGGTGGTGGTAGGGTGAGGTTGATATAGAGAACGAGATTCGGGTGAGAGGGTGTGTGCAGGTGCGGGTGGAGTGATGCGGTGGGTGTGACTCGTCGGCGAGGAGGAGGAGGTTGCTTGCAAGCGAGGTCTGAGGAGGTGGGTGGGGGTACGTGGAGAGAGCGAGCAGCGAGGAGGAGAGCAGGAGGAGGGAATTGTTTTTCGGGCGAAAAAGTCACGAGCTGGTGACGAGAGAATGACGGCATGAGGACAAGGGCGTCGCGCTTTCTGCCAATCATCATCTCGTATTTGGAACGAGCGACGCGATACGCGAGGGGGTGTTTCGGGTTCGGGTCAGAGGGATATCTAGGCGCTCGTGGGGTCGTTGGTCGAGGTATCGGGCCATCAAGTCCACCCTGTTGAGCGCAGGAGTTACATGCGGTGTATCCTACTGTGCGATGTCAGGGGAACGACCTCGAACTATCCACTCTGCCAACCTCGTTCGACTTTTGACTTTCGAGATGCGGTACTGTTGTAATCTCAACCCAATCAAACAGCAGCAGCAAGCAGCCAGCAGCCAGCAGTGCGGAATTGCGGAACGAGCGCATCGCGGGGAGGATGCGATCGACCGGAAGTAAAATAGCTGCTGCATGCCGTCATTGAGGAATTACTTCCGATATACACGTCGCTTTCAGTCGTAGGATCGCTAGGATCGATGATGATGTCGAAGTTGATTGATCAACTCGCAGTTCGCAATTCGACCTGCAAAAGAAATCCACGCTGAAATCCAAGCCTATACGCGAGTACAACACCATATCGGTTCACTACGATGTACGGCGACGACGCTCTCCAACTCGTCCTCGAATCCCGCCGCTCCGCCCTCACCTCGACCCTCCCCAAATACTCTGACCCGCTCATCCGCCAAATCTGCCTCGAGACACGTCAACTCGACTCGCACATCCAATCCACCACCTCGTCCTACACGCGTGAAGAACTCAATTCGCCGGAAAACTTGGGGGTCGTAGCTGGGTTGACGGTGCATCATCTGGCGGCGAGGAGGAACAAGAGGTGTCTGATGGCCTATCTCGCTGGACGAGTTGATGGGGTCAAGGGGATGTATTGGGAAGCTGGGGGTGGGGTAGCACATCTGCTCGCCAGCGATCGAGGGGCGAGTTCGTTGGACGAAGGTAGCAGCAACAACAACAATAACGGCAACAACAATTCGAACTCGAATGGACAGGCGGGACCGACGACGACCACCCCGCATGGGGACAACACCCTCGACCTCCGTTCCCGTCTCTCCCCCCACGAACTCGATTTCCTCCTCAGCTACAACGACCTCATCCTCTCCTACAAGACCCCCTTTCTGTCAACCCTCGACCTTTCCTCGTCCATATCTTCGCCTCCAGGGGAACTCTACGTCGACGTACAGGTCGTCAAGGATTGCGGGGTGGTATGGACAGAGATGGGGCAGGTCGAGTTTAGGAAGGGAAGTCGGTATATGGTCAGGAGGGGGGATGTGGAGAGGTTGATCGTACAGGGGTTCTTGGTCGAGGTGTAGCTGTGACCCGGTGAAGGGGTATGGGGCGGTTGGAGGACGAGACAACATTTTTATGTGAGCCAGGCCGTCCAGCCAAGTAGGCGGGAATTTCCGGGATGGCTGACCCGACTACACGTTTCTGCAGTACGACGGATCTCGAACAGGACCCTTTACGACAATTTGCCTTGGGACACCTAACGGCAACGACATATCTATGACGCTGAACATGCATCTACCCAAACGCTCGAGTGTCCATCTGGCTGGCCTTTGACTCTCGCCGGTATAATCGTGATCACCCTATCCTACCCTACCCTCCATCGTTCACTTGGTCGGCGGATCGCGCTCTATTCTGTGCCACGGGCTTGGAAAATCTTTCTATCTGGGCTGTGAAAGAACCGTCTTTGCATAACCATATACATCTTCGAAGCGAAAGGAGTACAAAACGAGGCCAACGGCTAAAGATTCCTTACAAAAATCCGACAAGAGATCGGGCAATTCGACACTGGCCGCCGGATCACAAACTTCGCGAACAAACAAGAGTACCTCGAGGGCAGACCCAGGCAAGGGAGCTCTCTCCCGGACCGCAATCCGAGAGTGGGCGGCGTCCATACAGACGGTCTGCCGCTCATCGAAGCTGGGATCGCTGATCGGAGGCGGCATCGTTCTCGGCGCTCTCCTGCTGTGCCTTGGTCTGATATTTGGCAAAGTGCCAAGGCTTGAGACGAGCGGCAAACATCTCGTCTAGATCGGCGATCGATCGACCTTTGGTCTGCGGATGCAAAGCGCTATTTCAGCCAGACAGGATTTGATTACCGTGGACGTGTCAAACTCACCTCGACAGCAAAGAGCGCCACCAAGATGAAGGCGATCGTGCAAGTAGGCCCGAACAAGAGACCTGGCGTCGACACCGCCTGTCAGCTCAGAGTGGTCGACCGGGCAAGCGGAAAAGCACCGGCACTCACCGACTTTGAGCCCCCAACCCCATTCGAGCGGGCTGAGCATATATGGAGCGAGATACGAAAACATGAGGTTGCTGCCTACGTTGCAGGTGAATGCGATGGCGGCCGTCTTGGATTTGAGACGCTGAGTAGGAACCTCGCCGACATAGTTGTAACCGAGGGGGCCCAGCGAGGTCGAATAGACGAAGACCCAGAGGCACGCGAGGGCGGCCATAGCAGCACCGGGGGGAGTTTCCATAAAGGCGATGCCACCAAGCGCCCAACAGCAGATCGCACAGAACCCAGTACCGAAGATGAGCATCGGTCGACGGCCGAAATAGTCGAGGGCGAAAAAGGAGACGCCCACGCCGGCCAATTGGCAGAAACCAAATATGAGGTTGGCTTCGAACGGCTTGGGGTAACCTGCTTGCTCGAAAAAGTAGACGGTATAGCCGTAAAAGAGCATGACGCCGGCGAAAGCCTGAGCGACGATCGGCATGGCGCCAATGAGCGTTCGGCGCAAGTTGGTTCCCTTGAAACAGTCGAGGTATTGGCGCCATTCTGGTCGCGCCTTGTTTGTTCCATCCGGCTGCACTGGTTTCTCGGCCTCGATGGCAGCAACGATGACGAGATACTCTCGATTAACGTCGTAGGTGGAGACGTTGCCGTAAAGCGTCCTCAGGGCACGTTTGGCCTTGGCCTCCTGACCCTTCCTGGCCAGGAACCATGGAGTCTCCGGCGCGAATACCAAGGCTGGTATGAACATGCCCAAAAATACGAATTGAGCGTAAAAGGGGCCTTTCCAGTTGTCCGGATCGATCTGCTCGGAGACGTATAGAGCGATGCTCCCAACCAGGATCCCGAGTCCCCAGAAGAAGCTATACATAGAGAGGTACATGCCTCGAATCTTGTTGGGCGCGATTTCGGACAAGTATGGGATCAACGAAGATTGAAGTAATCCCTGACTGAGACCAGAGACCAGGGCTCGCGCCAACCATCCGCCGAAGGAAGGCCTGATCGTCACGCTCAAGATCACGGCTAGGGTGAGATTGGCGGTGCATGCCATCAAGACCACCTTGCGTCCAAACCGATCGCTGAGGAACCCGCCGATCGGCAGACCGACAACTCCTCCAAGAGAAACGGCCAAGTTCCAATTGGAAAGGTCCGACGGTTTCATGGCGATGGGAACGCCATCGGGTCCATACACCCGACCGAAATCTCGGATGAAACCCTGGTTGGCGACGATCGAGTTGGGTACGATCAGGGCGAAACATTCGAATGCGGCAGCGAGGCTCATCCCCACCGCGAAAAGGGTACATTTCCAGAAGACGCGGGTGGTCTTGGGGATGGAGTAGTTTTCATGTTCGGGGACAATGGCGCGGTCCGACCGGGCGACGTTCTCGACGTGTTCAGAGTCGACCTCCTTCTCGTTGTCTTCAATGAAGGACGACACTGCGGCGGGTGGGGGTTGCTGTTGTGTCGAAGCCATGGTGATGCACGGCACTAGGGTATCGTTGTTGAGTGGTCAGTCGCATCTGTCGGCAGCGGTACTCGGTAATCCTGAATCGATAAAGTCGTGCTTTATAGCTTGCCTTGATCGAGATGAGGACCTGTTCGTACATGCGGGAACATACGCTCAAAGAGGGCGGGGCTCCTTTCGGTCTATCGGTCGGCACCGAGCTGAAAAGAGTTGGGCTCAGCTCTTGCTTTGGAGTGTAGAGAGAGAAGGCAGGATGTAGTGATGTTGAAATAGAGGTCGACTGCGTGAACATACAACGCCGGATCGGTCTTTGTTACTTGGCGGTCACTGTGCGCGTGACCTCCATGCATGATCGTTTATAATTTGTACGTCGACCGCACGTAAAGAAGATTGATCGGGCGCCTTTCCGTAACCTTCAAATCCCTAATGTCTCTTGGAGAAGATCTCCTCTTGGACGTTGTACAGGGTTTTCGTTCAACCTCCGTTGTGATCGTACTCGGATTGGCGCCCGATTGATCAAGCGTGGTACTACGCAGTTTCTGTAGCATGAACCGCAGGTCCAGCGACCGGCCTGACCACTACATCGTCGCCAAGAATCCCTTGGTTTCGGGGAGCGCGGATCCGGACTTTCCCGAGATTGATCGATGTACCACCGCAGCAAGTGGTTTGGAAGAGCGTTCCGGAAGCAGAATCGCTGCATCAACCCATTCATCGCATCCAATCGGACGGACTTGAGACAATCGATTCATACGTAACGGCCGGAATGACATTCAACATGAATGGCATCCCTGGTTGGATCACGCGGGCTTGCTATCGCTACATCATTATGCCGTTCGCTCCGACTGAAGCCTGCTTGCTATGAGCCTAGACTGGACCAGAACTCGTCGTCATTCACCAACCGATCAAGGTCAGCGTCGTTCCAGCTATAGGCCTCAAACTGGATCATGCGAAATTCAAGGCAGATGAGCGCCATCACCCATATGTCGTATCGCAGTCGATCGTTAAAGACCCACGAATTGCGTCAGAGTCCAATCGAACGGAGGACCGTTCAAGCCGGTGTCTGTCTCTATCCGACCCTCCGCTTGCGTTCGACTTCTCATGGCCTCGACAAGCCTTCCGAAGAACTTGCCAACCAAGGTACATGATGGCGATCCGCCTAGACCCTCTACGTTGCGACAATTGTGATGTATCTGTCCCAGTAGTTGAATCACGAGATCTTCCTGTCCGCCAAATTCAGTCGCATACTGGACAAGTGGAAGCAACGTGAGGTCATCAGTTCGACGCAGTTCGACTCCGATGACAAGCCTATCTCGATCGCTCACTTTGTACAGTCGCAATCCTATTGGAGGAAACGTTGCGATGTTCGCATCGAACCATAACCATATTAGACCGGCATCGGCTGCCTCGGTCATGGCTTCCACCATCCTGGAGACAGCCATGATGAATTCGCTCCATGCGATGTCTGACGTGTAGTTTTGCTGTGACTGTCTCGCTTTGATGTAAACGTGCACAAACTCAGAGACGAGTCGAATGTCCAGTTGCGACGTGACTGTCAATCGGCTCGGCTGACTGAACCAGGCGTGCCGATGTGATAGCACATGCCTCTCAGCGGAACGTAGTGAAATGGCTGATGCCGCATCAACGATATCGGACGCGCCGTTCTGGTAATGCGTAGATATGGCCAACAGGTTTGCCGCTTGTGCAAGGCTAGTAGTCGGATGAATGCTCAAGTCGTGTTAGCTGTCGAGACCCCGGTCTGATTTGCCGGGTACAAGAGATCACTTGCCTCAAGGTGCAGGCGAGATGCGTGTCTTCCGGGGTATGGTATTCAGGAAGGACCTCGAGCCATTCTCGCGCGATGGCGGCGTGATCGTCTTCGATAGCGACGGGCAGTTCGAACAACCAACTGAAAGAAATCATGTCCAATTCAGTTGACTCAGGCTTAGAGTTTCGATAATCGAGACTTGCCTAAATCTATCCTCAACAGATTCAAGACAAATGTGCATTCAGGATGGATCAAGCTGAATGCAGGCCCGTGGTTCATTTGCAACCATGGTCGACCTACTGTCTATCATAACCTATACGAATCCGGTCGCGAATGTATTAATAAGCAAGACGGAAGACCCATCGCCGCCCAGAATAGCAATTTTCTTACACACGAGACCTATAAAACGGCTCAGAAGTTACGCAGAGTTAGTGGAGTACAACGCTTCACAAGCGTCTCAATCGCTGTCAGGGGCTGAAACTCACATATCCAGGTCCTCTGTCTATCCTGTTGAAAGTGCGATTATTCACAAGCTGATCAGTGTGTGCTATGATGATAGGTGGAATTTCCGGCTCGTCCTCAAGATCACAAGCACGCTTGAACTCACTAACAACAGCCTCGCCTCGAGTTCGTCCGCCGCCCCTCGTTCGCCCAATGACAAATGCAAATGCAACTGCTGAGCGATCCTGATAGCCAAGCCCGTCTTGACCCAAGCCGATCTATCTCCCGGATCCCTCCAAAAGGTACTGATCATGATAGCTTGAACCAGCTTTATATCGAAGGCGCCCTCTATGATCGAACGGGCGATGAGGGTCTGCAAGTGTTGAAAACAGGGAGCAGCTTTCGAGGGAGACCAGAATCGAGAGCTGGCGTAGAGGATGGCGGTCGTCAACGGAGCCGATTGTTGCTGGACCGATGCAAGAGTGTGTACTGAATTCATTATGACAATCAGTCGTTGTAGATTAATGGACTGCACGGATCGCTTTGGTCACTTACGATCGGCATCCAGTAGCGCTATCAAAGGGTTCAACCTCTGGTAGAATCTGGCATTCCGATACGACCGTTTAGCTTAGGAACATATCCCAAACACCACGAGGATGGAATGGTTAGTAGTTCATCTTTACGTACATAGCAAATAAGTCGGCTGCTTCTGCCCAGCTCAGGATCCCCAGTCCTACGGGATCATCAGTTCGCATCTCACCATTTCCCGAGATCGAGGAGAACGATTTTCGTGCTTGTAAGAATGACTGAGCCTGCGATGATGTCTGCGGGTGTCGATATGTTTGACCGGTCTGGTGATTTCCCGGTATTGATGGCTCCAAGAGGTCCGCTACATCGATTCCAGCTGGGATTCGGGCCATTGGTGGTTCTGACGTCCTTGTTGTCTTGGAATGTGTTGGGTTGGAGTCAACTATGTCCTTACTGTTGAGGCTATCTGTCGTCGATCGGTAGTTGGTGGTGGTACTAGTCGTGGTTCCCCGGCCCAGATTCCCATAAGCAATAATATCATTGCCTCCACTCCTTCCATCGCCATCCACGTCCATGTCTCTCTGCAGGTCGAACGCACCTCCTTCATCGAGTACAGCATTGTTGAATAGCGTACCATTGGACAGACGAGGCTGACTAGGTAGTAGTTCTGAGTTTGCCGGGTTGACCCTTGAGCTTGATGCCGCTGCTAATGCTTCTGTCGAGGCGGAGTATGAGTTTCGCACGATTCCTTGTCCGTCCTTGGTAACATCGGTAGACCCGGAGGCCGAGCCGTCTTCTATCGTCGTGGTGTTTCGAGGTCCCGACACGGCATCACGCCTACGACTGTGAGTGTGACTGTCGTGATCAGAGGGAGGGATGTCAGCTGTACTACAATGGCCTGACGAAGGAATCTGAATGCTGTAAAAGCTGTCCAGGTACAGCTTTCGACCATCTGCTCACTTAGATCCTGGCACTACCTTCGACCGGCCTGGCGGACGACCCGGACGTTTTGGAGGCCATCTACAAGGTAATCCTAGGCGTCCACAGCGATCACAGGTCGCAGAACGGCTGTCTTCCCTTTGAGGTATCGATGTCGTTCTCGACCTCGAGGTGGAAGTCGAATCTGACGGTCCCGTACATGCAGATGAAGACACGTTGCAGTCGATCTGGCAAGGACACAGGGTGCGGATGGTGAAGAAACATATCAGAGGTCTCCCGTGCAACGGAGACAGGTAGTTACCAGACGCCAGACGAAGACCCATGGCTCACACCTATGGACAGGCAGTTCTGACATCTCGGCCGTCTCGTACGAGGAACGCTCATATTACGATGTGTGAGCTTGATACTAGACCAGCTTAGGGAAGTGATCTAGTGAATAATACGATAGCCTAGAGCTTGGTTGATTCCATGCCATGATCGCCATGATGCACGTTGATGGTTGTACGAGCTGGACCGAGGAGTCGCCTGTGTCGGCGTATCGGACGGTTGCTATGCCGGCCGACGACCGGGAAGCCAAGGCAAAAAAGCTCGACTCGGTGTGGATCGAACTCGGGTCGCCGTAGCACTGATCAATTGATCGGGAAGAGCTCGCCCTCCCAATGGACCAGTCCTACTTCAACATTAAAGTTTGTATCCGATAGTGAACAAGTGCATGTGCAGTGCTGATTCATCATTCATCCGGCGCCCGAAAGCACCGTTTCCTCAATTCCTCATCTGCCCTCCGATCGCCGATAATCATGCGATATGCAACGCAGGCCGACGTACATGGTGAAGGTCGGTAGGGTTAGTTGCAAGTTGGTTTGCCAACCTCCCGAACAATTCCCCATCGATATGTGTTGGTGGTGGCCAAGATGAGCATATATAGAGAAGATGATGGTCAAGATTGGAACAGGATACATTCCCTCGTCGACCTTCATCCCAAACACCTGCATCGAGCGACACGGCCCGAGTCGAGATACATTCCCGCTGGACCCTCGATTAAATACATACCAAGTCTTCGACCACCATGCCTCCGCTGTTCCAAACTCAACTGGATGCCTTAACCTCAGGCTCGACCACCATCTCGCAAGCTGCCGATGCCATCTTCTCTCAACTCCGCGATGACGAAAAGCTCTGGATGCTCGACGGGGACGATGGGGCCAAAGACTTTGCTATCAAGATGGCCACCATCGGATACTGCCATACCACTCAGGATGCCGGAGTAGTCGAGAGACTGGGGATCCCTGGGATCAAGTTTTCCGATGGACCCAGGGGGATCCTGTTGGGAGGAAAGGGGACGGCGTTTCCTGTCTCCTCTTCTCGTGCGGCGACCTTTAACCCCGGTTTGGAAGAAGAAGTGGTGAGTGTCCCAGATGGCCAGATGCAGTCGTAGTCCTGTCGGACGGGACTATGGATCGAAACTGACCTATTGGCGACGCTCGATGCTTCATACCATTCATGATGATATAGGGACTCGCCATCGGCAAAGAGCTCCGGGCCCTGGGCGGCAACTACTTTGGCGGGGTCTGTGTCAACTTGGCTCCCAACCCCAAATGGGGCCGCTTGCAAGAATCTTACGGGGAGGATCCTCTCCTCGTAGGTTCATTCGGTGCGGCGCTCTCCAAGGGTGTTTCGAAGAACGCCATGGCTTGCGTCAAGCACTTTGCGTTGAACTCTATGGAGAACATGAGGTTCAGCGCGGATGTCGAATGCGCGGAAGACGTCTTGCATGAATGTTACCTCCCGCATTTCAGGCAGACGTTGGAAGAAGGGGGTTGTGAGAGTATCATGAGCGCCTACAACTCGTGCAACGGCGAATGGTGTGGGGACAACAAGAACCTCTTGAACGGGGTTGTCAGGGATACCTGGGGTTACGAAGACGTCATCATCACCTCGGACTGGCTTTGGGGGACTAGAGACGCTTCGAAGTCCGTCGCAGCGGGATTGGACGTGGAGATGCCGATTCAGAGCGTCAGGGCCTTCCACTTGGCTAAAGCGCTGAGGGACGGAAAGGCCGAGTGGGAACACGTCGATAGAATTGTCAAGCGGTTGTTGAGGGCCCAATTGAAACTGCACATGAGGATCGGAGGAACGGAGAAGCCGGCAGAGGCTGTGGCGGGGTGCGAGGAGCACAGAGAGTTGGCCAAGCGGGTCGCTGCGGAGGGCATGGTCCTCCTGAAGAACGCGGCTTCGCAAGGCGGTGATCAAATCTTGCCCCTCAGAAGCGAGAAGGTCAAACGGATCCTCGTCGTCGGGGAACTCGCCGTCTCTGATCAGACCGGAGATAGGGGATCATCCAACTTACTCGATCCTACCGTCGTCACCCCATTGGATGGTCTCAAGAAGCAAGACGGCGTCGAGGTGATTTACCTTGACGGCTCGGACCTAGCCCAGGTGGAAAAGGCTTGTAGGGACAAGGACGTCGATGCGGTCTTTGTTCTCGTTGGATATACCGGGATCGAAGAGGGCGAGTATGTCAGCACATTCGAGCCCGCGTTGCTCAGTACAGTGTTTCCCTTCGTCTTTCCCCATTATCTTGTGGCCAAGGCGTTCACTTACGTCTTGGACAAGGCTTTGGCTGTCTACGGCGCATTCAAAGGCGGTCTACCGGGTGGAGATCGACAGAGTCTCCGTCTCAAACGGTCGGACGAGGCCTTGATCAACGTCGTTGCCGAGCATGCCGGATCCAAGATGATTCTTGGGATTGAGAGCGCTGGGCCTGTCGTTCTGCCCAAGACTGTGCGACAACAAGCGGCAGCGATTTTGCATACCGGTTATGCCGGCTGCCAGTTCGGGAACGCCCTGAGGGAAGTTCTGTTCGGCCAGGCCGAGCCCGCAGGAAGGCTAGCCTATGGTTTCGTGGAATCGGAACTCGATATCGTGGACATTAATATGAACGCCACCAAGGTCAAGTACGATAGGTTCTGGGGTTACCGGCTGGGACAGCAGAGGCAAGTCCGACCGGCTTACCCGTTCGGGTTCGGACTTGGATACGGAAACGTCCAGCTTGACAACGCTTCGAAACTTCCTTCTCTCAAGGAGAGGTTTTTCGAAGTCCAAGTAACTGTCAAGAACCAAGGTAAACACAAGAGCTCCGACGTCATCCAGGTCTACGGAGGGAAGACCTCCCCGTCTTCAGGAGATCACCAACGCGTCCTCCTCGGGTTCGCCAGGACCACCTACCTCGAACAGGGAGAGAGCGAGAGCGTGACCGTTCAGTGTCGGTTGGATCCCCTCGCCCGGTGGATCTCCTCCGAGAAGTCGTTCAAGGTGGACGGAGGTTCTTATGACATCTCGATATCCAAGTACGAGGGGGACGAGAAGAGTCACACTCAGACTGTTGAAATCGAGCAGGTTGACTGGTCTGTCAAGACCCAAATTGCCCAGGCGCAATGATTGGGCAATCGCGGCTTCTCTTGAGTTCGGATGTGGCAAAGCCAGTTCTCGGTTGTATCAGGACGGTAATTGCTTGTAACAATATTGTAATTACGATTTATGAGTATGTGCACGATCAGATTTCTAAAATCAACTCCGCGACGCTTGAGCTCGTCGAACCAGAGCGCCCATGCCGTCTGCATGTCTTGCCAGATTGTTCAACACCCTAGAAACGCACGGCGTAAGCTGCGGAAGGGCTGATATACTATATACGAGCCTCAACATGGCGAAATATACATACAAGACCCGACGGATTAGTCAGGACAGCGCGGCACTTGTTCTCACAGGGTTGTCCCTACAAGACGACGTCATTGAGCCACTCCCGCTCGCAATGTGCTGCCAATGCCAAATGCTATCGTGGGCAGAGGCCGATACGGATGTCGATTTCGGTGGTCGTGTCGGGGTCGACGCCAGGGGACCTTCTCGACCGCCTCAAGCTTCTCCCTCCCTCCGCCCTCCTTCAGACCTCTCCACAATGATGAGCAAGGCCGAGGCAGACTCGAGGCAGTCCTTTGAGGTGGATCGTCATGGCTTCGCCGAGCCGCTGATCGCAACAAGAACGCCGCACTTCGAAACCTTATTGTGTGCTCAAGAACAATGGCAAGTCTGGAACGCAGATCGACAATTATATCATTGGGAAGAACAAGATTACACCCCGCTGAGCAGCTGGAATTGCAAGTCACTAAATATATAAGGCTGCAACAACTTGAACTTCTGGGCTGCAATCCCTTTACTTGGTTGCACTGACATCACCTTACTTGTATCAACTCCGCTTTATTCCATCATGCCGGCCAAAAGAGTCTCCATCTCCAAACAATACCTCTTGGCCCGACTTTGCAAGAATCTGCCCCTCGTCATCATGAGGGGACCCAACCGGTGTACCAACTGCATCAAACATAACGCAGAAGATACTCTGCCCCCAAGAACGCTGAGAGCTCGCGAGCTCTTTGTACGACTCGATCTCGCCGGCGACCTGGACAGTTCGATCTTGTTTTGCTGTGTCGGTGGCGGACTTCATCGAACCGTCGGACCAGCCGAAGCGGGGAGGCGGGCGCGGGGGATCGAAGCCATCATCAGAAGACGGTACCATGACTTGTTCGCAAATAGCCATACTCTCCTGCCCATCCCCAAATACTGCACGCCTCAACTGCTTCCACTCTTCTCGGGTGAATTTTGGCTTAGGTGGAATATGAGAAGGGGCCGGGGCTGGGCTAATATTTGAATAAGAACCCATGAGTTCTATGTCTTCTTTGCTCAATACCGGCTCAGGAGGGATACCAGGCGGTGTCGAGATCGGTCGAGCCATTAGGAACGAATCGAGTTGCTTCTCTTGAGCTGAGCTTCGGTCTACGGTTCATTTTCACGAGGGATTTGATCGAGTAAATTCGATCTACGAAGTAGAATTCTGATTGACCCGGATCGATAAAGTTCGTATTTGACTGACCATCACTTGATTGCACTTGACCATCAGGGATGTCTTCATATCGGCATGTTGACTTGCCTTCCTTTCACTATTCAGGACCAGATCCACCTCTGCCCCTTATGCGTGGTGAAGAACCAAGCAAGCCATGTCGCCAACGAGGGCCCCCTTGACCCGCGTCCTGATCGCAGCTCCGGCACATCACCAAACTCTAAGAACGGCGTCAATGAGTGTAGCTGGAAACGAACAGGAGCTTGACACCGTCCGCAAAACTCGCAACCATAAGAAAGCGGCCGTTTCATCCTCGCGCTTGTAGGGAGTTTCGGGCGGAACCTCGTACCGTTAGCTTGAGTAATAAAGAGAGCGCTGAAAACGGGAAGATTGACGGGATCGTCCATATCCGACAAGGCAATACGTTACGTGGGGTACACTAACTTTGGCGTCCGAACTCATCACAAGCAAATGTGCATACTTTCGACAACATAGAATTGAATTTACAATACAATGATTGGGTCCTCATCACACGCCCTTAAACCAGACCTTTCATCTTCCCCTACCTCTCCTTCTCGCCTGAATACTGCCTTTTGCGCTGAGTCGACCGGTGGAGGAGATTGCAAATGCTAAATCAGAATGAGAAGGAGCGGTGCTCGGCTGCCGGTATGCATCTGTCTGTATAAAGGGATCTGGACCGTTATATATGGTGAAGGTAGAGGTGGCCTTGCACGACGCGATCGAGTTGGGGATGGTATGGAACCCCAGATCGGACTCGATACTGGCTTTCTCGTGCCGTCCCGAAGATGTAGCGAATGTGTCAGTTCGAGTCTCAATCGGATCTAGCTTTCGCTGAGGGATCTTCTTAGTAATGCGCCTCAAAGATCTCGTCGGTACCGTCGGGTCATCATGTTGTCGACTGCTGTCGTCTGAACCCCTCTCGTCTTCCTCGACTGGGGTCGATGTACGTGCGGGGCTCCATTCGAATACGCTCTTCAGCAACTCGGGGTGTTCTTTGTAGTGTTGCGGCGTCGAGGGTCTTTCTCTAGATTTTAGTGTCTCGGGAGGCATGTTCGTCACTCGGTTGAATGTCTCAGCCTGTTCTGGTTCGGAACGCTTGGTCTGGTTGTTCGATGGCACGGTGGATGAGCGACTTCGTTCAAAGGCAGTAAATCGACACGCTGCAATGGGGGCATTGTATAGGATCGTTCACCGGAACGGATCTTCCCCCTATACAGGAAGCACAAGCAGGTTCGCTTCGCTCTTATAGCCGATGACAGCCTGAGAACGCCAAGGTCATCTTCACCCTTCCATCGCCTTATCGCTGCTACCGAGCTGAGAGAGTTGTCGATACACTCACACACTCCTTTCATTACGCACGCGTCAAGAACGACTGCCCATAACTACCTCGACTTTTTCCTCTTACGCTGAGCTTCGCGCTCCAAAAGAAGCTCGACCGCTACATGAGACTCTCTTTCTCCAGCTTCTCAGACTTGAAACGCCGGTGGATCGGTCAAGTTTGATTCCGCGGGAAACAGGCGCGGACATGATTCTTGTCCAGGCAAGTCCGAGGCGGGATTATCGATAATCCCGCTCTGCACGGATCACGTGAGCTCAACTCGAGTCTTAATCACGTGATCTTCTTCCAACGCGTCTCTCTCTCTTGCGCGACTCTCTTACGCGACGCGATGACGCGACGGAGCCCGTTTCAGAGAGAGTTCACAGAGAGAAGGTCGGTGAACATCGCGATATCGACAGTCCCAGTATCTCTATACCTTCTTGGTATCACAGCATCAAGCAAGACGACAACTCGATACGATCATAGTTGCTCGCTACGCAAGGTTCGACAACCATGATGTCTCACAAACGAGCTCGCGAATCCACCTCGGACAAGGAGAACTCGATCACCACCCCGACCCACGGCAAACCCGTTATGATCAAGAAACAGAGGCTGGACCTCGACACCTTCAGGACGTTCGGCGGCAAGACGAAGAACAAGGACAAGGTGCATGTCATCATGCAGGAACAAATGCGAGCTCGACAAGCCAGGGAGATCCTTACCCCTCCACCGAGTTCGGAGCTCGATATCCAGCTCCCCGAGCAGGACGAGGCGCACCTTCACTATACGCAACCTCGAAAAGTTCAATTCCGACCCGCTCCCAGCTCTCAGAACCAGTCTCATGCTGATAGCATGTACCGGCTGATGACGACACCCATGGAGACCCTCATGTCTTCCTCGCCTGTCTTGCCCACCTCGCCGCTCAAGGAGGATTATGCTCTCATGCGGCCAGGACAAGCACGAGGGGTAACGGCACCCGTATCGTTGGTAACCCTTGCTGTGGACTATGACGGATCACACAACCTCATCCTCGGGCGAAGCCGCAAGACTTCTCTCAGTCCCTCTACGCTCCACGTGATTGAAGAGGCAGGACCGTCCAACCAGATGGTCGAAAGCAAAACCCTCCCTACCTCTTTCCCTTCCGACCTAGCTTCCAAACTCCCCACCGGATCTTCATCGACGAGAGCTATTTCGACGCTCCCGACACGTCTCTTGCCGCTTCCTAGGAAAGCTCAACATACTTCCCGGAACCACGTTCTCGTCACCCCTTCTCCTTCTTCTTCTCTACAGGCTTGTCTTTTCGTACACGTGATGGGACAGAACGGATGTCGGGTCCGGATCCTCGGCGCTCGGACCGCTGGTATCCCTTATCATCACCAGATGCAGCACGTCGTACTGGGGAAGAGGTATACGGCAGGCAGGGTCGTGACCATCCGTTCGCCCACCACAGCGACGGGAGGAAGGGGACTGGTAGTGGACATCGAGATCGACATGTACTCGTGCAAGACGATCGTACACTGGGCAGTGCCTACCCGGTCGGAGGATACGGGTGAAGACGACGATGATGAGACGGAGAGCGAGTCGGAAGACGTCCTCCGGCCCTGGAACCTGGAGCTCAAGCGGCTTCATCCGGATCAGCCGCAATTCGTTCGACTGCACCCTGATCATGAGGAGAGGGAAGATACCCCGGAGGCTCCTTCGGGTCAGGATCAGAGGGTTTCCTCGGGTCCGTTGATGTTCCAACCTAGCTCGGGGTTGGGGTTGGTAGCGCCCCTCTCGCCGCCGACTTCTTCGCCTAGGAGGTTGCCCTCACTCGACCTTCCCGGAGAAGAGGAGGAGGAGGGCGATGTCGAGATGAGCGTGGTATCGGATATAGGGAGCGATAACGGGCAGCGTGACGATGACGCAGACGAAGATGGTAAGATGGGCAGGGACGAGATCTTGAACGACCTCCCTCCCAGTTCACCGCCGATGGATCTGGAAAGTCTGCCGGCTTTCCCGGAAGACGAGGATGAAGACGAAAAGCAGATCGAGATGCGGTCGGACGCTCAGAGTGTGGCCTCGCGGCCGACCTCCCCGATCGAGTCCATCGACGTCTCTGTCTTGCCGGTCAAAGCTAGGGATTTCGCCGTCCCCGCTCTTGCTCCTTCTGCCCTTGGTCTCGAATCTAAGCCTGCCACCTCCTTTGCATCGAATTCGACCTTCATCCGTCGATCAGCCCCAGCACAACCCACCGCCTCTTCGTCCTCGTCCTCGTCATCATCAGGATTCTTTGGGTTCGACCTCGGCGCGCCGTCCAGGAAGAACGTCGTCGTACGCAAAGTCATGATCAGCCGACCTGCGTCGGCTTCGAGCGTCAGGTCTAGGGAGTCTACGCCTGTCTTGAAGGTCAAGGAGAAGGCGAAAGACGCGGAGGAAGAGAAGAAGATGAAGAAGGCGACGGATGAAGTGAAGACTGTCAAACCGACCGTGGTCACCATCGCTCCTGCGCCGGCATCTGAACCGGTGACGGTGGAGGTAGAAAAGACCCCGGCCCCAGTCACGATCGAGGAAGCCTCTTCCATCCCCGAGACCCCTCTGAACACGACGATCACCCTGCCTGAACCTTCTACTCCGCTCACTCCACTTCCTCTATCTCCCGAGCTCGCTACCACGACGCCTCCCATACCTGTCATACCGACGACAACCATCGAAACGACGACGGCGAAGATCACGACAACCGTCGAACCGCCCTCCTCCCCGGCCCGTTCGATCTATTCTCAGATGACCTCGGATTCGGAATCCGAGGGCGAGGCCGAACCGGGCCAAAAGGAGACGGTCGGGGTCGTCAGGCGATTAGGAGAGATGCAGAAGAAAAAGTCGCAAGCGAAGTCGTTGTCGCACGTCAAGGGTTTGGGGGGAAAGAGCAAGGCGGTGAAGAGGGAGTTGATCGAAGCGGGCGAGAATGAGGAGGTGAAGGAGGTGAAGAAGAGGAAGGTGGACGTTTCGACGGCCCTGACTTCATCCGACACTGCCGACACCGCTACTTCAGAAACTGCCGCCCCTGCACCCGCTGTAACGACGGAGACGACCATAGCGCCTCTACCAACCGAACTGGATTCCGACTCGACCCCTCATCCGCCGAAAGACTTGGACCTGAAAGCTCTGGTCGCTACTAGCGTGGTCTTTTCGGGAGTGAGCGCTATTGGCGCGTTTGATCTGGTCAAGACGATCTTGGACGTGAGTTCGCCTCTACGCTTAGAATCGAATTACGTTTCCACTTCACTTCTGATACTGATTTTTTCGTCTTGTGACATCGATTTGCAATAATAACGAATCTACAGTCACAACCGTCCATGAGAAGATTGGGATCGGATTCGACGTGGGCTAGTTGGATTGGGGATGTCTTGCGTGGAGAGGGGATGTTTGGACGAGTGGACCGGAAGGGCAAGGTGAGCAAACACATGGAACATGAAACAACAAGCGCGATCGAGAAAAGCTAACTTCGCGTTACATATGATAGGACTCGTCCGGCCACCCGCTCCTGCCGTTGTACTATTACCTCCCCGCCAACGACCCTGACCAGACCCGGGCAGCCGAGCTGGGAGCCTGCATGCGACCGCTAAGGGGCGTGCAGAGGGGTGGTGGAAAGGCGATCGATTGGAGGCCTGTTGGGAGTCGCGGCAGGCGTTGACGCGTCGTGTGCTCTCCGGCCGAGGGTGTGATGTCATAGTGACAATAATGTATCAGAAGTGTGTTTCAGATCTTGTAGTACTGCTTGTAAGCTTTTGCACGATTTATAATTGGCTCGAAAGATGAACTCCTTTGTGCGAGGATGATGATTAGCAAGCAAGCGCAGTCATCGGATGCAAATGTGATGATGAAGCGTGTTCGGCATCCGAAATTTGCTTCCGAAGGTGACGCGCGGTGTGCCCTGTGCCGAGAGAGCGATCGCCGAAGACGCAAGGTATATGAGAGATAGGGGTAAGTAAGGACATGGGATGACTTTCAAAGTTCAACTCCTCTCGACAACACATACGCAGATACACAGCTACATACATACCCTAAAAGATGAAGTTCACTCTCACCCAATTCTTCAAGTCTCAATTCACCGCCCTTCCGGAGAGCTCGACCTTTCTCCCCGACCTCTCCGGTCGGGTCGTGATCGTCACCGGCTCAAACGTCGGCTTGGGCTTCGAATGCGCCAAAGCCCTCTCGCATCGCAACCCATCCCGGCTCATCCTCGCCGTCCGAAACGTAGAAGCTGGAGAGGCTGCCGCGAGGGAGATCGTCAAGGCGAACCCTCCTGGTGCGGGGGTCAAGACAATCCCGGAGGTCTGGAAGTTGGATTTGGGGGACTTGGCTAGTGTCAAGGCGTTTGGGGAGAGGGCGGAGAAGGAGTTGGACAGGTTGGACATTGTCGTAAGTACCACGTCATTCAGTTTCGATTGGTTCTTCGAACGTCAAGAAAGAAATCCCAGGCTGATTCAACTTGATCCGAACGTTGATTGACTCAAATTCAGGTCTCGAACGCGGGGATCAGCACGGACGTATTCAAGCTTACCGTCGATGATTTCGAATCGACGTAAGCCTTTTCTCATCTCATATTCTCGCTACTAGCCTATGATCGAGCTCGAACTGATACTTCTGCTTCACATGACCTTACTATTCATGCTCTTGGCATCCTTTGCGTTTGACGTCTCCTGACGCCGGAACAGGTACCAAGTGAACAACATCTCCAACTCCCTCCTCTCCGTCCTCCTCCTCCCTCTCCTCCTCCGGACCGCGGACAAACCCGTTCCAGGATCCCAATCGAACTTCAAACCTCACCTCGCCGTGGTAGCCTCGGAGATGCATCACCATATCAGCGGGAAACTGCCAGGGTACAAGGAAGATGCCAGCGAGGTGGGACGGCATTTCACGGAGAAGGAGCGTTTCAGGAGTTTCGAGAGGTATCCGGAGTCGAAAGGTGAGTTCGGGTCGCTCATTCGCTTTTTCAGCACCTTCTTTCAGGGAAGAGCAAGCACGTTGATTTCTGGTCTTACTACTTGTATCGAAATTCAATCTGGGTGTTCAACATGCACAGCGATCAACGTCCTCAACGTCCAGACGCTCGCCAAATTAGCTGGGGATAAAGTCATCGTCAATTCTATCAACCCCGGGTTCTGTCATTCGGAACTAACGAGGAATTCCACTGGTATCATCGTCTATGTCATTGCGTAAGTACCAGTAGCGGTACCCTTTCTTCCGGACGTCCGCATCCAGATCCAGATCGACCTGACATTCGGAAACGTTGGGGATCGACAAAACTGACTCTGATGGTCATATCTGTGTGATCCCGCCCGGCGAATTTTTAGGTTTATGAAAGCGTTGATCGCCCGGACTACCGAGGCTGGGTCGAGGAACTTGTCTTGGGCCGCGACGCAGGATATGCCTTCGGGTAGTTATGTGGAGGATTGTCACGTGTCCGAGTAAGTCGATCATCTCTTCGCCGCCGCGTCGTAACCCCTCTGCCCTTTTCCTGGATTACACCTCGCCCTAACCATGCGATCTGGTACTGATCTTGCTCTCGTCGTATCTGATGTTTTCGCAGACCCTCTGATCTCCTCCTCAGCCCCGAAGGCCAAGCCGCCGGTCAAAAGATCTGGGACGAGATGAAGTCGATCTGGGCTTCTAGGCTCGGGGTCAAGGTTGACGGGGTCTTCTGATCTTCTCCGAGGGGTTTCTTGATGTTTCGCTGGAGTCTGGATTGATTTATAGAGAATGATGGTTTCAGAAGTGCTGTTCTTGTCTCCAGCGCTGTTTTTTTAGCCCGTTTACCTCGTGTATATGGGATTGATCGTATTTTATACCATTCTGCTGTCTTTGATTCTTCGCGATGAGCGCGATTGTCCTTTTGTACCACTCGCCGATTTGATCAGGGGCAGGATAGTCCTCAATGCTACGCAAGAGCTCACGTAAGGTCCACTGCATTTTGAACGGACAAAGATCACTGGAAGCTCGCGATACCACGTTCGTCATCTCAACAATCGCTCGCGTCAAGCATTTCGTAGGTAGCGCTTCAAACGAGGTAACGACGAGTGGCGCGCCCAGAAGAGGAAGGGTGGTATGTTCTCGACCGTTTTTTTTTTTCAGACAAGACATGTTAAAGGAGGTCGGTTCGGAACGGCGAGCGGGAGTCACGTGGTATTAATTCTGATGTCACTGGTGAAAGCAATATGTCTACATGTCATGGTACAGGAAGCTCCTTCTCAGATGCCTGGAGGAAGAAGCGAGAATCTAGAAGCGTTTAAACCGAGACGGTATATATCGCGCGTGTGGAATCGATCAAGGCGATTGCTCTTTTCTCAGTAACCTCAATGATCAAGCGCAGCTTCGAACATGCCATACATCGAACCGAGTCAGAGGTCTCTACTTTCGCCCCAAGCAGCATCGGCCGGGCAACAGGTACAGTATGGCGCTGGCAATCAAGGCTATCCGTACGGATCGGGCACAGTTTTCGAGAATCGCGAACGCCCGGCGCGAGGCGGTCTTGAGGCAGACCCTTACATGCGTGGTGAGTAACGGTGATGAACACATCTCGAAGCTAGTAAGCTAATCAAGCATAAAATTCTTGGGCGCATCATAGGAGGCCCGGTTGAACTATCGCCTGCCCTTATACGGCCTAATGGCAGACCGCCGATAGGAGGCAACAGAAGAAGCGCGCTTCCGCCCGAGGGCTTCATGGATGAATACAGGAACACTATCGGCGATTCCGGGTCTGTACATACGGGTAGACCGGAATTCAGCGCAGCGCGGACAATCAGTAGTAAGTTAACCTTGATTGACAAACCGAAAGATACAATGAGACTGATCCATGAGCCTGGTAGATTCGTCTGCCAGCGTTGCGCCTTCTCAAAGCAGCCCGGGTGAGCGGTCTCGTCTGGGCTTGTGGGAACTAGCACATCCTAGTAGGAATGACAGCTCCACTCATTCTTCCTCCTGATGAAACGGCGATTGCGATCAGATCACTACAAGTACATCATGTATTACCAACGTTACATATCCAAGTGCGATGAGTCCTCGTGTCCCGATAACGAAACAAAGTCCCTGGCGACAAACCGCTGTATTCCGAAGAACCGTCAACAGTGTCCTGAGAAGTTATTACAGCGTTCTTGGAGTGCGATGATGAAAGGAATCTCGCATGTTCAGCTTCTCTGTCGAAATTTATCAGGTGATTATTCTGAGAAGGTTCGTCAAGAAACGCTTCACCGGAAGCCATTGTGATACGATGAACATCATACATAATCCTCTAAGATTCCACATGACTGTTGAGCTATTCGATGTTATCTGTTTTGAATGGCCACAACACTATGACGTTCGCTCGCTTTCCCGATTGTAATCCGAGATCGTTGACGTCACAAACCAAGGATGTCACAATCTATCCAATCGGGAATCGATCTCGACGCACAACCTCCACGGCCCGGGTCAAGGAATACTGCATCGGGAAACAGACCAGACCTTTCCGACCTTGGATCCATGGGGAGTGCCGAGGCGCGGTGAAGTCCTGCTCCCGGCATCATCTCGATGAAAATCTTCAGATGGGGTGCTGATTGTGGAGATGTCCCCAGTATCCTGAGTCGGCCGAGACCCTGTGTCACCGAAGCCATATGGCACAACAAGATGGTGAATTATCAGCTTGTACTCCTAAAGCGCCAACTCTGGGCCTTCCCACAATATAGCTCTCAGTATAGCTGCGGCCCAGATTTCAAGTGACATACCGTTCCTGTTTCCCTCGCCTTCCCCCTTCCCGTTTCCCTCCTCTTCCCCGGTCCCAACAGGATGGTCAAAGTGGTCTCCAAGACCACCATCACCGGAGTTTGTCCTTGAAGAAATTCAAGCGATCAAGGCAAGTGTATAGTTATGCTTATGGCTATAGCCGTATCACTTATCTCTTTAAGCGGCACTTCGCAGCAGTCTCATCGACAGCCCAAACCAAGTGTTCCGAAGCAGGAAGCAATATTGTCGACCAGAGTACGAATAGTGATCAAGCCGGATCGAAGCGCGATTAGCCATACTGGTACCCTGCTCAGCTTTGTATTTACTGACCAAAGCATTGGGCCAATCGACTGACAATGCCGATGAGAATGGCTGCGATCAGATGCGCCGGTGGGCCCCTCGAGGCTAGTATTCGGACGGAAGGCTGATATCACGATGAAAGGCTTGCTACCCTTGTGAGAGAATGTCTTGCATCTGACAAGATGTTCTGTGCGCATGAGATCGTCCGGCGTGGAGCATCCGTTCCGAGCTGTTCGATTTGCTGGAGGAGACACCTTGGATGCTGGCAAGTCGTGAGGGGTACGTATGACCCTGCAGTACCCGAATGATTCTGAAAGATGGGCAGGCGGTCGTTGAATAGGGTGATTTCGCTTAGCGAGGGCTCGTTATCGCCGGCTATGTTCGGTGGTAAAGCGATGATAGCAGAATATGGTGAATTCACAATATAAATTGTTCATAATGATGTGATCGCCAAGAGACTCCAGACCGGCTTGGGTGGTTGAGAATCCTGCCGCGGCCGACAAAGGGAGTTGGATCTCTGATCACGATACCCCTGCGGTTCCTGTCCTATCGTCTGCGGTGACCTCCCTCATCGTGCTATCGCGACATCGACCTGCTGACATCCATCACAAAGGGGCACTCGGTCACCTAATATGGCGAAATCAATCTGTTGACGTCAAGATTCATCATCAGCCGGTATCACCGTTGTGAGATCCGCCCGCTGACTTCGATTTGGGCTGACAATTATGGCGAACATAATTTTGAGTTAAGTTATAGCTAATTTAATCAAGACGTTATCATGCCATTAAAGGAGAACATTGACCTCATAATGACGAGCTGACGAGAGAGTTTCGGCCGAAAACTGGATGATCCTTTGTTTCGGCATCCGGACATACTCGCATGGCCGGTCGGACGTCTCGATGGCCGGAAGGGGCTTGACGCGCTTGGAAGGGGCGAGAGCGCCACGGTTGGATCGAGCGGCGTTTCAAGTCGAGTGAAGGTAATGTCATGTGCGCAATAAATGACTAGCACGTCAGTATATTGTGGCTGTGGAAGTGGAGGCAAAAGAAACGCTGACGAACGAGAACGAGGTTTGCTGTTGCAGATCACCTTGACGCGATAGGCATATGCAGCAGAGAGGAAGAGGTCTTTTCAGTGAGTGAAAGGAAAACGCGCCGATGTTTGGACAGCCTTTTCTGTTTAGTCAGCCTAGGAAAAGTATAAATACCGAAGAGAATTGTGTGTTTGTGTCGAGGAAGAGCAAGTTACAATTCCCTCCCTCGTCAATCCCTCCTCTTCATCGAATACTTCCAATCGCTTGTAAGCACACAGAGGATATCATCATGCCTGGCTTTATCAACCGCAACAACGACGGCAGCGACGACGATGCCGAATCGTATGGGCAACCAGTTTACGCTGGAAGTGTCCACTCTGGATACCCTCCTTCAATCCCTACGGAAGCGTCGTCCGATGGTCAGCGGCCCAATACTGCCGAGTCGTACGGTCAAAGTGTTCGCCCTGAATCTATCCAGTCGGGACACTCTGGGTACCCTCCCTCAATCCCCACGGGCACGGGAGGACCGATGAGGCTTCCGGCGGGTTATCAACCGGGGCTGGACGGGTATCATCAATTCTCGAGCGCTTGGAGTAATACTGATACTACTTCCGAGTGTAAGTGCTATTGTTCTCGATTCAGTCCAAAGCAGATCAGATTGCTGAAACCTCGGATGCCACAGCCTCAAGGCCACCAACCAGCGCGAGTCAGGGACAGCAGTCTTCCCGAGGTGGAGCCGGTCGTAAGTGTCATCATTCCCGATCCAGTCCAAAGCGGCTTAGAATGCTGAAAATTCCGGATGTCACAGCCTCAAGGCCTCAAACTGGAGGGAGTCAGGGACAGTATTCTCAAGGTGAAGCTAGTTCGAATGCTGGCCAGGATCAGGAGAGCGACCACATCCGTCGCGACTGGCTAGCCCGTCGGCCCCCACCTCCGCCTGGTAGCAGAAGGGCCGCCTGGCAGACAAACACAGACGGGACCACTGCTTACGACCCATCAGGACAACCGATTTGGGTGGTTCAAGAGTATGTCCCCAATGCTCAGGGAAACAGAAGCTGGGTCAATAGGTACTACACTCAGCAGGCTGCAACGGACGCTGGGGAATACCATCAGGGCACAACTGCATCGAGGTGATACTCTTACGGAAAGCAACTTCCAGTTACGTCTTGTACAGAGAGCAGACTGAGATGCAAAATGTTATTGTTAGATGAAAGGAGAGAAGCGCTTCATTCCCGATGCTGCAATTCTATGTCCAAGCGTCCAAGCGTAAACATGAGCTTGCATTCGATGGGCTGACAGCCTACCATACAAAGAGACAAAGAGAAATGCAAAAAGGATGTCACGAACCAGGGGAGAGGGTTCCGGTTCTTGACCGAAGAGTTGTTGCAGAGCCAAACATTTTCACGCTGAAAGCATCGCGTCGCTTTGCGGCCCAGCATAGTCTCATTACGACGCGAGGCCTGCGCAGTTCTGCATGCGTCCCCCTTGAATGCACCTCGCTCTGGGAAGCAACTAAAATTCTTGGCTCGCCACTTACCTTTTGCTTCCATTGTCGCAAATGAAGTCAAATATTCAACCAACGACCCAAAGATTATCAGAGAGTCCTCAAGCCGAGGCCTCGGCGCGCTTTGAAAGGTCATAGCAGGAAGGAAAGACTGCGGAACAGGGCTCTGGGCTAGAAAGGGTGGGCTTAGCTTCTCTAAAGACCCGGATGAGTTCCGTTACTGTTCATTTACGGTAGCTCGGTTGCAATTCGGTAGTCCGCTGCCGAGATCAGCTCATGGTAACGCTTTCGGACCCGACATCTAATGTGGCTAAAAAGTATAAATACAGAAGTAGATGACACTGATCTCATTTGCCTTGCATACTCATCGTGATGGACATTTGTCACTATATCCTATTGAATCCTCGCAATACCGACATTTGCCAATGCCCGCCAAACGAGATCCCAACAAGAATCGCAGAGCTGTCTGTGATCAGAATAACTCCGAACCCAGTATTGCAACCATCGGGACCAGCTCCGCAGAGACAGAGGGTACCAGCAAACGAGACGAGTTAACAGGTATGACATATACAGTACTCATTCCCCCATAGCGTTTGTAAACTGAAAGAGATATACAAACAGTGGACGAGGAGCTAAAAATCACTATGGGTCCGGGACATAGCGAAAAGGATAGGATTGAGACAGATGAGGAGGATGGCGCTCAGGTTAGGAGCGGTGAATCTTCTATCCAGACACGCTAGTAGCTATCAGATCAATGGCATTTCATAACGTCGTAAATTAGGGAGGATGTTCTGTGTACTGTCATCATGTCAAGACCTATATGCACACCAGCGCCGTGTGAATACTGTATACGTCCAGTCTGTCTGGTCATTGTCCCCTGCGTCCGACTTTCAGGCGCTCAAAAGGAAACCCGAGGAAATTCTTGTCTGTGTACTGGAGTCATATCGGGACTGTCTCGTTGAAAGTCTGCGCTGCGTCGCGCATCATGCGGCAATGTTGAGGAGAATGTGTGACCGAGGAGAAGTTGGCGCGCGATTCACTCTCAGAAGAGGGCGTAGATAAAGTGAACCGTAGCGTGGGATATCTCTGAAGTATCCAACCCGCCCGGCGACAATCACCTTGATCACCTCAGGAAACAATGGCATGTGCAGACAGCCTCGGCCTACACATAACAAGCTTGACACGGCTACAGCCGCGTTTGATGAAACAGTACGCGCTAGTTTGGAGAGCTGAAAGGGGGGGGAAAGATACCTGTACAAGGCGCAGACAAGACAGGTCCGACGCGTATACGGTCGACATGACCGAGAAAGGGTTATACATACCCGAATCAGAGCCTCTCTGAAGATTACCTGGTAGGAACGAGATGAAGCCTATTATTGCGATACTTTCTGCTCTGATAGCCTCTGACAGGCAGTAGCGCGATCGGTAGGGTGCGAGAATATCTCTCATTGAGTCGATCTGCAGATCGCGGACTAAATCTCATCCACCAACCGCGAGGTGTTAACAGAGAAGCAGGGATTTTAGACCCCGTCGACTGATCGATACAGGATCAGTGAAGCCCGCAAAGTATAGAGGAATCGGCTTTGTCAAGCCGAATTCCATGATAAGAGGCATAAAGGAAGGCGCAACTTGTAGATAAGGTATATGAAGCGAGCGTTGCGATTCGAAGATTCGGAGTTACAACTATATCATGAACAAGTAAGATGAAGCTAATTCGTTTCGACCTTATCAGCAACAGGATCGATTGGGGAGACGTGTCCGAGGCGAAAGATAGGTCGGAGCTGACAGCCGTTTCTGAGCTTATTTTGCGACGACTCTTGATAAGATCTCTAGATGGACATAAAACCGCTCAGACCATCTGTGCAACATGTCTTATCGGATACGTTCAACTGTATCAAAGCCAGCCAGTCGACCGAACTTGCTACTGTCCGCCATGTCTACCAGCAATACCGTTGCCAGAAATCAAGCGCAATACAATCACCCTCCGGGAAGATCCTCTCGTAAGCCTCCGAATCAGCGTGAAGACGGTAAGTCCACCTCAATCGCCCTTACCTCTAAACGATAAGCTTACCTCGGACTTGTCTCTTCGCAAGCCCATTATGATGAAATGGCGGTGACTTTGGGCTTTTCTCCTGTAACACCGTCTACTTATATCCAGGAAGAAATCCGAAAGGCTGACGCTTCCACCGAACACCCGAGTTCGTATACAGCTTCTTCCAGAGCCAGCTCTACTCACGCACAAAGTATCCGTACCGCCAATGCTAGCACTACTCGCCGATGAGAGGCTTTTCTCGTTGACCTCTTCATTTTCGAATCTCACACGCCTGTCTTCGAGAGATCAGAATGGAAGCAGATAGATAAACGATGATTTACGCCATGTCTTGCCTCATTCCTCTTATGCGCGCTGCCATACTAGACTTCATGGTGTAAGAAAGTATGCCTACCCAGCGTTACGTGCTATATGTCGGCTTTGATCTGATAAGTTTGATCCGGGTCCGTGAGCTTCAGCAAACAGTAAGCTTAGATCTATCGTTTGAGCCAGAGGCATGCCAGCCTGAAAAGGTTGCCCTTGAAGCGCAGAAGGGATGGTCGTTAGAAATCTCAGTCCGTGAGGGGGGGGGGAAGTTTCAGCATAACAGCTGACCGCTCGAAGACTGTCAGCTGATATGAGCGTTTTCACAGAAGCTTCTCCTGTCAATAAAATGCTTCAAGTCACCTGATCATCTCTTATCTTTTGTCAAAGGAAGTCGCATGTTCTAGCTTCTCGACTATGCCCATCGCATGCGAAGTCGCACAATTATGTCTATATAATATATGACCGGAACCTTCACAAGAAGATCTCCTTCTGCAGGAAGACGAAAGCTGTCTCGGCAACGTACCCACTCTTCATCGCAATCCTAAGGCAACAACCCCCATCCCGTCGAACACGATGCAGAAAGACAAAGAAGAGTTACAACCCGTCAAAGAAGGCGCTTTAGATCAGAATGCCGTCCGACCCTGGCACCGACCCGGATCGAAAGGTTCCATCGAAGCTTCTTCGAGTGAGTGGCAAGTCCCGCTGAAGCGTCCAGTACACCTGTACCTTGCTAATTCTTGTCCGTAGATGCCCAGAATGACGAAGCTGTCATGCAATGGGATCCGGAGGGGTTCCCGCCAGGCGGGACCAGTTCGCCTTCCACCTTAGAGACAGATGAGCAAAGTGGACGAGGTGGTGAAACGTCAATCGAGTCCAGCGTCAAATCTGATATCGCACACTAACATGAGGCAAGAAGCTGTACAGAACGGCCGTCGTAGATCGTAGGAGAATGTTCCGGTGCTACGATGTTACGTTTCAGCTTCGCTGTAGTTCAGTCTGGCCTTTCTTGAGATACTACTGTACACGACTTTGTCCGCCTCCGGCTTGGACGCCTTGACTTCGGACGCCCAGTACCGGGTGATATGCTAGTTAACCTCTTCCTCGTTCGGTCGTAACATCTCATATTCCCACCATCCACCTCTACTCCCTGGAAATCTACAGTCCCGCCTTCTTGACCTTCCTCCTATCCACAGGGACCTCCAATTCCCCCGCCTCAAGCTGATCCAAGAACCCATTCGAGTAGTCCACGCATTGGTTGTAACACCTCTCAAAGCCGCTCATTCCTGATCCGTAGTAAGGGTCGACTATATCCACGGGTTTGCTCTTGGTGGTAGTGGAATTGGAGTTGGGGTCGAAGGCGGAGAAGAGGGAGACGATGGCTTGGGAGTTGGCAGGGCGGACGTTGTTGATATTCCGCAGGCTGAACATAGAGACAGACATCGGAATGAGATTAGAGAGAAGGGTTGGTGGTGGTAGATGGGCGACTCACTTCATCTGGTCCATAGCGAGGATATGTGTGAATTCGTGAAAGTCTTCTTTACTCAACGCTCTGGCGACCGAGTTTATCGGGACCTTGTGCTGAAATATCCACCCCAAAAGTCATCTTCCTGATCAGCTACCGTATTACGACGCTCGATAGGATACCTTCCAAATGTTGCGTAAAGTCTCTTCTTCTCTGCTCACCTTCTTACACGTCTGTACCGTCCGCTCGTCAGGATCGTCACCGACATGATAAGCCCCCGTCCCACATGAATCGATCTTGACGATCTTTCCCTGAATTTCGGGGTTCCGTTGTTTGACTTGAGCTTGGAAGACAGCTTCTGCCATCGGTGATCGGCTAATTCAGATGGAGGTGTAAAAGCAGCATGAGTGCAGGAAGAGTCGGGTTGCATGGGTGAGAATTGGTTTCAGATGGTTTGGCTCGACAGGCTTGATTTACCAGATGCTGTGACGTCAAAATGACCGATTATGAGCCGTGCGCAATTGGCCTCAACGGCGGTACTGATTCGGACTCACTTGCTGATGACAATATGTTCATGAGCGTAGAAATCCACACGCAATCGCAAGATCAGTGAGGTTTCGCTCGAGAATCCAGGGAGATTCGGGTGCGCAAGTGCTCACCCTAAACACACCATCAACACCTTGATCTCGCGATCCATCGATCCGTCTGACATCTCTTCAGGTTGTGAATCAGGTAATAACACTAATGTCTATCCTAGAGGGTTTCTAAAGACGATTAACAGCTGGCCGGCCCTGCATGTCAAAGTTTTGGTGTCATCGTAGATTTCATCGACCAGGGTTGACGCTCGATCGGGAGGATCGGTGACCTCCCAGCCCAGTCACTCACTTTTTGCCCCCAGGGCCGGCCCCCTCATCGCGGGATCAACAACGAAAACACGTCAACAAGTCCCGAGCGAGGCTCTCACCCATATCCTCCAGTCCTCTGATCGACTGATCAGAACAGCTATTGAACCTTCAGATACCTCTCTGTCAAGCGACACTTCTGCCTTCTACCAAAATCTCCCAACCACTTCCAACAGCATGGACAAATTCAGCAACCCCGCCGACTCGAAACCCTCCAAAACCCCTCTCGGGGTCACCGGTTCATCGACACCTCACAAGGCCGTGATCAAAAACGTCGACATGGCCGACAACATGAAGGATCGAGCCATCGAGTTGGCCACAGAGGGATTGAACAAGTATAGCATGGAAAAGGATATGGCAGAGTTCTTGAAGCGGGAATTTGATGCGCAGTATGGAGTCACTTGGCATTGCGTCGTCGGGAAAAAGTCAGTCGTTTCGTGACCTATATACGAGCTCAACCGTTATAGAATACAAGTATCTGACGGACCTGCTGCTGCTTCTTTATAGCTTTGGTTCTTTCGTCACTCATGGTACGCCTTACAATCTACTTCTACGACGATTATCCTACTCCGCTTGGTCCGATCTCGATTGATAGACCTGAGCTGACATCCTCGATGTGTTCGTTATGCGTCTTCCTCGCAGAGACAAACAACTTTATCTACTTTTACCTCGGACCCATCTCCATCCTCCTCTGGAAGACGTCTTGAATCCACTAAGGTTCGAGATCATCACGAGACCTCCCTTCTTCTCTGTTACGGACCATCCTTCCTTGCCAACAACCCGCATCAGCATTCTCATCATCAGTAACGACCATCTCCACCCCCCCCTCCTCCCGCTTCATCTTCCGCTTTTCTTTCGTCTCACCACGGACTCGGAGGATCGGGTCTTCCACCACATCTTGACATCATCTTCACTGCAACCTGGATATTGCCGACGTCTCCTCTTCTCAATCTCAAGGAACAAGGATCCTGCATGTAACTTTCCCCCCCCCCCAAAACCTGGCTACTCGACCTAGAATCACGTCAGCGGGGCTACGATCGATCGAAATATGACATCTTCATGACACCCCGCGTCGCATCCAGTTTCTTACTGTCGCTCGAGGGTAGGGTCGACAAGTAAGAGGTCCGGGATGTAGGGCCAATTGCCAGGTTACCTCGGTGTTAGGCTCGTCGATCGATAGCGTTGTTTGTATACCAGACGGCGGATTCGCACGAGCCGCGACCGAGCGTATTCGTTGCTCGTCAAATTGATACGCTTGTGCATGGTTGGGACCTTTTCGGCTAGATCTTCCGGAAGAGAAGGCCCCTCCTTGTGTGTCTCCCACCGCTTGTTGAGCTCTGCTTGTAGGCCACCACCTCCGTAGCCGTGGCGTCTGCCAATATTATTGGGATTCTGCAAGTTGTCCCCCCCCGGCTATGTAAACTTGACTACACCGTTCCCGACGCAAGAACAGGGTGTCTGCAAGTTGCTGAGCCTCGCGTGCGTGATCAATGGTGATCAAACGGGTATAACAGCCCTAGCTGTCGTTGCAGCATCGATGCGGCGACATGTATGAGCCCCGAGGTGTGAGATGATAACAGAATGCAATGACTCGAATCTAGACGTGCCCTCTTGAGCGATCGTCACCCTCTTTACAAGTTACAAAGATGCAAGATTACATTGCCACAGGTTTTTTCAAGACAACGGAGAACGACGGTCTTTCTCCTGGGTTTCTATGCAATGACCGCCGTCCGAGTTGCTTCCTGGGCTCAGGTAGGAGCGTTTGCGATTTCCTTACTTCCTTGTGGGCGGGTAGTGACTGCGATCTGTTCTCCGTGCCTTGGTTGTCTTTACTTTGGATTCATCTGGCTCCGATATAGCTTCACTTGTAAGTTTTGGATTTTCTTTTTTATCACTGATTTCTTTTCTTTTACGATACTCGTGCTTTCTTTCTTTTCGAGTCCAATTTCGTCGTCTAGGTCGTGTATGTGCGTTGCGAAGAGACAGGCTTGCGATCAGGCGTGGGTGAGAGGGTCGATACAGATGCATCCGCCGCCTTCACTCCAAGGGTAGCCATATCGTTGCAAGAACAATTTGATACCGGCTGCCAGGCGGTGTCGCGAAGCGCCGCGGCCAGTGTCCTGCGTGCCAACGTGTCTTTCATCGCCGACGACGATGTAGGCCAAACCGTGGAAGTTTTCTCGTTCCAGCTGTGATATAGGATAGACAAATAAAGCGTCAGTTGTGTCTCGCTTGACAGGACAAGGGATCGAGAACGCACCGCCATCAAAAAGTCTTCAAGAACGTCAGACGCCTCATTGGCATGCAGCATATGCAAATCGAGCAATACCTCGGTCCTCTCCGATGTCGAAAGGGACTCGGCTCCGGGGCCGAGGATGTTGACACCAGCGACTCCCATGATGACACCGAGACCGCTTGCACACTCCTTGCCCTTGCTGGATCTATCGTCGGGATCGTTGCTCCATTCGCCTCGAGCCCTGATCGCGTCTTGCGCTTGGATACGCCTCTGACGAACGAGATTAGCAGCGGCGTCCGCGGTCTCGACAGTCATCCTCTCGTTCAGGACGTTGGCCTCCCTCGAGAACCGTTTGGCCGTTGCACCATCTCCACGTCTCCAAGCCTCGGCAGCTCTCGCCAAGCAAGCATTTCTTGATTGTCCTAGCTTGATAGCGGCTTGACGGGCTTCCATATACATGTCGTTCATAGCTGCGCCTGTTGGCAACGTCGGCATCAAGGTAGGAGGTCGGAGTTTAATACGAGGCGAAGGGTGAGGCATGGGTGGGCCCGTCGACATGGGTCCATCCACACGACGTCGGAAGCCAGAGCCAGAGGAGAACGGTCGATGGCTCGGCGGGATGACCGGACCGCCTCGCTGTCCCCCGATATGCGTATATTGTGGTCCAGGACCTTGGACGGGCCGCTTGACGGCGTTGGCGAATCGGTTCCTTGAGGGATCGAAGACGGCGCCTCGCTGGTTCGAGGCCAGATGCAGGTCGGGGAACTCGTCCGTTCGCGTCCTTGGCCGAGATGTGCCGTCGTGCGAGAGCTCGATACGGGACATGGCATTGGTGAGCATGTTGGGGTCGACCGAGGGTAAAGCGTGAATGAACCTGATCACACGTAATGCGGTTTCAGCGACATGTCTATCGCGTCACTGAATCGAACTGCACTCACTCGCACTGGTCACCCTTGGCACACTGTCCGCGCAGCCAGAATCGACACAAGGCCCGATCAACATCGTGACTGAACAGGGTCTTGAATCAGTCACTGAACCAGACTCTCGTGAGACAAACGCGACCTACCTGAAACGACAATCCGACCTCCTGCATTCTCCGGCTAGATAATACCTGCACATCTTGAGTCCGCCTGGAGTCCTCGTGCCGCTTCCGCCGCCCATACCGAATCGAGGACTGGCGTTCCCAGGTCCGCCCATTCCAAAGTTTCCTCTTCCGCCATTCTGGTAGTACCCGCCACCGGGAGGCATATTCCTTTCCCTCGAAGCCGGTCCGCCAGGAGCGAACACATTGGGCCTGTTGTTCGGCACGTGATGTCCAGGTCCATCCTCACGACCAGGCGTAAAGGCGCCCGAATTGCCGGATCGCGTGCCTCCATTCTGCGAGATCAACAGGGCCATGGCTTCTTCGAAGTTGTACCCGGTCTTGTACAGGGCGTCTTCGAGGTCGCCAACAGGCAACGAGGTGAAGACGGATTGCAAGACATCGAGCGGAGTCATGCCTTCGCCGAGATAGTTCGGGTCGTCTGGACCAGGACCAGGAGGGAAGGGAGATCCGCCCGGTGTCATCATCCCGCTCGTCATCGAGGCAAACTCGTCGTTTCCCCCATAACCACCTCCATAATCGCTCGAACGTTGTTCGCCGCCACCGCCACCTCCACCAAAGTAACTCCCGCCCAACGGCTGAGGTCCGTTACCAGGACTAAATCCTGCAGGTGAGCCCATCCTCACAGGAGGCCCAAGTTTAGTGGGATCAAAGGCTTTAGCGGTAGCTAACAACTTGGTCGCCGGCGATCCCCTTTGTCCACCGTTACCGCTCTGCATCTCGTCATTCCCGAAGGGCGAAAACTCGTCATCGTCCTCGTCGGGCAACAAGTGCTTGTGTCGATTCATCGCGCTCGTGCTAAAGATGTCGTCCACCCCTTGATCGTCCGCATCGTGCAAATTCTGTTGCTGTCCCGTCGAATCGCCCGAAGATGACGTAGGTCCGATAGACCTGGGCTGGGTAGGCGTAGGGAACGGGTACCCACCATCCCCCTGCCCTTGTCCTTGATCGCCTGATTGTGTTTGAGCCGACTGACCTAGTCCGGTGAAAGACGATCGACGAGAGATCGGAGGTGTACCCAAGGGGGAAGCGATCTTCCCGAACGCCGAAGCCCACGGATCAGGTCCTCCAGCGTTGAAAGGCGCGGGAAGATGCATGCCCAACTTGGGTCCTGTTCCCGTGGGCGTAACGGCGCCCGACCCAGGCGCGCTCATCGTGTTGATATTCAATCCGTGCAGACCACCCGACGCTCCGTTATTATGACCCATCAACGACCCTCCCGGCGAAAATGTCCCCGAAGCCTGGTTCGAGTGTCCGAAGTTCAACGTCCTGTGGCTCAATTGCGGACTACTTGCCGGACTAGCCATAGGGCTGACGGCCGAGTTGAACCCCGCCGATCCGTACCCAGCGGCACCCAGGACCGAACTCGCTCCGACCGCTTGTCCGCCGATCGACTGTCCACTGATCGCTCGGGTCGACTTGGGACTCCCCGAACCGATGATCCCGATCCCAATACCCGCACCGAGCCCCGCAGCCGGGGATTGCGGTCGACCGAGAGGAGTCCTTGCACGGTAAGAAGGGGCTCTGGAAGGCGTGAACGGTCGAAAAGGTTGAGCGTGAGCCGGGATGGGGGAAGCTTTGGGTCTGATCGGGGTCACGCTGAAAGGTGTGTAGGGCACGCTATCGACGTCGTCTAGCAAGGTTGAACGCGAGCTCATCAATAAGGTGTCTTCTCGTGGGTCCGTGATCTTGCTATTAACTCACCCTTGTGCTTGTGCATCAGATCCAAGCAGACCTGATCGATATACGACTCGTCCTGTACCCCACGAACAGCCCATCGAAAAACCTTCATCAGCCATCTCATCTATGCACGCCATCTTTGGTGCGACTCACGTTACCGAGCACGCCTAACCTCTCCTTGACGACCGCCTTGACCTCTTCCTCCTTTTCGTTCCCCAGAAGATCGACCACTTTCCTGATCAACTCTTCCCTCTGTGCGCTGGGAACCGAGGTCGAACCCGAAGTTCCGTGTGAAGAGTGTTGTTGCGGGATCTCCAACCTCAACCTAGGTTCCCGCTCGTGCTCTTCCCCTTCACCTTCGGAGCCTGAGATATCGACGGAAGGGGGTGAAGAGGAACTGGTCGATTCCCTCGAACGACCTTGTGTCTTCTCGGCATGACCGTCTTCAGCCTCATCCTCGTTGTCATTGTCGTTATCGTGAACGTCCGAACTGGCACTAGACACGCTCAAAGGATGTTTAGCCACCTTGGTCCCTCCGACCCCACCTTCCTGCAGAGTTTCCTTGCCATGACCCTGAGATTGACTTTGAGCCTGTGCGTTCTCCTGTTGAGCGATCTGTAACAGCGAAGCGATGTAGTGCGAGAGGTGCGGGAATTGAGTTGCCAGCGGAGATGGAGTTATGGCGCCGTGCCCTAATGAGTTGTTGGCGTTGAGGTTGGATGGAAGGAGGTTGGATGTTGATGAGGAAGAGGATGTCGAGGTGGATGGGTAGTGTGTGCCGGTCATGATGATCCGAACCGATTCAATCCGGAATAGACGAGCTAACCGAGTTGATGCTGAATCGATGGAGAGGTACCGTTGGGCCTAAGTGCTGTATGACGAGGTCAACGAGGAGATGTAAGTCAGTACGACGTTGATGGCAAAGTTTTTCCCCCGTACACGGCTCTGATGAGCTCGTCTTCCCGCCTTTCAAGTCGCCGTCGAAGCGAGCTGGGCATGAGGATCGGGAGGGACGAGCGGGAACGGGATGTTAAAGGCAAAAAGCTGGAGGTAGATCCACTCACCCAAAGCAGCAACGATCAACGTGTCTCTCTCTCTCGCTTCCCTCTAGCTGCCGTGCACCAAATTGCCAAAGTGCCTTTGGATTATCCCGCTCTCGGGGTTTCCTTCTCTTGCGAACGTAGACAGGATGTGGCTAGGGTCCTTTCGTTTCGAGTGAGATGCCGTAGGAGCAAGATGATGTTGTGATGTTGCGATGAAGTGTAGGTAGATGTGCTACGTCGCAGGATAGAGATCTCTCGAGCTAGGCTAGGCTAGTGCGGTGAGGTTGGTCGCCCCGCGTCGATCGCAAATTATCCCTCGCAAAGAAGGTCGATCACCCTCGTCTTGTGTGCGACTTGATCAGATGAGCAGGTCGATAGCTCGCTATACCGTGTGAGACTGGTCTTCACAATCAGTCCTTGAGTTCTGGCGTATTACAGCCTGGATCGTGAATATGAGCATGCGTAAGTGAGATCTAGATCTGGTCTGAATCGCTTACTGCTGCCTGCTGTGTTGGAGCGATGACGAACCATCCAACCCCCTAGAAACACAGAGCAGAGACTCGTCGATGACCATCGTCCAAGCCATCGCCCCCGCTAGACTGACGACGTCGATCATATACGCAACAAGTAACAAGGTCGATCGCACACAGCGAAACTATTGACAATACTCGTCTGTTTCTGTTGGTTTCCCTATACATTCGCGCTCGATTACTCTATGCGGGCATCTAGGTGACGAAACGAGAATCTCGACGATGATGCGTGATCATCGGTGAGGAATTAGGAACAACGATGATGAGACCTACAGAGATACACATCCTGTGTCGCGTTACGAAACCACTTTCAACCATTACAAAGAGTAGACCAAGCAGTACCGTAATTCTCCATGGCCTGCTCCAGAGAGGTAAAGGCAAGATCACTAGCATCAGGAACTGATTTTCAAAATGGATTGGTTTTGAGTGTTCGCGACCTCTTCGATCACATAAAATCTCTCGGTCATCTAGAAATGGTACTGGCATGTGTCTGAAGTGTCCCGAATCGTGTCTGTATGACAATATCAACGCCACGGACGAAAACTCCGGTCTCACGAAAGTCGTAATCCTCCATCAATCCGGTACCGTGAAGGCGCCCCGGATCTTTACTGCTCCATCAAATCGATTTTTCCCCAGTACAGTACGGTTCTTTCGCCGCTGAAGCCTGGTCTGCACATGTGATTATGCGCACGCCATTGCGGTCGAGACCCCTTAAACGCTCAATCGAGATCGTCGGAGGATCAAGCCAGGCTAGAGGCGATAGTCTAGAGATCTATAGATGTACGGATGGATACCTATGAAGTACCTCATGCGAGCAAAAACAGCTGCAGCGTGAGCAGGAACACTAACAATGTCAGGACCAAGATGCCCACATCCCAGGTCTCAATATCATCAGAATTATCACCCTACCAGACCATTGCCACCACCATGTTCCATGCCCAGATGTACAGTCCCGCCCCTAGTTCGTCGGCCACGTGTCGATTCATCTCTGATTCAGGGAGGATCCAAGTATGCGATTGATGACAACGGCAGACCTGAGAAATCGCGGTGATACGTCGACCCGAGGGAATGCGATAAATCTTGTTGACTCAATAATAGACAGGAAAAGGCGATATCGGAGGGGTATAGATGAAGCAGCAAACTTGCATGTAAAACGTAAACGTAAACGTAAACGTAGCTTTAGATATCGGACTTCGGGACTCTTGTCTTCAACCGTTGGGGCTGATCGGTTTTTTCTTTGCGCACCAAGGGCGGCCATTTCGGTCGAAACACTGCTATCTGCATGTACAAAGCCCTGAGCGTACAAGCTACGCTATCAATCATGCTACGCTATCAATCATGTATAAGCAATCAGGTCGCGTTGATGCCTTCAAGTAGCTCGATCGGAGTTATCATGATATCATGATGAGATTGAGCTTCATTATATATAGCCTCTGTGATATACGATACGTAATACACCTGTTACCTAGACGCAACGATTGAACAACTACAGTAGCAGACGTAGTCCGCCTTCTGAGCGGGTCTTTACTACGACTACGTAAGGAAACGGTGACTAGGGTGGTCATCGCCCAACTCGATGATCTCCTCCCGGGTCATTCCTTCTAGACCCCACCTCTGCTTGTACTCGTCGCTGTCGATATCGTCGCCCCGGATCCCGCGCTCCTCTTCCTCACTCGAGGCATAGGAAGGCGGTTGTGTCGTCAGGGATTCGGTGATAGGACCGAATCTCTCGCTACGGATACGATTCTGACGGCGCAGGCCAAAGAAGAGTATGGTTGTGCAGATGAGACCCATCTGTAGCGATTCATAACGATTTATCGAGTATGGGCGACTCATCAGCATTTAGTTTGATAAGACAGCCGGGATGGAAACTGACCACGTTGAAGCCCAGCGAGACGGCATGACCAGGAATGAACCGAGGTGCGTGCTCCGTCCTGTAGATCTGGGAAGCGACGATTCCTCCAGAGTTACCTGATGAGTTGCCCGCACAAGTTGCTCAAGTCAGCCATCGAGCGATGCAGCTGAAGAGGGGAAGAGACAGAGAACTTGACCGAAACTCACCGAGCGAGAAAGTGAGACCCATGGAGGTGGCCCGCTTGTAGTGGTTTCCAAACGTGTTACCAGCCCAAACGATAGTCGTAGCGATGCAGGGTGCGATACCGCCGATGACGATGAAGACGGCAAAGTAGAGGACGCCCTGCAGTGAAGGGATGATACTCAGTTCAGATTCGTTGGCAGAAGATCTAGACGCGGCACTCACGGGACTGCTCAGCGGCACAGCCAAGAGCAAGATGTAGCCGATGATCGAGACGGTGAACCAGAACAAGAGGAAGAAAGCCCTTTTCCCCCACTTGTCGGACAAGTACGCTGTCGCCATCGTCGTGCACAAGGCAAACGCGAATGGCGGCGTACTCAACAACAAGCTCTGCGGCCTAGACCATTTCCCGAGATAGCTGATGATGGTCGGAAAGAAGATGCTGCACGAGTAGATCGAACAGGCCGAGGAGATGTAGAGCAGCATGAAGCCCCATGTCTTCCAGTCCAGACACGCCCTACGGACGATTCGCCAGGAGAAGGTTCCCTCATTCTGGACACCGTTGTCCACTGCGAGTCGATGCAGTACGCAGGCTCGTTCGAGAGGAGTAAGAAAAGTCGCCTCATTCGGCCAGTCGTAGACCATCCAGATGGAGCCGACGCCGACAATGAAGGTGATGAGACCTTCAATGATGAACTGCGGATGGGCCGAGATGTGAGTCAGCTTCAAAGGAAGGAGTGAAAAAGAAGCTACAACGCTCTGGAGAACAGCTCACAATCCATGACCATCCGTTTTTGCCACCGACACCTTGCATCTGAGAGAGACCGTCTGTGCAAGCGCAATGTTGTCAGCTCCTCGAACATCGATAGCACGCATGTAGCCAGCTTGGGAACTCACAGCCGAGGATACCTCCGAAAGCACTAAAACGCGGATCGAGAGGATCAGCATCTCACGTGCTTGACGATTCTCTGATTGTGCAAACTCACCCTGCCAACACGGCTCCTGCGAAGAAGATCGAGATCCGCTTGGAGACTTCTTTTCTCTATCCAACACCGATCGCAGTTTCAGTTCGATGCCGCGGAGGTTGAAACCAGGGCGAATCCCAGGACCACTCACTCGGTACCACCCAGTCAGATACAGCGAGATTCCGGGAAACAGCCCACATTCGAACAGACCGAGCAAGAGCCGAAGAGCCAAGAGTTGGCCGAAGTTCGTGACCAGTCCCACTGTAGAGAGTCATATGGAAATCAGTCAGGATGAAACTCGACCGATATGATAGGGTGTAGGGAGAGCGGGACGTACTGCACACTTGTACGATGGCCCATGCGATGACGATGAATGGGATCCAACGGCTAGGTCTGCAGAATTGATGGGGCGAATGTCAATCGGTCGGGACAGAAGCGTTGTAGTGCATTGTCTGTCTGGACTTACCGGACCTATAAATCCGGCAGAGACGATATTTTCAATGGGAACGTAATCGTCAATACTGGTCGACACGCTAATCCCGCAGGAACAGGTTGCAAAACCAACCTTTTTGAGAATCAGATTCGAAGGAACCTCGAATACTGCACAGATCAAGAAGATTCAGCGCTTTCCCACCTTCCTCTCTGCACTTGCAGTCGTCGACTCACAGACATAGGTGATAAAGAACCCGGTACTAATCAAGTTGAACTGCGAAGCCGTCATCCCCAGATCTTCCACCAGACCGGCGAGTTTTGCGGTTCCGACGTTGACTCGGTCGAGGAATGACATGGTGAACAGGAGCTGTATAGGGGTGATCATCAGCGCGTCGATCATTTGCGAACAGGCGATCCACCTTGATGGGTGTGGTTCGCTACTTACAGTCATCCAGGGGACGATCTTCATGTCGCACTTCCAAAGCAGTTTCTTCTCAAACGCCTGATATTCCTCCGGAGACATCGCCCTGAGTATCTGAACATTCTGTTCGTACTCGGCGTCTGATTCATTGATTTCCGAGGGCTGCTCCAAGGCTAGACGTTTCTCGTCCATGACCGAATGGCCCTTTTCGAACCCGTTGCTCGTTGCTGTAGACATGATGTTAACAAGCGCTGATCCTGGTCCTGATCCTTGTCGTTTCGTCTCGAGATTGAACCGGGCCGAAATCGTTTCCCGGGCGAGGTTTCCTCATGTTCGACAAGTGGATCGGGTTCAGCTCCTCGTTATATACCGATCGTACGTCTGGCCCGAAATTCAAGTCATCGCATGAGATTTCAGAATCTAGCCGAGGCTGGAACTGATCTTTCGGGTCAGGGAGACCAGCTGATGATCTGCCCTAGTTCACCACATGGCCACGATGAAATGCGGGGCAACGGGTATGATCTCCCGGACCAGAGTCGCAAAATCACACACTCCCGCCTTCTGGTTGGTCGACGAGTCAAGGGCGGCGCGCGCTAGCCATAAAAGTCGCACGCTCGGCGTTCGTCCGGCCCGGTATCGACGGGTGTGAAGGGAGATGTATGACGATATCACATCCAGGTTTCAACTTTGACCAACCGGGTGTGCGAGAGTTTGGTACGAAAGTCCAGAATACAATGAGCGATGCAAACGTCATGTGCGGACGGAACCGTCATGGTACAGAAAACATACTCAATTCTCACGTTCCACCTGAAACCCCAAAATCTGCCGGCTATACCAACCCATACTTGTTCCTGCCCATCCTCTCTACGATCCCTCTCAGCCAAGTAGCATCCACCCACCAACCCATCTTGTACGGCCATTCCGGGAGGACGACGATGTTCTTGGGAGGCACCTTGATGAACGGCAATTGGATCTTCAAGAGGTCCCTGAGGAAGGGGATCGGGATAGGTAGATAGAGGACGAGCGGAGAGGATTTGGGTGGGAGGGATGCGTGATAGATGATCGAGTCGACCGCTAGCAGACCAAGGCGATACGATTAGCCATTGCAGCTACAAGACGAGCAGATACAAGGGAACTCACTGTCTTGCACAGACAAGACCTTTCCGACCTTCTCACTCTGCGCATCCGCCAGCGGATCCTTCTTGCCTCCCTTCTTCATCGCGCTGGTGGATTTTTCCCTGAATCCCGTATCGATCGTCCCAGGGCAAACCGCTGCGACATACAGGAAGCGGGCGCATCCGGCATGCAGCAAAAGCGAAATAGAGTAGAGCACGGTCAGCATCGGCATATCCACTATCGAATTGCAGGGAATACATTCTCGAAAACTCAAACTCGAAACACTGCATAAGCGAGAAACCCACCTAAGAACCTAACTCCACTCCCCTTGCCCCCATCCCGCGCGCATTCCACCGCACATGTCTTGAAAGCGGCTAAACCAGCTGTCTTGGTGGCCGAGTACAACATCCTCGTCGGGGCCGGGACGAGGGCGGCTACGGAAGAGAGGTGGTGGATGAGCGGGGAGGGGGAAGTTGATGATAACAGGGGGAGCTGAGAGTGTAATAACGATGAGATGAGGTGAGAAAGGGTTTGACGACGCAATCAGTATATCACGCATGGTAGTGGAAGGCCTAAGCGGCACCAATCGAGACTCACGAAACACCCCACAGAGAGGACCACGCCATTCATGTTGATCGCCGCCAACCGCATCCCTTCCTCTTCCAACTCTTTCAACGCGTCGTTTTCCGGTAGCGATCTCTCCTCGACCGGGGTGTCCCTTTCTCCGCCAGGTACAAATCTGTGAGTTCTTGCTGGCGTTGCTACAGAAGGAGATCGTGACGAGGTCGATGATTGAGAGGTGGCGGGCACCATATCGAGCCCGGTGGCCTGGTAGATCGTCTGCGTGGAAGGTACTCCGGAGATGATATGTAACGTATCTAGCCTGCCCCATTCTATTTCAAAAGCACCGGATAAACGAAGATCATCAGCATGATTAGAATCGTAGTCTTTTATGGAAACGACTGAGACTAGATGGAACAAAAAGCAACGGATTTAGGACTTGCCTTGTACGACCTTTTCCCTGACCTTGGTCAGATCCTCAGACGAGCTGATATCCCCAGTCATGTATAATACTCTGGATCGAGCTTCTTCAGATGAGACACCCTTCTTGGAGGTTAACCGGGTGATGAGCTCGTCCTGTACGTGTTAAAGCTTGGATTCCGTCCGAGCGACTAGGAAGCTGTAGCAATCGATCAAAATTGTTTATAAGCGCCGGCCCTTTATGTCCCGAGACCCGAAGTTGTGTCATTCAGATACTCACACTTTGGCCCCACGTTTTAGCACATATTCCTCGGCCAGACCTTTCCCACATCCTTCGCTTCCACCGAGAATGAGGACATGTTCATCTTTCGGCTTGATGATCTGTTCGCGTGTCTGGGGAGGTGGGAAGACGTAAGGGTTGAGTAGCAACCCGGCGGCGAGGAGCGCTGGTAGGGTGTATGAAGATGTCTTAATGAGTTCCATGATCGGGCTCCAATTTTGGTTGTATCGAGCTTGGTCGAAAGGGTTGTCTTTGAGACGACCAATTGAGACGATTTGCAGGTTGATTGCGTGGTTATGGGTCAGCCCTCGTAGTAACCGGGTCGATCGATCGATCCGAACGTCACGTGACTTCGAAAGTGCAACACACTCTCCGTCCCCGTCATCCCCCACGACTCACTTCCACCACCCACTTGTTATCCGATATCTCTCGATTCGTAGGATCTGCCCTCGTCTCTCTCATCTAGTATCACAGAGCATCCTTCTCGTATACACGTAGATCTCACAACGAATCTGCAGCATGTCCAATATTCCCCCGTCAATGGCGGCCCAGCCCACGGCCGAGGTCGTCCCTATCACCACCATGCTATTCAACACGTTGGTCAAGGACAAGGCGTTCTTGTTCAACGCCGTTATCGCAGGCCTGCTCATCGGTTACTACCTGATCTGTAAGTCGAGCTTCAGACTACAGAGTCGATTTGTTCGCAACGGCTGACGCGAAGTGAACGGTGTGGAAATAGTTGGAAGCCCGATGGATGAGCCCAAGGTCAAGGGGAAGAAGGGTGATCCGAGAGTCGTCCTCGTCGGGCCTTCAGATGCTGGCAAGACTACCATCTTTACCAAGGTATGCCATACCTATCTTATTCGTTATACGATCCGCTGCATGCTGACACCTCGTCTTTGCGCTCTACTATTGGGACTCCACCTCTCAGCTCGTCTACAACGAATCCCCTCATACGCACACTTCCCTCAAACCAAGCACGTCCGTCCTTCGTCTACCGGACAGTGACAAGACCGTCAAGCTCTCCGACTTGCCCGGACATCCCCGATTGAAGGAGTCGGTACAGGCGCTGGCAGGGCAGGCTACGGCGGCGGTGTTCGTTTGCGACGTTTCGACTTTGATCAAGAACGGAGCTTCGGTAGCCGAGTGAGTTCAGGCTTGAGAACTAACAGTCTCGTACGGGGCCGGCCAGGTTGGACCTGGTCGTACCCGTCGCCGTCGTTATTGTCTTCTCGTTGAACCGTCGACTGACCTTTGTATCTGTTTTGCCCTTTTTTCCCACTTACAGGGAACTTCCTGCTGTCCTCACCCGACTCGCCGCATCCTCCCTCTCTTCCTCGTCGGCTCCTATCCCCCGACTCCTGATCCTCGCTCACAAATCCGACCTCCTCTCCCGTTCTTCTACCAACGAGAAATCCAGCACCTCGACTCTTGATGAGAAGACCAAGACCACCGCTATCGAACGTACCAAGCTCATCCTGACGAGGGAGATGGACCGTCTCAAATCCGCCCGTGGGACCACTTCGGGGCGGATCGAAGGGATCTCTCAGGTACCCCTCGCTTCCACCCCGTCCTCCTTCTTCGGTATCAGACTGAACCTCAACCCGTTCTCGAGACGAGGTGCTGCGGGATCGAGCAAGCCTACGGTGGTCAGCGAAGAAGGGATGGACGAGGCGGAGATGATGGTCTGGGGTCAGACGGGACGGTTCAGCTGGGACGAGGTCGAGGGGGTCGACGTGCAGTGGGCGGCGAGCGGGATGACGAGTGCGGCGGCGAGCGCTGGGAATGATGGACTGGAGGATGTACGGAGGTGGTTGGCCGATCTATAAGCGATATCGATTGTGTCTACGTAATTTGGAAACAAAAGAGGATACACGTATCGGAACTATACTGATACCACAGAACTATGTTGAATCAAAGGGCGTCCCGGTCGGCTCGCTTCTTAGCGATTTGCATCTTCAGATCGGCGAGGATCCCTTCGAGGGCCTCTTTCTGACTTTCGAGAAAGGCGATGTCATCATCCAACATTTGAACCACCATCTGCCTGTCGATGGTGGGCTTCGAGGGTTCGAGCAATTTCTCGATGATGGGGAGTACGGGGGCAAGCTTCCTCGACGTGCTCGCCAGTCCAGCGGATGGTCCAGCGCTCGCCAGTCCAACGGATGGTCCAGCGTTCGCCAACGACGACGGTCCAGCGGTCGCCAACGACGACGGTCCAGCGGTTGCCAACGACGACGGTCCAGCGGTCGACGACGGTCCCGGGTAAGATGGCATACCGTACGAGGGGACAAAGTCCTCCCGCAACGGCAGCGCCGACGAAGGCAGCGGCGACGATGGCTTGGGCCTGATGTAGCGCTGTAGCTCCGACGGGGCGAAGCAGATGCTCGGAGGGAGTTTCTTCGACTCAGGCAGATCGGCGACATGGCTGTTCTCACTGCGTTCTCGCTTCCTCTGCTTCGGCTTCCAGTCATCAGTTCCGCCGGCGGGGCCTCCAAGTCCAAGTTTGGGTACGGATGGTGCGCTAGAGCTGGGGGTAGTAGTCCCGATACCGAAGTGACCCGCGGCTCGAAATGCCAAAGCCAGTCGGCTCATGGTTCTCGGGGCAGGAGGTGGAGGGGGCAACACGCCCAAGATCTCCTCCTCGGTGTATCGTCCGATGAGTTTTTTGGGCGCGTCGGCAGGGATGAATCGAGTGATCTCGTTCTCAATGGTGAACGGATGGTCCTTGAATGCGTCGTCGAGGTTGAGACGAGCGGCAGAGAACGCGGTCTCTGCAGCATCGCCGTCCGCCTGTGTTCCACGATAGATGTATCGGATTTGATAGCCACTCCCGTCCAGAGTCTGTTCGACCTCGGTCGGCCAGGGCTGTACAGAGAGAGTCGCGCGTAGACGGAACACCTTGTTAGCGACTTGCTGGACAGTGCGTTCCGTTCCAGCGTGGACGTACCTGTACGGTGAGGGTCATGTTGATGACATTCTCCAATTTTTTCGTAACCTCCACCGCCTTCTTGTCCGCCGCCTTCTTGAATTCCGCCGCCCTCTTGAATTTGACGACGAAGTCGCTTTGCCAGTGATCGGGTAAGAAATTGTCGAACTCTTTGAATTTGCCAAGCAAGGGTCTTTGCAAGTTGGCGTAGTTCTTGTCACGGTGATGACCTTCCAAAAGGACATAACCCTTGCTCGCGGTCTGGAATTCCATACCTGCAAGACGAGAGAAGATGTTATTATAATATGAGCTACCTTCCAATGGCGGCGTCCAACATGAACACGAACCGGCGATCTTGAGCTCGGCCGCTCCCTGCGTAAACTTATGCAGGATGTTCGTCGCTCTGGTTACCGAGATCTTCATGTGTGGAGGGGTATTGAAGGCCGCCTGCGAGGAGTAGCGTTTGACCAGCTCAGACAATTCGAGGTCGCGGATTCGTAGAGGACCGTCTCCCGCCTCGAAGGCATTGGAGCAGCGGGGAGTAGCCGGAGTAGCGAGAGTGGACATGGTGTGTATGTACGTGTATGAATGCGGTTGTGATATCGGCAGACGAGGTCGGTGTTGTACAATCGTCTTCTCTCGAACGTCCTCGATCTTGATCTCTACTCGTCCTGCACCTCGATATCCACCCGCCCGCACGCCGCACGAGGATCCCCAAGCGTTCGAGTTCCCCCAACCCAACCCCCAACTTCCCCCGTTGCCCCAAACCGACTTGCTCCGCTTGCCTTGCGTTGCCTTGCATCCGCGACGCTTTCCCACGCGTCGTTCATCGTGTTTCGTCGTCGTCGTCGTCTCTGCCTGGTGTCGATGTCGGTGCGAATGCTGCTGGCCGTGCCGTGCCTCTTCTCATCCTCCGAGTCCACTTTCACGTGACGCGTCGTCGTGTCACCCCGCAGCCCGCAGCCTCCCTTGAGGGAATCGCATATATATATCGACCCACGCTTCGTCCTTTCGCCACCCCCCCGTCTCTTCTCACTTCTTCTCATCACCCCAACTCGACTACGACTTGCGATGGATTCGGCGAGCAGCAAACAAGAGATCACGGAGAATCACCATCGGTTTGTCCTTCTTGTGCTTCTTCTTGTTCTTCTTGTTCTTGTTCTTCTTGTTCTTGTTCTTCTTGTCCTTGTTCTTCTTGTCCTTGTTCTTCTTGTCCTTCTTCTTCTTCTCCTTCTTCTGCCCTATTGTTTGACGCGAAGCTGATTCGATCATCCTCTCGCGTCGATCCATAGCCAACCGACCCGGATCGACAATTCGACTTTCCGACATCCGGTTTACTGTCCATGTTCCTTTGAAATCTCCCACGATGGAGACGTAGCGGGAACCTCTGGTCAGGAACGCCGGACGAGATGACGGTCCTCTGCTCTATGCACGCAATCTCCTCTGGAGTTGTAGTGACAGAGATCGAGTTCCCTTTGAAATCTCCCACGATGGAGACGTAGCGGGGAATATCAGAGGACCGCTCGTCGACCGGTTCACGGCGCACGGTGTTTGAAATCTCCCACGATGGAGACGTAGCGCGCCTAGCCGGAGAGATCCTCGATCACTTGGTGCTTCCCCCGATCGCATGGGGGTCGATTCACCTGAACCGTTTCAAGCAGGCGAGGCATGATGTCCCGGTACTACACCGAGATAGTATCCGGTACCGGGATCCCTCCACGAAGAAAGCCTTTTGCTTTGCTCGATGAGTCCGGTATCACAATCAACGGACTCGTGAGAACGGTGACCGGCGCTCAAGCTGCGAAGCAGGTCCGGAAGTCGTACGCCGCTCCCAAACGGGTCGACTTCGTATCCATAAATCGTAACCGGGTGCCGTTCGCAGCGGGCAATGGAGACTTCGGGCTCGTAAAGGAGGAAGGAGTGGACGGGATGATTAATACCTAAGACCGGGCCGGAATGAGTGTGGTTGCTCTTCTGATCTTCGTTGCTGATCGCGCTCTTGCGCCCAGTTTGTCGTCGCGACCACCTTGTCAAGAGGTCGTCCATCGGGAACAGTGGTCTAGACCCAGTCGAGGAGTCATACATCGCCGGCGTCCTGGCCGTTACCTGGTGAGTCCGTCTTGCCACTTCCACGCTCTGTTTTCCCGTATCGACCTTGTCGCTGATCGACGTCGATGCTTCCTGGGCCTGCCTTTCTAGCCGTTTACTTTCATCAGAGCGGCAAGGACCGTCCAGCATATTCGTCACCTCCGGGTCCGACGGCGACTTGTGAGTTCATGACCTCTTCCGGCTTGACGACAAGGCACTTTGGTTGATCCAGATCCTTCGGATACGTAACCTTTACAGCGCGCAATCCACCATTCGACGATCAAGGCGTCCCGTCGAGGTGTCAATACTCTCTTGTCACAATGACATCGGTAAGTCGTCTTACGCAATCGTTCCCACCGATACTTGCGACAGGATTGTTGACGCGATCCCGATAAAATCCTTGCGACGCCAGGCAATTCCGGTTCGAGCCACTCCATCATTCTCCGTTCGACCGGGCCCGGGAGGGATAGGGGAGGCATACGTCAATGGTTTCCCGGGCTGTACACAATTTTTTTGTTCGCGATTGCGTTTCCATCCTTGTACTTGACCATGTAACCGATCACTATCGTCGACGTGCCAATGTTCCGATCCCAAAATGACTGCAAAGACACGTTCACGAGCCCTAAATTCATCCATTCTTGAGAGATGCGGATCCGCCTTCTTGCTATCGCGATTTCTGCGATCGAAACGCAGTACAGGCGCGATTGGTCTGCCGCATGCCGCATGATCACTGCATGTATGACCTTCGTGCTTCATGACGTTCATGTCACTCTGGATGGAAGACCGGCGAAGTACACGTATTCTGCCGAGATCCTTCTAGGTCGAGTTCTCGCTGACGCGCGCCGAGTGTCACTTTTCTAAACAACGCAAAAGTCATTTAGAAAAACGACCACTTTCGGCGCGATCGACTCCAGAGTCCGAGGGATCGATGGGTTCTCCTCATTTCCATTGCAGATCTTCTTCATGAATTATCTCGAGAGCTTGAAACTGGCTATGTCTATATCGCTCTTATATTGGCGATCAACGATGCCATTTCGCCTTTTCACCCCTTTTGGCCGAGCTGGCCGGCAAGGCGACCTGATCCGACACGACACCACCCACGGTCCCCCCAGGCTAGGTAGCAAATACCTGAAAACCTGTCCCCGGTGCCGCTCTGAAAAGATTGGTAGCAAATACCAGATCCCTTTGTGTGTGTCGTGCAGGAAAGCGAGAAAAGGAGAGAAAAGAAAAAGGCAAAAGGCTGAGTCGGGTGATGACGACAAGCGAAGCGAGCTGATTGGCTGATACTTGAGGGATCGTCGCCGCGATGATCCACCTGCCTCGCTGAAAACACGAGGCGCCGTTTGATCGCTTAGAACTATCTTTGTGAGATTATATGTTGATCGAGCGTATATGCGTATATATCTCGTCCAGAAGTGAGATCGTCTGACGGTGAAATCATGTCGTCGTGGTCGTAATCAAGGGTAGGACAGGGATAGGGTCTTCGTTACTAGGTCGTCAGAGGGGGATTGGAGCTGGGCTTTCCCGTGCGCCTTTGATCAGGGTGAAGCGACGTGGTCTTTTGCCTGGTATTGCACCGCGGGCGTAAAACTTGACAAACTTCGGACGTGGGATTTCTGCTAGGAAACGATAGGCCGAGGTCCTGAGAAACAGCCCTGGTCTTTGATCTGATCGTATTGAACAGCTCGACTGATACCACGCATCTTGTGAAGTGTTGATGGCACGCGCGTCTTGAAGGTGACCGCGGTGTCGATGAATTCAAGAGCTGCGCTCTGATATAACTTTACTCTAACACCTGTCTCAACTGCCGAAACTCAGAAATCACGGAGAACAGGGATTTAAAGCGCTATCGCTCGCATATGCAGACATCGCCACAGCGTTTGGCGGTTCCGTAAGAAAACAAAAATACCTGTTCCTATCTGCAGCTTGCAAACGATGGACGAATACGATTGTCACACAGCGCGCCATAAGGCTAACCATAACGCATGGGGCAGCTCTAAGCACCCGATGAGGTGTAGCTGCTGGCGTTTGCCAATGACGATCTCGAAGAATCGACGTCGTTGCTACATCAGAGTCGCTGACCACGATTTGCTTGAGTCCCTGCGCTTGGAGACGACGATATCGACGGCAGAGACAAGGCTTGTCGCTTCTAAGCGTGGTACACTGACAAGTGGTGCCGTACCCAGTAGGCGACAGTCTCCCCCCTACGTAGACCAACGAACGCGTCGCCGGGTGGGTGACGATTCGGTGAAACAAAAGAGCTTTCCCAAGCAACACGCGTTAGGCTGTACTGGTAGTCGTACCTAGTGTAGTTACTGTAGATCAGGCCAGGTCAGGGCGTGTTTGAGCTGCGGCTTGTACGAGGGTGGCTGGGATGTGTTTTGCAGATATACACGGGTAAGGCGTCGATGAGGGTGAGACGCATCATTGTGCTTCTCTCTCAAGCCTCAGAGTGCCAGAGTCTTGTTGCCTGGCTACTTGTGATCGCTCGAATGACGTGCAACCTGGCGCCGGCTACCCCTTGTGCGCCGAACAAGTCCCGTCGTTGATCGTTAGATACTCCCCGATCACCGGCTGATCCGCTCGCAATCGAAACGATGGGCATGGGGTGATGATCCCCGTCGGAATCGCCTGATTATTGATCGTCGCTGACCAGCGACACCCATTGCCTGGGCAGGAAAGGAAAGGGCCAGGGTCGATGCGGTGCACGATTCCCCCCGTCTTCCGCCGAACCCTTCCATGGGATCCGGTCCGCGACAACCTTGGGAACGCTTGGCTCGCGCGTGATGCCGTCATTCTCATGATCTGGTCCCTTTTCGTCCTCGGGGATTCGGATGATCGCTTCGAACGAGTGAATCAGGAACATGATGAGACACTTCCTTTTGTTCGACGCGGGCAGCGAAGGGACGACACAGGGACCTTTGCGTTCTCCGCCGGTCCCCCCGATCGCCATCCCGGTCGATCCGCTAGTGATGGCGCGGGCTTTTTGGATCTCGTCGTCTGTGACTCCCATCCATCCATTGTCTCGCTTCATTCGTGCAATACGGTGTTCGTCTCAGATCTCGCTCGCCGAAGGCATACGAATAACCACCCAAACGGTCACACGCCAAGCACGCGCACACTAGGGACAGGGACTGAGCTACCCTGGAACCGATGTTTAACAGCTTTTTTCCGGGTTCAGGAGCCGCGACCGACGGAGGCCCTACGTCCTCGTCGGATAGTGTGCTCGTCGTTCGCCGGCAAGAAGATATATAGCCAGTCCAAGTCGGACTGGAGGAGATCCTGACAATGACCACTTTTCACCCTTCCCGCTCAGTCACACCCGCTCACCCTCCCTCGTCATCTCGACTACACATCTTCCAAGGCTCCTCCACCGCCCTCTCCCTTCTTACACCTTGAGCTCGACCTACAACCCGACGAAACCTACTTCTACCTCCATCACCTCGATCAACTCTCACCATGTTCGCCTCTCTCCGAATCCAACTCGTCTGCTTCCTTCTTTTCGCCTTGACTTTGGTCTCGGCCAAGAACGACTTGTACGACATCGACCTCGACGACGGGACCACCTTCACCCCGGCCGTCCACAAGCTCGTGGCTCGTCAATCGACTGGGACTACCCTCTGTTCTCCCTTCACTGTCAACCTTGTTCAGAACGGTGTGACTACGGGAGTGAGTCGTCTTTCAGTGCTTTTTCACGATAACGTCCGCGTATACTAACTGCTTGCCACCCCTTGCCCGCAGAACATCCGTCCTAGAACTTGTTACTGTAACTACCAGGGTACCTTGACTCCTGCTACCGTCACCGACATCAACAACGCGTTCGCCACCACCTCAACCCAGATCAACCAGACCAACTTCAACTCATACCTTACGACCAACGGTTTCACCCGAGCTCAAGGTATCACCAATATCAAGAACAGTCTCCAGAGCGGTGTAAGTTCACCACAGGGCAGATCATAGGGTTCGAGCACAGGCCATTGACTCAGCTCGTCTCGTCTACTCGCAGTTGAACTCCAGGACCACGACTTGCGTCTACGGAGCTGGTGCCGTTCCGAACTCGTGTGATGCCTGTTCTTTCACCTGCTCTTCCACCTCGACCAAGCCATGTGGTACCGCCTGTATCGCCTCTACCTCCACCTGCGCTTCGGGTCTCGCTCAGAAGCGTGACTTCGATCGACGAAGGTGTCCCTCTGGCTACGAAGTCTGCGAGACTGGATACAGGGGTCTGACTGGCAAGACCGGTGGATGGGAGTGCGTCAACACTCAGGCCGACCTTGAGTCTTGTGGGGGATGTCAGAACCCTATGGAAGGTCGATCCGCCGGAGTCGATTGTACCGCCATCGTCGGGATGGCCGGTGTCGCCTGTGTCTCTGGCGTCTGCGAGGTCAGCTCGTGCATCAAGGGATACAAGCTCGAGAACAATGCTTGTGTCCCCGTCACTCGATCGGCTTCCTCCGCCGCTGCCTCTTCAGCTTCGGCCCTCGCTGCCAAACGAGCCGCCTCTGCCGATGTCGACGAGCGTGACTTCATTCCCGGAGTTCCCGCTTCCATCGGCATCGAGAAGCGATACACCGAGGAGTCCAAGCCTACCGAAAAGGGTAAACACAAGGTCTGGCACAAGCGGGCCAAGCAGCCTACCAAGAACCAACGACGACGATAGATGGGCGAGCGCGCTTCCGAACGCCTTCCATCCAGACTCGACTTTCTCTTGATTCCGCTCAACGACAACCTGCTGTATCAAAACCTCCCAAGGCGATGGACAACCACGACCACCATAGATGCGACATCACCACCCTCGGACTCGTTCACATAGACTCTCGCACAAGCTTTGCCCTTGGCGCAACACATAATCGAGGATAGACCTCTCTAATCCGTTGTAATCATCCTCTAGGTAGCATGCCTGCTCTCTGCTCTTCCGGTTCATCGTAGCTGCTCTACGCTCTTGACCAGGCAGTATGAAGGCATCAATCCATATTATTTAATGTCATTTACGATCGATTTTTTAAGTTTTTGCGGACCTGTCATTGACGCCTTCCCGATCGATCGTCGCGCCGAGGGCGGGTCGGGATGGCTGGACGTGGCTGTGACTGTACCGCGCACGTCATCGGTGGCTTTTCATCTCGCTCGGCAGAGGAACCGACAAGGTCCATGGCTGGATCCTCATGACTACACACCTAGAGAGCTAGCGACGTTGCCACTATATGAATGGTCAACCCACAGTCAGCCCCGTCAGTTAAAGGCTGCTAGGTCCTCTTAACGATCCGAACCAAGTCCAGTCCCTGGCCGTGATTGGGGAATTGGACAACATGATTTCACGACGATATCATAGCATTGCGCGACCTCGAATACATGTTCAGACCTGGCTCCTCACAAAAAAGCATTCGGGAACATCCGTTACAACTTAGATCAACGATGTTCAATCCGGTCAACAGCCGGTCCAAGATCGTGGTCCTCTCGTTGGTCGTCTTGGTATGCACTTATACCATCTACCTGGTAGCGTCTGGTGAACACGAGGCGTTGCTGGACAAGGCGACAGTTTGGCAGCAAGAGACACTATGCAGAGACAGATCTCAAGCTCAGGGGCCGGTCACCGCCATCCAGGCCAAACTTTTGCCCGAACATGTGCTTGATAGGTACAACAACCGGATGGCATGTGACCTGTGTCAGCCAGACGACGAGTTTTGCCTGGCGATCGGGTGAGTGATCTGGTCGTTACGATACGTCAACAGGCCTCAGGACATCTGGACTGATGTGCAAATATCGTGGGCAACAGTGAACACAACATCGCTCAATCGGTCGGCTATGAAGGTAAGTATCGGCGTTCTGACCGAGCCCAGTGAAGTGCCTTCTGATCTCCCCTTGCCGTAAACTCGAACAGGCTCTAATTTCCGCCTGGAAAGACTGTTCCACAAGCTCCAGAACGGCCAACCTATCACCATCTCCGTCGTCGGAGGTTCCAATAGCGCGGGTCACGGGCTCTTTTACGACGGCTGGCCTGACGAGTACGCAAGTCCGGGTAACATGCATTATCGGGTGTACGAGTGGATCAAGGAGAGATTTCCGCATGAAGGACATCGGTTCGTCAATGGAGCGATACCTGGAGCGAGTAAGTCGGAATTCGTTACACATACGTGTCTGGAGAGAGTATGGAAGCTGATGGGTCGAATCTGCGTTCGTCTGCTGGCAGCGACCGAACTCTTTGCGTTCTGTTTCCCTGAGCAGATTCCTGAAGAATCGGATCTCGTCCTCGTCGAGTTCGGTAAGTACCCATGCGAATTCCCTCTGACTAAATGTCTGGGAACCATTTCTGACTCAATCTGGTTTTCCTGATCCTAGCCGTCAATGACCCACTGTAGGCCGCTTTTCGCACCCAACTCGCTGAGTGACAAACCAATTGTAACTCACTCCCTCGCTCGCCCATTCATCATCGACAGGCTCACCTCCTCAGCCGTATCCTACGAGAGACTCTTACGCGGTCTGATGGATCTGCCGAATAAGCCTGCTATCATCAATCTCAAGTAAGCCTCATAATTTGTTTGCCGGTCCTGAAACATGAAAGCTAGAGCTGAATGAGGGTCTTGTTGTCTTGGTATTACTCGCAGCGTGTTCTCCCTTACCTTTGCGACGATCGGCTTGGGCGAGACGCAGGTAATTAATCCCACCTTCTCGTTGACAGTTCGGACCTGACCATTGACTGATCCACATCGTTGACATTATCAGCACCAAGCGGTAGCGCATTACTACGATACCCCAGTGATCAGTATCAGAAACCTCTTACTACCAGGGATGTTCAAGAACGCCAGCAGAATTCCGGACTGGTTCTTCGTCGGCAACGAGAATGGCAAGCAAATCATCGACACACGGCACGTAAGTCCGATTAATTCTCAGTTCTCTCTCTTTGCGTCCATAATTCACAATTTCCCTCGACTGATTACAAAATTTTCGAACCGGTACAGATTGCTTTCGCCGCGCATAAGACCATGGCCAATCTGACGGCCACGTACATGTCCCGCGTCTTGTGCAAGATGGAAGAGCGGGAACGACTGAAAGAGATCGGGATCGAACTTCGACGGTCTAGGCCAGAGTTTCCGGCTTGGGACGAGTTGGCTGAGATTCCGAAGGTGCGTTGTCATCGACAAAGCACTGCACCAGGGGTGATGGTCGAGATGTAGGTCAAGGAGGCTGATGGGACTTTCTTGAATCGAAACAGTGGCCTCTGATGTCGCACTACAAAGCCGACGCTCCTCCTATGCCGAAGCTCAGCCCCGTCTGTTTGTCAACGACTTCGAAGAAGAACCCCTTGAGACAGCAGAACGACGGAGGCTGGGTCGAGTGGTCCTGGAAAGACAAGGTGAGCTTAAGCGGGAACTACGTCCCCCAACCTCCAGCTTCACTGAGCGGAGTCACTCTCAATCGTCTGCTTCTAGAAATACATCGTCGGTCGCAAACCGGGCGAAAAGGTTCAGTTCAAGTTCAAGACCGTCGTAGGCACCGTCGCCCTCTTCTACCAACGATCCCGCAAGTACGGCCTCGGCGTAGCCCGTTGTTGGGTAGACGACGATACCGACCGGATGATGTACCTCGATGGGTATTGGGAGCACGATGTCAGTATCCCTGACATGACCGAAGTGAGGGGGGACCTGGAAGAGGGAGAGCATGTGTTGAATTGTGAGATCAACGTGGACACGAATGATCCAGGCGGCGGGACCGAGTTTAGGATAACGACGTTGGTAGCGTGAGTCCGGTGGTCCTTTCGAATCGGGTTGAATGACTTTGAAGCGGTTTTCTCACCTGAATACTTTTGCTCACGGTGCAGCATCTAGACCGTATTGGAATCGCTTGACGTGTTTCGGAATTGTACCAGAGAATAGTTATAATGGGCCAGCGGTTGTTGATAGTGTGTATCTTATGACGTGTACGCGTGTAAGACGTGGAAAGGGTTTGATCTGCCTTGTTTGATCTGCGTGAAGATCAAACTGGTCGAGGTGGATTCTTCTGTTCAAAGACGGGGTCTGTTTCCTGCTTCGCTCCGCGTCCCGGCGAGTTCGTATGCCCGCGTTCTTGAGCTGCCGAGAACCGGCAGAGGCCGTCCACGACGCGACGACGGTGCAAACGACCCACGCGGTGCACGGACACTGATCGAGCCAGAAAGATTGATGAAGCCATCACTGAAACGCGGATCAAAGAAGTACGTTGGCGTAGGAGCGCGAGGGGAGCACAACGCGAACGGTTTCAGCCACACGCGAGTCAAAGAAGGGGGAAGCGAGATCCGCCCGTTCGCTGTCTTTCTGCCGTCGTTCCGTCGACATCATCTCGATCATCAGGAAAGAAGAAGGCAAGAAGCAAGAAGCGAGGAGAAACGGTTTGATCAGCGGCGGAGACACTGGTCCTCCCCATTCCGCCGTGCTAGGGGGACCCGAAGATCAGAGCTTCGGTGGATACCTCGAGGAGCGATCGAGAAGGAAACGGGTGGATGACCGGCCACAGCGTGGGATTGATGGATATGATCAGATCAGAGATCAGAGACGCGTCGGTGGATAGGGAGTTGAACGTGACGAGCCGGGATGACCCGAACCTAGTTTTAAGATATAAGCTCTCGATGCGATCTTTCCGACAGGCCGGTCCGAGGGGGATCGAGCCACCTTGCGTCTTGGCTTATTTCATTGGACTTGCCGGATGACCTGACGTAGACGAGGCATCTTCCTCTGAACGACCTGACATTCGACGTCTTCCAGTCCTACGATAACTGAATCTTCCCAATTACTATCGACCTCGACTGGAGACTTTAGGAATTGATTGACCCCACTGAACATCGTCGACCCCTACGCTCGCGCGCACTATCAACGATGCCGGCTACCGCGATGCTAGATCCACTGCTTCTCGGAGCGATGCACACGGACATGGATACGATCATCGTCAGTGCCTTCAACTTTTCTTTTCAGAATTACGAACCTGCTAACAGAAAAACAATACCTCGACGCTATCGTCGCTACAGAAAGCAGCAGTCGTAGGTCTGGCCGCAGAAGGCCTGATCCTCGGCTGCGTACTCGTCCAGACGTCCAACTACTTTCGGCTATTCCCGACCGATCCTAGGGCTTACAAGGTGCTCGTCACGCTAGGGACTCTCATGTGCTTGTGAGCCTCATACTCTTGCTTGTTCTATGGCTTCATTCCAACCTCGTACTGATGAATCTTGCCCCGATGTGTATTCCCCGCAACAGAGCACAATTCATCCTCTCAACAGTCGCATCCCTCAAACTCGTCGAGAACGCCTCGGATTTCACCGGATACTGGATGACGGATCTCAAGTTTCACATGGTCATCACGCTCTTCCTGTGTTTCTTCCGAGCTACCGCGGCGGTCTATTTCAGTCGGAGGATGTGGGGGGTGAGTCTCCGTCTCAACGGCACTACTCGTCTGGAAACTATGACTATGGGCGGAAGAAGCTGATCATATCGCATACTCGCTGGATTGAATAGTTGACGGGAAAGAGAATCTATATCCTCGTCGGTCTAGTCGTCTTGATCCTGGTCACCACAGCTTTCGGGATCACGTAAGCCAGAACGGCGATTAGGGATTTTCGCGTTCCGTGTACCGGTGAAACAGCCAGCTGACATGTGTGTTTCCGATGACTCTCGATAGCACGACTGTGTATGGGTTTCATCCACCGGAATTCACCAGTATAACCCACGGCCCGCGGCTTTTGCAGTGGTTTTCGAAGGTCAGTCTGCGCTATGACAACTTTCGGAGACTTTTGACGGAAGGCTGACCTGAATAACCGGGATTCGTTTTACAGATTGGAAAGTTTGCGAAAGCATGGGCGATCACTTGTCCCATCTTGGACGTTGTCATCTGCTTGACTAGTGCGTGTCGACCAATCGTCTAACCGGATTATCAGAGCAATGGAGGTTGACTGATCGTGTCCTTTTGACAATTGTAGCTGTGATCCTGCTTCTGCGGTCCAAATCCACCCTGGGAGGTTCGGAGAAGACGCTCATGAAAAAGGTTGTCATCCTTACCACCGAGACTATGTGAGATACTCTCCCATACTTCGAATTACCACGTGCCCCTTCCAAGCGCGCTGACCAGACGGTGATGTAGGTTGCCACCAGCGATCATGTCGATCGGGATCTTACTTTTCTTCGAGATCAACGGTATCTTTGGTAGTTATGATCGGAGTTTGGTCTGGATCATCGGACCGACTTATTACTTGACAATTCTGCATAGCTTGGTAGCGTGAGTAGCTACTTCAGACGGATCGATCAAGCAACATCACTGACCTTGTATGATCGTGTTCAACAGTCGGCAACAGTTGGCAGCGATCATCTACCCTATCTCGATGGACAACATCCTCCCCAACCGTCATGCCTCAAGCAACCCCGACCTCTCCCGTAACAATTCTACCCGAAGACTGAACACCTCTACCCAGTCATCCACTCAGGGTCAGCTGGAGATGGGTCAGATGGCAGACTTGTCCTACGACAATCGGATGTCCGATCATACGTTCGGTAAGGCCCAATCGGACGCTAGACAATGGCAACATGAACGACGAACCAGTTGGTACGAGGGCAGTCAGACTCCGGCCAAGGCTACCTCGAGCGATTTCGACGATTGGAAGGGAATATCCGGATCGGAAAAGTCTTGGAAAGAGGTCAGTCGTTTCCTGTTGCCATAAATAAAGTCTTGCTGCAGAACAATCTGACCATGCCCCGACAATTTCATATTTAACAGTCTGCTGGCGATACGAGCGTGGAGGATTCGCCACCTTTCGCAAGGGTTCAACAGCGCCCTTACAGATACGTTTGAGAGTAGAATAAGGAAGTGTGGTTAGACCATGCCTGATATATTTATGCCCTGTTCCGGTTCGACTGCTACCGACAGGCAGCCGATTCGCCCTCTGATCCGGTCTCGAAACAGCCATCACTTCTGTAGCCTTCCAGCACTGCCATTCCGCCAATTGCTTGACAAGCCGGATTATCGTATTCGCATCATATGTCGTCAAGAATCCCAAGGTCGTCATACACCCGTCCGCAGCATGTCTAGAAGATCTCATCTTCATCATGCTTGTCCGCTGGTCGAGCCTGTGCCATACCCTCGTCCAACAGCTGCTCGTCGTTCAGGTCGTCCTCGATTGCCAGACCTTCGAGATCAGCAGCCGGGGTCTCGAAGCCGTCCTGCAACGTGACAAGCACGATCAGCTCGAACTCTCGCCGAGACGGATGAACTGTAGAGCCGGGTGGGGTAGAGTAGTACTCACCTCGACCGAATAGAGTTCTTCTTGGAGTTTAGTCAAAGTGGCTCTTTCCTGGGCGTCCACCTTATCCTCGGGTTCACCTAGACGAGTTTGGATCATCGTCTCGACGTTACGCAGCTAGACAGAATAACACATAGCACATTATCGCCAGGCTCATCAGCTTACGATAGCCAATATGTGCACGACAACATGTCAGGGTGTACTGACTTTGCCAAAGTAAAAGTCTCGCTCTTTCTCTAGCGTCAGACTGTGTTCCGTCAGATCTTCCAACTGCATACGCAGGGTGTTGATCTCGTCCCGAGCGGCCGCAGAAACGGCTGGAGCGGCATTCCGAGCTACCGGAAGATATCATCCAGACAGTACTCAGCTCAGGTGGTCCGGCTGTCGATGTTCTCAAACATAGTGGAAGACTCACCGAGACCGCTCCCACTCCTACTCGCTGAGACGCCAGCCCTCGCTCCAACAGGGGTGTTTCCTCGCCCGGGAGCCACTCGGGCCGGAGCTCTGGCTGGTGGCTGGTTCACGATCTGTCCGCCTCTGCCTCGAACAAACCGGATCAAGGTTCACATGGTCAGCCTATGCAATGCTTTCTTATTGACAGGCATATACGACAAATCCAAGTGGGAGTGCAGATGAGACTCACGCTCGGCCAGCCGCATCGTATTCTGTCCCGTCCCAGTTGGCGTCCCAGAACTTCTTGAGCCATTGCAAGAATTCGAGGTTGTCCTGCATCTTACACCTGTGCAAATGTAGTGCATCTGGTTAGCGCATGCATGCAGCACGATGGCCGGGTTCGTGCCTTTCGAAGTGCTATTTGAAGGGGTTGTGCTTACTTCATCAGCCTGTCCACGGGAATAGGCTAAGATCGAGAACGTAATACCCATATAAGGACGATCAGCAATTGTGATTTTCGAGTTTAGCTGGGAAGGGGGGAGGATGAGACTGAGTGGCTGACCTTGTCAATCGCATGATCCTTAAAAGCCTTCTGCAGGACCTTGAAGTTGGTAATGTATTGGTATTCCTGGTTGGCGTTGACCTTGACTTTGGTCATCGGTACGTCGCCTGCATGCCACACCATATTGAGTCCAGCATCCAGAAGTGAGATTGGGACCTTTGCAAGATGTCTTTGAATGAGAATCGGGTGTGACGTACCGTACATGGCGTCAATGATCTATAGCAAAGCCGAAACAAAAGAAGCTTCATCAAACAACTGTCTCTTATTCACTTCACCAGCCAATCTGACGTCTCACTCACCTGGCAATAAGCCGCACCGCTACCACATTGCTCTACTTTAGTATATCCCGATAGAGTGATCGTGTTGATCCAAGCGAGAAGTTCTCCTCGAGCTGTGGATAATCCGGTACATGAAAGGATGATGAGCTTGAAGCGTTCCCGATGTCTTTCGCGACAGGCAGGATGACCTACATTCTCCCATTTTAAGGCCTATCTTTCTTTGCTATTCGTAGTGTTGTACTTCAGACTTGTGACTATTTCCTAAAGAGGCGTAGGGATGATATTTGTCTAGTTGTTCCTGGTGAGACACACTATAGGAATGCAAGTTAGGGATGTGACATGTCCTTTCAGATCAACGAGCAGCGAGCAAGCGAGCAGCGAAGGAAGCAGAAACGCGCGGGTTTGTTTGTTTTGTGAAGGAATTACGGCATCCACCACCCACCCCCGGCAGGTCGACCTCGAATTGGTGTTCAGAATAGTCGCAAGCTGTGTTGCATGTGTTGGCTGATAGCTGATCGCACTACACAGCATCACAACTCGAAGACCTTCAGCTCACACGAAGGACCGCCGTAGAGGACAAGTCCAGGCGGTATCCGATGAGCGTATACGAATCACCTTTCCCCGCCAACCACCTCCCGCTGAAACCGACTTTCAACTCGTCCAACCCGTTCCTCAATTCTACGGACCACCTCGAACCTTCGGGAAGCCGATCGTATACCACTGGAAGGAGCGATTCTACATCTTTTGGCGGCGATGCTAGTGATAGTAGTCAGCCGCATCCGTTGAAACGGTCGAGAGGGATCAAGAGGGGGTTGGACGAGGTCGAGCAGCATGTGGATACGGTGAGCTGCCCCAGCTTGATATACCTACAAACAGGCGGTACCTATTCTCATACGCTGATCTATCGTCCTTGTGATTCCAGGATGATCTGCCAGATAAAGTCGGCGATGAAGACCCATGCTCAATACCACCTCCAAGACGATCCGCGAAACGGCTGATGGATATCAGTCATCGGATAGCCGACTATGGCCAGCCAGAACCTTCGGCAGCTACAAAAGCCGCTCATCCTGAAGTAGAACAGGCAGAAGCAAATCCCGGGGGAGATGTCGAGGTGGAAGTTGGAGATGAGGTGGGGGACATTGGAGAAGCTGAGATCGATGGGGAGGAACAGGATGTCGATGGGGAAGGCGAATTTGAAGAGGAAGAAGAGGAGGACGATGACGAGGACAGCGAGTTGTCAGAAGAATTCGATGCGACGCCTTTCGATCATGAATGCAAGCCGGAAGTAGCCGATATTTCCTGTGAGTATTTCTTCAGCTCCCTCGTAGATCGAATGAAGTTCAACTCGATCAAATTTGCTTTCTCTCTACCCCATCGCATGGATTACACCGCCAGTCCACGAAATCGACCCGAACGACAAGTCCGCGCCGGGGAACATTCTACGGGGCATACCTTCTTCTGACCTTTACGACGAGCATATGCAGGTGCGAACATTTGATGAGCGTTTGGACGTCAAGGCGGATATCAGGAAGATCAACGAGGCGATCGAGGGGATGAAGCAGTCGTATCGGATCGTGGATCGATTAGGAGAAGGTTGGTCTGCAAGTAACGGACCGGGGCTCTTATCTTCTCCCAGTTGACTCGTTCTATCACTTGAACTACTTTCCGTCTTTGTAGGAACATTCTCCTCGGTCTACAAAGCCATCGACATCGACGCCTTTACTTACGAAAACGATTTCTGGAGGAAGACCATCCACGTCGCTCACAGCCGGAATCTGCAGACTTACATTCCCAAGATCGACGTTGATGGCGATGGGCATGGAGAGACGGACGAACCGGCCGCGACGGATCTGAACAAGGAAGATCAAGCTTGGACGGACAAGGGAGAGCCGAGGAGGAATTACGTGGCGTTGAAGAGGATTTATGTGACGAGTAGTCCGGATCGGATAGTGAACGAGTTGGAGATTATGGAGGAATTGAGGTAGGTCCCCTGATGATGTTTGTGATCGGCCGAGGACTAACGTGTTGGGAAATCGGTCTCCTGTAGGGGTTGTCGAAATACGGCTCAATTGATCTCGGCGTTTCGGTCTGAAGACCAGATCGTCGCCGTGATGCCATATCATCGTAGTGATGATTTCCGAGTGAGTACTGCCACTCATCGTAGAATGACTTTCGAACTCGATCCAGAGACGAGCTAAAGCAACATGTTCCCTGTTACATGCAGCTGTATTACAAGTACATCGACCCGCCTCATATTCGGAAATACTTTCGGTGTCTGTTCCGAGCACTCAACGATACGCACAATAGAGGTATCATCCATCGGGACGTCAAGCCTGCCAACTTTTTGTGGGATTACGAGAGCGGGGAAGGTGTTCTTGTGGATTTTGGTCTGGCCGAAGTGGGTCAATGAGCCATCTCGGTGGGCTTGATCTATAATTGACGAGCTTGACCGCAGCGCTACGAGACGCCCAGCAAGATTCAGTGTCAACACTCGCCAGCTACTCTCGAGCGTCTCCATGGAGAACGGATCAAGACCAACATGACCGCCAGGGTGGAACAAGCGGTGTATGATGTGCGGAAGCGAGAAGCGAGCGGAAGGGTCGGTATACCACAGGTCGATAACCGGTTAGTCGCGGTCGTTCTCGCGTTGGTATTTCATCTGGCTAACGCCGGTGACATCCTTACAGACCTGGTGTACGAGCGAATCGAGCGGGAACAAGAGGTTTTCGAGCGCCAGAGGTCTTGTTAAAATGTCCCGATCAGACCTTTGGTGAGTATCGCAGAGCTTGATCTGATGAAAAGGCATATCTGACTTCATGTCATATATAGCCATCGACATCTGGGCCGTCGGAATTATCCTGCTCAGCGTGTTGTGTCATCGTTTCCCCGTGTTCAACTCGAATGACGATACCGAAGCTTTGCTAGAATTAGGAGCCATCTTCGGGAGGAGCGGACTGGAAAAGGCCGCTATGCTGCACAGTGAGTACCGCCGACGATCCCTGTTCGTCTATATAGCCTTATCCTGCTCGATTGATGTCGTCAGACCGCACCTTTGCCACAAATTTGAACACGGTCCCGCTCAATCCGACAAAAACCCTCAGCGAGATGGTCTTGTCCCTCAATCCTACGCTCTACAACCCGCCATGCAGCAATCCTACTCCGGCCGAAGCCAAACGACACATTGAAAGCGTGGACAACATGCTCGATCTCCTGAAGCGATGTCTCGTCATCGACTCGACTCGACGGTGGACGGCGGGAATGTTGCTCCGGCACAAGTTCCTGGAAGAAGGATTGCGGGACGACGAAAAGGAAGATGGCGGTTTCGAGCAGGGCGAGTTGAGAGGGATTGCCGAGGGCGTCTGCGGACACATGCATTTCGTACGGAACGGTCAACGTGAGTCGGAACGGTAGCCACGACACTTCGTTCGACCAGCATGTCCTAGGGGCTGACTAGCGCATCGATATGGTATGGCTGCAGATTGGGCTGTTATCAACGGCTCCGAATATCTCTGCGGCTGGGGCCAAGGCAGGGCGTACGGCGAGACAGGTGAGTTTCGGAGAGATGTGGAAAATCCTTATCGCAAGGTACCCACGGGTGAATTTTTCTCCTTATCTCTGACGTCCGATTGTTCCCCCGGTCGCTCCTCGTGGCACGCGCAGAATGTTATCTCCACAAGCCGGAGAACCAGCGTCCTGTTATCTGGGATGACGAGGTGGAATCTGTGCGGTAACAGATTGGGAGCATCCGGAAGTTTCACTTGAGTGCAACCTTTGACAATTTACGAGTCGACGAAAGAGTAACGACATCATCTAGCATATTCTGTATCGTACTCAGGTAGTAGCAAGACGGGCGGTCACGAGCTGATTGGCCAGAGTCAGGTAGCCAATCACATCTCACGGCCATAATCCTGGCGCTCGTCACCTGACCATCTGCCATCTGACCGCTCTCCTCGACATTTGCGAAAGCAATTGCGCCTCACCCGACCCGACATCGATCTACCTCATTCCCCACGACCCCGGGTTTCCCCGCATCCTTTCCCCGTGTATCTCCACATTCCGTATTGTTCTCCACAACTGCGGGAAGCCAAGAGTCGATCGATATCCGCTCGCTTGCAGGAAATGGCCAATCGTTTGGGTGGGAATTTCGATTTTGTACGCGAGGAGATGAGTTGGAACGGAGGTATTTCGTTTGTTTATCGAATCGGTTGGACGGTATGAGATCAGGGCTGACGACTACAGCGACAGTCGCAGGCAGGACGTCTATCTCGAGGTGAGGCTAGGATCAAAGCCTTCAGGACAGCATGAACGCCGAGGAGAGGTGGACTGTCTTGCCAGGAGCATGATGGGAAATCGTCCTACCTGTACTTGTTGGGGTGTCGGGCCGCCGGTTTGCAGATCGAATCGCGATTTGCGCTTCTACGCGCACTCTCTCAGTCGTATTCTTGTAGCCGCAGAACTCCATGATCATGGCCGGCAGGCTGCTCAGGCGCCACTGCACTTCTGGGTTTATGCAGTGCGCTCAGCAGGTACGTGTCATGGTGTCATCAGCGACTGCGCTTCCTCTTCTACCGGCTCCGACCTGACCTCGACATCTGAAACTGATGAGAAGATGGCCGCTAGGACCGAATTACGCGGGGCACCTCGATCCACCGAAAGCAGAAACGCCGATACGCCCCCTCACGGAAGCTATTCTTTATCGAATTCGCGCGTCGCACAAGAGGGAGGGCGAAGGGGAACCGGTCGGACCGTCCGAACCGGGTACGGCGGGCGAGGCTCGAGGCACGACATGAGATCCCGCCAAGCACAACTCTGACCGAGGTCGAGGGACCATGCGGGTCGTGTTATCTCGAGCACGCCAGCCTGGGTCAGCCAGCCTTCACCAGCGAAGAAACCTCCCGTCCCCTCGGTTGTCGCCATCCCCGTGATCGATGCCCAGGAATCTCTTGTCGCTCTCCTTTTTTTGTGACGATTCGAAAAACAGCACGGACCCTTCTTCGTTTGCTCGAACCCGTAACCGCTTGCTCTAGCTGTGATCTGTCAGCTAGCCGTGTGTCTTGCTTCTTTGTGCTCGTATAATAGGCGATAGCGTCTATCCACCCCCACCCCTTGACCCCACCTTCCAGGGCAGAAGCGCTTTCTTGTTGTGGAGAAATTGAAACGCAATCGACCGCCGATCGTCGATCACAGAGATAAGGACACGAGACCTCCTCGTTTGCCAGCCCTATCAGCGACTGTCCATATATATAAGAAGCGACACCCCCTCTCCGCGCGCGTGACATCCCCTTCGATCGCCCCTCACCCTTTTCCTTTCCTACCTCAAGTCGACCTAGCAGGAAGGAAATCGATCTCACAGATATGCAGTCAGGATACGACGAGAAGAACTATGAGGCTGGCAAGGAGGGCGTCGTGGACCCCTCAAGGGATGCTTATGGGTACACCGAGCCTATCGGCGAGGACGTCGAGGTCAGGGAAGAGGAGACCAAGCGAGAGCTCAAGCCGAGGTAGGTCCTTTTCATCGTTCCAGTATACAAAGGGGGTTCATTCCACTGACGATCAGATTCACATGAACGATCACAGGCAGATTAGTATGATTGCTATTGGAGGTGCTATCGGAACCGGTCTCGTCATCGGATCTGGAAGTTCGCTGGCACGAAGCGGACCTGGGTCTTTGTTCATCAGTTATCTGGTCATGGGTATCGTGAGTATCGATCGATCTCACGCGTGGGCTTAGGTCGCTTGCGAAGCGACGCGACACCACGCGAAAGCAATTTGGGGACGAAACGCTTACTTGCACACACACTCTCGCAGGTCTGTTTCGCCGTCATGTTGGCCTTGGGAGAAATGTCGACCAAGTTCCCTTCCAAGAAAGGTTTCGCGTGAGTTTGCGTGGACCCCGGCCGGGTAAATCTCGTACATCGTGTGTATGCGAAAAACTTACTATATCGGCATTGCCTTGTTCTCTGGGGATCTTCAGCGGTCATGCCACTCGATTCGTCGACCCCGCCTTCGGTTTCGCCACTGCCCTTGTTTACTTGTGCAAGTACTTGATCATCTCGCCCAACCAGATCATTGCTGGGTCGCTTGTCATCCGGTACGTCCATCGACCTCTGCATCACAATCCGTCTGAATGCCGGCTCACCTCGTGGCTCCGTTGCGATGTCGCCCAGATTCTGGAACTCCGAGATCAACTCTGCCGCCTGGGTCACCATCCTGATCGTCTTTGTCATTGCTATCAACACCTTCGGAATCAAGGCTTTCGGAGAGGTCGAATTCTGGCTGAGTTTGATCAAGATTCTCACCCTGACCGGATTGATCCTGCTTGGGTGAGCAGAGCATGAAACCCCCGTTTTGATCGATCATTTGCTAATGTGCCACGACCAACTTGCAGTTTGATCATCGATCTCGGTGGTGTTCCCGGACAGGAACGTCTTGGTTTCCGATACTGGAAGAACGGCAAGGCTTTCCTTCCTTACAAGAAGGAAGGCGACCTCGGAAAGTTTTTGGGTTTCGTCAACGGTGAGTCTTCTCTAACCGAGTCTAGCTTTCTGTCTCCCCGACTAATTTGGAACTGACATCTTGATTGATCGCTACCCCGAATTTGAAGCTCTCGTCCTGGCCTTGTTTGCTTACATGGGAACTGAGCTTATCGGAGTTACCGTTGGAGAGGCTAAGAACCCCCGAAAGACCGTCCCCTCGGCTATCAAGAAGACCTTCGTACGTCTGCTCGCCGCTCAACCGAGCTGCTCGACATGACGGTGTATCTGACTATTTGGCTTCATCGAATCAGTGGCGTATCTTGTTTTTCTACATCATCGGAGTCCTTATCGTCGGAATGATCGTCGACTCCAAGTCTCCCCTCCTTGCCCAGGCCGCCAAGAAGGGAACTGCTGGAGGAGCTAGTGCTTCTCCCTTCGTCGTTGCCAGTAAGTCTTCGGCAGACACAAGCAGCATGCGGGACTCGGCGACTGATCGCTCTGCCACCTGATAGTCACCTCTGCCGGAATCAAGGGTCTTCCCTCCTTGATCAACGCGTGCATCTTGATCTTTACCTTCTCGGCCGCCAACTCGGACCAGTACATTGCTTCCCGAACCTTGTACGGTATGGCTCGTGACGGACACGCTCCCAAGATCTTTGCCAGGTGCACCAAGCGAGGTGTCCCTTACGTCTCGTTCATCTTCACCGGTTGCTTCATGGGATTGGCTTACCTCGTCGCATCGTCTGGTGAGTGACAAGCTCGTGTAAAACAAGTGATACCAACGTAATCTGACTGACCTCTCTTCTCCCTTCACAGACGGTTTGACCGTCTTCAACTACTTTGTCTCGGCGGTCACCATCTTCGGAGCCCTCACCTGGATCTCGATCTTGGGATCTTACATCGGTTTCTTCAGGGCCATGAAGGCTCAAGGGATCTCGCGAGACACCCTCCCTTACAAGTCCCCCTTCCAGCCTTACCTCAGCTACATCGCGCTGTTCTTCACCGTCGCGCTCTCCATCTTCAAGGGTTTCGATTCGTTCATGCCCACCTTCCAATACAAGACGTTCATCACCCACTACATCGGAATTCCGATCTACGTCATCGGATACTTTGGCTACAAGTGTACGTCCCACCGTCCTCGTTCGTGCATGTCACGACCGCATCAATTGACTTTGTTCAATTCCAAAATTCACAGTCATGTACAAGACCAGGTTGGTCAGCCCTTACGAGGCCGACCTTTCTACCGGTGGACGAGAGTTCGAGGACTTGAACGAGTTCGAAGAGGCAGATTCCATCCACGGCATGACCCTCAAGGACAAGATTATCTACAAGGTCAAGAACTTCTGAGCGACGGTAGATGGATACTTTACGGAAATGGTGGTTTCGAGGACAGATATATTTAGGCAAAATCGTCAAGTGATTTTTTCTCCATCGGTGTATATTTTGTTTTAGCAGTATCGTGGAATGAGATAGGGCATTTTATAACATCTATTGGCATCAGAGTCACGACTGAGTGGGGACGTTAGTAATTAGTCTAGACTATACTCTCGTGGGTTGTGACTTGTGTTCTGTCGCTGTGGCTGGTAAGCGAAACCCGTCGCATGCGGCTGTCTCGGATGGCCTCCGCTGCCATTCTCGCGATGAGTGACGAGCAGAGATGATGATGTTGACTGAATTCATTTGACTTAGACTCACTCCGGAACTAAGAGCGACAACTCTGAATGTCAAGGGGACTCTAAGGGGTCTTATGCAGATATAAAATATGTTCCAGATTCCACTGGATGAACGATACTACTTCTTTGAGTGCAGCTGGAGCGGTAATGCTGACCGTAGACTGGGCGGGCACATCCGGTATCGATCGGAGCTACGGGCTTCTTATCGATGTGGTTTTTCTGTATATTATCGTACCGGTCAGTAGGTCCTTCGACCCAAACATGCCGCTATCCAGATGCGAAGCGTCTCTCCATGAGACCAGGGGTCCCGCCGCTGGAAGAAGAGTTAAGCGCGACCTGGATCGTCTGAGTGATGCTCAGACCTCCACGTTCAACCCGTGTCCGATCCGAGATTCGGCCGCGGGAGGCCCGTGACTTCCAGATTATCAAGGGTTTGATTTTGCAAAGATGTCGGCTGTTCTTTACACCCCCTCCCCCGCCCCTTCCCAACTTCATCGTTTGTAACCTGCTGTGAATGACAAATCTCGAAACAAGCGGAACTTATTTTCGGAGCCTTAAGTCTCGATCGCTCGCGCTTGGGACGCGTGAGAAAGCGAAATCGATGATATCATCATCCCATGCATCTCTCATACCGCTAAGTTAGAGCACATCAGCTGGTCAAAGGGCTAAGTGATAGCGCTCAGCCTAATGTCATAAAGTACCTAGCAGTCGACACCACTCCCACATCGTTATCATCTAGTAGTACAGCTCGTAGACTTTCAGCTGGAAAGCCCTCGTCCATCCCAATCGAACGAACCCCATATCGAACTACCACCTCTGACACGCTCGGATCCGAAGAGCGACTCCGAGCTTGGAGACGGCGACAAGCAACGTTACTCTCATCGCTCTACCACTTCCCCGAGATCTACAAACGTATCAGAGATAGCTTTGGTAAACTCGTCATATCACATAGTCTGAAGGCAAAGAGACCTACCGATCGTCAATCAGCTCGGACTCACATACCGACCCGAGTGAGCACGTTCAACCACCAAAGCCCATATCATATCATACCGACTATCACCTTTCGACCCGAACCGACTACCAGCCCTATTCTCCTATCGCCTACCTCATATCTCAGACTCCCAGACCGGACAGACAAGTCGGATCTCATACTCCGGCGAAATATACCGGGATCAACCGCAAACAGAGCTAGACTATAAGCAGGAACGTGCATAAAGGGTATTTGGCAGAATGAACCCTCTACTACAGGTAAGCGTTGTGATCGTATCGCATTTCTCTCTCCCTGTCGGTGAGAGCCTACGAAAGCAGCAGAATGGCCCTACGAGGAGTTGGAATGGGGATATGGTGTCTCCTTTCGGACACGGAGGTTGAGACCACGTGCTGGTCCGGAGGAGTTGAGACCTTGATGAAGACCAGCGCGAAGATAGGAAACTGGGGATACCTTCAAATCTCTCCAATCAGAGATGAGTTTCGTCGGATGAGCTGGAAGAAAGGAGCAAATGAGATCGGACAACTTAGGATCGGCTACTTTTGGTTTCTTCTCCGCCCTCACTACAGCTATGTACTCCCGCCAATTCCACGTATTTGAGCTGACAAGCCTCCATACTTCTCTTTACCACGTCGTAGAAGTCCCAAGCTCCGAAGGATCAGAAGGATTCTTCCGTAAGCACTCCATTCCACCCTGTATTCTTACCACTCATCTCACATCGAATGACTGATTGCTCTCAACAATAATAACATCTCCCTCTAATCTCACATTCACTGAAATGGTTTTCGTATTGTCTGTGGGACGAGTAGACGATGGACGAACAAGAGAAGAAGTTGATGGAAAAGTACGGAAAGTTGCCTATGAAGAAGAACATGTTGAGCGGGATGAAGGTCAGTCCCAGCGTTTTCTCAAGTTGATCTCGTGCTTCTCACCTGCCCGAATCGTTGAACTGATGGCGGGGTTTGATTGGGAATGGGTGTTTTGGGCGTGAGCAGGAACGTAAATACTTTGATTCTGGAGACTATGCTATGCAAAAGGCCGGAGTGGCTTCTCCCGATTCGGTCGGTTCGCCAGGTGGTCTGGGGCAGGGTCTGAAGGGCATGGAAGGGCTCGAGCGGGCTACTCCGGAGAGGTTAGTCGTAGTCTTTGGAATAGTCTTTCGAGGGAACTTACTTACAGATTGGTACTGTAGGCTACCGCACGCCCAGCCTCCTTCGCTCTCTTCCTCTCCTACCAACTCTACCATCCTGTCTCCTCCTCCTCTCAGCAGCACGGGATCAGGTTCGATCCCCGTAGCGACCAGTCCTCCTCCTATCGGTCTTCAAACACGTGGCCTTCCCATCCCCGGAGGTAACGCCAGTCAGATCAACCATTCTGCCCATGCCCCAAACACCAGTGCCCGAGCTCCTTCCCACTCGCCTTCCAGCAACCAAAGCTCTACGTTGGCTACCGGAACTGGAGGTGGCACTTCGCCTGGCGGACGACCGAACGCGGGAAGTCCTTCGCCTTCCGGAGGATTGAGCCCGAGTACGAGCTTTGGAGCTGGGGTGGCCGCTGGGCAGGGACATAGTTTCAGTGCCAAGCGAGAGGGAAGCGGAGCAGGAAAAGCTGGAACAACGGCCGTTGCAGGAGTGGGGATCGAAACGTGAGTCTCGATATCCGGTTTCTACTTCGCCGTTCTTCTCCCCTTGTAGCTGACAATCGATTGTGTGTATTATCTCCCCATATCGCGTGCAGTAACCGAGCTTCATCCCCCGTCGCCTCGCACTCACCTTTGATGACGAGCGGTAGTGTCCCTCCCTCTTCCTTCCCTATCAATCACCATCTCGCCGGAACCGGACCTCAAGCCAATAACCCGGCTTCTCCCAGCAACCTGCGGGATCAGAACCCGTTCGCAGGTGATACTCCCGAACGACGGGCTTCGATGATCGCTAGCAGCCCGGTAAAGCCTAGTAACTTGAGCTTGGGGATCCGACGGGCCGAGGAGAGCGCTGTGGACGAGTAGGAAGTGGTGCGGGATGGCTGGATAATCCCTCTTCTATTGTCCTTTTCTTTTGGATCCGGGATGACATAGTTGCTAGCTTCTTTTCGCCTTTCATTGTCGTTTTGTTGACCTTCATTTTTATGTCCGGGAAATGACGTTGAGTCTGTAAATGTACCATACGACAGAAATTCATGATAATCCTCCTGTCATTTCACCCAGCCTCAATAGAAACCAAGCGTACTGGCAGCCGGCAGAATTGCAGTCATGCTGTCGTGCTGTTGTGGAAAAGACGCGACGACGCGAAGTGGTACTGTATCACTTGGCCACTCGCGCGCCGATGTGGCACACGCGATGTTTCAGGTGGATCGGCGTGACGTAAACGGGCAGGCATGGGCAGGATCAGGAGCCGGGGCGGTCGATCAATCCTTCTGGCTCATCTTAACGTCCTAGCACCTCTTCTATCGATTTCTTGTATCCAATCGATCTTCTCATGCTTTTCATGCTTCTCATTGATCGTCGACCCAGTCCTCTTTCAATCCGACATTCATTGACGTCAGATTCAAGCAATCAAGAGAGCTTCAAATCACCCTCACGGTATGAGCAGCTCGTTCTTGTTAGGTAGATGAGAAGAGCCTCCAGATACTTACAACCGTCGAGCTTCCTTTCCACCCGGCTAAACCAGGTTCTGTCGCATCACATCCACATATCAATTTCATATCCTTTCACGATGTATCTCATGGCAAGCAACCAGGATCCCCTCAATCCCGAGCACAAGGGCAAGAGCCTGCTCGAATTTGTAGAGATGCAACTCAAGACGATCGAACAACTTCGAGACAATGCCCTCAGGGAAAGCAACATGTGGCCGAGAGGTTTCAACGGCGAGTACTACGGTCCACACGACCCTCCTCCATCTACTTGGCCCTTGGATCACGTTCCAGATCAAATCATCGATTCCATCGTTGATGCCGTGTCTGATGACGCTCGATTCCGGGACCACAAGCACCACGAGAAGTGCGGCTGCAAAGGGACCAAGTTCTGGTCCAACGAGACTGCCGTCTATCCGTGGGTTCCTTTCACGCCCACGGTCAAGTTCCTCGCTTGGGTCGACAAGACTTTCAGGGACAACATCTTCACCAGGAAGTTGGTCCCCGCGCTCTGTCTCTGTTCGTCATTCACGTTGTTTCAAGCGGACAAGTACATCAATCCGAAGTACTATGCTCATGTCAAGTAAGAGCATGGGACATCTTTGCTCAACCGAATCGAACGGCAGGCCGAGCTGACAGCCTGTTCTTATCTTCAGGCAGATCGTGATCACTCCCTACGTTCTCGACAACGGTTCCCAATACTGCTCCGGCCTGCAAGACTTCATTCAAAAACTACCCAACATCGATTGCATCTTTGACGGGTCCAAGCAAATTGCGGTCTATGGATGTCCTATGCCAGAAAAGATGTTCAATGTCACCCTCAGGGTCTCGCGAATTAATCACGAACTCGAGCCTATTCCCGTCAAAGAGATCAGGATGCTACAGGTAAGATCGCGTTCGAACTTGAACCATAACGGAGCAGATCATTCACGATGCGTCTCGTCTATACGCACAGATCCACTCTACCCCTGATGCTCTGAACGAAAGTGGTGTCGATTACGCGAACGGGCCCGACCTCAACAACGGTCTGGGGACTTTTGCTAGCAAGGTCAAGGCAATCGCCAAGAACATCAAAAAGATTACCAATCTACAGCTCAAGGCAAGTTGGAGTCGTGTGACTCATTAAACGCGTGCCCTAGCGAATCACTAACAATATATTCGGTTCATCTACGTTCCATACTGTATAGGTCCCCGGCATGATCACTTGCGGATGCTCTCACACACCTCGAATGCCCGCTTGGAAATGCCTTACCGATCCCGTTCCTGAGCACTTTCCCACGCTCAAAGTGCTGGATCTGTACGTGCCGTTCTGTTTGCCTACGCCCGGGTTCTACAGGGAGGCGCAGTGGGTGAGTGATGCTAGGTGGGGATCCGCAAGATATCCCGGTAGCGCCTGCGCTGAAGTTTCTGATTTCCGATCTGTCCACAGTGGGGTTACCTCGAGTGGCTTCTCACCACCCCGGCCAAGTTTGAGGCCCTTCAAATCCACTTTGAATGGAGTCCCAAATACATTCCTTGGCCGAGGGCTTCAGCCCGAGATATCTCGCACGCTATGGGTGTCGAGTTGCCTCCCGAAGCTCGGTACGGCTGGCAGGAACGCATCCGCCGCAAGATGCCTACCTTTCTCTTGGAGCCCACTCTCGAGAACTTTATCCGGGATATCTACGGTCGTCATCCCGAGTTGAAGATGATCCAGCTCGTCTACAAGGCTCGAATGTCTGACAAGTACGAGCCCGAGCTGTATCGATTGGTCTACAGCCACCGTAATCCCTCGGGAGATTGCTTGATCATCGACCAGCTCGAGCCTTGTTACGGTGACCTCGTCAAGGAGAGTCTCGACTTGGTCCAAGGCGGCGAGCTTGAACGTCTGAGCGATTGCTATCGTTACAATACTGCGGAGTACGCAAAGCCCCCCAAGACATCCAAGTTCGACCCCGAGATGAACTTGATGGCACCTCTGGGACTAAAGATGGAGGACGGTTTCAAGTTTTTCGGTCACAACAAGGAAGACTTTGCCGAGGACTACTACGGAAGGGCAGATATTTCCGACAAGTGTCTGGACGTGAACGTCAAGCTATTCGAACTCATGGAAGACGCCAAGGGCCATCGAAAGTCCGAAGCCCGCTTCGAGGAGATTAGCAGCGAAGAGGAGGAATAGGCGCTACTACTGGGCGCGGGCCGATTCGGTCGAACGATCGGCTACGAACATTTCTCATCGATGATAGCTCTATCTCGCCTCCCGCATTATTCCTATTTCAACTCAACCACATCTTACGTCCTCCTACTGGGTTTGGTATCCCCTCACAACAACTACCCCACACTCGTTTTCCCAGCTGAAACACGGCTTCACGCTCTTTACGCACCGACGTCTCGAGATTTACCTCGGATGAAAAACCAATCACGCTCTTTTCCGCCCAGACATTACACAGAAAACAACAGCAAAAAAAGCAAACGCGAAAAGAAATAAAAAATCGTTCTGTATATCCTCTACCTCATTCAGTTCCGTCAATACGTCTTTCACAAGTTCTCATCACGATCAATGACGACATTTCGCCCGAGTCGCATGTCTATTATGGACTGGTCATATCGCACATAGCGGCGCCCACGTCTGTCGTAAAATCGTATATCAAAGTTGCATTCCCTTTATCCATTCGCAACTGTGATCGCGCGTCCAGTTACAGGATCGGCAACCCTTTACACTACCGCTTCCCACCCTTCCGTTTCCTCTGAGGTGATTCGTCCTCGCTGCTCTCCTCGTCATCTTCCTCGTCCATATCGCTCCCTAGGCCCTCGTCCTCCTCAACCACAGCCATATCATCCCAAACCTCCTCCTCGTCCCCATCCCCTTCCCCTGCAACGTCCTCTCCATCTCCGACGACCTCATCCTCGGCGTCGCCTTCGAGCTCTTCCATCTCGCTCGACCCGTAATACCCAACTCCGCCCGATCCGACCCCACCAACCATCCCCAGTACCTCTCCCCTAGTTACGTTGTTCTTGCTCTCTTCTGGTGGGGCGGTGGTACTGCACGCTCGCAATGTCGCGTCGGAAGAGAGGGTGACCAGTCCGACCCGGTCTCGTCTTTCTTCGGCGGTTTTCGAGAACCGGGAGTAGGATTTCTTGTAGGTGTACTCGCTGAGGGGTGCGAGCGGAAGGAGAGAGTGTGCGGTAGATGTCTGGGATGGGTAGGCGTAGAGGAGTTTACCCGTTCGAAGGTCCATCGACCCGAGCAAAGATGATGTGTCCGCAAAGAACAATTCGCTGCGACCGCAACAAGACCAACCTCAGCTCGGGTTCGAGTACGGCGACAACCATTTCACGAGTCTCCTACAAAGCCAGATTGACTTACTGTTCGTTGAGTCCAGCCTGTACTGCCCCAACCCCGCCCTCCCGGGCAACTTTCCACCCATCGACCGGCTTCCTCTGTCTTGTATCGTACCTCCTCACGTGACCCGACTTGGTTCCCGTCACAATCGAGGTCGAGGTTGAGGTCGCGGTTGTGGTAGAGCCAGGAGTGGAAGGGAGAATAGTCAAACATAGATGATGAATCGGCGTTCTCAGGCTGAGGTGGTTGTTCGGTAGCTATCCAAAAGAACGTCGAATGCCTTATTAGCACCCCTGAACATATCTCCCGTTTCCGAACACTCTCATCTTCAGACGCAGGAATGCCAAGAATTCGTTTTCCTGACTCACATTCTTCGCCCTCCAAACCTCCCCATCCTCCAACTCCCCCTTCTTCCTCTTCCCAGCCGCCTTCTCACCAATCGGTACTGGGCCCTTGGCAAACACCCTCTCTAGATCCCAGATCGATACGTCCACCTCTTTGCCTGCTACTACCAGTTGTGACGGCGAGATGGTTTGAGCGCAGGTCAATGGGGAGGGGAGACGGCCTGTTTGCGTTTGTGTTGAGGAGGATGAGGAGGGATTTGACGAAGGGTGTAGGGAGACGATCCCGGAAGATAGCGTTGATAACACTCCGCTGTGAAATTGAAGTTCACGCGATGGTGGAGATCTAGGTCAGTACTTATTGAGATTAAAGCTTTATGGGCGGAGACTTGTCTTACCTGGACATAAACTCCAACCCTACCCAGCTGTCCGACTTCCTAGCCGGCTTGACCTGGAACTGCGCTTGAACCTTCAAATCCTGATCTTCATCCTCGTCCTCTTCCTCCTCTTCCTGCTCTGCCCCGTTTGACTTCGCATTCCCCCCTTCCTCCGAGTTCTTGGGCGTTCGCGGCTCGGGGAAAGAGGTCAAGGTGATCCGATGGGTCGTATCTGCCAAAGCAACCTATCTCGAACAAACCGCGCAAAGAAGATCAGCAGCCGCTGCTACCGGCTTGATAGCGAAGATTACCTACAATCTTCTTTTCCTGGTCCACAGCTATTCGTTTAACGAGACCTAACGGCTCGGTCTCTTTCCATTCCCCGATATCGAGCTGCCTGACGATCGATTGACTGGCGATAGAGGTTCCTCGTCTAGGAAGGTCGGGCAGTTGAAAGTCGACCACCGAGTTGGGCGTCAGGGACGGGGTCAGAAAATTGTGATACTTCGTCATGATAAGATGAATGTCTGACGTTCCTGCAGAATCCTATGTGCTGCTCTGGATGATCAGGACAGCAATTTGCTAAGAAGTCTGCGAGGATGCAAGGTTGAGCATGTTTCGAAGTGGATGGTGGTTCACTGAATTTCTTGGAATTAGCTGCCGATGAACGGGTACTAATCACGGACATCCCGTGCAAAACATGTCCGATAGAGTCAGCTATACTTCCGGATCTACTTCCGACTAGGTGGAGGTTGACATACCGATCTGACCTCGATCAGCGTTCACGATATTCGACTTTTGATCAAAATCGACCTCGAAAGGGTGGAAAATAAAAGTCGAATAAGGACAACGCCAACAGGGGGCACGGATTCTCTAGGATTATCTCGTCAAGAATATGTAAGTTGTTTCGGCCTGCGAGTTCGAGAGACGAGCTTATCATGCCATCAAGATCTTATCAGCTAAAGGACCAGCTATTTTACTAGGACAACCGCCAATATGCCTACCGCACAAGTACGTCTTCCGTTCATCTTCTCCAGAATCTCCTAGATGCAGAATAGACAAACCTTACGAACGACCTCTCGTCAACTAGAAATCCCGCTCGAAAGCCAAATCCAAGACCACCGCCGCCGCGAAACAGGCTGCCGAAAAAGCCAAGCTTGATCAGATCGAAAAGACCAAACTCGATACGGCGATCTGTAATCGAACGCAAAGCACTCTTATAGTCAATATTCTACTCGAGGCTACTTTTGGGTGTATGACCTTTTTACGGTCAGTCTCTTCTGGATTTGCAGGTGCTCTGGAAGTCGAGCTGATTTGTAAACTTTCTCTCATCAATTCCCTACTGATACTGTCAAAATGCCCATCCTTTGACATCCCTCCTCCCTTTTCTCGACCCATACATACGACCAGAGGTCTTCTCCCAGATGATAACTTCACCGACAAGGTCGTCCTTGTCCCCAACCCTGACCCTCTCCACGCACCTTCGGCCCCGACCCCCGCCGAGCTGGCCGCTTTGGCCGAGGGTAGTCAACCTCCTCCGGCTAGTCAGTATGGGAAGACGGCGACTGGGTTGAAGGTGAAGAGCCTTATCAGGGGGTATTCGTGAGTATCTTCGAGAACGTCGATTCGATGTCGAGCTCGAGAATGGGAGCGAGGCTGATCGAAAGGGTTTGTCTTGTACGGTTGTAGGCCGGAAGCGGATAAAGTCCTCGGATGGCTCGTAAGTCCCCCTCTCCTTCCCCCAGTTGTACCCCTATCCTTTATCCAACCTTAACGCTAAATGAATCCACGACCGTTCGTTCTCGCCTCACAGGACGGGATCATGGAAGCGGTAGAGAAACAATACTTGAAGACTTGCGTGTTCGCGATCTACCTCGTAAGCCTCTCCCGTATCTCGGGCGTTTTCTGGTCCCGGGTTTCGCGCGTTTCAGCTGATCGTAGATGACTGTGCGGTGTGGGGACCTAGGATCCGAACGAGCCTGAAAAGCAAGTCCCTCGGTCTTACCTTTCCTGCCGCCGAGATTTGATACTGATATCAAAACGGCCCAATCTCGCCCTCGTAGTCTCATCGAAACCTTGACCGTCTCCTTCCACTACCCCCTCGTCCCGGGTACCGACATTCGCGTCCCAGAGATGGAGATCTCTGACCACTTATCTCACCTCGGCCTGGACCAGACTAAACGTATCTCGTCTTCCGCTGCGGTGGGGACCAGGACGGTAGGGGAGGTGAAACGGGCGTTGAGGAGGTTGGTGAAGAGTCTGATCTTGGTCTGTCAGAATATGGGGGAGTTACCTGGTACGTCTTCCAGCCCTGGCAGCTTGAAATGGGCGTGCAAGCTGAATTTGGTAACGGTTTCTGCATCGACAGCGCAAAAGTTCGGTAATATGAAATTGGTTTACAACGAATCGGCGCCTGCCGAGTAAGTCCGCCGACATCCTTCTTTCCAGCTTTACGGCGGCCTATAAAATCTTGCATGCAGCTACGAAGCGCCCAACTTTGTCCCCCTCGCTCTCGAGAAGCAACAGTGGCACTTTACCACACACGAGGTCAACGAGAAACCTGATCGGACTTTCGTTGGGGCCGTCGAATCGGGGCATCATTCGTGAGTTTCCGTCTTCGATTACAATCTGCATATGGAAGTGGCTTGTTGACGCGGATGCTGATCATTCGATGTGGGCCAATATTTCAGGATATCGGTCAAAGTCGCCTCGATCATCAAAGAGATTCCCCGACCAGTACATGTGGAAGAAGAAGATGCCATGGAGTTCGGTGTCGAAAGGTCGGCACAGGTCACTACCAAGGGGAAACGAAAGAGGGAGGACGAGCAGGAGGAACAGCGGGAGGATGCTTTAAGACGGAAGATCGTTTGGGTGAGTCTGATACCGCTAAGAAACGAATGTGCCGACTAAGCTGATACAGGACGTTTCTGATATGTGACAGTCGGCTGATCAGGTAAATGCTCATGTATAAACGCTTCTGTTTGATACGGGACTGATGCTCGGTCTCTAAATCAAACAGGACGCTGAAGATCGCAGTCTTATCGACCCGGAATATCGCGACGCAGAAGGGGAACCGGAGAACAGTCCTACTTCCAGCCAAGAAGGATCGGATGGGTACCGACCTTATGGGATCATGGCCGATGATGGCGCTATCATGCCGATTCCGGAGGAGCTGATGGCCGGAGCGCGTCGACCACATATCGATGAGGGAGAAGAGAAAGGAGAAGAAGATGACATAGCGATGGAAGTAGACGGGCAGGTCAGTTTACTCCGTGATCGCGGTCGAAGATGATATACTGAAAGACATCACAGACGCAGGAAGTCTCGCCGACACTGGTGTCGAATGGCGAGAACAGCCGAGCTATGCAGCCAATCGACATTCATAACGTCTTCGAAGAGATGCTCAACCCAGAACCGGTCAATATGCAACTGGACCGTCAATCGAGCAATGGTCTTCGTGCAGAGTTTTCAAAAAATGTTCGGCCAGGAGTGCAAGTCGAACTCGATGATCCAGGTGAGTCGGGAAAAATGGAATGGTTCGCTTGACCGAAAGGCTTGATGATCTGTTCCGAGTAGTCTCTTCGGTTCCGGTCCCGGAGACCACGGTGATCGAGCGACACGAGTCGAGTAAGTTACCGCTGCATCATCGTATAAGCTGTTATCTAACCTGGCAATCCCAGTACAAATCGATGCGATTGCGCTCTCCAACCAACGGGAGGAAGATATCGACTCCATCGCCTCGTTCTCCCAGCTTGATCGGATCACCCATACCGTCCGAGACGTTCCCGCCGAAAGTTCGCAAGTACCTTCATCTCAGAGGCGATCCCCGCGACAATCTCGTCCGGTCGAGAACATCAATGAGAAGCAGGGATCGAAAGGGAGCAAGAGCTCGAGGCAAGCCAGCAAAGAGCCTTGTGTCTGCGGCGATCCGGCAGAGGACCTCACGATGGTCGCGTGCGAGAGTTGCGAGCGATGGTTCCATATGCCTTGTACCGGGTGAGTACTGCAACGGAGTTTGACCATTTCTTTCGAAAGCTGAGCATCTTTCTGATGTGATGACAGCCACCTGGAACCCAAGAACCTTCCCGAGACGTATTATTGCACAGTCTGCATCCTGGTGTTGACCGGCAACGGAACGAAAGCAGCTGTGGAACACGTCGAGACATATCTCCCTGGGATCGCCTTGCTACGTCGGGGACTATGGGTCGGCTATACCGAGAAGTGTCTACCGGACGAGATCGCATTATGCAAGCGATTAGGTGAGAGATTTCGATAATCTTCAAGGCCGATCGAGGTGTTTACCGATGACCTCTTTCGACACCTCGATTACCAAGGTTGTGGACCTCAAGTAAGTTTGAAGGTCTTTTTCTTCTTCTGTTTCAACAAAGCTCGTGACCCATGACGTCTTCCTCTCCTCGCCTTTCAGGACACTAAACAACTGGTCGAACGAATGACAGATGGCGGTTTCCTCGTGCCGATACAAATCGACGCAAAGAACAAACGGGGCAAAAAAGGTCAGCACAACCTCGTCATACTTTTACCACCTTGTTCTGATTTGATCGTACCGGATCTAGCTCGGGGTTGGACTTTTGTCAACAATATCACTCAATCGAACAAACTTCGTACTTGGTTCACCCCGGGTGGGACGCTCGAGCGCAATGAATTCGGCGTCAATGCCAAGGTAAGCGCGACGCCCGACTCTTCCTTGCCTCTCTCTCGTCGACTCCGAAATCCTGGAAAATCAGACTGACCCCGACGTGTCGCCTTTCTTTGTGCGGTGTAACAGATGGTCAAGGCGTTCAGGAACTGGAAAGGCGGCCCTCAGTCCGACTTACAAGATTCACAGTGAGTGCATCTTTGAACTTCGGTTTGATCATTCTTCTGCACGGGTGGAGGGAGGTCGAAACTGAAACATTCGTTTTTCTTCATCTTACGTACTGTTCGCTTTGCGTTTTACTGTCTCAGAATTGCTGCACCGAAACAACGAGGAGGCAAACCGACTGACATCCAGGACGAAGGGGTCCAGATCACCGAATCCCACCCGAACCCCCAGATCAAATCTCACTCCGATTCCCAATCCCGATCCCAATCAGACTCTCCGTCTCAGGTTCGACCTAATGGGAAACATCAAACACTTCACACCCGAGAGCCCGTTCACCAAACCCCTGCTCTCACCGAAGAAAACAACGGAGGGAAGGCTAAGGAAAAGGAAAAGGAGAAAGTGAAGGAGAAAGAGGCGGAAGAGATGATCGTCGACGAGATCGAGGAGTTTGACCGGGATCCTACGCCTACGCCTAGACCTGCGTCCACGCCGAAAGGGAGGAGGGAGCGGGAGGTTATTTCTCGGCCTGCTGGGAATGCGGCGGGCGGGTCTCAACTTCGGTCTGGATCGCAATCTCAAGCTCGGTCGCAGGCTGGGAACAAGGACGTCAACCGTAACAACGATGGTGCCGCTATTGTCACACCGGTCCCGACAAAACTCTCTTCCCAAGCGGCTCAAGTCCAGGTTCCAGCGCTGGCTTCGCAACTTCGACCTACTAGGACTCGCAGGGAAAGGGTGTCTGCTGCGAGGAGTTTTGTGGATATGGGTACTCTGTATTGAGAGGCGGAAGGTCGGTTTCAGCTCTGTCGGTCACGGTCACGGTGACGAGAGGTTGTATATAAAGGGGGGTTCATTGGCCGCATTCGCATTCGCGTTTGTATTCAGAGGAGGTTTGTATCCTCGTGATCGTTAGAGGGATTATCATCATTGTACCAAGAGCATAGCATAGCATAACATGTCATTCTTTCGTAATGTTACTGCCATCACTCACGACCACAATACAAGCCATTGACGCTACGCTGAACCCTTTGAACCTTGACCGATGGCCGATGGGACAGATTCCGAAACGCGCGCGCCGGCGTGATCACGCGACCTCTCCTCAGTGGTGGAGGGGATGGGATGGCGACATCGATGGCGAATAAAGCCGGGGAGGCAGGAATTAGGAAGCCGTACCTCGTGCGAATACAGGCGAATGGCGATGGGAATACGCCATACCGAGATGGAGTTATCGGAAGATATGATAGCGTCATGATGTGAGGAGTGACGATGATGGCAGGGATGATTCGGAAAGTGATCGTCGCCACTCGAAGGAAAGGGGGACCCCGGGTTGTGGATTTGGGAATGAAACCGTTTGTCACCTGGAGAAGGGGCGACGCGTAAATAACAGCCACAAGGGGGGGATCGTCGAGAACCTGCTTGGTGGTGTCAAAGGTAATCAAGGGTCAAGAGGTTGATAGATAATCAGGAGTGCCATCATCATCACCACCAACTCCACTACTAGAACTAGACTACCTGATACGACCCCCAACCCCCATCTGATTGACGCCACTCGCAGGGAAAAAAGACGACCAGCTAGCTAGCTAGCTCGGGAGCACGACATCGACCCCCGTCCGCGCCACCTCGGACCTGTCCGAAAACGCACACCATCCCTTCCCCTTCTGCTTGCGATTCGCAAGATTAGCAAGTCGACCCCATCATGTCACAGGCTACTTCCTCGAGATCGATATTATTACCTCCGGCGTCGTCATCCTCATTGTCATCAACAGCGATGCCATCAGGTTCAAATACGAATACGAAACCTTCGTGGAGGTTGTTGACACCTGGGGAGGTCAAGAAGATCATGAGCGGGTCGAACGTGAACGCTGCTGCTCCGAGTACGAGTACGAGCTCAGGGTATCACCACCACCATCATTCTCATTCGCAGGACGATGAACATGAGAACGGGATCCACACCCACACCCACAACCACAATCACAACCACAACCACAACCATAATCACGCCAAGCTAAATTCAACCACAACCTCGGCTCTTCCGCTGCCACTCCCACTTCCTATGCATTCGTTAGGATTGGATACGACACCTTTGAGCACGCCGACGAACGATCTGGAGGGAGAAGGTGATCCGCTAGGTTCAGGCTTGAGGGAATCTTCTGGTTCTGAGGCTGGATCCGGGTCTGGGTCTGGGGCTGGGGCTAGGGCTGGGTCGTCGATACTGAATTCGAAATCGACCTCGGACTCGATATCGACGTTGACGTCAGACGATAACCCAAACTCGGCATCACTCGGAGGAGAGACGAAGACATCCTCTTCACAACAAACACAAACAACACAGATACAACAACAACAACCTTCCACGGCGGGACTAGGTACCGGTTCGAACAGAGGAGAAAGTAGTAGGACGTTGTGTGTACGGCATCAGAGTATGGCGGATCAGGGGATTAATGGGATGTTGCAGCAGGTGAGTACCGGATACAGGGTTGGGGTTGAGGTCGGGTTGGGTTGGGGTCTCTTGCGTGGTTTTCGGTCGTGCTCTTGACATGATCCGACCTGAGCTGACTGAATACCGTCCTACTTTTCTCGTTCATCTCGCTCACGCAGTCCCTGGACGCCCTCCCCCTCCCCGAACGAGCCGCGATAACCTCCCTCTGGTCCACCTTTTCCTCCTCCCCACACCCCAAACGCAAGATCATCCTAGAAGGAATCCTCACCATGTGCTGTTTCTCACAACTATCCCACTTGTCAGAATCACTCTCCCAGATCATCCGCGTAGATCCGTTTTCGCTCTTTCCGAAAGAGGTCTCGTTGAAGGTGCTTGGGTTCTTGGATGCGATCTCTTTGGGGAAGGCGGCTCAAGTTAGTCGAGGGTGGAGAGAGTTGGCGGACGATGATCTGCTTTGGAGACGCATGTGTGGACAACATATCGAGAGGAAGTGTACGAGGTGTGGGTGGGGGTTGCCTTTGTTGGAGAGGAGGAGGTTGAGGATGGAAGAACAGGGCAAGGATCAACTCCATCACCAGCACCAGCAGTCAGGGGAGCAGCATGGTCAGCATGATGGGCATGGGCATCATGAGCATTCGATGTTGGAACTACGGCCGATTGCCAATCCGCTCGGATCGGGGTCCAACCCGGCCTCGGAATCCCGTGGTGAGAAACGTCCAGCCGTCCACAACCCGGAGACACGGGAAGATACTGGATCGAGCACCTCCGCTCTCGTCACCCTGCCTTCGGTGAAACGAAGACGGGTCGACGCGGACGAGTGTTCAGGGTCGATGAACCGGATGGAGACGAGTTCGGATAGCGAGGTCAGCGAGTTCGGAAGTCGGGCGGGAATGGTAGAGGTGCCTTCAGCGAGCGGTCGGATTATGGTCGCAAGCACTTCGAATTCAAAGGCGATGGCGGTGCCGACGACGAACACGTTACCGGGGATGACCACCCGTTCAGGGTCAACCTTGAGCGTCCCCCTCCCTTCCCCTCGCCCGGCTCGACGGAAACCTTGGAAACACGTCTACTGCGAACGGCTCATGGTCGAACGGAACTGGCGTAAAGGTCGGCCGGTCGAACGTATCCTCAAGGGACATACCAACGGGGTCATGTGTCTTCAAGTTCAGCACAACCTGTCCACCCCGTCTTACCCCGTTTTGATCACGGGTTCGTACGACAAGACGATCAAGGTCTGGAACTTGGATACCGGCGAGGTCGTACGGACGCTCCTTGGGCATACGAGGTCGGTCAGGGCGTTGCAGTTTGATCAGGCCATGCTCGTGACGGGGAGTTCGGACAAGACGTTGCGTGTGTGGAATTGGAGGACGGGAGAGTGTTTGAGGGTGTTGGAAGGGCATACGCAGGGGGTCAGTTGTTTGCACTACGATCGAAACACGTTGGCCAGCGGCAGTGCGGATTCGACCATCAAGGTGAGTTGTCGGTCGGGTATCTTATTCGACAGTGCGTGTCGGTGGCTGATGAACAAAGAACTCTGACTACGGCAGATCTGGAACATGAAAACAGGGGGCTGCTTCGTCCTGCGGGGACATACCGACATGGTCAACTCGGTCTTGCTCTGGGATGGCACGACATCTCCGGCCGATCGAGCGTTCAACAGTATCGTCGACCACAACGTCCACACCGCTTCGCCGCTGGCTGCCGAGTCGGCGGCCAAGTTCATCTTTTCCGCCAGCGATGATGGGACGGTCAAGATGTGGGACTTGGCATCCAAGACGTGTCTTCGTACCTACACCGGGCATACGGGGCAGATACAGAGTATCCGCCTGTTGGTCGTCGACAAGGAAGCCGAAGCCGAGGGGTCCGACGACGAGGCTAGGTCCGGCATTCACGGTCGGTCCTTATCGCACGTGGACGAGGGGTACAACGGACCGCTCGACAATGCCCAGTCCGGACCCATCTCCTGCTCGGCGCCGTTCGCACCCTTCCATCGGGATAGCCACCGACGTTCTCAGGACCAGGCTGATGGTTCTGCGCCAACATCTGAACGGCCCGCTCTCTTGACCACCCTGCCGGACGACAAGCAGGCGATACTTGTCTCTGGTGCTCTGGACAATACGGTCAAGGTCTGGGACGTCGAAACGGCCACCGAGAAGAGTACCCTATTTGGCCACATCGAAGGGGTCTGGGCCGTGGATATCGATTCGCTGAGATTGGCATCAGCTTCACATGGTGCGTCGGAAATCGCGAACACCCCTGAGCCAAGCGACCTTCGCTAATCACGTCTGTTTGCTCGCCATAGACCGAACCATCAAGATTTGGGATCGTGAATCCGGTAGATGCGCGCGGACGCTGGTCGGCCATCGTGGAGGTAAGTTGGTCTGCAGCCTGTCTTGAACTTTCCGTGCTGAGTTCTGTCCCATCAAATCTCTCTTCAGCTGTCACCAGTCTCCAATTATCCGACGACATGATCGTCTCTGGCTCGGACGACGGTGAAGTCCGGGTCTGGAGTTTCGCTCCAACCTCTGCTCTGCCGCCAGGTCTCTCTTCATACGCAACAACCTCAGCACTGCCGACAACTCAAACGGTTCGACCATAACATGCATAATTTGATTCACGATCACGACAACACGATCAAGGCTTTCCCTTTTGTACAACCCTTGCAACATACCCACAACATCAGGACAGTTGTATTGACCCTAACCTATAACGTACACCATCACATGACATGTCTAACGATCCTATCTCGTTCTCGTAAATTTCGTATCCGGGGTCGTAGTTTCACGCCGATTGATCCTATATGCCTTGATTATGCTGAAGTTGCGGTTGCACAATCTCGTCATCCATCCAGCTTAGACCAATGTCCCAATCGTAAAATCCGTCCATACCGCCGAACTCCGGGATTGCGAAGCTCTCGGCGGTCATGTCCATGCCTTGGCTGATGGGTAAGGGTGCCGCCGCCAGCCACTGGAAGGGCGACTGAAGAGGTGCGGGGAGAGGCGGAAGACCGTTCTCTTCTTCTCGGTGAACCGTATTCGTCGCGATGGGAGTCGCCTTGAGCGGTTCCACGGGTTGTATGAAGGCGGGCGGGGTAACCAATTCCTTCTGAGGCGATTTCACAGACTTGTCCGACGCGGACCATCTCCGACGTAAGGCTTCATCCCGACTGCTGCCCAGTACGTGCAGCGCGTTGTCCATCTCTGCACGAGATCGATCGCTGAACGAAGTGGTCCTCATCATGCGCGGGTCTTGCAGCCTCGGCTCGTTCCGTCGTCGATATCCCTCGACCAGCGCGGTGAGCATCTCCAGACCCTTGTCGGCGATGTGCGAATGATGCTTGACCGTGCGGAAGACCTCGATCGCTTGCAGAACTAGCTGCAAGAGGTCTTGAGAAGAAGCGTCGATGGCATCTGCACCGTGCATGATTTCCAGTAAGAGTATGATCGAGGCAGCCACGGCATGTGCCAATGTCGTCCTGTAGTATGTCACGGATCAGCTTGCGTTCGGCAATTGATGCACAGCGGCTGCGCCCTTACCAAGTCTTGCGGAAAGGTTCGAAACTAAAAATCGTGAACCAAGTTAGGATCCTTCGAGCGTTGGCCACGCAAGTCTGCAACCGGCGATAGTCAGATGAACCTTGTTTTCAAGGTCAGATATTGAATAGCATGACAGACCTGCCGCGAGTAGGTGTAACGACTGTCGCCCCGGAAGGCCCTCCCGAGATAAGGTCGATGAAGGACGATGACCTTGTGCGCAGCCGAACACTACAACACCGTCTCCAGGCCAGTCAGTTGAGTGACAACGAGCGATTAACGACATGTACCTACCAGATAGTTCATTCGTTGCCAATGTATCCACGGGGAAGGCGTGATTCCTTCCGGAAAGGGGTTTGGCATTCCGTCGACCGGATTGAATTTCATCCAGCCAGGTGCCTGGTCCATCGCCTCTTGCATAGCCGCGTCGATCTCCATTATCCTTGAGTAGGGTACACTTCCGCGGTAGGGATAATCGCGATACAGCCTGCGCATTATATGTCAGCTTGATTGTGTCCTCTGAAACGGATATCGACACTTACTTGTGAAGACAGATCGCAACTGATCAGACGAACAACGTCAGTCGCCTACCTTTGTGGCAGAATGGCTTTCAGCACTTACTTCGAAGTAATTGCTTGATATGCGAGTCGATGGTCGGAACCTCGATGGAAAGGGTTTTCGTATCGTTTGAGAAAGTCTGCAAATCCGAGTCGAAGCAGTGCAGCGGAGGCGGCGTATCAAACTGATTTTGGGATATCGCTACAGACGGACGAGCAGTGAGCTATGACTCCGACGAGGACGGAGACCAAGACTCACCATTGCACCTATTGAAAGCGGCATGAAACCAGTCTGAGGCGTGCGAATGTCAGCAAGATTAACGGTTCGACCATGTCGCAGCGCATTCACCTTGTATCACCAACTGCCACCAGGTACGCTTCTTGACTTCTCGATTGATGACGGCTTTTGGTGTCAAGCGTTGGGCTTTGTTATCGCCAGACTGTGGGTAAGGATCAGGTCCGAGATGGTTCAGGTTGAGAGCTTGGGCGACCCTGAGGATTGTGCATCGATTCAGTTTGATCCGCTCCATGAGCTCGACAAGAACGGACTGACCTGATAGCACCTCCTAACATCGTAAAGTACAGATCCGACTTTCCCAGGTGGTTCGCCGTAGAGACGATGATGGCAACGCATTGCACAGCAAACCTGTCCCAGAATCATCATCAGCTTGTGTGGTCCGCCTTATCGTAGGCCGGACTCACAGACTATGATTCGACATCCAATCGGCCAGTTGCAGACATGTCATACATGCCTCAAAGTAGCTTTCGAGGAGGTTCTGAGCTGACGCTGCATGCAAAGCTTTGTTTTAGCATCGCTGGCTATGATCTTCCTATTCGAATGTACTCACGCGCTCCAAACAACTGCTGCAGATTCTCAGTAGGCATATGTTGAAGAGCCGACTATCGAAATGTACAGCGTAAGCTATTTTCATGTTATCAAAGCCGTATGGCGACCTTGCTTACCATCAGTATTCCGAAGTAGAGTGCAAGCCAGCTCCAATTCAGTTCGACCTCGCCCGACATGCCGTCCTTCCAGAAAGCTTCGCAGTCGTTCACTAGATACCCTCTTTGAGTCAATCGGTCTGACTGAAGCGTAGAAAAAGCTGCAGAGTCTGACTTACGAATGGAAGGACCGTGATAGCAGCTGCAGACGTAATGTATAGTCAATCTGACTGCCTGACCCTTCGAATCAAATTACCGTGTAGACTTACCAATGAAACCAGGAAACGCATTCCACGTCAAACGTGACCAGCTGCCTAGCCAAGCCTTCTGGTGGCAACAACTCTACCACGCTCTGTCTCATCAACGCCTTGTAGTCGAATTTAACTTTGACTCGAGGTTGAGCGTTGTGATGGTGATTCAGGTTGAGGTTGAGGGCCAGACCGTTGTTGTTGGTATTGACGTTGTTACTTGATCCCACTCCTAAATCCCTTGCGTTGAAGCTGAAGGGTGAGACCGGGAGAGTCTGTTGACGAGAGTTGGAAGTGAAATCGTCCTCGTTGCCACCAGGAGATTTCGCTCGTGACCTGCCGAGTGCCAGACTATAACATGAACGCAGAATCTCAGCTTAGACGACGGAAATCGGATCGTAGAGCTGAACTGACAATTCCAGAGTAGCCGCAGCGTCCGCCTCCTGATCCAGCGTATCATCGTCACTATCCCCCACCTCGCTCCCCTCCTCACCTTCCTCAAAGACCCCTTCCGAAGAATCCTTCCTCGAGCCCCCGACGCCGAAGATGTTCAGAGGTTTGTAATCTTTCGGCGAGATCAGCTTGACCCCCTGGACTTCTCCGTGGTTCAGCTGGGAGACGACCGAGGCGAGCTGGTCTTCCAGATGAGCGACTCGGCGGTTGAGGCCGTCCACCGTGTTTGTGGAGGCGTAGGTCCGGGTGCGCTTCCTCTGTGCGGGCGGGCTGAGGTATGTGGCGTAGTTACACATCAATCACTTGCGATTGGGAAGTCGGGCTTTGTTGCAGGGGAGGTTCACGTACCGTTTGACCGTTTCTTCCACATGACAGCTATCTCCCTTTCCCCTCTTGACACTGCGGCGTCCCCGATGAGATCTTTATCAGCCTCCAGCCGGCACCTACGACATGAGAACTACATCTGCTTACCAATTCTGACAGGGAATGTTCTTGTCGCACCTGACGCAAACCTCAAGCGTTAATCAACATATCGCGAAGGCGTGTCGCGGGTATCCCCGACTCACCTCTGTTTGCGTCTAGATAAGAGGTATATTTCGAACCGCCGTTCAGTCAAGACCCACTAGCCACTAGAAGCACTCGGGAGGTCCTCCCACTCACCTGGAACACTCGTAACAGCTGTTCAGAGCGGCGGAGACGGTCGAGTAAAGATGAGTTTGATAGTCCGATATCGCCGGACATTCTCCCCACGACATAACTCACGTTAAAGGTTGTCTCTGGCTATACCTCACCGCGTCGTCCGACCCCATCGTGAATGCGCTCGTCGCAAACGAATCCTCTTGCATCTGATTCATCTCAGTCCCTTAGTTGTTGAAGATTATGTCGATGCAGAGTTCAGTGTTGACTTCGTTCCCCAGAGAACCTGATCGAGCTCGAAGAAGTCTCTGTTGTTGACATATCTGGGTCGTCCCGTGGTGGTGGGTATCTCTCCTTCCCTTGACGGATGGCCTCGCACGAGGGGATAAAGGAAGTCCGGGGATAAAGCTTTGGCCGGGACGAGGTCGTACGAGGATTTGCCACAGACGATACCGAGCTACACCGAGAGATGGATAGACATGGATGAAAGATGTCGATCCCCGAAATTCGCTAATCTACAACAATCAACGACCAATGACCCCGCACGGACCCGAATGACGAATCACCCCTGCACCCACCCCACCTCCAGCCTTTTTTGGGTCAAACTTTCATTCGAAGAACCTCCTCGTCAACGTCGACTCTCTAGACACCTTTTGCCCGACGAGCTTCGACCCCTGTGTGACCCCATCCATACCCGCGGTTGAGAGTCCGAGGCTGGGTAGGAATTGCTTGTTGTTCCGTTTAAACGTCGCCAGCGTCTCTCGTATTATCGGCTGCCGCACCGCACGTAACACACAACGCAGAAGCAGGAGCAGGAATTTGAATAAGCAGGATTAGCCAGAAGATCGTCGGGAGAAGGAGTCTGTGCCGGTCGGTTGGAAGTCGGCTTACCAAGTCCGAGATCTTTTGTAGTCTCTCTAGATCGATCCGAAGCCAGTCTAACGTCTCTCTCCGTGTTGTCGAATCCGGCAAGACTATCCACATGACCGAACGTGGTTCGGTCAGTTCCGAAAGCGAGGGGGGGAATGAAGCTGTTTGTCTAGATATGACATACCTCGACTCGACCTCACCGAACTACGATACGCCTTCAAGATCTCCGTCCGTAACAAGAACTACTCAACCCGCACAAAACAGCACGAAATCATCGTATGAGAATTTATCACCGTCAGCCGAGCTTCCTGATCTTCGGTGCGGAGTGGAGGATACTTACATGTTCCAAGGTCAACTGATCAGCGGATCCCAACCGTGATCGACCCCGTGCAGGGGCTTGAGCTAATCGTGTGATCGTCGTTCTCATCATCGTCTATGCTGCCTTGATCTCGAGGTGAGATTGAGCTGGGTCGGCGTGTTTGAGGGTGGACTTATGATATCCTACCGATCGGAGAGGTTTCTGCCTTCTAAGCTGATTAGGAATGTATGTTGGTAGTTGCGTAGTTGGTGGTTCAAGTAGGACGATAGCATGATAGAGGTTCCTTGCTTTCCCCGTGATTTTGGTAGATCTTCTTGATCTTTCAAGGTCAAAAGTCGATCGGCAAGTCTCGCGATTCACTGCTTGCACTAGCGCGCCGAGGCCATGTCCGAGGTCAATTCGTATGTCCTGGATCATGTCAAAGGCGAGGAGGGCCGGAAGACTGGACACTTTCCCCAGAAATCCGAAGAGTTGTCTTATGTTATGTAAGCTGCAGTTCAGTAGCTTCACGACACTCCGAATCTCTCTGGAGGTATCGATGAGCTGAGATCCGGGGGCGAGTTTTTTGCCGCGACGATCATGCACAAGTTGTAACGAAGTGGTCGACTTGCCTCGGTTTCTCTCGAGGGCAAACGACGAGAACTCGGTCAACAGCCGTGGATCTTGTCGAAGTAGCATCAGTTCGTCCGTCGCACATGCAATACGAATGATTTTGTGGTTATTCGTCGTGCATCATGCCACCCCCCCGTGTGTCGAGCAGAGCAGGCGACGAGGACGACGGCATGGCCCCGAGGCATGAAATGGTAAACAAAGGCGGAAGCAAATCCGGGGTAACCCTCGAGAGCACCTCACCCTCACCCTCACCTTGATCAGGTTCGACGTCGGAATGTCAAGCGTCAACGATCCTATTCATACTCGTCATCCCCTAACCTCTGAGCCTTTGTCAGTACTCCAACACTTTCCGCGAGAAGACTGGCTCCCAAAAGAATAGAACTCCCGGCGGCCTGGCTCTTTACGCACGATCTCGACGACCCATACCAGCTCTTCGGCTCTTTTGTTCGGGATACTACGTTTCAAGTTTCTCAGCATCGCCTGGACGAAGTCTGCAAATAAGCATCGGAGATAGCGGTATCTTCGAGTCTTGTTCAGGATGGTGGTATTCGGCAACGTCTCATCGCCAGAAAGATCACGACCACACCTCCGGCCACCGCTCGCAGGCAGGTAAGTCCTCCCTCTTTCTCTAAATCCATTTGTCGATAAGGCCGAAGCTGAACCTCAATGCCTCGTCATCATCGGTATCACCTGTTACAGGAGAGGATCCTCATTCAAACGCTCTCAGCCCCTAACCATCCAAGCTCTCGAAGAGCTCGTCACAGCTTACCGTAACGCCTCTACCTCCTCTACGGGAAATGATCTCCTCTCCAACCCGCTCAGGCTGATGGACGCTTCCCGAGACCTAGATCCAGAGCAGAATCAAAGTGGGACTGAGGAGAGGGAAGAAGCCGAGGAGAGGTTGAGGGTGGGGTTGGGGGATGCGTTACGATGGAGTATAGGGAGGTTTGAGCCGGATATCTTGGATTGGCTTGTGGGCTTGGACGGAGATCTGGTAAGTACTCCCCCTCTTTTGCTCTACATCCTCGATTTTCATGCAATCGCGATGAATTGTTGCAGCTGACGATCCTTTCAAATCAAAATATGTCATGATGATAAAACTAGGGAAACATGCTGGACAAGATAGTCAGGGATTTCAGGGACGAAGACAGGCACACGATCGTCGGGATGGCCATCGTAGCGAGCGCGGGGAGGGAAGCGAGGGAGACGTTGGTTTGGACGTTGGTCGGACGGTGGGGGGTCATGTGGCCACCGGGAAAGGACGAGTATGGGAAGGTAATTCCGAGTGAGTACAGTCGATTTCCCTTTGTTTTGGCTTGATTTGGGGAGAGCGGAGATACGGTTGTTGATGGGTTCGTGATATCTTCTTGATAGCACACTCTTGGACCCCGTTACACCTCGCTGCGCTATTAGCAAGCCCACCTTTGGTCTCTTTCCTCCTAACTCGGGGATGTAATCCTTCATGGACGACCAGCAAAGGCCTAACGGCTCTCGATATAGTTGAAGGCATGCCAGGACGGGAAGACGTTACCGATCTCCTTAACGGAGTCGGGGAAGCCGCGGCGATGATGAGCCCTGATCCAAATTCGGGGGTCTTGTCACCACAAGCAGCAAGCACGAGTGGACCGAGTAATTTGCAAGAAGAGATGAGCATGAAGAGCGGTTCTCCGCAGACGAACTTTTCGCCCAACTTTTCGGTTGCGACTGAGGAGCCGAATGAGCCTGATCATGGGGATACCGCACTTCGGGATAGACGATTACGAGCTCTGGAACGGAATCGACGGTTGAAGCGGGCTGCTCGGGAGAGGAAAGCGCAGAGGGATAGGAAGAAGGCGGAAGACGAACAGGTGGATCTGGGAGTGAGGATGAGGCTTTTGAACATGGGGATGGGAGAGGATGAGGCGGCTTACTTGATGAGGGATTATGAGACCAGGTGGACACGGGACGACGTGCAGCTTCGGGTCAGGCGGCGGGTCGCGATGGATGATGAGGAAGACGAAAGTTCTGAAGACGAGCAGGAGGACGATGATGGCGAGGACGACGAAGACGATGAGGCTATGGACGAGATACTTGGGCTGGACAACCTCTTGGACGATGGGCCTGAGCGGGATCGGGATGTCTTCACGGGATCGTCGGATCACGATCAAGTGGATTATGATCTTCGGTCAAGCGGTGCTTCCGATGATGGTATGGACGATACGCTACAGACGCCGCGTCGTACGGTGAGTTCAGGACAAGTAGATCGACGAGCTGTAGCCGTACTCATCACAATCTCCTTACGACGCAGAGGTTCAAGAGCATCGACGAAGCGTCCTTCATTGCGGGAGATTCCACCCAAATCGAAATCATCCTGGACGTCATCATCTCCAACTATGCACCGCAATGCTATCCGCTGGTCAAACGGACCTTGCCGGCCAACGTCATCTACCTCCTAGCACGGTACGCTGCGTATCGATGTCAGGATCAGGAGGATCTTTTGCACTGCGTGCTAGAGGGAGCGAGTATTGCCATCGAGGAGGTCTCGCATGTGAGTCGATGTGCGAATCAGCTCATTCGGAGGTCATGCTTACGGGGTTGTGATGTTTGACCAGAGCGGGGCCGATTCGTTGCCGATGCTGGCATTCTGGACCTACAACATTACGATCTTGATCCACCTTATCCAATCGGATCCGGGGTTGCTGAGTGTCTGCGAGCAAAGGGGGTTACTGGAAATGCTGCGCGAGATGCTGAATTCCATGCAGGGTGAATAAGAGCACTTTGTCGAAGAAGAAAAACAGTGCTGAAAGTCCTGTTATTTCCCGCCAGTACACATCACTCGTTGCACGGAAGGCAAAATGCACCGGATCCTGGAAGCGTCCATGCTCGATTGCGAAACCATCGAGGAGGATGTGCAGTTCGATGACGAATGGTCCATATTCAAGAGCATTACCGGACGGAAAAAGCAGCAGAGGGTCAGCGCGCCTCACGTGGCGAGTTTGTTCAATACTACGCCGGGATCGCCTACGACACCTATGGGATTCATGCAATCCTCACCCGCAGGCAGGAGCGGCAATCGATCGTCGCTACAGGTCGACACGCGAGCGGATCAATTTGCAACAGGCACTCCCTCAAGAGCTGGACGTCAAGCTGCCTCGATGTTCATGGCCGAGAATGTCGAGTCACCCTCAACGATGATCGATATCCTCTCGGGCACCCTGCTCGTGCTCGAGCTATACGAGATTAACCCTGCGCTGATCATTCAGATCTTCTCGCAACTCCTGTGCTGGATGGCAGCGGAGATGTTCAATGGCATCATGACGGGTGGCAAGAAGTACCTCAGTCGGAGCAAAGCCCTGCAGATCAAGATGAATCTGGAACTGATCGCAGAATGGGTCAAAGCCAGTTCTTTGCCATCGTCGCTCTATACCAAGCATTTTGAACGAATCTTGCAGCTCTTGCAGGTGAGCCTCAGTTGCGTCTTGCGGGTGCAGATCTGGGTCGTTGAGAAAATACCGCTTGCCTCGATCTTCTCAGTGGCTACAATGCTCATCGCAATTGTCAGACTTTGACATGCTGGTGGCTACGGTCCCGCAACTACAGTCTCTGAATCCTCTACAGCTGAGGAGGGCAGTCAAGGACTATCGCCACGAAGTCAACGAGCCGAGGATGAGCGAGGAATGTTCCCAGTACCTCCAACAACTTGTACGCGATTGGGACAGGAAACGCGTCAAAGAGGGGGTTGAGGGAATCCAACGTGAAGTCTCGCAGCGTCAAGTGTCCCGGACGGTTTCGCCAGGGGGATCGCTAGACGAAAAACAATCACGTCTGGTCGCCAACCTGGACAGCCTTTTCGATGTCGATATCGGTCTTTCTGAGTATCGCCCTTCTGTGCCTAAACCAAGCACTACCGACCTTGAAGACAGTCGCTTCAATATACCATTCGCCATTCCCTCCCAGCAATTCCTCGCTGCCGTTCCAACGGCAACCAAGAATATGAACCTCCTGGCTGGTCATTCAGGGCAGACCCGACTGGACGGTCGACCGTCTTCGCCTGCGAGCTATTCATCGTCACGACCTATGGGCTATAACATCAGGAGCACTAAGCAGTTGCAAAAGCGACCTGGCGACTTTGTGGAATGGCTCACGCTGAATCAACGCGCTGCCAATCTCAGATTGAATCAGATGGAGTCTGCCCATCGATCGCCCCGCGCTCCGCTCGCATCAATCGAAATCAACGGACAGGCTCGGATGGAACAAACTCCTGAGCGACCGGCGAATGTCAACAAATTGCTCAACAGGACCTCTTGTGAGTGATTTTGCGCAGGAATCTGTATCGCTATTGCGCTTACATGCTTTCGATGGTGAATTACAGACTCTGCCATTTCCGAACCTCAATCTCAGGATATTTACGCTCATCCAAAACGGACGACCAGCCATACCGGATCGCCCTTGACGCCGACTTTCAAACGCTATCTCGACCCTTACGAAGCCCAGGGCAACCCGATTTCGCCCAATACGCCAACACGGTCTCCTCCCGCATCTGCTAGGGGATCTTGGCTGTCCGGTTTCTCGCTCCGTAGAGCGTCCGGTATCAGCCAAGCCGCCAGCCAGGACGGAAGTTACGATGAGGGCGAGACACCACTCGCAGAAATGAACGACCAAGGGAGAAGTTTGTGGGGCCGATGAGGTTGTCACAGACAATACTGCCTCCCACACGCGCTGACGACAAACTCGTAACGATCATACCCGATGAAGATGACTCTTGGAAAACGTCTGACGACTATGTACGCCTCATATGACATGCATCAACGAAGGTTTCGATTGACAGGGCAATCTCAACTGTCCTCACAACTCGATCGCCCGCTTTAGTTCCGAAGTCGGCTAACAGGCGATGAATAGACAAGAAGGCCCATCAACCAGTAATCTGCTCCGAATACCTCCCTCCCCCTTTCCCAATACTGACGACCCCACTTAAAGGTTTGACATGCACGAGGTGGACTGTCCCAACAAGGAGGGTGAGAACGAGATCAAACGGCTGCAGCCGATGCGTCCATGGTGTACCACGTTACCGGCGCAGGACGTTGAGCCGCTCTTAATAAAGGAAGCAGCATCTTTGCCTGAGGATGACATCAAGGCCCAAGAGAGAGCTATCATGGAGAGAGAAGAACGTGAGAGGGAGACTAGCCATGAGGACAGGGAGGGTCATCAACTAGAGCGCAAAGAGGCTGCTCATCATGGGCTTCGTGGAAGTGGTTTAAAGAAGCAGCCGGCTGGAGAGGAGAATAGGGAAGATCCACACCAGAGCAAGAGATCACATGAACATTGATTGCACACCAAGCTCATTAGCAAAGACGATAGTCACAAGTCACAATTCGTAGTAGAGTACCTCGTACCTCGCCGACGTGTACAATGACTTCGACGTTCAGGCTAAATCACATCTATTGACGAAGAACAATATACTGATTACAACTCTAACAAGAAGCCCAAGGTAGCAAAAGACAAGGCCCATGATCGCGATCGCTTCGGTATCGTTTGTCGTTGTATTTCTCGTCATGCCGTATCTACCCGAGGTAGTGGTATATCACTCCAAACATGATCAACGTGAAGACGGCTCCCCCGCAGAATATCCACCAGTCTTGTGCTCTACAGGACGAAAAACAAAGCAAATTGGGTTCGAAATGAGCATGATCAACAATATAGGCGATTCATGTTTCGGTATCACCCGGCCATACGGAATGTACTCACGTCCTCCTTTCCACCCATCCGATCGTTTCCCTACTCAACCCCAACGTCTCCCCGACCCCGCGTAGACCCCTCTTGGACCGCCGTAATATCTCGCGCTGTTCGACCAGGTTGTCGAGTACGGCTTTTCCTTGTAAGAGGTAGTCGTCGATCGCGTTCTCGGAACGCTGGATAAAGGTGTGTTCGGACAGGGCGTGCTCCGTCCGAGCGTCGTTGCCCATCCCCATTCCGTTTGAGTTATTTGAAGAAGAGGCGAAAGGGGATTCGGAGAACGAGTCCCCTAAAGGGGTGGGAGGGGCGTTGGGACGTAATCTCGGGCCGAGGTTTCCTCTGGCTCCCATCCCGACGCTGACGCTGGTGCTCCCCCCTGCACCTAGCAAGTTTTGTCTCGACCGCTCCGCTGCGTCCTGTTTACGTTTTTCGAACAGATTTTTGAGGTTGGTATGTTCTTCCCTGAATTGCTGGGCTCGGCGTTGAGCTTTTTCTCGTTTGTCGGCAGGGGTGTTGGGGGAGGAAGCTTGACGGGAATAGTCGTCGATCAGGCGGGAAAAGGCAGTGAGGGTGGTAGATATCTGGCCTATTCCAGCAGCATAACAACAGATACGAGTATTCAGTATCACAGCCTCAACTTCTCTCAAGGACAGATATCCCTTTGAGTCCGTATGCATACCTTGGATAGCTGCACCGTCATCACCGGCTTCCATCGCTTGCAGATCTCGCTGGATGCTGCTCATCTGACGGTTCCCCACCGTGAAAAGCGTGTTGATGGACATGATCAGGACGTCTTCCTGAACCGTAACGTATAAATAGGAGGTGTTGTATCTGTACGTGACATGGGCAAGTGCCAAAAGCAACGAGATGTAAATCATATAGTTGTCGAGCAAGTTGAATGACGATTCGAGCTCGACCTAGCTTCCACGAATTACTTCCGAAGATTCAGTGCAGCCGGAAGCTTTTCTGCCGTAAGATCGAGCGATGAGGTTGTGGAAGAGATGTCCATTCGATCAGCTCAAATCTCGCCTTTTGAGGGTCAATCATCGGAATAAGTATGATCGTATACCGGACAGTGAGTGTATACAAAGGGGTACTATAGACATCTCTTACAACGCCTCCCAAACGTCTCATCTCGGCTGCGTCTCCCTGCGCGCTTCTCCTATCCCGCCTGTGCGACCAAACTCGCCCAATCCACAAACTCGCACCTCACACCTTACACCTTCACATCCACCCCATTATCCTGAGCAACCTCGACCGCCTCCCGTCTCTTCTCCTCGAAAGCCCGCTTCATCTGGAAATAATCCTTGTGGAGCCCACATTCGGACTTTTTCTTCCCTTGCCATCTGCCCGCTCGTTCGCCGGCGTCCCCGTTGGAAGTCGAGGTGGCGGAGGGGTCGGGTTTGGCTGTAGAGTGCCAGTCGCCGATTGAGCGGTAGCCTTGGTCTAGGAGAGGGTTGTAAGGGACGTTCCTAATACGTTCATACAATGAACATGAGCGACGATCCCTTGATGCAAACAGGTCCCATATCCTCGAGCTAAAACTGAGCTGGACTTGTACTTACTCTTTATCGATATACTCCTTAACCTGCCCGAAACTCCACTCTATCAACGGGTTGACCTTGATCAACCCCCTCTCATCCACCTCTACCACCTTCAACCCAGCCCTCTCTTCTCCCTGACTCTTCCTTCGGCCCGTCACCACCGCCTTCACCCCTAATTCTTCGTAGGCCCGCTGAGCGGGTTCTACTTTGACGAGGTAGTCGTAAGAGTCTTCGTCGGTCTCCCAGAGACGGGGGCCGTATTGCGCTTCGAAGGATGAGGGGGAAGAGGCGTTTTGGGGGGTGTAGGTGTGGAGGGGGGCGAGGTAGGTGTCGGAGGCTAGTTGGGCTAGGTCGGTGGTCTCCTTGAAATGGTAGAGGGTGTCCAGGAAGATCTACGAAAGGCGAAGGGATGAGAACGGTGGTCAGCATGAGGTATGGGGCCGACACACGAGGTGGAACCATAAGTGGAGGTAAGACTCACGAGGGGCACCATGTGGATCTCGTTACGTTCGAGTGAGATCTTGGAGATCATATCCAGCGCTGCCAGTCCGGTCCTATCTCACACCAGCCAAATGTCACATCAGTCACACGACCCTTACTCGCCAATACAATCTCTCAAGTCTGGAATCCAATGAAGGCTAATAGAAAAGACCACACTCACAGTCCGAAAGCCGTCGTCTGGTACAGTCCCTTGACATTGTCGATAGCCCAGGTGAGGATCTCTTGCGGCGTCTTTCCAGCCAGGTCCCGGTTGATCTGGTCGATCTCTTCGGGTGAGAATTGGGGTGAGGCGAGGGTGGTCATATTGGGTTGTAGGTCTGCTTTTGTATCTTGTTTGTTTCGATAAGTGATTCACGATCTTAGTATTATTTGGTGGCAGTATATCGTAGCTGATTTATATGACTCTCTGCCTGCTTAGAAGAATGCTCGAGTGATTGTCAAGAGAGTCCTCGTCGAGGATTATCAACAACAACGTCCTCAATTGCTGATCAACCCGACTTTTACCCCGTCCACGCAAAGTCGAATATGCGTTATTTTACTTCCGAGCGTGATGGCGTGATCGACCGGATGTTTAATTGGAATTCCAGCTTCGGTCGACGCCGGGATGACCGAGGTCTCGGAGGCTTTCTCAATAACGGCATGATCTCGGTAAGAATGCCGTCATCTTGACGGTATGATCTGTACGTACACGTCGCCCCTCATTGCAGTGTGATACGCGTCGCCCTAGACTTTGGCTTTGATTATTTGCATCGACCTTGCTCAAAGTCGTATAATCCGTTAGGATTCAACCTGGTAATTATCAGTTGCTGCAATACACTATACACACATACAGAACTAGCTAAGATGGACGTCTCGGCAGACTTGGCAGCCCATGCGGCACGATTGTCAGTCCTCTCGCCGGTCTACTTCTAGCCACGTCGTAGCTCTGGCTGATCTTGATCTTCTTCTTGCCTCTCTTAACCTGCACCCAAATCCGGGAATGCAATCCACGTCGGCTCCATTACAACCTTGGAACTATGTACTTCATGGTGCGGTGATCTCGAAACAGCTCGGCTCAACAAGCCACGGATGATTCGGTCATCACCGTCGACCCGGCCATCTTGACCGCGTTCGACGAGGAACCTACGGACGATCCCGAATATGCGTGCGTTTTTGGGTCTCTCTGGCCTGATTCTATCTGTTCTTTGTGGAAAGCGTCGAACTAATCCTTGTTTCTGATTCTTGTCTCGTACTTTTATTTCCTCTGCTGTGCCGTTTACGACGTCAATTATGCAAACGTCAATAGAACCGACCTCGAGGCCTACCTCCTCGACCGATCCACCCGTACGACCCAACACCTCCTCCAAACCCTCTTCACCCTCCCCCTCACCCGAACCCCAACAGGCCCGTTCGCCCAACTGCCAGTTTCACACTCGCACGCCATCCTCCCAAGGGAAAAACATTTACCTAAACCGAAACCGTTGACCAAGTGGGAACGGTTCGCGAAAGAAAAGGGGATCAGTCATAAGAAGAAGGACAAGATGGTTTGGGATGAGGATTTGAGCGATTGGGTTCCTAGGTGGGGTAAGGGGGGGAAGAATAAGGATGTGGAGGAGGCTTGGATTAGGGAGGTCAAGCAGGGCGATGGTGAGTTTCGAAGTCTTGTGGTTTTGGCATAAACACGTTGTCGTTGCAGCGAGCTGATCGCGTAACGTTCTTTGTATCCTCTTCCGTCGCTCTTTCTGTCCTCTTTGTACACACCTACCTTCTTATCTCACGTTCGAACTCCCGTAGAGGCCGACCACGACCCGATCGCCACGGCCCGTAAAGCCCGTAAAGAGCGTATCGAGAAGAACACCCGTCAAGCCGCCCGTAACGCCGCCGACGCCCTCGCTGCCACCGCCTCCACTACTTCCAATGCGACCTCTTCTACCCGATCTGGGGTCTCTACTCTGAGTCAGGCGCAGAAAAAGACGTTGAGGGAGGCGAGGAAGGAAGAGTTGGACAGGAGCATGGCACTGAGTAGGACGGCGACGGCTTCGATGGGCAAGTTTGATAAGAAGATCGAGGGGGAGCCGAAGATCAAGGGGGTCAAGCGAAAGGTCAGTTTTGCGGTTTGGAGGTATTGATGTGCAAATGTGGTGTAGAAAGCTGATTTGACGCGTTTGGTATCTTCTTCTCCTGCACTATTGTTCTTCCGCATTCTCTTCATATCGTAACCCGAACCCGCAGTTCGCCCCGACCTCGGCCCCGGAGTTCTCCTCGGAAAAAGACTCGGCCATGCATATCGCCAACATCATCGGCAAGCCCAAGACGGGGGATGCGGACGTCAACGTCAGAAAGGCGCTCAGGTTCCAAGAACGGGTGGACAGGTTGTCTGGAGGTGGGGGGAGAGGAGGTGCGGGTGGACGTGGGGGCAGGGGTGGGGGTGGTAGGGGCAGGGGGAAGCGATGAGCTGTGTGGCGGCCCATCAAGGAGGTGGTGAGGAAGGTGGTCTAGATGTATATGGTATCCTCTTTTTTGGTTGTGGTGATATCCTATCGATGAGCTTTGCGTTCTTCTGGTCTCGGTCGATCCATGTACGATGTGTAACTTTTCGGCGGGAGCAATTCAGACCTTCGCACTTCGCAAGAGCTCATGATCAAGCTCGAAAGCATTTCTCGACATCTCGACAATCATATCCGATACGGGTCGTGACGACATGTCATTACCGCACCCTCCTATACAGAAACAGCTCGCAGCTAGGACTGCCGTACCTAGTCTCCCTGATCAATCATGACTTCAGCGCAAACCTCTATACCTCCCACATCGAGTCCTACCGCCCCGGTCGCCCCGGCCGTCCAGGCCAAAGACTGCCTTCCTTGCCGATTGACAGGAGCGGCAACCTTTGGAGGAGTAGGCTCGTACGCCTTGTACTTGGCTTACCAGGACGGGGTGTTTGACAAGGTCCGCAGAAAGGGAGGGTCGATTGTCGGGGGGAGGTTGCAGGTGTTGCTAGGGCTCGGATTCTTGGGGGCTGGATTGGGGAGGTTGGTCATCTAGATGAGGAGTGAGGGAGATGGGCACGGGAATATGACGGTAAGCTTGAAGGCTAGATAAAGTCGGATCTGCAAGGCTGATTAATGGAGGACTGTTACTCGTGTCTATCGATACATAGGATTTGTATCGGTACCATTCGAAAGGCCGCCATCGATAAGTAACCACAGCAAGACATATAGATGACGGAGAGGAAGCCAGATACAGGTGGATCGGACCGTACGATATGACCAAAGGTAAGCTCAGAGGCTTCCAGGGTATGAAAGATAACCAGCTTCTGTGCTGATCGGCCTTCCTGCCAATCCGTTACCTTTGAAAGCACTTGTAGCGAAAAGACATCTAGATGGGGCCGCGAGATATTCCAGATCCGTGTTGTTGATTGGTACGTGTCGATATGCAAGGATTTTCCGCAACGATTCTTGAGTTGCTGATCGATTCCTCTTACAGAACAGTAATTATCATGTATTAATCAAGACGCACTTCTCACATGACATAATTCCCGGCTAAATACCCCACCCGATCGAAGAAGTCGGGTTACGGAAACTGCGTTCGAACCGACAACGGCAGCCAGCTCATCGGACTTCAGGACGATATCTTACTCTAGGCGACCAGATTACGTTAGGGTTTCGAAGGGGCAAGGCAAGGATGTCGCTCCGTCTTCGTCGGAGACAGTCTGACGGTTTTGCCATCGCCCGAGGTGCACGCTCGATATCGACGTTATCGTGCGAGTATTGTGAATAAGTCGCACTACTTTGCCCATTTCGCCTGGGACGATGGAAATGCGACTCGGTGACACATCATTCAAAAATTTCGGATTCCATACGGTTTCATTGAGCTATAAATACGTAGTGAGGGTTCTTGATTCACATTTCCTTTCAGGTAAAAACCGGTTCCTATTTCAGTCATCTATCCTTCCTTCCTCGATCGATTCTAATCGAATTCGGATCTCTCATCACCACCGGTCCCAGTCGGACCTCGACGAGGCTTGACTAATCAAGGAAAATCCCATTCAGTCAAGGTACATGCTCCACCCCGACGCCCGCTGAGGTTCCCGGGTCAGAACGGGCCAAGGAGCATTCGCATTCGATCTTCCTGAAGCTGAAGCTGAGATGGCGGACGGAGGAAGCTTTGATGCTTTGGCCCGACGACCTTCGGGAGGGTTGGAGAATACCGAGCTGACAAACGAAGGGCTTGAGGGGGCGTATTGAACTTGAGAGAGGGTGGTACGGCGGTAGTCTTGGGCGACCGGGGCTGTGATCAGAGCAGGGCTGAGGTCTGCGCTTGCGCTGGAGATTACACTCGGGTTGGGGCTTCCTACTGAGGGTGCGTATGGGTATGCGATAGGATGCGATACCGGGGAGGAGGTAGGTACGGGTGAAGACACGCAAGGTAACGGTTTGTCATGTCGGTAGGGGGTCAATTGTCTACCGGCGATCTTGCGGGGCGCGGTAGCAGCCGGGTATGGTTTCGGGATCGCAGCGACCGGAACAGGAGAAGCAGTGGTCATAGATGTAGTGGCGGTAACGATTTCGTCCTTGTTCGGTCGGACCGGTTGAGCCAGTGTGAGCTGGACGCAGCCGGTGTCTTCTTGTAACGTGATGATCGCTTTTCGGGGTTCGGGCTGGTCCAAGGTGGGATCGTAGATGGCTTCGGGAAGCGTGACAGTTTCATCATGATCTTGACCGTGAGAAGACGTGAGGGATTTATGGATCTTGGACAGGCCCGTACCCATCCCCGCTGTACCCCATTCGGCGTCCCGGTGGCGACACCTGTCCCAACGCCTCTTCTCCCTCTCGCCGTCGGCATCGGCATCGTCGTCGTTGTGGATGATCTTCCGACCAGTCCTCTTCTCCTCGGCTTTGACTCGTTTACGCCAAACTCGGTATTTCCGGAGTCTGACGAAGAAGCAGATGGTCCACGCCATGCCGATGAGGGCTAGGCCGAAGACGATGGCGATCGGGATGGCAGCGCGACGAGGACCTTGAGGTTCGGACTGGACAGTATTGGCAGCGAGAGTAGCTGAGGCGGGGAAAGTGTCCGAGGGCATTCTGTAAGGTGTGGATAGCGTTGATAGGGTCGGTTGAAACGGTCTGTTGGTTACGAGTGATGCGGCGAGATGTCGATGAAGTTGTGGTCGATCCTACTTTGATGTGAGAAGCCTGGTTGACGCGAAGCTGCAACTGGAAGTGAGAAGGTGAGAATCGAGTGGAGAAGGATAGATCATCCGGATTGAGTCTTCAGCCCAGATTATATACGATTCCCCCTTGCCCGTCGAATCAGGCGCGTCGCCTCTCTGTCCTTGGTCGATCCGGGCTGAAACGTCGACGTAGTTCAGCGCGTTCACGTCGACTGGGAGCGCGTGGTGGCAAATCGTCCCCCCATGTTTGTAAAAGTCGACGCGATTGTAACCGCTTCCTCTGAGTGCAATGAGATTATTCTTGAGGCGCTGCTCCAGTGTAGCAACTTGCCTTGAAGATATGCGTGACATTCTGGATAAAAAATGCCGGCTGCTCAGCTTCAGTCTAACCTGAAAGCAGGGCACTCGATTTATTAGATCGTTTGCTTCTTGCGTGTTTTGGCTCATGGCGTACAAGCGGTCAATGTCTGGATTGTGATAATCGCCCAGGACTCTCGCAAATCAGACAAGAGACCTCGAGATGCGATGATGACGAACGAGCTCAATTCAAGATGGGTAGTGGGTAGTAGAGACATAGGTAACAACAATAGGATGTAACCGACCCGTGTTTGGGGGTTCATGTAGTCATATCTGAGATATCAACGGTCAATATCTATTGGTAATACATACAAAAGCTGATCAATCACTACTTTAGAACGGTACATACAAAAGCTGAACGATCACTATCGTACGGACTGTCCGACGTGGTCACGAGAACAGCTATTTCTGGGGAACAGACTTGGGTGTCAAGCGTGGAGTCGGGAAGTTGACCCGAGTTTCCAGAGGAGGTACCTGCGGTCTCAGCGTGGGACGGAGCTTCGTCGGAGTTCTCCGCACTACCCATCGAATCGCTGCCCCCATTGTCCGAGTGCACATCCGGCTTGTTCTCGTGTGAGTCGATGGGCAGAGGAGGCCACTTACGTCTGGGATACTTTTTTTGCATCTCCTTGATTGCCGATTCCATGTGAGGTTTCAGCGCAGATTTGAAGTTGTTTCCTTTGAACCAATCGATCATAGTTTTCGCAGTCGCTGCGTGAGTCGAGGTAGCTTCATCGAGCCAGTAGCCAAACAGACTGAGCGACTCTATCCCCATCAATCTGTTTCCCCCATCACGGTAATCATTCAGGCTTTCGTGGAACCCTTCGGTGGCGTGTAGCTTCATCGTAGTGGTGGGCTCCGAGGACTTCGACAGTCGGCGCACAAAGATCCTGATTTGCAGCCTACCATTGTACCTGTTAGAACCGAATATGGTATGTACTTCCAGCTGTGCTTTGTCGTCCTCCATGGAGTAAATGCATGAGATTCCATTTGCGTAGATGTTGTCGGTGGACTCGTATTTGGATGTCATCAGGTGCTTGAGCGTTCTTGGACTGGAGGTTTCGGTTTGCGATGCTTAGCTTCGGTGCGAATAATGCAGAATGAGATCGAGACAAGTGATAGGAGGGGATTATATGAAAAGGCTGCCATAATGGGCATCATCGACTAAGCCTTATATAGACCGTTGGAACGCTGAGAAGCCTGATCGAGGTGTATACCTTCCTTTGTATATTTATGGCGTCATTTTCTCTTGGCAGATGCTGATGTCATACTCCTTATCGTAGGTGTTCAATTGGACGCAGGGTATCATGTTACCGACTTTCTAGGTCCCGCGCTGATGAGAAACCTTAGTGTGACTACACATAACGCGTACCAGCGCCTGTATTTCGAGGCTCGACATGTAGTCAGAAAGAGTGCGGATGTTATGCTTCCCCTCCGATACCCTAGGTTCCCCTATGATACATCATGATGAACGACTCGATACGTCAGTACAATGCTGTTCGGATGCATGGCACGGTGAGTAACTGAGGCCGTCTCTGTCAGTCTACCGGTCGCGTCGGGTGGCGAATCGCAGTCCGGACTGTCTGCGCTAATGTTGAGGAGAGATGCGACCGGTTTTATCGGAGATGACGGTACATCCCTTACGGAACGCCAGATCTTTGTATAGGCTTGTTACCTGTTACGAGCGCGCAATAGCTTATGAGAAAATGGGAATCTCGTGACCTAAAGATCGACTTGCTGTGGGCGTGGGGGCGTACTGGTAGACACATGTTCAAGACCGGACGCATACCCATCCAGTAAACAAATACCTCATATTCAGCGTCTGTCTGGTGGTATGAATCCTTGGGATACGTCGCATAAATTCAGTTCAGTCTGGAGACTGGTGGTCTGGTGATTGCGTGGCGACCGGGAATTCCTGTACGCAACGGCCACAAGAATGCTCGTACTCTGGACACTACCTCTTGAAGTCCGAGGCGGTAATGACGGATACCCACACAGGTAGTGACACGAAGATGCTACACATCAGCCGCTAAAGATGACCGTGGTTATACAACAATATGACCATGCCTGGATGGTTTACAGATCAGAGTTATCGGTCATCAGTCAACGATCACTTCCAGGCGAGGTCTTGAGAACCCCCATAGCTAGCCAGTTGCGGCAGTCTGAAGACTCTCAACGGAAGGATCGGAAGACTGGGAAGAGTGATTGGATGTGTCAAGGCGGGACGGAACCGTCTCATCGAGGGAAGAGCCTCGCAAAGTGTTCTGATCATTTCCACCTCCTCGGGCCTTTCCCTGCTCCTGCTTGGCCTTGCTCTTCGGTCCCAACGGGATAGGCCCATGTTCTTGGATCATGGACATTTCGATCCCTTTCAACATCTCTTCATTCAGTTTGGATTTGAATCCCTTGGTAGCGCACCAAGTGTGCAAGGATTTTGCGTCGATATGAGCCGTAGATCTGGCATAATCGAGCTGATAGCCGTTCAAACTGCGCACGTCTTTTCCCGTCATCACCATGGTGTCACATTTACTTGACTCATCGTCTACGAATGAATCCCCTCCTTCTCCCCTGTCTCCCCTGTCGAGTACGACTCTCACAGGAGACATAGACTCGGAAAGGGCAGTAACCCATATCGCGACTCTTGGGACTTTTCGGTCGATATCCTCGAATCCAAAAATCGCGAGTATCTTGTTGTTTTCGTACTTGAACCTGCAGGGGATTCCGTTGTTGAACCAGTTCCGAGAGGGATCTCCATGATGATTCATCGTGTACTTGTAACTTCTTGTGGCGAAAGTTCAGAAGTGCGAATTTGAGATTTGGTGCGAGGTTGAAAAGGTGGACGTAGGCTAGATAGGATTGCGGATAGATCGCTACCGGATACGGTTGTCAGGGTGTATGGGTCTCTGTCTGACCAGCACCTTATATCGACAGTTCGAGAAGCATAATCGGAGCTAACATCTTCCTTTGTGTATGTGGCGTCATAATCTCCGCCAGGAGCTGAGCAAGCCTGGTCTGATAAGCATCTGTCCCTCGAAAGTTCGCAACGGTTTTTAAAAGAAGCCTTTTAGCTGGTCGATCACGTTGGCCTGCCACATTCCATCTCGTCAGATACTGTATGATGAGGCCGATATTGTCTTGACATGAAGGTGAATTTGCCTAGGCATAAAGGTACAAGGTCTCAACTATATACCATGCTGTACACAACCTATAGCGCCGGATTGCTTCGGACGAGACTTCCCAGACGAATAATCAAGCTGCAGGACCGGATGCAATAGTCGATGCAGGAGACTGAGACTGATGGCTGCTTTTCTCGACGACATGAACTGATCGTTCAGAGACTGCATCTCCGGTATCACATTCAGAATCGTCCTCTTTGTTATTGGCAGAGTTATCGATACCACCGACATCAGTCTCGTCATCAGATTCATTTCCTTCGTTGCCTGCGTCTCGTGCGGTGACGGGCCGCTGAACAGGCCCTTGTCCCGAAGAGCTGCTTGCGGCCTGTTTCTTTTTCTCTTCCATTAGCTTGGTCTGGAATCCCTCCGAAACGAGGAAAGCCCAAAGATCTTCGTGATTGTCGAAAGCCACAGACTTGGCACTGTAGAGAGTCCAACCATCAATGGCAATAGCGGGAGGGCCATACATCTCATCGTCCCCGGAACATTCCATCAAACCTTTCGTCGAAGCGAAGTCTGGGGAATTGTTGTCACCAGTTACATCAGCCATATTGAACGTAAACTTCTTGAGTGACTTCTGGGATGACTTGAGATCCGAGTCGGACACAATGCCGATGCGGAAATGCTTGCAGCCCGGGCTCGGTATGAAGATTCCCTGAACTTTCTTGCCGCCATACGCGAATTCTACCCTCATCGTATCAAAAGTGACCATCGGGGACGAAGTCATGCTGCGCTTATGTACTAGTATCTTTCTGACGACGGGCGTGACGTTTGGGATAGAAGCTCTGATTAGGATCGCGCTTAAGTCAATTACCGCCCGGAAGCTGTTCACGTCGACCGCTCATGTCTCCAGCTTTATATAATATCCTCTGGGCCTCCCTCTACCGGCTTGCCAAGAATCGAAAGGTATGCGGCCTCCGTTGTTGACAAGGCGTGACGTTCTTTGTCAGGTGATGAGCAGTTGGCTTGCAGCCAAATGGCGAACAATGTTGCGCAGTATCGAGTCAGCTGACACAGTTGAGAAGCATTGACATCTCGTCAAGGGGCAATGATAACAGCCTCATGTTCGTAGGACGATCATAATTTGAGATTCTCGTGCACATGGATCCAATATTACATGGCCGAACGCTGAATGAGTCTGATAAATACAACAACAGGTCGCTTTCCAATTGACCTTTAGTGAACGAAGAGCTAAGCTGAAGGACTTGAGGCGCTTGATACGGACGGAGGCTTATCAGAAGACTCCCGTTCAAGACACTCACTGGAGTCATCATCGGACTTGCTATCACCCATCCGCATCCGATGATAAATACCTGTACCTTCAGCATCGCCCTCATTGTCTGACTCATCGCTGGCGTTGTCGCTTTCTGGTCTCAACCCGCTTAGAAAGTCCTTTTGTGTGAGCATACTCCATAAATCCCTATGATTCTTGTGCGCGGTGGAGCAGGCTCCAACGAGCGCGTGCCCTTCGATCTTGAGCGGAATAGCAGAACACTTGACGATAGTGCAATTCGTGGTAGCCCTCACGGGGTCGCACTCTGTATTGATACTGCCGGAACTTTTGTTGCCTTTGTCGAAATGAATGCTCAACTGGTCGTGAACCGGGGAGCTGCGCGGGTAGATATACAAAATGAGCTCTTTGTTTTGATAATTCAGATTCTGTTGGAAGATCGCACGGATACGGAACTGGTGGGAAGCGCCGGCCAGATATATCTTCATCCAGGCAACGCCGTTTGACGGTGTTTCGGAAACCATGTTGATCGTGGTCGATCTACAACATTCAACGCCGCAAAATTCAATCCAGAGACGAGGGTTGTGGCCGAAGTATCCAGCGCCTCGGTATAAGTCGCTGTATTAATACGACTAAATGAATGAGTCTTGTCAGCGTCCGTCAGTATCACGACCTCCTTTGTCGCTTTGATTGTGATGCAAACGGTCAATTGCGCGCTGCCCGATCTCCTCTTCGGCTGTGTGTGTGCCCGATCCTCCGCTAATTGAGCAATGTGGTGTCTTTCGGAAGGCTATTTGAGCTTGCTACACCTCGCTCTATGATGGAGAACCTACGTATCGTCTCATACCTTTTAGGTACTCGAAAACACTCGAAAACACTATGAGAATCCAATATGGTCTTGATGCAAGATGCCAGGTGATCAGCTGTGCTGAGGAGCCCTTCTTTGATGCGCTCAAAGACATGTAACAACAGGAGCATGTCTTGCCTCGGCGGGGCCATACATCGGGCAGACATTTTTCAAAGGAAGTACACATATGCTTTGCTTCCTTGCGTGGACGGTTCCCGTCAATTGATCAGAACTGGTCGCGCTGAGTCGACTGTATTCAATAAGGATATATTCGCAATTCATCAAGGTATGTATCTGGCATCTAGCTGCTGTAACATAGCATGTGATTGTGATCTGGTTCGAAGAAACAGTGCGTTTCTAACTCTTACAACAGAAGAAGGCTTTGACAGCAACTCTCGCTTCAGCCAAGATCGATGCGAAGAGCGTGATTGCAAGGATTGGACGACTCTCTCGCTGTAGGAAGGTAAGATAGTAGGATACTGCACGAATCACGGGCCAGCGATCTCAGATTTTGCGAGTTCATACTGCGACGACCTGTTCGACTTGACGCTCCGCAAGGAACAGGGTTCGACACGCGCGCGCTTCGATTGAAACAAGCCACAAATCACGGAACGATTGCCAGTAATGTCAGCTGGCCAATCTGACGCACACCATGAGACTTTCATAAACCGAAGGACAGCTCAGGCTGGGATTGGTGGCGTGATCGAACACACGATGTGTCCGGAAGATAATAAACGATGTGGTCGACAGGGAGCGAATGACATTGTGCTAGTGTAGCACCCAACACATCTGCCGCATCATGATATCTCATGTTTGAACTCTAAGTCTGGTACATGCGAGATCCGATCCCTTCAATCCCACTTGAGGTTGAGCAGCTAAAACTCCTGACCAGAACCGGCCGTCGCGCCCGACGCACCAGAAGCGGACTGTGAACTCAAGTAGTCAGGGAGTTCTTCAGTATCGCTACTGCGGTCCGTACCTTCGGTAAGGCTTCCACCGGCAGAGAGCGCGTGATCACTGATATCCAAGCTCTCAGCTTCCTTCGCGATGACATCGTTGATCTCTTGCTTCAATCGGATTTGAAAGTGCTCCCTCTTGAGCCAGTCCCAAAGCTCTTCGTGAGTCTGATGTTGCCAGGAAGCGACCGAAGCGACGACGTAGTCAGGGAAAGACATTCCGGGACCTTCCATCAGGTACGGCAAGTCCTCCTTCAAGACCATGGAGTTGAATTCGTTGTCTGGGCTGGCCGTCACATGGAAGTGGAACGCCGTAACATGCTTGTCTTCGATGATGCCATCGCGAGGTTTGATCCAGATCTGTACAGGAGGACCAACGTTGTGCCAGACGATCTTTCCATCGTACTCAAAGGAGTTCATGATGTGTTTGTATGCCATTTTTTGGAAGATTGAGGTTGTGCTCTGGCAATTTGAGCAGTTGTGCTACACATAGATCTCGCGTATCGTGAGGATGGGAAGGCCCTGTAGACGATTTATATATAATGTCTGGAGCAGCAGCTCCTTCCTTGATCCGAGGGAATCAGAGAATACTCCGGGCTTCTCGGTCAAGGCAGATCCACAATACCACAAAGGTTCGTACCTCAAAAAAGGCGTCCGACAAAAGAAGTCCATACAACAAAAGAAGTTCTTTCGTCAAAAGAGGTTGAGCAATCAAAAGAGCGAACAGAAGACTGCTTGGAACTTGTATCTCCCCCCTGTTTCAGCGAACTTTGTCGGTCAAGCATAGAGGGAAGGTTCGCATGTCCGATTGTGTCGATCAGTGCTCACTGTCGGCGGATGCAGATCTCGCTCTACAGCGCTGCCACGTGCAACGGGAGTGTTGTTTGTGATCTCTCAGACCTGGGATTGACACTGGGGGTTAGTTTGTACATTAGCACTCCGGACCACATGGCTGGTCAAAGATTTCACCAACCCTGTTGGTCAGTTCGAGTGGCTGAATAGATGAGATATCGGTAAGCCGTGGCAACTGACTTGCAACACACACTTTTTTTTCAAGCACCCTGTGTGTATCTCATGGTTCATGACGTGAAAAGTGTGGCTAGGACAGTGTATGTAGCTTGACCACTGTCCGCACGTCTCTTCCCAATGTCTTCCAGCCGACATTATCATTCAAGCTATGTGATCATAGATACAGGTCCTCCTCGACTCTTTTTAGAAGATGCTTCTTTGCTTTTGACATCTCACAATCGAGGCCGAGCGCTAGATTCGAAACGGGGCGCGATTACCCAGATACTTTGCAGACTACAAGGGTCAAACATCTCAAGCCCTCTTTGACATGACGGGCTATCTAATATGTATCACACTTGTTCCGAACTTGGCCTACCTCGCTGCAGGTTGTTGTAGTTACGACTCGACGTATATCCTGCCTGGACGAGCAGCGGCTACGCTCGCCATTTCGCTCAAGACGAGTCGCCGATCATACGTATTACAATGTGGCGGGTCGTGCGCATCCCTAAAATCGTCTCAAGTATACCCTGCAGACTTTCCTTTAGAGTTTTTTGTATAGCAACTCTGCGGCGAGGGCATCAATTCCACGGCCCTCGGATGCGATTATATGTGATAGAACGAGATCCTGATTTGAAGCCTATCTGCGCTTCAACGAGGTCGTCCTGTACCATGTACCGGTGATCATAAGCCTGATCGGCGAATTCTCTGAAACGCGAACCGGAAAAAGGTACGGGGTGTGTGCTTACGTCACTTCCTCGGCAAGACCCACGCGGGGTGCCTTCGGCTTCCGGCTTCGGGGATAACTAGAATGTGACCCAACCCCCTGACCGACCGACCTACTACCGGGGGGACGACTACCATCCTTGTTCGTATTCAAGGACGTACTCTTTATAATCTCATATACCCTCTGTTTGCTACCTTGGTGGCATCAAGTTTGTGAAGTCGAATCAGAAGTACCCCGATATCCTGCTCAACTCCATCCTTCGTCTCGCGCTTCACAAACGCACACGATGGAGGACGTTCAACCACTCCATCCTCCTCGACCCCGTCGACAACGCAAGACTCTCTCCGCTGGCAAATGTCTTCTCTACACCGTCCTCGCCATCGGGGCAGCCCTCATCAGCGCCGTTCTGATCTCCGCTGGGTATGGCGTCTGGACCGCTTGGAAGTCCATCAGCGATCCTCATTCAATTCACAGGCTCGATAAGGCTGCGGAGAAGAACGTATCCGATGTCAACCTCGTCAGGGCAATCATCGACGATCAGACCCGGTTCGATGTGGCAGTCAGCGTCTGGACGACCTTGCCGGATTCTGAACAAGAGGAAGAGATCCGAGGGTTGACGTTCGTACAGGCTGATCAGAAGGGATTGGGTCGACCGAAGGAACAGGTCCTCTTCTCGGATATCGTCTTGAGGGACGTCACACTCCGCTCCAAAAGTATCGCTACGACCGTCAAGTACCGACTACCTCTGGATAGATTGTCAGTACACTTCCCACTCAACTTTGGATATGAGAGCAATTCTGGTGGATAATATTGATCCTTCGAGCCTTCGACAGCCGGGACCAGAACCTAACAGGATGGGACCTCCGGAGTACCATGGTCCTCCTGCCCACCACTTCCGGACCATTGGATGATGACAGGTTCATCAGCTATAGTCAGTGGAAACCGGACGAAGTAGGCAATCAGCCTAGGTTGAGCCATCCGTCAGTCCAGGCGTTTCTGTAATCACGCTCTCTCTGTAGTCAGAGTGTGGTCTATCTATTTTCATCTTTGTCTCATGCTGTTGTTCACACGTCGTATGTTGCAAACAATTACAGGTTCCCTTACCGACCCTCAACTTCAGAGGGGGAGAAGAGCGGTTCGCCACCTCAAGCCGGGGATGCAGATGGAGACCAGGAGAACCCAAAGTCGATGATATTCCGCTTATACGACGATTGGGGAGCGGGTGTCTCGCTCTTGAATTTTATCGCTGGGAACGAGACCGAGACCGAGGTGGAACCTTTGAACGCTTCGAACGAGACGACGAAAGCCAAAGAAGGGGATCTCCAAGTTGAAAGTTCGGACAAGGCGAAAGTGGATGTGGGGAAAGAAATGGACGATGATGATCTGGATTTGGAAGATGATGACGATCTTCCCGAATCAGAACGGGCGGAGAAGACGTCGAGTCAGCCATCAGAGCGGAAGTCCGAGGGGAAGGAGGTGAAACCTCATCCGTACCTCGTTACCAGGTAAGTCTACCGGGCTATCTATATCTCGCGGCACCGATCCAAGCAATCACAATTGTTTTAACAATGATTTCCGATATCCCTATAGGACACATTTCTATGCGATCAACGAGACCAGACCTATGGAACGCAAGGTCTTCAACAAGCTGCACAAGGACTTGAAGAGATTTAGTGTAAGTCGACGTGTCTATACTCTGCAACAAGGAATCCACAGACTGATTATGATCTTGTACTGGTGCTGTTCCTCCTGAATACAGTGTGGATTGTCCATGGGAACGGACGTCAAACCCGCCCTATCCCGGTGTTTCAAGCGATACCAATCGAATGGAGAATGGGGGGTCAAGGTCAAATATAATGCCCCGACCGAAGCTGGTCCGAAGCCGCGGTTGGGATACCTGCCTTATCTCGGATCTTTATCGGGTGGAGCTGGACCTATGGTCAGTAGAGTTTCCTCCCTTCTTGATCATTTTGGCTTAACAAGAATTGCTGTGCTGATCATACTGCTGACTGTTGATAGGACCTGGAGAAGATTCCCGTTAGGCGAAACAATACCCGTAGCGGTTCAGGTGTGTCATTGGATGAAGATACTCCGAGTCTGTCCAATCTCATTATCGTGTTCATCGGGTAGTGACTGGATCTGATACCACCCACCTCGCAGATTACATGGATGTCCAGTGGACCGTCGTCTTCTCCGGTTTGTCTGCCGGAAGAGTGGAGCTGCTGGAACAGTTCGCTCAACCTCCAACCCTGGCGCATAATGCCACGCAAGCCGAACGAGTGTTGGGTCATTCACAGTGGGAGCAGACCCGTGCGCACGAAACGTTGGAAAGCTGTCATTGGCTGTCTCTGACTTACAACACAATCTACTTGAATGCAACAGATGGAATCCTTGGCAATCCTGGCGAGGGTACTCGACCGTGGATGCGCTTTTTCTTGCGTACCGTTCAGTGAGCATATCTGCGTTCGAATAGTCGTGAGCGATGTCGTTCAAAGTTGGGCTCATCCGTTTCACGACAGAACGATATTGGATCTTCCTGTACATCTGTTGAAAATTCACTACTGGTATACTCGCACCACGTCGCTGGGAATTAACAGGACCGGTATCTACCTGAGCGGCCTTGCCGACTTCACCTGGACCACACTCTCGTTTACCGATCTCGCACCCTGGAACCAGCAATTCGAGTTCTGGCTGAGTTTCGGACTCACAGCAATCATCTGTGTGTGGTATACCATTCCTTTGTTCTTGGCCCTCAAGGTTGTCTCGCCCATCGCCTTGGTATGGAATCGTTGGATACCCGTAGGATCGCTGCGAGTCGAGCCAACCCACCGGGAACGGGCGTTCTTGCGTTCTGACTTCCGAATGCCCAAGCTATGGCTTGCTTTGGTGAGCGGTCATAGCAATCATCCGAGCGAATTTGGGCTGTATCGATGACCAAAATATTCACATCTTTTACGTCAGGCCATTACCGTTCTTGCCTCTGTGCGATACGCAGAGAATCGGTGGACCTGGTACATCGTAGCGCCCGCGTTGCCTAAAACGCACGACGTCGAGATTGCAAAACTCGGTAAATTACTCAAGACGTATCTGGAACCCATCGGTTGGGCAGCCTCTCATAGTGCCGAAGGATATCAACTCGTGACGAACCACCTGCACAGCTCATATGCGGCTTCATACGCCTTGACAACCTACCTGTCCACCATCTCCAGCGTAATCCAGCTGGTTTACCTGCTACCCATCGTTACGGGTCGACACGATGCCAAGGGGGGAGTGGCCGTTTCCGCGATCTTGGCATATGCGATGATGATCATCGACTTATGGCAAGCTTGGAATCTCCCGAGGATCGAGCAGCACAATATGGAAAAGGACGAAGATGAGGACTGAATGCCTTGCTCAAGGTGTACTTCGATATTCGTAATAATTCAGGACATCGTAAAGATTGGGGATTACAAATAATCATTCACCGCTCCGCCGCTTCTGTTTGGCGGTGCTTTCTGATGCGATCGATCACGTCTTTCAGCTCGGTCACGACCTCTCCCGTGCGAGTTTTCGTGTCTCGTGATGTCATGTCGATGCCGCCGTTGGGTCCAGTAACATCCCTCTCGGCTTGCTTGGCTCGAGTCTCTTCCCTTGCCGCTTTGACCGCTTGAATACGTTCCTCCCGTGTCAGCTTCCTGCCGTCGGGAGCCAACGATCGTGGCGGCGGTAAACGGGCCACAAAGTCTTCGAAGACGGATTCAATCCCGGGTGGAGGTAGAAAGGCCGGCGAAGTCGAGTTGAGCAAGTGGATGGACGCATCGTCATAGTTCTTTTGCATAGGGGCCAGTTCCGGGTCGATTTCATCCATGGAAGGTATCGAAGGCAACGACATCTCAGTTGATGTGTTTGTCTCGCGATCCAACATCGGATAATCGTTGTAGGTCGAAGCTGGACTCGACATGACAGCTAGACGAGCGTTGCCGAAGTTGTCCGTTATTCCAGTCATGCGTTGGACCAGTATTCGTCCTCGCTCCCAATCACCGATCATCCGACCAAGATCGGAGCGCAAGAGTTGCCATTGACCTGACAAGAGGGTGTGATCGCCGCCTGCTGCAGCGGTCATCTTTCTGACATCGGAGATTCTCTTGCTAGTGATCTGGACCAGCTTGGACAGGTCGTCCAACTCGTCTTGCAACACACGCGCGTCCGTCTTCTGCGGAGCAAATTGCGAATGCGGTTGGTTGTGCCACGGCTGATTAGCCCGCTCGCCAATCTCATTGAGAGCTTTGCGCAGGGCTGAAGTGCCCTCAATAAGTGATGTGCGCATGTTTGTGAGCACACCATGAACATCCGCCCAGTACCGCGCGACGTAAAGAGGGTCTTGACCAGCTTGTTGCAGCCCGTGAAATTGAAGGGCTAGCAATCGACATGCAGTCTGACGCCGTACGGCATGGATGGCGCGATGTCTCGCTTTGAGGTTGAGTAGCGTCAAAGGATCCTCCAGGCCTTCATGAGTGTCCTCCCGAGGCGATCGAGCCCTATCGTATTGGAGAAACCCTTCCGACCTCGGCATCGGTACAGCCAAACCTTGACTATTTGGGATTATTCCGTTCGACCGGAACGCTACCTCTTCCGTGCGAAGATTACGACTGCTCTTTCTAGACAAGGACGCAACGAGATCTGTAGGAAGACCTTGGATGAAGGCGTCCATACCCTGGTCGACATCGACAAATACAGGGGAATGGCGCCGCGCAGGTCGGGGCGAGTCACCGGGCCTCGCGTGAGTAACGCTCGAGGGGCGGCGAAACCCGATAGACTGCAAGCTGCTTCGCTTGCGTTGATGTGTACGGGGATCAGGAACCGAACCAACGGAGACTCTAGTGATATTTTCCGTGTCCAAGGACGGTCCAGAATCGGCCGGGGCAGTGACAGGCGGGTCGGGCGCCCTTAGCATTCGTTCGCGCTGGGCCTGGGCAGGCAGCATCAGAGGTCTCAACTGTGACAGCTTGTTGGCAGCCACCGGCGGCTGATTTTCAGATTGGTTAGGCGTACCCACTTCCATCAATGGAGACCGCCTCCCACTCGAAAGACGTGACGGCGGTCTCGTAGAATCTGCCGTGCCGACTTCTAGTCGAGGTGAATCTCTGCGCTGCAACAGCTGTCTCTGGTCACCTCGAGCTGCTGAAGCGCGCCGAGATTGATAGTCCCGGTCCGACATGACACTATTGCTCCGGCCGAGTCCGCTCATGCCTCCGACCAGGCTCTGCGTCCGTTTCCTGTTTTTCGCGCTCCAGGTCGTTTGCCCCATCACGCTAGACGGTCGAGGACTACGCGCCGGCAACGGTGTGAAACGATCTTCAACCAGGGTGTTCGATATCCTCTGCAGGTTGGACACCGATTGCGACGATCGCAGCGTTTGAAAAGGCGGTCGAGCAGACAGATGATCGAGCTGCTCCGAAGGCTTCCGATAGCCAATGGTAGCTGGCCGATTGGCATACCGATCAAATGGAAACCCAATCTCGCCTGGCCCACCCGTCTCGCTGAGCGGAGTGCTTTGAGGAAAGCCAAGCGGATCGAATTCGATCGGGGTTGTGATTGCCTCGCCAAAGAAAGGCCGCCTGGACGGTGCGGTCGAGTTATCCAGACCTCCTCTGCTATCTCGGCTGGACGAGGAGAACCTCTGTCGATCCCAACCTGGGGACAACAGCCCGTCCGAGAAGTCGTCCACCTTGTACAGTTCTTGCAAACCGCTGAGATCTTGTTCTGAGACGAGCGGCATCAAGGATGAGCTCGCCGAGATCATGGACGACGAGATGCCCTCCAGCGCTGAGTAAAGCTTGGTACGAAGAGCTTCTTCGAGAGGATCATGTCCGTCATCGCTGAGGTGACAATATCCAAAGTTCATAATTAGCTCATGATTCGCTAGAGTAGCAGTATGTTAATCGACAAGAACTTACAGATCGGCCTGATTTAGCTTTTCGAAAGCCTCGTTTGCCGTCTTTTCAAAGGCATCGTTGTCCTCGACCAGGTGGGTCAAGACTTCCAGCGCAGACGCCTGCAAGCTAGGCTCTCTCGCCGGGACGGGTTTGGCCTCGAGGTCGACCTTGTTGTCGTTTGCAGCTGGGATCGGGACAATTTCGATGTTCCCTGGGACTGTAGCTGTGGGCTCAGCAGCCAGATTCGGTACAGAAGGTTCTGTCCGTAAGACCAAAGGAGTAGGCAAAGCGACCTCGGTCGGTCTGATCATGACCGCCTCCGTGTCCGTCTCATCTTCAATCTGCCTTCCGATCCGAAGTTCATCCTCCCTCGGTCTCGAGCCCGACCTTGACGCTGCCTTTGACTCGCGCTCCCTGTTCTTCCGCGCCAACAACCCCCAGACGACCCTCCACCCCAACTCCCACATCCAACTCCCGATCCCATAAATCAAGCCCACCTGCACCCAGGCCCACATCCATAGGTACCCTGTGAGGGTATACGTCGAACGGAGGCCGAACTTGAATATCGGGACGATAAGGTATGACCAGGACGAGGCGGGTCGGCGTTGGGTATAAGGGAGAGGTGTAGGTTCGGTCGTTGTGGCGTTTCTCGTGGCAGTATCTGTAGACGCATATACGGTTGTATTGCCAGATCCGGTATTGGGGGTCTTCTCGCGTTGCCTACGTCTCTGCCTCAAACTCTCTCTCGGCCGAGGCAGGTCAGGTAACGTATGCGAAATCCCCGTCGGCGTATCCGTCACGGGCGAATCATTGAAGTTGGTATCAAAATCGACGATTGGCAGGGGGTTGAGTATCATAGTCGGCGTGCTCGTCCTGGATGAATTAGTGGAAGCCGCTGTGAGGTATGTCGTGCTCCCACATGAAGTGTAAGAGGTGATGGATGGGCGTGAGATGGGGTATCTGGTGAACGTCTGTAAAGGTGGTGGACGGGAGATGGAGGGTATAGAATTTCGTGAGGATGTAGAAGAACGTGCGGGTCGTTGATATTGTTGATAATGTTGATTGTAATTAGGGTTCGTTAATCGGGAATTTGATTCTTGTTCAAGGTCGGTCCCATATCCATAGGTGGAGACCACCGAGCTGCGATTCCCAATCTCGGTGGCATGTCTCGAACGGGCTGCTAGCAAGCTCGACCTCTTCTGCTCTGATTTCGGTTGAGCTTCGAGGAGACCGCTGGAGCAGATGATGTATTTGAACTGTTCGGCGAAGTTGGCAGGAGGAACGAGGCTGGCAAGAGGTGTATCTGGTTCTCCGATCGTGGTAGAGTTGGAAGGTTTATGACGGAGTGAATGATAAGGCGGCTCGAGCGGCGATAATGGAGACCTCAGGTTGAGCGAATGCACGTCCGTATCGATCGAGATCCGACGGGGATGTTGCTGTCGTCGTCTCTGCCCATTCCCATCTGATGATGAACATGTCCCGGAGCTCTCAGAGTCCGCCCCGCTCAAATCCGCCTCGTCTCCTCGGACGGATGTCCTCAGATCTCTGACCATCATTCCGTTCTTCCTTCGTCTTCGTCTGAGTGTGGACTGATCGTGTTTGCTAGATTCATCAGATTCGAGAGCGCTGGTCGAGCCGATCGCCGAAGCGTGATCTAGGCTATCAGCGAGTGTCGGACCGAGGGCAGTGCATTCACCGTCCTCTTTGTGATCGGAAGCAGGAAGCGATAAACATCGTCTCTGAGCTCATATCATAGTGAAAAGACCTTCTCACCTCGCCATTCCAAGTCCAGCGGTACATCCCGGTCCACTTTGTTCTCGACCATCACGACCTATTTTTGTTCGCGCAAGAAGCGCCCGTTGCGAGCTGATTCCGGGGATGTCGTTCGGGGTCCACGGTCAGGTCATATCTCTTCGTTATGGTTCTATTGTATTTTGCTATGACCGTGTGTCTGACATGTCTAGTCGCTGTTGACGATTAGTTGTCTACAAACGTACAAACAGTTTGATGGCATGACTGCTGTGTGCGAGCTTGCGAGCGTGTGTCATGGGACCGCGTGTTTACATTTCGAGCCGGGGGCCCACATGGTGAACGAAGAGTCTCACCTCAACAGAGTAGGTTGTCATTCAACCATCGATCCTATGCAGAAATGATAATGATAAAAGATGCTCAAACTACTCGCTACAAAACACTATATCATAAAACCCATGCCGTGTCGTCTGAACAGATATATAAGAAGGAGAAAACACAAAACGTCCGTCCTCATACCCTACGCCCCTCATCCGCCGGACAACAACCGATCGATGCTCTCGTTGATAAACTTGGTCTTGCCCGTCAAATCCGCATTCGGGTACTTGCTCATGACCAACTCCCTGATCTTCCTCTTGGTCACCGTCGTAAGATCCTGACAGGCCAAATCGGCCTTGAGCGTCTTGAGCACGTCGTCGTCCGAAGGGTCTTCCGAGTAGTTCAGGGGCGCGGGTTCAGGCGGGGCGTCCCCGAACGGGTTGGCCGTGTTCGCCAGCGAGTAGGTAGAATATGGTCGGGCCATCGAGGGCATCTGCATATGCCCTTGCGTCTGAGGCTGCATACCCATCCCGGATCCACCGGTCCCTTGGGGCAAGATGATCGAAGGCGCACCATTAAAGCCGTTCAGGTTGGTCATCATCGAGTTCCTCGGCCCGGCGTGCTGGTTGTTGTTGTTGGGCATAATCATCCCGTACTGACTCGGAGGAGGTCCACCCATGCCCATCATGTTCGATCCTCCCATCATCGAAGGTGCCATCCCGCCGTAATCCGATCCCAAGGGAGAACCACCTCCTCCCATGAACGGGTTCTGCGCAAACATCGGGTTCGGAGGCATCCCATAGACGCTCCCCGCGCCCCATTGACTCAATCCAGCCATACTCGCCGCCCTGGGGTCCTGGCCGGGAGGCTGAGATCGCATGGTCGAGTACGAAGTCATCGGTCGGAGGTCTCGTTGAGATCCAGGTCGGTTCATAGGGGAAGAGTCCCGGTAGTAATCCCCGCCCCCGCTCTCGAACGTCGAGGGAGCTCGGCTGCCCTGTTGTCGGCCCATGGTGAGACCGCCGTGACGAGATCGATTGTCGTACGAAGCGTAGCTCTGCGAGTCGGTCTCCTTTTCCAACAAGCCCGCTCGAGCCGTCTCGTTCTCTTCCCAAGTATCCCGTTCGTACTCTGAAGCACACAGACATGGATGGGTCAGTCGGGATTGTTTTTGTAAGCGAAAGCAGGCGTTTACGTACCGCTGAATCGCTTCAAGGGAATCATCGAATCGTCGTAATGATCTTCAGCGTCGGCGATGATCTTTTTCTCCTTACCCTCGCCCACGACCACACGAGTGTTACCCCAATTGGCATCGTCCATGTTCCAGAACGAGTAGATCGGGAGCGCGAAAGAGAAGATTGGGAAGCTGTATCGACGCGATGACAAGATTCGTGTCAGCCAGAGCCTCCTTCAAGACAGTGATAAAGGCAAGGTCGAACTCACGCCAGAATGTAGACGACCATCCAACCGATGAGCATGAACTCTCGTTTGAGGATAAAGATGACGGCTTGTAGACCGTAGACGGCTGCGATCATGGCAATGGCGATGATGGGTACCGCCGATTTACCGATAGAGACAACGACAATTAGGTAGACGAGCTGGAGCCGAGCATATTCAAGGTCAACTCAGGCTCTTCCGGTGATGCGGTCGGCAAGAACTCACGTAGACAAAAGTGGCTGGCAGGATGATGGTTCTGGATAGCGCGACGAGCAGTCAGCCAAGAGATCGAGATTTGCGCAACATACACTCTCAGTTGCTCACCCTAGCAAATCGAGGAAGACGATAAACCTCATCGAGAAGCAGCAGAATCCACACATCTCAGGGATGCTGATCAACTCGAACAGATTGTGTACCGTCGAGTTGATCCATCTTCGTCGTTGAGACAACAGGACGGCCCAGCTGGACGGCGCGACCGTGTGAGCGATGGCGTCGGCGGTGAACTTCATCTTGAAGGTCGGGAAATGCTTCATCATCAAGGTCGTCAAATATCGGTCCTCACCCAAGGAGAACAGGTTCTTCTTGTGAAGCGTATCGACGTTTGGCTCGGCGTACTCGTCGATGACCCTGCTGGAGATGATGATCGGGCGACCCTTGTCGGCGGTTCGAATCCGGTAGACACTGAAACAACCGGGTAGACAGGTGACTGAACCGAACAAGCTCTCGAATGCCTTGGTGAGGTGATGCGAGATGTAGTATTCGTAAACCTGGATCATCGTCGTAAAGGATTCCTTTTCGTTGGCAACCTTGGTCTCCCCACAGATTCCGATAATGGCCGAATCGTCGGCAGCGCAGGCGATCATGCGGTTCAACGAGTCAGGGGTCACGCTCTATCGGTCGAGAAATATCGCGTGATCAGCTTCCAGTGGCTGTCAGAGTGGAATTGGCTCGACCACTCACGGTATCAGCATCGACCTGGAAGATGTACTCGTAGAACGCCGGATCGATACCGATGACGTTTCGCATCTGATGGTAGATCTCCAGCTCGAGCGGGTTCATAGGGGCGTCAAAGTGAACTCGGTTGAGGTAGTGCAGAAGCAAGACCTGGGAATCACGTTTCCCTCGATTTCCAGGCTTGCTGCGCTCCGAAGGCTTGCCGACCTTGACAACGACCATGTAGCTATGAGGCGGTCAAGGTACGTATCAGCTTCGATCCATGAAGTGACGAATCGTTGACCGCAAAATACTTACGGAACAACGTGGCCCTCAAATTCATAAAGTCCGGAGTATACCTTTCCGTAGTTGAGCTGTCTCGAGCCTTCCCCGACCGACTTGAATAGCAAAGGTTCAGGGTCAAGCTTCGGATCGACTCCAAGGATATCGAGGACGATACGAGGTGTAGGCCTGTCGTTACCGCTACCGATAATGTTGCCGTCGCAGATGATAAAGATCAACTTTCGCTTGTCATCGTAGTTGAGTGCAGCGAGCGTGTCGATGGTTCGTCGAAGAGATTCCTCGCCTTCCGTGTAGCAAGGCACTTGACACAGTACAAACTTGTCCTGCAGCTCGGGTGATCGCTTACTGGTCAATTGCAAAGCCGCCAAGACTACAAGAGGGTTGTTCTGATATCAGTATATACCCTCGGGTGGACGTTCGCCCGGAACTCACATTTGGCGACGACAGTGCTCATCATGACGATAGAGAAAGCCAACAAGAGGTAGTTCTGTACCGTACACCTGGCTTCCTTACGGAAGTCGGTCTCTCCGAGGTAGAACACCCGCTTCATGCAGGTCAACTGCCTCTCGGCATCCTCCTCACTCAATGAGTCAAGAGCTTTTTGGATGTCCTTGGTCAGGTCTTGGCCCGGCTGCTGCTTAAAGAGTGAGGTGATGCTCTGATCCAAGAAGTCGTATTTCGGTACACCTTCTCCGCTGGCGTCTCCATAAAGGCTAACGGTATAGAAGTAGTCGGTCAAGTCGTAAACGCCGCCCTTGTAGATGGCCCAGATCCTACACATCGAAGAAGCGGTCAGAGCCCAACTTGCATACATATTCCATTAGCACTTACTTCGAGCTATCATCGGCCTGCTGCTGCACGTCACCCTTGTCAAACACGAATTGACCCTTATATAGTTGATCGATGTATGGCTGGAAGCGATCAAAGTACCAGTTGTCGTCGTTGAGCTTGGTACCATTGGCGGTCTGAAGCGATCCCGAAGTGTGGACGGCGTAATCGACTGTTGGCGTAAAGTTGGCGTATCTAAAGGCAAAGTTCTGGTCCACGAGGCCGGGACATGCCTTGTCTAGGGGTATCGGAAAGTAGTTGGTGAGGTCTTGACCGGCAAACTGTAGCATGATCTCGGATGTCGTGGGATAAGCGGCGATATCGCTGTGCTGTCCCTTATAGAATTTCGTAAACTGCGCATCCGGCAAACGTATTAGTTGAGGCTCGTCAAACGGTGAGGCAAGACATCTAGATACCCACGTCGTAAACATAGCCGTGAATAGCGGCGTAATAACTCGAAGCGTCCCCGTGTTCCGTAAGTTGACTCGTGTTCCAAGCCTTGTTCATGTTAGGGCAAAGCAGCACTCCAAAGACGACGATGTAAAAGATGATGATTCCACACAAGATCCCGATCATGGCGCAGATGGCAAACTTTTCCCTCCATGCCATCTGGATATCCGGTCGCTTCATCCTGCCAACCTTGGACAGAAGGAAGGACGGTATCCACCATGTCATAAACCAGGTGATGCGCACCCACCAGCGTCGAGCTTTTGTTGTCGGTAACGTTTCCATCTCAGCGTGATGGCCTTTTTCGTGCACAATCATGTCTGCCACCTCGCCATCGTGGCCACTGAAGCCCTTTTCATCAATGTTGTTCTTCTCCATCGGATAGCCGTTGCCGAGAACGGGTACACCGGGGCTGTCCATGCCATTCTTGTAATCAGAGTCCCATCGCGTGGGTGTCCCTTTGGTCATGAGCAGATTTTCTCGGCTCTCGTCGTAACCGCCATGGTCTTTGTGACCGTCCATATAGGATTCGGCGGGGTCATGCATGCTATCGCCACCGTACGGCGTCTGTTGTGGGCTATCTGAAAACGGCGACCCATCCTCGCCTTCGTCTTCCCCTTCGATCGCACGGACCGCATTGTCGACGTCAACCCAGGCATCGTAGCCTAGCCAGATCTGGGATCGACCGACCGCATAGTCACGCTGTGCTTGCCAACCGTGCTCCGAGGCGAAGCGCCTCACAGCTCCCTCAACGGTGCTGCGATCGTTGGCATCGAAACGAAGTCCATGGTAGTCGCAGAACTGGAGCAGATCCTGACTGGCTACATAGTCGACCTGTTTCCGAATCAACATGTCGGGCAAGAGCATCGATCGGATCTGGTTCTTGACCTTGCGCTTGTCGACCGAATTAGCGTGACCCGAATCGTTCGGTCGGATACAGGCGACATGCCAGAGTTCAGTGTTGTCGAGCGAGGTCAAGATGTCGGTCATGGTAGCGTTGAGCTGAGTGGTCACCGGGTACGCCTTGCTTCCTTCGAGAGCAGGAGTCTGCATGGCGGACAAGGACGGTTCCCGCAGAGGCACTACCGAAACCTGAGCTTGAACCACGGTATTATCATCCAACGGGTGTCCCTCTGCCGAGATCGAAGGTCCAGAAACCAGCTTGGCGACAAACGAATCGCTACTAGCCCTGAGCATGCTGACGATCTGAGCGTCGACAATATCGGCGTTCCGCTCGACAAAGTGCGACATGTCGTACGTGCAAGCACCGGCATAGTGGTTGACGCCAAACATGAGCTTCCGACCGGTCGTAGCGGGCGGATTGTGAATGAACGAAGCGTGCACGCCGCACGTCCGAGTCATGACCGAGAGCAACTGCTCGTCCTGCCTGGTGACGTCCTGGAATCCTCTTTCCGGGTCAATCGCTACCCCGGCCTCGTCAAAGACGCCCAACAGGCCGAGAGGACGAGACGCCAGCCGCTGAGTCCGTCCCTCAATCAGACCTCCTCGGAGCATCTCGATGCAAGCAGAATTGTCCATGGTGACCACGTGAGGAAGCTCGATCCCATCCGCCTTGATCGCGCCGTTCAGCCCTCCATCGACCTGATCTTCGAAACATCGCCTGGTCAAGTACGAATGCAACATCTCGTTGGCGAAATTGATCCCAAACTCGTCGACCGAGTTGACTCCGGTACTGTTGATGAGTGGTTGAGCGTTGCTGCTGGCCCGACCTTCAGACAGGGGCGACGTCTTGGACTGATAACCCGGGAGTTCGAGCTGGACTATCATCGTATCCGTAGACTCTTGATCATCTTCCTCGGTTTCGATGGGAGCGATCTTTCGGTTGGCAGTCTCGACGATGAACGCAAAGAGGATAGCGTAAAGGTCCTTGACGAGCGTGTCCCTCTGTTTGGCCGCGCCTCTCGAATCGAGGAAAGACGAACAAAGTTCTTTCCGGATATACCGAGTCTCGTTGGTCAACCCCTGTTCGAGCTCTTCCGCCGGGACCCCCAGACGCCAGGCCACCTGCTCGAGCACTTCTCTGGACTCGTAAGTCACCTTGGCCGACTCGTCCATGACAACTCCCGACGTCGCCGTATCCTCGAACTCGATATTGCCTAGCAACAACAAGGTCACCAGCACGCTAAAGATCGACTTGAGGTGTTTGGCTTTGAATCCGAGGTTGGCCATGGCGATCCGGAGCTCATCAAACTGCAACGAGTCGTCCGAGAACGGTCCACCGGGGAGTCGATAACATCCAGAACTGGCCAGCAGCTCATAAGCGTCCGGATCTTGCAGGTCGAGCTCTTCCCTCTCATCCGGTTGAGCTCCAGCTAGGAGCTGGTAAAATACGTGAAAAGTCCTCTCATCACGCTCCAACCGGGTCATCCTAGTCTTGTTCAGCCCGAACGTCAAGACCTTCCCACCCGTCAACCTTCCATCTGTACGGGATCGACGTCCACCCGAACTGGATGCAAAGTTGAGTTCGAGGTACCGGCCGTGCTGCGAGGCCGAGCTGTTCTGAGCCGTCTTGCAAGATCCGAAAGAGTCGAGGACGGTCATGAGGGAGTGGATCTGGTTTGGTAACCGATTGTCCCGGGTCGAGCTGCCTGTACGGGTAGTGCCGGACAGCCGGACGAGCTGTTGCGTGAACAGCTTGGAGGCGAACGATTTACCAGAGTTGGTATAACCACTGATGGCCGCCAAGATGATACATCTCAGTTCCGAGTAGTCGATCTCGGATCACAAATAAACACACACGGAACTCACCTGAAGACGACTCCCTGATGTTCCCTTCTCCTCCGCATCATCGTCCACACCCTCCCAGCCAGATCATAGACATGCGGCTGTTCCACCCCGAGTACCAATCCATTCCCATTCCCTCCCGCTCCAACTTCCTTTCCCTTTCCCTTCTTCTTCCCCGTGCCCGTATTAGGCGTCTGGGTAGTAGGATTGACGTACTTGTTCACGTAATCCGTAGCTGACGAGTCGGAAAGGTTTCCTAGCGTCCGAAGAGGGTTGACTAGGAGGAGGGTCTTGGGTCCGAGGTAGGTATACGGGAGGTCTGATCGAGAACGAGATTGCAAGGTTGAGAGGATGGTATCTTCCGTAGGGTTCTCAGAAGGTTGAGAGGAAGATGAAGGAGATGGAGGTGGGGGGAGGAGGTGTAAGAGATCGGTCGTCTGTTGAGGCGTGATGAGGGTGGTCATGGTGGCGTGATGTGTCACGTCAAAGTCGTTTTGTGATATCTTCCGTCGTCAAGTAGCTTCAACTCCGGTTCTGAAGTTCTGGAGTTCAATTGAATCGTCCTCTGTCTATCGGTAGTCGATAGTCAAGATCAAACCTGATGATGAGAAGAAAAAACCGAGCACAACGCTCGTTAGAACTTTCTTTGTTTACGCTTTGAACGAGCCCGCCTCCGTTTCTGCTAAGTCACCCTGACACTTCGACTCACCTTGTATAGCTCCAACACCAGCTTAACGACCTTTCTTTACCCTTAAAAAAGCCTTCCACGGCGATATCAACCTTGGTAGGATCGGATCAAAGTGTCGAGAGATCTTCGATCAAGGTGTTTTTGGTGTGCAGCTTGTCGGTATGCGGACGCTATTTTGTATTCCGCAAAGCGACAGCCAGCTGGAGGTTCTGGGAAGCCGTACTTCTTTCCTATACCTCGAGCGAATCTCCTACGCTAGATGGATAGTGACCCAAGTCAATGGGAGATGAGATCGGAGCTGGTGTTGCGGTGTTGCAAGGTATATCGTCCTCATCTAGCTTGGAGATCTCATTCTCCTGATCGAAATGATGATGAACGGGCGGCGGGCGAAGGCGAGAGGGGTCGCTGGGTGGGCTGTGTCGTTGACAAGGGGGAAATCGCGCGCGAAAGCACAACATGCACCGCGGAACAACTCCCTCATCGAGAGCCCGGTGGCAATATGGCGATGAAGGTCAAGTCGTTTCACCTGATAACTTGCCGGGTTACGAGGGGTTTCAAACCGGAGGATCCATTTGGGTACATAGATCTATCGCTCAACCTAATTTGAGGGCTCTGACTGCTAGTCTTCGTAAGTGAGTATTTTCACAAGGCTCTTCGAAAATGAACGGCGTTCAGGCGTTCATGAACGTCTGATCGCGTCTGAACGTCTGAACGCGCAGTCGGACGTTCAGAATGTGCCAAAAAGGTAGACGACGCCACGGCTTCGCCACTGATTCAGCTGTATGGCACGGTTCCAGGCAAATTGAAATTCTATTGTACCTTGCCAGCAAGCAGACAGACCCGGTTCTTGGAAGGTTGATATTTTGACAACGCTCTTCACCCCCGAGTGAGACGCACCCCCACTGAGCTTTACCTCGCAAACGACGTTACACTCCGCACAACACTACCTTCCCGGTTCTGTTTACCCAGAAGAAGTCTAGGCACATGGTACTACCACCTCAACCTATTCTGACGGCCTGAATTGTGATGTCCGTAGAAATCGAAATCGGCCACGCTGAAATGCCGAGTGAAGCGCGTTACCCCTTGGCTACGCACAAAATCGCTCCATTCTCGTCACAAGTCAAACCGGTCTTAGGTCTGATCACATATTATGAAAGAGGCACGTACCCTCTACCCAAAGAGGTAGGTCGTACAGTTGAAAGTCGTGCGGGGCGGGACTTCGAAATCCCACGAGCAGTTTCGGAGCGCTCAGTTGCAGGAGCGCTACACTAGAATCGCTGCACTTGGAGGCGATCACGTGATCTCAACCGTTTCGGCCTTGATCTTTGATTTGGCTCTCACTGAAGCGACCGATCTTTGGGCCGACTATATCGGCGGCATGGTGTATGTACCCTCTATCCGAATATTGCAGTCTCATGGCGGTGGATTGCGATGGGTGGATTTCGAAATTTCAGTGAACCCCTTTATTCGCCCGAGTGGTTAAGGCCGCGACTAGAATTGAGATCATCACGTCACGTGACCTTTCCATCCGCAGTCTCTTTTCTCGATATCAGAGGATCGTAGTGGAGGAAGTCCGGAATCTGATGTCATAACATTCTTCTGGGTACATTCAGCTACGGTTACATGCTACCCTCGTGAACGTGGGACCACAGGGAAATATCGCTGGTTTTTGCCACAGTTCTAGAGCGACACTCAGCCCGGAAGCAGAGTTTGGAGTTGAAGACGAATACACCTGTTAGACGGGAACAATGTATGAAGTAAGCTAGATAGAAAGAGGCTCTCCCTAGATCCCTAGCAGCTGTTCGGCCTGTCAGAGGGATCCTGAGCCTAATTTGGCAAGTCGACCGGTCGTCTCGCCAGCTGTGACATGGGCTAAGCGAGAGTCATCCTTGTTCGATCCAGCATTTCACCTTCCCGCTATTCATCGATCATGGAACGGATCAGAGGATCATCCGATCCAGCTACTGACAGCCAGCAGCCAGCAGCCTCCTCTAGCCGTAGATCATAGATGAGCTCTGATATGAAAGTGTCAGCGATCAGCAATACAAGATAATTAATCTCGTTGTAGAAATAAAACGGCCAATCCAACACGGTGCACGATGCGAATGCCGAGCACTTTTCCTCGCTTCAGTGCCGCGCGCGCGCCATCGACAACTCTTCTGAGCGACACAGCCCGAGGGGACGTCGACCCAGGGCCCACCCGCCTCCTTTCAACAGAGAGATCCTCTCTCCATTCATACTCGACTCTTGCACTGCCATTCACTCTAGATCGTTAGTGCACTTCGAGAGTCATATAGTCGACTCAGTGGAACCTCCTGAACCTGCTCAGTCTCTTTACCGGTTGCTCCTCACCACTTGCGCGATTACCAGGCCTCCCCGCGGCAAAACAATCGGCGATCTTTGACAACAACCCTTTACCTCTACCACAACCAGAACTACTACCTTGACAGGAAACCTCTATCAGACCTCCCTCTCTCTCCTCACACCATTCCACAATGTTGTTCAACACCGCCCTTTTCACCTCCCTCCTCGCACTCTCCCCCGCACCGACCGCTGCCATCTCCCAGATCACGAGGACGGGCAAGTACCTGTACAACGACGGCGGGGAGAGGTTCTACATAAAGGGAGTTGCTTACCAGCCTCAGGGTGAGGTTGGGCCTTCTTCCGAAGCCAACGATGCCAAGTACGTCTATGCTGGCAATCTCATTCTTTCCCAAACATAAATATCCGGAGGTAGACGAAGCTGAGCTGATGGTTGGACATCGTTGTGTATGGTCAAAACAGCGGTGGTTTCCCCGAACCGTCATCATATATCGACCCCCTCTCATCAGCGACCAACTGTACCCGTGACCTTCCCTACTTGCAACAACTCGGAGCGAACGCGATCAGGGTGTACAGTGTGAACCCGGATAACGACCATTCCGAGTGTATGAGGACGTTCTCGGATGCGGGGATTTACGTCTTGTAAGCCTCGGGTCCCGGTCATTCCTTGTTGTCCTTTCATCCTTTGTCGAACTGCGAGCTGATTCTGTCAACCACGATGTTGATCATGTATTGCACCTCTCCCTGTGACTTCCTCCTGCCCCACCGAACGGAACAACAACGACCAAACGAAAACAGGCTCGACGTCTCCCTCCCCCTCAACGGATCTATTAACCGAGCCTCTCCCGCTTGGACCACCTCCCTTCTTAACGAATACATCCGGACCATCGATGCCTTTTCACAGTACGACAACTTGTTGGCGTTCAACATCGGGAACGAGGTCATCAACTTGCCTGTGAATACGGATGCTGGACGTGAGCCTGATTTCCTTCCCACTGCGGTGTTGGTCCGCGTTCGAGGGAACATCCAAGAAGCTGATTGTCATTCGGGTCGCTGTTGGTTGTTGTAGCTTTCGTCAAGGCTGCAGCGAGGGATACCAAGGCTTACTTGAAGGCCAAGAACATCAACGCGCTCGTCGGGTACAGCAGTGTCGATGGAGAGCCTGCTTTCAGAGGTATGTCATCGAGGATCCTTTGAGTGATCTGTTCTAAGCAAATGGACGAGATTGGAGAGGCTGATCGGATCGTGATGTTACTTCCACAGATCCTTTGGCCAACTACTTGACTTGTGGGGATGAGACCGTCTCGCTCGACTTGTTCGGACTGAGTGAGTGGCGGTCGAAGATTCAGCCTACTGATCGAGCCTCATGGCTGACCAATCATGACCACCTTTTCGTAGACAACTACGAATGGTGTGGGAACAGCACGTTCGCGAACAGCGGGTGGGAATCCATCGTCGATGACTTTTCAAACCTGCCCGTTGCTGCTTACATGTCGGAATATGGGTGAGTTCCTGGCGTTCCTGCTTCCGGTCGTAGGCCTTCAGCGTACTAACATGGATTCTGTTTTTCGCTGCAGATGCATCACCTCGCCCCCTCGACTGTGGCAAGAGGTTGGATCGCTCTACAGCGCACCGACTACCAACGTCTTCAGCGGTGGAATCGCCTTCAGCTACTTCCCTACGAGCGATGGATACGGGATGGTCACCTTCGAAGGTACCGATGGTCAGACGTGAGTCGAGCGCGGGGCGGATTTCGTGATTGACCGTTTCGATATTCGAGCTGACGAGATCATCTTCTGCTTCGTAGCGTCGAGACTTCCGACGACTTCGATCGACTTGCCGCTCGGTTGAGCAACGTTACCTCGACCCCGAACACCCCTGCTCAATCGTCCGTCACGGTCACTCAGGGTGAATGTCCTTCGGCCGAGAACTCGACCTTCCAGGCTAGCAACACCTTGCCGGACACTCCCGACCAAACCGTTTGCAACTGTCTCTATGAAAACTCGTTCTCTTGTGTCGTTGAGCGAGCTACTGCTGGCAGGCCCGCTATCATGGGTGCTCTTATCGAGTGAGTCTATACGTACAGGAAGCAGGTTGCGGAAGGAGGACTGGGTGGCTGATACGCAGCTCTTTTTTGCAGCTACACCTGCTCTTTGCTCGGATCCACCAACTCGACCGCCACTTGCGCGACCATTGGTGGTAACGGAACCACCGGACAGTATGGCGAATTGTCGTACTGCTCGGACGAGATCAAATTGTCCTACATCTTCTCCGCCTATTACGAGAGCCAGAACAGGAGGTCGGACGCTTGTGACTTTGCCGGCAACGCTACTGCCGTGCCCCGACGTGAGTCGCACTTTGCCGGGAAGATGGGAATATTGCGAGACTAACATGAATCGCTGGTCGTCTGCTTTAGCTCCCAACACCCCCGAGGACGCTTCCACCAACGCCGCTCAGTGTTTGGCGCAGGCTCCTCAGGGTGGCGTCTTTACCGTGACGAGTGGTGGGTCCACCCAGACGGCCACTTCAAGCGGGAGCATGGGTACCGCCACGAGCACCGGTGCTGGTCAACCCACCTCGAGTGGCTCGGCCGGCAACACTGGCGGTGGCTCGAACGGCGCCATCTCCCTCAACCCGCTACACTTGGGCGGATCGGTCGCTCTGGTCGGAGCGATTGCTTTCGCCGTGTTCATGGTCTAAGGTGCTTCTTCATGGTCCGTGCTAGTGTGTTTGTTACAACAAGAGAAACCCTTCAAGTCGTGTCGTGCGCTTGTCGCTTCGTAGTCATAATGCATTGTCTGTAGCCTCTTTTCGAGGACGACCGAGGACACTTTCCGTTGCCATTCATTTCATAATCATTCGTGCGCATGAATCGGGCCTTGACTGGGAGTCCGTCTTTTACCGGTTTCAGTATGCATGGGGTGTTCGATGAGGAGCGCTGTTTGATGTCAAGGTTATCAATCTTGCGTTTTCCGAAGAACGAGATTGATCGACCGATCGTCGAAAGAACGCGATGCCTAGCAGGTCATCGGCAGTGCGCAGTCAATTCTGGTCTTCCGTGCTCCTGGGATCTCTTGTCGATGTCACAATGCATGAACGTCGTGTCAAAGACCTCGCTCGCTGAAAAATCTCCCGAGATCTCGCGTTTCAGCCGAATCACGTAAACCCCCTCGCTTCCGTACTATTTCGTGTTTTTGGAATGCCCCTCGACGAGGACACGACCAAAAATCGCCGTGATAAGACCCATGGGTGCGTAAAAATCGGTCTTAAATCGTCACGAGGCCGGATTTTTGACTTAGGATCTAGGTCGAGAGGGATATGGTGAGAAGTGCTGTTTCACACGCCCTTTTTGCGGCGCTAAGCTTTGCGGGCGGCACGCGAGGTCTCGCTTAGACGGTGGTGTTCCATCCAACGTGCATCAGGTATCCTGGTCAGGTGCATCAGCTGCGAATATATAAGGAAACCCGTCTGCCCAGTTTTTTCGTTCGCCACCTTCCCTTTTCACCCTCCTCTCTTTCTTCATACTTTCCGCATCATATCCGTCTGCAACCTCATACCCCTCTACATACACCGCGACCAACCCACACTCGTTTAACAACACACTCTATCATCATCAATATGCGCGCTTCTACTCTCGTCCTTGTCCTTTCCGCTCTCGCCGCTAGCGTTACCTCGGCCCATCCTATCACTGGAAGCAACGATGGTGGCGATGCTTACAGTGGTGCCGCAGGGTGAGTTCGCCGTGTCTATCCTTCGCTCCGTTCCGTCTCGCCTTCAACTTCCTCCCAACATCCTTTGACATCGTCAACATCCTTTGACCTCCTTTGAGTGTTCACCTTCCATCAACGCTGACGTCTGACCTGCCCCTCACGTAACATAGTCCCGCTCGTGGTGGAGACATCGATTACACCGAAGGGAAGCCCATGGGCAACGACAACGGACTTTTCTTCAACTACAAGGGAGGCAAGACCGGTAAGTCGTTGAGTCGCCCTCTCATCTTTTGTCCTACCGTTGGACACTGACATACGTCTCGATGGTCTGCGTAGTTGTTACCGGCAACGGTGGCATGACCTCTTCCGGTAACGCTCAAGGCGCTGAAGGCGGTCTCCAGTGGAAACGTCAGCAAGACAAGATCGAAGTCGGGCTCGACTACACCAACGGCTTGCTCGGAGACGTCCTCCGTCGAGACGTCGATCACGAGAAGCGTCTTCTCGATGGCGGCTCCGAGATCCATCGCCAGGGCAACACCTACAACAGTAACGGTCAGAACAACGGCGGTCTCTTGGGCGGCATCCTCACTCGAGCTGAACACGAAGACGAAGCTCACGCCAAGCGACTCCTCGATGGAGGCTCCGAGATCAGCTACGTCGACTGTACCCGAAACGGCATGGGCGGCAACGGTATGCAGAAACGCTTGCTCGACGGCGGTTCCGAGATTACCCGATGCAGCAACCAAGGTCTGCTCGGCAACATCCTCTCTCGGGACACTCACGACAACGACAAGCGTTTGCTCGACGGCGGATCCGAGCTCAGCAGCACCGGTAACCCCGGACTCCTCAGCAGCATCCTCGGTCGCGACGTCGAAGAGAAGCGACTTCTCGACTTCTCTATTCCTCAACGTCAACCCGAATACGATGAGAGGCCTCCTCAAGGACCTAGGAAGCGACTCCTAGATTTCGCCATCCCTCAGCGTCGACCCGAACGACCCGAATATGAGCAACCCGAGGCCGCCGAGGTCCCCGAAAAGCGACTTCTCGATTTCGCCATTCCTCAACGTCGACCCGAAGGACCCGAAAAGCGTCTTCTCGATTTCTCCATCCCCCAAAGGCAGCCGGAGTACAACCAGCAGGGATATCAGAAGCGCCTCCTCGACTTCGGGTCCTACGGTGGCTTGGAGTCCACTAACGGCGATGGCGGTCTCCTCGGATTGAAGCGATCGGCCGACGATGCCATGGACAAGCGTCTCGTCGGACTCGGCGCCGACCTCGACGATACTCTTCCTCTGGGAGACCTCGGACTTAAGAAGAGGCTGAGCGGACTTGGTCAGCTTCTCGGCAGCAAGGGGCAGGGAGGTACCTTCGGAACCGGTACCGGGCGCACCAACTGTGAGTGACCCGCATTGAAGATCTTGCCTCGACGATTGTTCACTGACATCCTCATTGCGATCGCCCTAGTGACTACCGGGAACGGAGGCAAGAGCTCGACTGGCAACGCTACTGGAGGACCCGGAGGTATCGGTGGCGGCAACGGTGGAGATGCCTATTCGTATGTTCGGTTCACATCCTACCGATTCCAGAAACGTTATGCGAACGCTCGGCTGATTGCCCTTTTCCTCGTTCGTTCGTCTTCGTAGCGGAGCTTCGGGTGACGCCAGCGCGGGTTCGATCAGGTTGAACCGACGACAGGAGTCTGGCGAGGCGGACGCGGAAGCCGAAGAGCCCAAGGAGCTTACTCCGATGGACAAGGGTATCAGTGCCGCTGGTATCGCCGCCAACAGTCCCTTTGGCAAGGCTGCCCATCTCGACAAGCTCGCCGGTGCTGCAGCTCCCGCTTTGCCCTTGTTCCAGAAGAACTAGACTGGGGTCGACGACGCTTCGGATACGACGACTTTTGATATTCCTTGTTGATTAGATAGAAAGACGGGGCACGAGTTCGAAGACGCTTTACTTTTCGAGTTGTTTCACCTTTTCACATTTCATTTGTTACCTCTTATACGATATACGATATTCTTCCATCTTCGAATTCCGTCTCAGGGATACATCTTCTGTGCTTGTCTGTTGGCTCTTCCCGCTTGGATTCAAACTGATTCCAGTAAGACTCCTTGGTTTCCACTCGTGTCAACATGCATAACATGCTTGACTCACAACATATACATATACACATGACAACGATGGAACCGGATTCGGAACGAAAAAAGCGCAAGTGCGACGATTCACAAGATGGACTCTGACTGGCAGCCTCCTTTGTTACCGAACGCGTCAACCAAGACCAACTAGAAGTAAAGGCACAGATTGATGACATGAATCGAATGCCGTACAGAAGTACAGTGGCCACAACATAACACCCCTTGCTCTGGGCACGGCTGGCTAATCGTCAATCCTAGCCGTTCCAACGGATACTCCACCTCCATCTCGACCGACCCCCGACCCCGCTGCTGCAACCGCACCCGCTTCCCCCTTCTTTTTGCCCTGTCCACCTCTCGTCCTCGTCCGTTTCTGCTGACCCGCATCAGACCCGTCCTTGCCCTCCTGCCCTGCTCCCGCCGGATCGCCCGATCCTTTACCTTTAGGACCAGAAGGCGGCTTCGGGCCGTTATCGTTCTTGTTGTTGTTAGGTCTTCCCGATCCCGCCGCACCTTGTTGTTTTTCTTGACCAGCACTAGCGTTGAGAGCAGCAGAGAGAAGGGCTTTCGCACCCCGTTCAGGCCGTTGTTGTCGAGCCGCCGAGGGGTCCTTGTTGTTCTTTCCCCGACCTCCTTTGTTGGAAGATGCGTTCGCTTCGCCTTGACCGACAGCAGGAGGGGGTTTCGTACGAGCGTTTTGAGTCTGTTTGGGTCCTCTGGGCGGGTCGGCAGGGGCTGTCGGGGTAGCGGGTCGTGCACCGGCGGGTTTCGGGTTGGGAACAGGAGGAACGGTACGTTGTAGGATCTGGACTTTTCCGGGTCCTGGTCCGGGAGCTGATGATGATCCGGATTGTCGAGCGGGGTTGACCTGGATCTTGACGGGATCCCTGTTCGCAGCCAGCCCCTGAGATTGTGGTTGTGATTGTGACTGCGAGGGATCTCGTTTCCCTCCCCCGTTCGACTTCGAGCTTTCCTTCTTCCCTCCACTCCCACCACCACCTCCGCCTGATTTGGAAGAACCAGCTTCTTTGCCTTTAGAAGACTTTTTGGGATCGTCCTTGTCCCGATCCTTCCCAGATTTGCCTTTATCTTTCCCACCGGTACGGTTGTCGGAAGGGGAAGATCGCTGGTTGGATGTCTTCTTGGCTTGACGGGTTTCACGAAGGTGGTCCAATAGGGGAGTGGATTTGGGTTGTTCAGGGGTAGCTGGAGCGTGGTATGACCGCAAGGAGTCCATTATTCGTATCAGTCTCGGATGCGTGGAAAAGAGGATCTAGGCTGAGGCTTACGTTCAGAGTTGTTGATATCCTGCTTGACGACCGGCGCTTTCAAGCTCTCCAAGAACGATAAAAAGTCGGTATCTGAACATCACAGACAGGTCTTCACGATTAGCCCTTCCCTGTACAGAAGCTTGAACAGCAATTCGTCGAGCCGACTTGCCGTTATCGATCGTCCCCTGTCGAGCGTCCACACGAGGCTTGGATTTGAACGTAGGGATCTTCTGGGCTGGTGCGAACTCGACGACGGCTTGGAATTCTTGGCCTGATCACACGGTAATCGTGTTACAGAGGAACATCATCGAGTTCGACATCGGAATAAGCTAATGGAAGACATGGTAGAAAGGAATCTGATATTGCTCACCGTCTTTCCCTCGAAAGACGTGTCCATCATACGCTTGAGCGAATTGGGTGAGATCTTCCGTCGTCTTCATCTGTACGTATGCACGGGAAAAGACACGGTGCTGGTTCGTGCTGCAATAGCCATCATCGCAAGGGATGTCAGACGAGCCCGGTCGACCGGAGCAGACGGATGCCAACCGAGTGCTCACTCGCTAACGGCTTTCCCTTTGACATATCGTTTCCAGCTGACTTTACTTTCCCCCTCCACGCTTCCATTGACGTTTCCCAACCACGGAGTTACGCTGTTCCAAAAGATCTCCTCGGGCAATGTTGGGGGTAGTCGTCTGATGACGAGTTTCAGACGAGGTGCGGCCGTGCTCGATGTAGCGGTCGTCTTGGCCGTAGAAGGCGTCGCCGGAGGTGGAACGGTAGCCATGGCTGTGTATATGGCCTTATCTTCCTCTGAGTCAGTGCTATGGGCCGTTATCGATGTGAGTATACGAGTATGTGTATCGTGTTTCTCCCCTTTGACGAGCTCAGGGTCGATCGATATGACGCGAGACAAGCGGAGGATAAGCCGGGAGGGGCCTGATCGACGTGCAGTAGTGCGCATATCCCTTCCTCATTGCGGATGTAGCTACAGTCTCATAGCTCATTGATACAGGAAATCGAAATTTACAGTCTTGGTTGCTACAGTCGCTTCATTCCCGCAAAACAACGGTTTCAAGGCGATTCTGACGAACGAAACGCTAGATCACCTGGTCGTCTTGCCTCGCCTCGACTTTCTCCGTCCGGAATCCACTTCCCCCTCCTGCTCCTCCTTTGTTGTAGCCTCAACTTTGACCGAAGGATCTTGCTGTCTAACGCTCGCCTCGTCCTCTTCAGATAGTTCCGAAGACGATTCACGTTTGACCTTCTTGCTGTTGGTAGCCCGCTTTTGCTGTTCAGCGTTTGAGCCGGCGGAGGATTCCGAGCATGGCGAGCGGTCGAACGGTCGGCGCAAAGTAGCGAGGAGGAGGTGGTCGAGCGCCGATCGATATCCAGGCCGGAAGAGCCGTTGAATATGGATATGCCATACGAGCGTAGGTAGAATATTCCCGGAAAGTAGGCGTGAAGGGAAGCTGGTTGATGATCAGCTCAGCTACGGGAATTATCTTGAGCATGAACTCAATACCGAGGCTTACCCGTTTGACCCCATTCGTCGGAGCTGACTTTGCACCGTCCGCTGCCTTTCGTTTCGTAGCAGGCTTCTGAACGTTGTCCAAGATTCACAGGGAAAAACCAAGTCATTGAGCCCTGGATCAGGCGATCCCCCATTGAGTTCATACTCACCGCCTGTTCTTCCTCCTCCTTCACCTCGTATACAACTTCCTCTACCTTCTCAACCTTACCCTTCTTCGCCTTGACGCTCCGAGCTCCCTTGCCCGCCTGTTTCACAGGAGCGACGGTCTTGACAGCAGGCTTCGGCTTTTCCTCGACTTCACCGTTTTCAAAGCTGGGTTCGGTGAGTTCTGATTCGGCGTCCGAGGAGGAAGACGACGAAGCTTCACTTTCGGCCTTCTACGTTTCAGATGATGGCGCTGGTTTTAGCAATGCGAATTCGAAAGATTGGGGGATGTACAGCACGATGCTTACCGTCGCCTTCTTCTTAGGAGGTTTGTAGACCACCCCTTCGGGCAAAGTCTGTAATTCCTCGACGTAAGCCGAAGTTCGACCTCCTACGGTGATGAAAGCCAACGTAGCGGGTCTTCCGTCGGGCTGAGAAATAATAGGGACCGCCGTTCAGTCGCTTTATCATATCAAAGCAGCAACAGGCAGAGAGTCTTGGGACTCACTAGCCGGAACCCGCCAGATTCGTCCTTGTCCTTCCGGTTCTTGTCCTTTTTGCCTTTACTCCACCTCCAGCTGAATAACCAGTCTGCAATCACGGAACGCAATTCCAGCCTTCTTCAACATTCCGATCAAGCATTCCACGGTTATCGAAACAGACATTCGAGTACGCACCTTTGGGGAACTTGGCGTGGTTCGCGTTCGCCTCCACAGCGGTATCCACGACGACCTTCATCTCCCTCCAAATCCCTTCCTTCATCTCATCCGACATCTTCCCGACGGGACAAGCCGGATGGACCCGAGCTTGGTACAAGATCTCGTCGGCCACCCAGTTACCTACTCCGGCGCTAAAGGATTGATCCATGATCACTCCCTTGATGGTAGCTCGAGGGCGTTTGTCGAGCAGGGCGAGGAATTCGGGAAGGGTTGGGTGGGAGAGGTAAGGGTCGAAACCTAGGACTGAGAGAGGTGGGTGGGACAGAGGGGGTTGGGGGAGGAGTCGGAGTCGGGCGAGACGACGGGCTGTCGGGAAGGGCGTCGACAGGGATCAGTGGTAAGTGAGTATTTTGCAAGCAAGTCGAGGTGATCGTAGGACTCACAATCGAGGAAAGCCAACTCGACGGGTTCTTTCCCAACGCTGCCCTCCGCCGGTTCGAGCTTCAAGATGAACTTTACATACTGCTCCCACCGACAATCCCGATCCGACCGAACCACCAAGAACGCGAACATAAAATTGAACCCAGAGATTCAGCACCTCAATCCCCAAAACCTAAACCTCTTTCACGATTGAGAGCGGTACTGTATTTGTGGGAAAACGTACCTTGACAGGCGGCCAATCGTCCTTCAACCGATCGACTTTGCGGGGTTTACGCATGTACCAATCGGGTTCCCTCCCTTTGAGCTGTAGTGTATTGTATGATTGCAATCACAGAACAAAGAGAGAACGTAGAGAAACGGCGAGTATGAGTATGCAATTAAGGTAAAGGAGAACGAGAACGAGAACGACGATTAGATTGGATCAAGCGGATAGAGATCGAGATTGAGATAGGATTGAAGTCGGAATGGGGATCCGGATCGCAATTGAGGAAGAAGGAGGGGTGGTTAGGGTGGTTGGGGAGGCTCACCATGATCATCCCCGTCATCCCGAAGTGCATCACGGGAAGTCTGCCTGTACCTGAGAGGTCCAACCAGAATCTACCATGCGCAAGTGAATTGAAAGTGAAGGTGAAGGTGAAGGTGAAGGTGTAGATGTAGATGTAGGCGCAGTTGAAGCGATCGAGGTCAGTATTATGGTTGATCACAGTTTGGAAGGAAGAGAGATCGAGGACGGAGTAGGGGGACGCACAGGGAGGGGGTTGGGACTTGGACTTTGAACTTACATCTTGCCTTTCCGGGAACATCCTGTTATTGTCCTTCCTTCCAATTCTTTGACCTGATATCTCAAAAGCAAAACAGAAAAGTATCGACGAGTTGTACAACGATGATTATCAGTTCCCTCAATCGGATCGGACAGACGACAACTACACTCCGATCGTTCCTCTCACATAATCCTCGTGCGTGATCCCACCAGTATAGACGATCTTGTCTTCCCTAGAATCGACCGAGGCGATCTCAAACCCCACACAAGTCTCTTCGACGAGCTTTCTTGCTCTTTCTACCTCTGTGAGATCGGCGATTTGGTCAGGTCGGGAGGGGGGTTTAGGCAAGAGGTATTGGGAAGAAGGGACCCACCTGGGAGTTCGGGCATCGTAGCTAGTTTGATCGGTAGGTGTCCGATCGATCTGGCGACAAGTTCAGGAGCAAGCTGGTTTACGGTACGCCTAGTATATATCGAATAGAGCTGTCGTTGAGCTATACTGACTGTGTATATATCGATTACGATGGATAGGAAGATGGTAGTCATGGTCAATCTGATGTCGTCATGAGCTCGATCCTCCCTTCGCGCTTCTCCGATGGATATCGATCCCGAAATTCGGGACTTGAGCAACTTTTTCTGCTATGTACCCTCTCATACAACTATACCCATCTCATAACTCCTCAGCTCCTCAGCACCTCCTCATAATACCCTCAACACACCCATATTGGACCTGCTCAGGATGTCCTCGAAGCCGGCGAACCCGCTACCGCCGGTCCCGCCCTTGCCCAGGACGCTCATCCTCGACTATCGGGATTCGTACACCAACAACCTCCTCTCCCTCTTCGTCTCCCTCTATCCGGACGACGAGGTCAGGAGGAAAGTGGTCGTTGTGCAGGCAGATGAGATTAAGTGGTGAGTCTGCTTACCTTGGGATGATTTCTGGATGTTAAGGAGCTCGGCTGATGCTGACAATGAATGGGTGTGGATGTTCGAGCAGGGATGACTTACAAACGATGTTAAGCGACCTAGACTGTATCCTCCTCTCCCCCGGTCCAGGCCGTCCGGATATCCCAGCCGTGAGCACCCTATTCCTCCCCTTCTTCCCTCTTACCTCTCTTCCACACCTTCCCTGCTTCCCTGCTTCCTTGCTTTTCCTTTCGTTGTTTTTTCCTTGGAGGAAATGTATATCATATTGACTTGACTTGATTAATCGGTCATCGCAAACGCAAACCGGTACGAAAATGATTACAACGATAGGACATCGGATTCGCCCTCGACCTCATCCGGACGACGACCATCCCGCTCTTAGGGATCTGTTTGGGTATGCAAGCTCTTGCTGTAGCTTATGGTGGACAGGTCAGTTCACAGTCCAGGCTGCAATGCAATGCAATGCAATGCAAACCTGCAGTCATTCTTCCTAAAAAGGCTCTCATGCGGAGATTAATTCGATGAGCTGAACTGATATTCTGCTTCTATCTCTACTGGTTGATCTGATGGTGTTGGATTGGGGGTGATATTTTTCTAGATCATCAACACCCCTGATTTGAAGCACGGGCACGTCATACCCATCTCTTTCAACCTCAACTCCAGCTCTGGTTCTGGTTCTCGGTCGATCTTTGACCTTTTCCCTGAAACCTCTGGTTCATCCGTGGTCCGCCAGTGGGGGTCAGGGAAGATGGTTGATAAGGATGTGGGGAATGGGAAAGCGCCGTTCGGCAATGACGTCCAGAAGGAGGTGCAGGAGGAGGTTCAGAAAGAGGTGCAGGGGGAGGAGGTGGTGGGGAAGGGGCAAGGGGGAATGGTGGACATGGTCACGTATAACAGTCTGACGGTAGATCCCGTACTCGGTAAGTTATTCGCAACTCTCCTTCTCCCGACTAACCTTTCCGGCGCGACTCCTCGCAATCTCGGAGACTAACCCTGAAAGCATCTTGCGTTACTCAATTGTCGTCTCCGTGACACTGATAGGCTTCCCGTCGGACGAACTGGAAGTCATCGCTTGGCACGACGATATACGGAAATCAGAGGACGGGACGGTCGTACCGGTAAAGACTATTCAGGGGTTGGCTCATCGGAGGAAACCGCAGTATGGGGTTCAGTTTCATCCGGAGGTCAGTCTCGATTCTCTGTTCCTGCTCCGAGTTTTATCGATGTTCAGCTTTGTACTAAACGATGGTCCCTTTTACTACACTTTCGGTGTGGGTTTCGTAGTCGATAGCTTCTTCATCAGGATCTCTCCTCCTCCTCTCGTTCTTACAAAAAACCCACGAATACCATACGAGCAAGACCACTCCGACCTCGAACACGGCGTTGAGGACGGGTTACCCGCCTTTGACGAGAAGGACGTTGAGGATGAGCTCGACGTACAGACAGGTAGAAGAGAGCAGAGCTGCGTCGAGGGTCGGGTCGAGGGCTGGGTCACCGGGTCCTGGGCAAGGTCAGAATCAGGGTGGGAGGATTGGCGGGAGGTTGAGGTTGGTCGAGGAGAGGATCGAGGTGCCGAAGAGGACAGCAGGAGGAATGGGGGACGTCAACGAGCAGATTTTCAGGGAATTGACGAGGCGCGGGAATGGGAGGGCGGAGAAGTTGGGAACTGTCTGGTTGGACGGGGTGTCGGTGAGTCTCAACGGAGAAATCTCACAGCTTGTGCAGCAGCGGCTCAGGGAAGGATGCTTTCGAAATCGGCTCAGAATCGTGCGGCAACGACATCGTCCATGTCGATCCCTTCCTTCGTCTTGTCATACTCGCTTCGGACCCGTACCGTCACATGCCACTTCCTTAACCCGGAGACCAGTCAAGTCGCAGCACGACGCCTACGGCTGAGCTCGAGGCCTGCGGTGGACACCTTTTGGAAGTGGTTTTCCCGTGGCTCGGTCGAGCTGCGACGGCGGCTACAAGATCGAACTACGGGAGATCGGGGACAGTCTCTGGACATGTTCGCTCGTGCGGCTTCGAGACATGAATCAGGTGACCGGCCGACGGATACTCGCTGGAAAGGCGGTTGGGTCGGTTGGTGGGGTTACGAGATGAAGGAGGAGAGTCTCGGTGGTTACGAGGTCCGTAGAGCCGGAAGCGGAGGCGAAAACGAGGACGGTCAGGATGCCTGTTGGGGTTGGTGTGACCGGCTATTACGGAGATCAAAGGACGGATCGTGGGATATCTGTGGGGTCGTCGATCCAGGTGGACAAGAGACCACTTCGCCAGCAACTGTGCAGACTACCGAGGAAGCCGAAGATGACGGTATGGAGATGCTGGAATGGCTCGAAAGCCTAGGTCTTCGATTCGGCGCGAGCCCTCGAGAATGGGAGCAATGGTTACAGACCGCCAAGGACGTCGTTGGGCTGGCTGTAAGCCAAAGGCCTGATACTCGGGTGAAGGACCGGAATGACGTCCTGCCTACTTTCAAACCTCTGATCTCGGCTGAGGATTACAAGACGGGAATCGAAAAGTGCAGAAAAGCCATCTACGACGGCAACTCGTACGAACTCACCTTGACGACAACATTCGTCGCTTCCTCCTCATCAAGCTCGACTCGTGTGGATCCTCTGGACATGTACGCACATCTTCGACAGCGGAATCCGGCGCCGTATTCTACGTTTGTTCATTTCCCTACGGCAGGGACGACAATACTGTCTTCCTCGCCCGAACGGTTCGTCCGGATAGACGCGGACGGTCGGGTCGAGATGAAACCGATCAAGGGAACCCGGGGGCGTGTCAAGTGCGTATGCGGCAAGCAAGGGGCTGAGTGCCTTGGCGAAGGCGGACCGGATTGTACAGCGAGGTGTGCTAAGCTGGACGACGAGGTGGCCCGGGAATTGTGCTCAAACGCCAAGGAGCGGGCCGAGAACTTGATGGTCAGTCCGGCTCATTTTCCATTATGCCATAAACGAGTCTCCAGACCGCTAACCGATTTCCTCGTGCTTTGCCAGATCGTCGACCTTATCCGATCGGACCTCCAATCATGCTGCTCCCCATCCTCGGTGCAGGTGCCCAAATTGATCGCCCTGGAGACATACGAGAGCGTGCATCAGCTCGTCACGACGGTCGTCGGTCGGTTGGAACAAGGGATCAGCGAGATCGAAGCCGTCGAGAGGTGTTTCCCGCCAGGTAAGCGGGCGTTGCTTTTTTTCGAGTTCTGTTCCGGATGGCGATCGATTCCTCGGGCTCAACTTTGGGTGATATCGCTGGCAGGCTCGATGACGGGAGCGCCTAAACTTCGGTCGGTACAGATACTGGACGACCTCGAAGCACCGTACCAGAGGCGGGATGTTTATTCCGGAGCCCTCGGGTATATGGGGATCGACGGTCAGGTCGACCTGAGCGTGGTCATCCGGACGATCGTCGCAGAGTATGAGCCTGTCACGACCGACACGGATAGACAGGGTATGCAAGAAAGGGAAGTGAGGTATAGTTTGGGAGCTGGAGGGGCGATCACTTGGTTGAGTGATCCTCAAGAGGAGTGGGATGAGGTGTTGACAAAGGTCGGGAGTGTTATTGGGTCACGATGAGGAGGTTGGTCTTGCATATCAAGGAGGCTTGACGAGTTTACAAGGAGATTATAATGCATGGTGGTCTGTACAATCTTGACGACGTTCCTCTTGACGACGATACAACATTTGTTCAGGAAAGAAGCACGAGCGATAAAATAATACGAGATGTATGAAGTTGTAGTCGAGTGACTCCAATGCCCCAGTCGTCCCCCGCGGTAAGCAGGGAACGACGACCTGGCCCTCGTAGAGGAAACCTAGGCGTCGAGTCACTCCGGCTTAATCAAAGTCACGGAGGAAAAAACCTTCTCTTCCCTCAAAAAAAAAGAAAGAGAGGATCCTTTGGGTCGGTCTTCCCGAAGGGAAACATTCTTAAAATGTTTCGTTGGCATCGATTTACCGCTCGGATCGCGAGAGGATCTTGGGGTCGAGCAGTGGTGCGCGGGTCCGAAGACCCGCAGCTGATGTCGGGGTGCAAGTGTGGCGAAGTATCATATCGCCTGTAGAGATAGCAGAATGAGAGAAGCTGCTATGGGTTACGGTTGCGATTACGGTCGTCGGCGTGGATCGTCCAGTGTCGACCGGGTTGTCTTCATCGCGACGTGTCTCCTCTGGCGTCGTAGTAACGGTATATTGTTGTTGTCGTAGTACGACCAAAAGAGGCCACGGTTTACGTTGAATGAGGACAAGAGGTCGACATTGTACGATCGAACGGCTTTGACGGTGATTTGCTAACGAAGCAGTGAAGAAGAAAAGGGTAGAGTTGACGAGGGCTAAGAAGATGATCTTGCGTTTTATAACAAGCTTTTCCTCTGATTGATCACGTGATCTCGTAATCGAAATCTCCGTAGCGCGCGACCTGGTCGAAGCGCAGATGACGACCGTTAAACAAGGTGAAATCGTTTCAATGGCAAAACGATACAATCGAGTTCGCAGTCGTGCATATCGATGGCGAAGCCTTATTCAAATTGTGGATCAAGCATTGGGGTGATCTCTCCGTCTTCCGGACTGGCTGAACAGATCAGACTGCAGAACCGAGCTTACGAAGAAGATGGTTCAGGAGAATGCGGTACTACGGCCTGTACAAGCGCCGCCTAGATCGAGGGACACGATTGCTGCTCTACAGAAAGAGATTCCAGAAGGAAACGAATCAGTGTGCTCTGGACAATGAAAGCGAACCTGAAGACACAGAAGAATTTGCGGCCTGAATCGTGATACAGGATTCGATGTAAGGCAAGCTAACAATGAGATAGTGTCGCTTTTTTGCGCTGTCTTTATTCTGATATTGACAGGATATCACCTCCGTGCTGGATAAGGGTCGGGCAATGTTAGGTGTCCGAGTTGACAAGGCGGGACTAGCGTTCAAGTGTCATCGTGAGCATATCAACCTCCTGGCTATTGAGACTCTGACCTTCCATTAGAGTCGAGAACCGCATCAACTTCCTCAAAGCCCCTCGAGAACATGGACGAAACTGAGAAACCCGGCTCATCAGCCAGCAACGAATGTTCTGAACACGACGCGAAGAGCTCTGCTAGTGTGAGCGTCGTCTCTGATTCTGCAGCCTAGCTGATCGATTTGAGCCGAGCTCAGATGGGCAGGCTATGTCTTAAATCTAGATGTTGATGCTACGAACCTACGGAACTGTTCGCGCGATGGCGAAAAATGTGTTAGGGAACACTTGCTGCTCACTGTATGCCCGAGGATGTTCCAGAACGGATTGCATGACTATCCAGGTAGTGTGCTACTTGTCGATTGCTCGACTAAAGGGGCTTACTGGTACGTGATATTCCTGTCGGAATATCAGGTTCATTCAAGGAACTGCCAGCGGAAGAGTTCGCATCGAATTATCCGTATCAAAGTCTTGCTTCAATCGAGTTGCGCATGGGATGCAGTGGCCAGTGGTAGTCTTACGAACGATACCACTCTGCAAGCTGGAAGATAGCTACCTTGCCGGTAGCCCGGTGTACAACCTTGTCGCCTCCACGTTCGATGGGGGAGAAGGTGATGCTACGCTGAAGGAACAGATCTGCGATCAAGCTTTCATGCGTAAGGGTGACTGCTTACTATCGTACCGTTCCTCCTATGACGGTATCGAGATGGACCATGATAGTTGCATGCGGGTTTGATCGAAACATAGCGTAGTTCTATCATGATTCGAAATTGCAGATAACACCGACAGTGGTAAAAGGACTTGGGAGTCCTTCCACACCGAAAGGTGACAGATTGATCGCATCCAAGCACTCTTAAATCTTGATACATACTGCTACACTGGTACAAAATGATACACACACGCAAGTTCATTGCCCGCCTTAGAGCTTCGGAGGAGTAGGCGGTCTCATCGAATCCCAATCCGGTAGCGTACTCAAGTGGGAAGAAGGATTTGTAGTCACCTCCCAACTCGAAGGGACAGAGAGGCTGGAGAAGCTCTCAGGGATGGTAGAAGAGAATTGAATCGTATCTATGCTGGTCACTTTGGTGGAGTTGGTGGCTGCGTTGGAAGCGAGCGTCGACAGGCCGGGAACGTAGGAATTGGAGAAAGGGTTGCTCGAATGAGAGCTCCGGCTACCGTCCGTCGAGCCCGTCCGGTCGGTCATCGTATGGCTTCTTTGAGAGCCGGTCATATCGGTCCCAGCCGTGTAGATAGATCCAGACCCAGCTGCAGAAGCAAACGAATGGAAGCTCCCGCTATTCTTATTCCCCGCGCCTAGCTCTACCGACTGATCAACAGATCCAACTCGGCCATTCAATCGACGTCTATCGACTGGGACTAGCGGGCTGTCGAGCAGTTCTGGGCGGAGGGAGGAGACCGTCTGCGCCATAGTATCGATCACAGGCGATGGGATATTATCACCCGGTGATGCTTTCTCGAGTCTTCGATCAGTTTTGGCTCCGGTTGCGATCCTAGGTGTTCTCACACGAGGCGTTTTGACTCGCGGCGTTCGAGCTGCAGCTCGATCTTGAAGGTCGTGTTTGCCTAGAAAATTAGTTTTAGAGTCTTGCTGAGCTCGTCGGGACCGGACGGCCTTCTCCTCAGTTTGTCTCCTCCGTATAGGCTTGGTCACGTCTTTGAGCTTTGAAATCCCGCTCATATCGATCGTAGGGCGCGTGCGCTTATCGCCTCTGATCCGGCGCATCCTAACAACTATACCTTGTGCGAGAAGAGAAACGAAACGAATGACCAACACAAGGTGAACCCAGATTCGTGTAGCGGTGAGACAATGCCGATGTGGATGTGGATATGATGATGGTACAACACGATAACAAAGAAGGCAAAACGACAAAGAGGTGGTCACCCTTCCTGCTATCATTCCACTTTGATCGCGTTTGCGCCTTCTTCGGGCTCACCAGCCGCTTCCTTTCCCTCCTTCGCGTCCTCGTCGGGCTTCTTGCTCTTGTCGTCGGTCTTGAGCTGATCCTTGTCCTCGTCTTTGTCCTTGTTTTCGTCGCCCGCTTTGTCCTCCTTCTTGTCGATCTTCTCGCCGAAATCCATGAACCCGAACCTATCCCTCACCTCGGCCTCTTCGAGCGTCTTGTACCGATAAGCCTCGGGCACCTCGACTCCCTGGTCGAGGAAACATTTCTCCATCCGCTGGAACAACAACTTCCTCCCCTCTTCCCCCCTCGCAGCCTCCCCCTCCAGACCAGCCTCGGCGAGGAGAGCTTGTCGGTCAGGTTTGGTACGGAACCAGGTACGCAAGAGGGTCTCGGTCCCGGTACGCATAAAGTAAACGTGATCGATGTCCCGTTTGAAGTCTTGGAACCAGACGAAGAAGGCTTGAGAGGGGGTGACGTAGTTGAGAAGGGAGATGAGGTCTTCGAGGTCGTCCTTGTTGTCGTGGCGGAGCTGCGCCGGGAGAAATGAGATGAGAAGGGGGGTGAAATTAGTATGAAGTATGCGAAGATGGTCATCGGGAATGAATCGGCTGGGCGTGAGAACAGATACTCACGTCGTTGGTCTCGCGGCTGGCGACAAAGACGAGGTCTTCGTCAGGGAACCAATTGAGCGCTCTGAACCTAGCCAACGCCTCGGCGTAATTGCTGGCGAGCTCATCGAACAGCTCGACGAACTCGACCTCGGGCCCCTTTTCTCCCTGCTTGTCGAGCTCGTACTTGCGGGCCATGGTCAAGTCCCTAGAGTACCCCGGATGGAAGGGCAAGACGACCCTGATGTCCGACTCTTTGATCTCCTTGGCGACTTCTTGGATCATAGGACGAGCTTGTTGGATCCGGTCTAGCAGGGCGGAAGCGTCGAGAAGGGTGGAGACGTCTTTGCGCTTTTCTTTCTGACGCAAGAGCCATTCTTGTTGGTGGTCGGCGCTTTTGCGAGCTTCTTTCTGTTGGTATCGATCCTGCGCTTCTTGCTACGCACAGGGTAGGTAGAATAGGACAAGGTCAGCTTATAAGGGCCTGAAGTGGATTATAAGTCGAAGCTGCTGAGTGCAGCGTGAAACGAAGAAGAAGAAGACGATGAATCACCTTGGCCTGTTCTCTCTTGCGAGCCATCTCGTCCAGCTCAACATCCACCCTGGCTTGCTCTTCCCGGTTCGCCTCGGCCAAGGCAGGGAGTACGTTTTCTACCTTTTCTGGCATGGCTGATGGCAATCTTTGGTTGTTGAGGGTTGTTCTTCTTTTGGGTGTAGCAATCGAGGTCGAGGTCGAGAGCAGGCGCAAGAATGAAAGGGCGATCGGTTGGGATCGAGGGTTCAAGAGTCGGTCTTTCTTTATCATGATCTCTTATATACAATTAGTTTGCGCCATCCATCCTTTGTTCTCGTACACGCCAACCCCCCTCCGGTCCCCCTTGGGAGCGAGTCGGTTTCAGCCCGTACTCGTAATCGTGTTTCAGGTTGTGTGAGCCCGAGTCGCGGACATGGGCAAGTTTTCCTGTTTGTTTAGTTTTTGCGAACTTGGTGATGTCCGCGTCACCGCGCATTCGGTTCGAGGATGAATCATCTTTGGGGACCAGATTCGAGCTTTGTCCTCCAGGCCTCCATAGGGTGGATGCACTTGCTTCAATCTCAAAGCACTACCAGCGATATATCTCGATACTGCAGTACACATCGGACGACGAGAACGGTGGAGCCAGAGCTATCGGTCGTTGCCACCACCGCAGTGCTCGACCGACGCGCACCAGGTGAGCTTCTCTTGATCGACATCTTGCTCTTGGAAACTACTGAAAAGAATGCACTGGGTCTTGACTGAAAGATACACATCCGATATTCCTCAAGGCCACAAGCTGCTGTGATCGACCTGGAACTAGCCCGGTAGAACACACGTCGGAACTCGCAGATGGGACGATCACTCGAACGGCGTCCTGGTGAGTCCTTGTCTATACTGACTACCTTTGATCCGTATTCAGTGATGGTGACACTGATTCCTGTGTACTCGTACTTGGTTGGTAACAGTCGACTTTGCTGCTATCCCACGACCTTTCAATCCCGTCATAGCCACCCGTCCTCCCATCCCGTAGCCTGCTATATCTCCCGTGGACCTCGTCAATCCCGAACACTCTTCACCGTCGTCCGTTCGGACCACCGGATTCGAACAACTCGATCCGGAAAATCAAAACTCTGGCAGCCGAGCCCGTGAGGCAAGACTCGCTTTCGTCGCGAGTCAGACAATAGACGATCTCGGAATGCTTGGGGAAGAGCAGATGCAGACGGACCCCGTCGGCCCCAGTATTCTGGGCGAGCGGGTTGCCGAAACAGCCCGCGCGGGCGGTCCCGGACCTCACGATGGAGAGCAGGACAATAGGGAGTCGGCCGAAGTCTGTGAAACAGGCGATAGACAAGCTGAAGCGGATGATGAACTGCCTGACGACGAGGACGTCAAGACCGACATCTTTGCGGAATTGCATGCCAGGCTGAGGAACGGAATCAGAAGCGAACATGCGGACAATATCGACCTCGACGAAATGGAAAACTCCTTGAACCTCGTGGGGAAAAGTTTGGATAAATGGGAGAGGAACGATTACTGCTACAAACACCAGTCCAAATTGTTCAACAGCTGCCTTCAGGTGATCGAAGTCGTCCGGACAATCAAGACTCAACTATCGGAATCTCAACTATCGGAATTTGAATACCTCGACATCTACCGGGACTTTGACGGGTTTCTCAGCGAAGAAACATTGAGGAGTATCAATGCATCCATGCTCGATTCGGCTCTGACGGCGTATGCACGAGAGTTACGATCTCCTCCGAATGTGACTGCTATCATATTCGCCGGCATCGGACGTGGCCTACGCGACCTTCAACCGGTCAACGACGCACTCCGAGTGAATTTCGTGGGCAACGCTGTCGAAGATCTTGACGCGACGCTTCATCAGGTGTATAGCAAAAGGTCAAAGGGTACAACCGCCCAGCGGCTTTATGCGCCGGTCGTCGCCCTCTTGCAATCTTCCGGCAGTGGTAAGACCAGGACTGCAATGCAGCTTTCCACAAAACAGATCGGTCTGTATCTATGTGTGCGACATCCTCCACCACCCGGCTGCTTAGTGTCTGCCCCTCCACAGGATACATGGGCATACGACTGCCTGGTCCCGAGGTCGCCTGCGGAAGAGAAGCAGATCGATGCTACTATCAACGTCGGAAGTTGGCTCTGGGCCTTTGCGACTGAGTACAAAACGTGGCTGGAGACCCAACGGAATGAACTTTTTGCAGAGCACCAAAGCGGAGAAAGCGGAGAAATAGATTGGCCAATGTTGACCAGGAACGCCGCGGCCACTCTCCTCGACGACATTGTACCGGGATTCCGAATAGGAGGGTCGGCTAGCTCCACGCGGTCTTCACCGGCTGGACGTCATTCTCCTCTCGCAGGAGCCCCGGCCTCGCCCAACAACACACGCTTGAGCGTGCGTGCCACGTTGCTCAAGGGTATAAAGGTCTGTGCGGACAAGAAGCGGTTGGAATATCACGAACTGGCGAGGTCCCACGAAAACAAGCCTGATAGCGCAGCAGCCAGCGGCGACCCTTACAGCTATATTTTGTCACAACTGACGGAGGCTTTCAAAGCGCTGCAGGACTTGATCCCGGATGGCCACTATTGCTTTCTCGCGATAGACGAAGCCGCTTCTATGGGTTCGCTACGTCTGACCGAACTACGTCGGTGCCTGAGCCATCAAGTATTCCCTAAGTTTCGTGTTCTCTTGTTGGACACCAGCAACAAGATCACCGAACTCACTGGAATGAATATCGATCACCGAGATAGCGGCGAGAGCGTTGGCAACACCAAAGTACCACAGTCATATCGCATTTCGACGGGATCATTAGAATTGGCGCCACCTTTCACCCGGTTCCCTCTCAATGTCAATCTCTGGGGCAATGAAGAGAAGGCCTCAAGATACCGCTCCATCGTGACAGGCGGTGTCAAAGCCTCCTTTGAAGACGTTCATAGTTTCCTACCTCTGATGGGCAGACCTCTCTTGAATGACAGATACTGGCGCGAGGAGCCAGGCCTAGGGTCGTTGTACAACAAACTGGTCGCGTCGACCAAGGCGCATACTGCCCTTACAGCTCCTGTCTTGACGGATCTCAAAAATACCGATGTCATGAGCCGTGCTATCGCTGCAGCTTGCCAGAGGCTGCCCCTCGATTTGATTGGCGTTCGAGGTGAGTTCTCTGTCCGCAATATTGTTTGTGATCGAGCTCTAACACTCGTCCTCGTCACAGGCGCACAGGCTCATTCGAGTTTTTTGCTGAAGCAGGTATCGCTTCATATGAGAACTGTACTACACGTGGCAATGTCCGGCGCAGAGATATCCTCTCATACACCCTCTGAGCCACTGCTAAGGTATGCCGTTCTGCGTGGAAATATCATCTCATTCGGTCGAAAAGTGATTGCTTTCTGCTTGGCTGGATTCTAGTTTGGCCGTGGCATACGAATTTACCAACAACCCCGACCAGCATTGGTCGGACGTCATCGAGCAGATCACACTCTCGGTTGAGGCGCAGCATCTCAAACTCGGAGAGCATGGAGAAGAGTTGGCTAGAACGCTACTCAGCTTCGCTCGGGACAAGGCGTTCGCCAAGCGCAAAGAAAACCTGACACGGGAAATTCCATTGGGTTGCAGTTTCATAAGCGTGACCGAATTCCTCGAGAGTCTGTTGGGTTCTAAACTGGCATCAGAGACCACCGCCAAATCCTGGGCTGATACGCATTGGATCAACTTCACTCATTTTTCCCGGCGTCACATAAAATACACCCCAAGCGATCCGGCGTCTGAGACGCTCCTGGTTGAAGCTTTTATCAAGAAGACTGCAATACTCGGGGTTGTGAATCAACAGGACGTCGATGCTATCATTGCGGCCTACTTTTCCCCTCATCGTCCGAAATCTGGAGACATCTTTATACCCGGTCACGTCGATGCAATGGGGATCCAGGTGAAGAACATCTTATTCCAGAGTATCAACTCGGACAGCTCGGGCGCGCAGAAGGATCTTTATCAATGTTTCGTGCCCCAGAACAGAGTAGCCGGGGAGGATCAGCGCTGTCGAGGCTTCAATCTTTATATGAGTTTGGCGGCGAGACCGGACTCGACGCAGGTTTCCGACAATGCTACCAACAGTCCATGTGTTCTCGTCAAAGGATGTACCGCGGATCAGTATCCTTTGATCGCGCAGCTCAGGCCTTCAGTCGCGGACAAGCTGGGCGTCTTTCTCGGGCGAACCGAACGACTCGTGGAGGAAATGGAGGAGCGGTTCGGTAAGGATACATACACCGCTTTATGTTTTTCGGGTCGAGAGTTCGCGTTGGAAGACGAGCTGCGTGCAAACGCTAGCAAGGAGTCGTCTCGCCAGAGCAAGGAAGGCGTGGCCGACCAGAAAGACGAGGACGACAACGCAGCAGTTGCCGTTGGCACGGGCGACGAGGCGGGTGGAGTGGGCGAGACGGGCCGACACGCCAACGCAGGCAAAGCGGGCGAGACAAGCAGAGGGGAGGCGAATCAGGGAATGAACAAACGCAAACGAGAGGCACACGACCAGACGACCTCGGGAAGCGACTCGGACACGTCAGGAGACCCCGCTTCAAAGAAAGCGAAAGGCCTCTAGGATGTCTCACCCAGAACTCGGGATCCGCCTGCGGAGGTGAGCCGGTCGCGTGCTTGTTGTAACGGCCCAGGCAGAACGGGAGATACTGACGACATATCCCCATTGCTCTTGACGATCGGGGAATAGAGAGGCATTCATTTGTACCTCGGCCACTCTGCCGGACGTGCATCGGCGCCCTGCTCGGCTTTCGTGACGAATGGGTCAGCCTACTTTTCTCTGAGCAATATACATCTAGCCGATAGCTATCGACCGCTACCTCTTTCCCCATCACGATACACGAAGAATGTCGGGACATCAGCGGAGTATTTTGGATTCCCTTTTACGTTATATCACAACGGCTCGCAATGACATCGGCGCAATATTTTATGCTATATGATTTAATCATGTCTCTTCGAGCGGATGACGTTCCATTAAGCAAGCGCAAGTCTCGAGTAGATGTGACCGGGGGACTTTGGCTTGACGAGGTTCGCAACCTCTTGTTGACTTTATTATCCTGATCTCGCGTGTTCACGACTCTCGATTACTGGGCCTGGGCGCAGCTTTTTGTAGATCGTAGATGGTATTACCGGGATATTCTCGAGTTCCCTCGAAATATAAGCCGAGGAAGGGGCGTCTGTAGTACATTCGGCTTTACGCAGACCTTGGATCGTCAACAGTCGATCCGAGCAGTAAAGCCCACGTTGCGTTACGTAACGTTACGCTGCCGAAGGATACTACTGCGGTACTGTTGTCGTTGTGGGGGGTTCATCGAGGTCCGAGATGCGCATATCATGTCATGTCGTACACTGTCATGTGTCGTCGTATCGTGTGATCAAACTGAACCGAGCCCATAACACAACACGGCTACAGTAAGCGCAGGGTGTCTCACCCTCGGAGACTCGCTTCTTAAAAATTACCACGGACTCGGGTTTTTCTTCTTTCTACGACGGTGACGACTTTGCTCTTACAGTAGCCCGGCTAGTTTTGCTATATTGGGGGATTGGATGTACAGTAGCACATACCACTCGTCTCCCCACCCACAAAATCTCTCTTTCTATCTCTCTCTCTCTCTCTGACTGAAGTTCTGGGGTAAATCTGACCTGACAATCCCGCGATACAACAGGCGAAGAACAGGCCTGCAGTGAGACAAGGAGCACAAGCCATCCGGGGTGTGGTACCTGCCAATGTGAGAGGGCTTTGTGGAGGACTGATAATATATGTTGTCCCATGGACGCAGGAGCAGCAATCAGGGTCAGGTTTCGGGCCGGACATCTGTACAAGGCCGTGTGTGAGTATGGAATGCAAGATTATGAGAGTCAGTCGGGGGGTGTGGACGCACCTAAGCGCGTGATGAGTCATTGTTATTATAACTGTTACCGCAAAGCGTCATTGTTATCGTTGGTATCGATGGTCTCACTGGGTCCACCTCGCGTGTTTCATAGCACAGCAAGTACCAGTACTCTAAAACCAGTAAAACAACTACACTACGCTGGGACAGTAACTAACTATTGTAGCGCATTGGATGCCAGGGTTAGGGGCCTCGGTCCCACGTCTGTCGGAAATCCACAATGGACTGTACAGTATGGCAGGTGCACTGTAGGGTTATATATATGCCGTCGATCCTGCTACTACGAGAAATGATGGACCCAGAGAGGACGAGGGGCAGAGGTGGGCACTACGCTGGTCGATGAGGTGAGGCGGCTACATTATGACTGTGACCACTGGACGATCATATGGAGATGGAAGTTTATTGGGAGTACTGGACTGCCTCGAAGGGGGTAAAATTGAGTGGAAAGTCTCTTTTGGGGCGTATGGTGTGTCGGCTCGAAGTGTTGGAGCGAAGGGGTCTGGGTTTGGATGGCGTCGTCGTAATCGGATGACAACCTCGCGACCTCGCGGTTCTGGGCTGCAGAATCAGATCTCAGAGTGTCAGGTCGGAGTCTCGACTACGTGAGTGCGACTGGGATGATGACGACAAGGTCAGATGGATCTGATGCAAGACCCGCCGAAATGCCCAGCTGAAGTCTCTGTGAGCTCAGGATCCGTAGATGCACGGGGGGGATGTAGATCCGACTCCAAAAAGAAATCAGTCGCCGACGTCTGCTTGTTCTTGTTTCAGGAGGGAGGAGTGAGGATCGACAATACCGCCGGGATGTCGACATACCAGACGCCAACGATGTCATCGATCGACCGTACGACGTCTTCATCCGCTCTCCCGGACTACCTTCTCGAACGATTGCGCTTTTGCTCCCCCCCCCCCCCCCCCATCCCGCCGCAGCATCCGTCCCTCGGGGACTGTAACAACAACACACGTATGACTAGAGCGCGCGCTTGTAACTTCTTGGCGAAAGGCCGCCTACGTACTCGTTCGTGCCCCCTCGGTGCCGCTCTGACTGGTTTTGATTCCGTCAACCAGCTCCAATGGAATGTGGGAACACGGCCGCCCTTGGTTAGTTGGCTAGCGGGGCGTGTGGGCGAGAGGAGCGAGGGGACAGAGGGGGAGTCATCATCTTTCACGTCAGCGCGAGTCTGTTGGGTACGCTATTCGGCGGCCCCCGTGATCCCCCGTGATCCCTTGATCGTCAGATGTTGTTGCGTACACCCAGCACCCCAGGGCACGAATCCGACACCCACTCACCACTAGCTACACAGACTCGCCCGCCGCCTGACGTCGTATGTGTTGTGTCACTCCGGGAGACGTATTCGAGAGGGAGGCGGCAGGAAAAACAAGCTGTGCGATCACCAGCGTAGGGATACATATATAGATAGGGGGAAGGTCGAATAGGGGTAAGTCGTCTGCCCTCTTGATCGACCATCACTCGAGCAGGCAGCTGATCGCGCGGAAACTTCGAAAGCGACTCGACATCTCGACCGTCTTCATCGAGCGATACACACCAGCCGAACGAGCTACACATAATTCACAGCATCTAGACCGGTTCACTTCCCACTTTTCACTCTAAATCAACTACCACTACCATCACCATGTCCCTCGTGGGCAACTTCACCATCAACACCGACCGTTCGGCCCAGATGGGTGGGATCGGATCCGGCCGAGGCACGTTTCATCAACAAGATCGGTTCGACGAATCCGGGGCCGATCATTATCCGCTGCAAGAACGACCGCCGGTACTAGGACGACCTATGGGGAGCGAATCGTCAGGGGAGACTGTAGGCGGGGAGTTGTCTCCTATGGACGAAGAACGGGCGAATGAGGCTAGGATCACCGAACTGGCTAGACAGTTGACTAGGCAGTCTTCACGACACCAAGACGCCCAGGGACTATCTCGACCCGGGACCAGGCAGAGTGCGAATGGAGGAAATGGGGATGTTAATTCGGATTCGGGGGATTTCTTGATCGAAAAGGGAACCGAACTCGACCCGTTCAGCGAAAACTTCAACGTCAAAGCCTGGACACGCAAGATTGTCGGGGTCACTTCACGGGACCCTCAATTACACCCGAAACGAACTGCCGGAGTGGCTTTCCGTAACCTACAGGTCCATGGGTTTGGGAGTGATACCGGTTTCCAGCAGACGGTGGGGAATGCGCCTTATGCGGGCTTTGGGACGATCAGGGAGCTCGTGGGGGGGAAGAAGAGGAAGGTGGATATCTTGAAGGGGTTCGATGCTGTTCTGGATGCGGGGGATATGTTGGTCGTACTCGGACCTCCAGGAAGGTGCGTACCATGTCCCGGCGCGCGTCGATGTTGATGAGGCGGACGTGCTGATCTCGCTCTCGCTTGCCTGTTTTACCTCTTGTTTTTTGGTTTCATTCGCGCAGTGGTTGTTCGACCTTGCTCAAGACGATCGCAGGAGAGACACATGGTTTGGAAGTCGAGGAAGGGTCTTATATCAACTATCAAGGCGAGTTCGAGTTCCCGTCCATCTCCCTCTCGACTCGCATGTGTTCCGATCACTTGCTAACCAATACGTGGATCCTTTCGACTTTCTGGGGTGAGACAGGTATCAGCCCAAAGACGATGACCAAGAATTTCCGGGGCGAGGCCATCTACACCGCCGAGCAGGACGTTCATTTCCCCGCACTTACCGTCGGGGATACCTTGGCCTTTGCTGCCGAGGCCAGGTCGGTGAGTTTGATCCTCCTCCGAGCTGCCCCTTCTCACCTTTGACGCTGGCTTGGTGCTCATTTGTTCCATTTCGACGCGATGCAGCACAAACACCCCCCGGCCGGTCTGACTCGACGAGAGTTTGCTCAGCATACTCGGGATGTCGTCATGAGCATCCTCGGTATCGCCCACACTGTCAACACCAAGGTCGGTAACGAATACGTACGAGGTGTATCGGGAGGAGAGTGAGTGCCGTGCCTGGTTTCACGATCTTTTCTGCGCCAGACAAAGTGCTATTCATCTGACATCGCCCTACATCACAGACGTAAACGAGTCTCCATCGCCGAGGCGTTGTTGTCGGCTTCTCCGTTGCAATGCTGGGACAACTCGACCCGTGGTCTCGATGCCGCCAACGCCGTCGAGTTCTGTGAGATCATCTTGTTCTTGCTGCTGGTCTTGCTGCCTGTCGCTCATCGTTGTTGTTGTTGCCACAGGTAAAACGCTCAAGACGTCGACCGAATATGCCGGGTCCACAGCTTGTGTCGCCATCTACCAGTCGCCTCAGGCTGCTTACGACGTGAGTTAGAAAGCCCTTCACGGGGAATGATTTCGCAAGTCCACTGAACCACGTACGTGTTTCTTGAACGTCAACAGTTCTTCACCAAGGTCATCGTCCTCTACGACGGCTACCAGATCTACTTTGGCCCGGCCACCGAGGCGAAAAAGTTCTTTGTCGACATGGGTTTCGATTGCCCCGAACAACAATCCACTCCCGACTTTTTGACCTCGCTTACCAGCGCCAAAGAGCGGCGACCCAGGAAGGGCTTTGAGGATCAAGTGCCCAGGTCGGCGGAAGAGTTTTACCAGAGGTGGAAGGCCAGCGACACCTACAAGGAGCTACAGGTCAAGCTCGACGAGTACGACCAACAGTATCCCTTTGGCGGCGAGCAATACGAGCAGTTCTTGGCTTCCAGGCGTGCACAGCAATCCAAGGGCACGTGAGTACACTGGGTCGATCGTGGTGGTCTACAAGAAAAAAGGACAGAAGACCTGACACCCCCTGCGCTTAATAGCCGTGCCAAATCGCCCTACACCTTGTCTTACGGTGAACAGGTCAAGATCTGTTTGCGACGAGGGTTCTGGCGACTCAAGGCGGATCCCAGTTTGACTCTGAGTCAATTGTTTGGAAACATCGCTATGGGTCTCATCGTCAGCTCGGTCTTTTACAACTTGCCCATGGTAAGCCGAACGTCGATCACGGTTTCGATTGGTCGGCGCTGATCATTGATCTCGTTGCGTTCCGCTCCAACCAGGACACCAGCAGTTTCTACAGCCGTGGTGCCCTCTTGTTCTTTGCCATCTTGCTCAACGCCTTTGGAAGTGCTCTCGAAGTGAGCCATGCAGCCCGTTCGCCCTTCGAAATGCAAATTTCGCTAACCTGCACGGCCAATCTCTCAGATCTTGACGCTCTATGCTCAACGACCCATCGTCGAGAAGCACGAACGATATGCCTTTTACCATCCGTCAGCCGAGGCCGTCGCTTCGATGCTCACAGACATGCCGTACAAAATCGTCAACGCCATCTTCTTCAACCTGATCATCGTGGGTCTCGCCGTCTCGCACTGTCCTTTGCGTGTTCGGCCTGCTGACTTTTACCTTGGTTTTGCCATTAGTACTTCATGACCAACGTGAGTTTCCGACTCCTGACCCCGTCTTGCGTGATGGTATTGGCTGAACCGCCCGGCACTTCCAGTTGAGACGAGAGCCCGGTCCATTCTTCTTCTTCTTCTTGGTCAGCTTCACGGCTACCTTGACCATGTCAATGTTCTTCAGGTGAGCAGACTCTGTCAGCTACGAGATCGTTGCAAGTATTCATTTCCCCATTTATATAGATCTTTGGCGGCCCTTTCGAGGAGTCTGGTTCAGGCACTCACGCCCGCTGCGGGACTGATTTTGGCCCTGGTCCTGTATACCGGTTTCGCCCTGCCTCCCAACTAGTATGTTGGCCCGGATAGCCTGCATGCGGGGGCGCCAAGTTTGCTGACCTTTGTCGACGCGCTTCTCAGTATGCTTGGCTGGATCAGCTGGATCCGATGGCTCAACCCGATTTAGTAAGTCAAGTCCGCCATTGCGTGAATGTCTGGAGCAGATACTGATCACCGACCCGTTTGAACAGCTACGCCTTCGTGAGCCGGGCTCAGCCGTCGTATGCACTGGCAGCTGCATGGATGCTGATGGTCGTCTTTGACTCAACAGGAAGCACTCATGATCAACGAATTCCACGACCAAGAATACCCTTGTGTTGCGTTCGTGCCTTCTGGCCCAGGCTACACTGGCCTTGCTGCGAATGAATACGTATGCTCTACGGTGGGAGCTGTGGCCGGTTCGCAAACGGTCAATGGAGACAACTACATCAACGAGGCTTACGACTATTACCATGCTCACAAGTGGAGGTGAGTCTCGATCGAGTGTCTAAATCTTGTCCGTTGGCTTATCGTTCGTGCTCATGCAGGAACTACGGTATCATGATCGCATTCGTCTTCGCTCTCATGTTCCTCTATCTCGGCGCGACCGAATTGATCAAGGCGAAAAAGTCCAAGGGTGAAGTCATCGTCTTTCCTCGTACCAAGATGCCCCGTCGAGGCCGCGAGGATATCGAAGGCTCCGGTGGTATGTCCGACACCGAGGCTGCCAAGAAGGAAAAGGCCAAGGACGAAGTTACCATTCAGCGCCAGACCGCCATCTTCCACTGGCAAGACGTGTGTTACGACGTGCAAATCAAGAAGGAGACTCGGCGCATTCTGGACCACGTCGACGGTTGGGTTAAGCCTGGTACTCTGACCGCGTTAATGGTTAGTCTCGAGCTGGAAGAAGAGGTCCGAGCCGAGCGTCTGCTAATTCGTCACGTGCCAAAATGTACAGGGAGTTTCTGGAGCTGGTAAAACCACCCTGCTCGATGTGCTCGCTACTCGAGTCACCATGGGAGTCGTCAGCGGCGACATCCTGGTCGATGGAAAGGAGCGAGACGAGAGTTTCCAACGTAAAACCGGATACTGCATGCAACAGGTATGTTTCGGTCGATACGCGCCAGCTCACCGCTTGCGCTTACCTAGCGTTCCCATCATGCCAGGACGTCCATCTTGCCACTTCCTCTGTTCGAGAGGCGTTGGAATTCTCCGCGCTGTTGCGACAACCCCGACACATTCCTAAGCAAGAAAAGCTCGACTACGTTGATGAAGTCCTCAAGCTGCTCGAAATGGAAGCCTACCAGCACGCCGTAGTAGGAGATTTGGGTGAAGGTAAGCCGGAGTGTTTGGCGATGCGAGAGCAGCGCGTTCTCTTGCTCAAAATGTCTTTTTCGTCGACACATAGGTCTCAACGTCGAACAGCGAAAGCGTCTCACCATAGGAGTCGAATTGGTCGCCAAGCCTCAGCTGTTGCTTTTTCTTGACGAGCCTACTTCGGGTCTGGACTCGCAGACCTCTTGGAACATTTTGGATCTCCTCGAAAAGCTTGCGAACCATGGTCAAGCCATCTTGTGCACTATCCACCAGCCTTCCGCCATGCTGTTCGAGCGTTTCGACCGATTGCTCTTCTTGGCCAAGGGTGGAAAGACCGTCTACTTTGACGAGGTCGGCAAGAACTCGCACAAACTCATCGACTACTTTGAGCGTCACGGTGGACCCAAGTACCAGACCGGAGAGAACCCCGCAGAATACATCTTGCACGCTATCGGTGCGGCTCCTGGATCGCACAGCGACGTCGACTGGCACGCCGAATGGCTGGACAGCCCCGAGCGAGCTGCTGTCCGTGAAGAGCTCGCCCGACTTCGGCGCGAGGGATCTGGTGCAGCTGCTGATGACAAGAGCAAGGACCCCGCGGCCTACAAGGAGTTTGCCGCACCGCTCGGTCAACAATTCTTCATCGTCACCAAGCGTGTGTTCCAGCAGATTTGGAGATCCCCTACGTACATCTACTCCAAGATCGCCCTCGTATCGATCGTCGGTTTGTTCATCGGCTTCAGTCTTTTCAAGGTAGGTAGGAACACCGGCTTTCGATACTCGATACTCGTCCGCTGACCAGCCTTGTCTTTGCGCTGTTATTAGGCCGACAACACGCAACAGGGCATGCAGAACCAGTTATTCGGAGTGAGCATCAGCGATCTTGACCATTCAGAATTTGCCACTGACCTGACATGTCTTGTACCGTCCAGATTTTCTTGCTCTTGACCGTCTTCGGACAGTTGTGTCAGCAGATCATGCCTCACTTCGTTACTCAACGTTCGCTCTACGAGATCCGAGAGAGGCCTTCAAAGACCTATTCGTGGATTGTGAGCCTCTCATTCGCTCTTAATCGGTAGTTTGCCTGCGCGTTACTGATTGCCCGCTCGTCCGCAGATCTTCATGCTCGCCAACATCCTGGTCGAATTGCCTTGGAACACAATCGCGGGTGTGGTCCTGTTCTTCTGCTGGTACTATCCTATCGGTCTCTACCGGAACGCCGTTCCCACCGATTCTGTCCACGAGCGTGGTGCACTCATGTTCTTGCTCGTCGAGGCCTTCCTCTGGTTTACCTCGACATTCGCCCAGATGGTCATCGCCGGAATTCCCACCGCCGAAACCGCAGGAAACATTGGAAACTTGATCTTCTCGCTCTCATTGATTTTCTGTGGTGTCCTGGTTCAGCGACCTGATCTCGGATGGTGGATCGTGAGTCGAGGTGGAATAGCGCGAATGTAGTTTTCCGCAGAAACTGACAAGGCCTGGACTGCTTCCGCAGTGGATGTATTACATATCGCCGTTCACCTGGCTGGTCGAAGGCATGCTGACGACTGGAATCGCTGGCACAAAGTATGTCTTCCCGCGCCACCGCTTTCGTTCATGCGATCGGCCTTGAAACTGATCTATTCGACCCTTCTTAGCGTCGTATGTGCCGATCGCGAGTACCTCGTCTTCGAGCCCGTTGGTAGTCAAACCTGCGAGGCCTACATGTCCGACTATATCAGCAGGGCTGGAGGATACCTTCTCGACCCGGCTGCTACGACCAACTGTCAATATTGTCAACTCGAAGACACGGATACCTTTTTGGCCTCTTTCAACATGTCGTGAGTACAAATCCGAGGACGTCGTTCGAATCAGTATCATGGGCTGACCACGGGCGACCCTGTTTGCAGTTATTCTCACGCCTGGCGCAACTTTGGTATCCTGATCGCCTACTGCGTCTTCAACGTGTTTGCCGCTCTCGCCATTTACTACTTGGCTCGAGTTCCCAAGAAGGCAAAGGCGAAGAAGGGCTCCGAGGAGAAGAAGGGTGCCTCGAACGACACCTCTGCCAAAAAGGCCTAGACCGTGACCTACCTATAGATCGTCTCCTGGAACGCGACAAATTCTTAGACCTCCCGACTCATGAATACCTAATCAATCGAGCTACTTTTTCTTGCGCTTGTACGACCATTCCACTACCATTATTAATAGCATGTGCATACTGGTTGATGTCTAGTTCTGGAGCGAGAGCTGGCCGCCGAGGTGGTATTCGCATTCCGAACGAAACGACTGCAAGAGGTGGCGGTTACAGCACTTATCAGCCGCCACATCATTCGCAAAGCGAGGTCGAGTGCTTCGGGAGGGACGCAGCCTACGAACAGCCTTGCCGGGACAAGACCGACTTTGTCGATGCTGCGCTTGTAAAGGGAACTCTATGGCGGCGCCACTATGAGTACAGGGAGGTCCGCGCGTAGACGGAACACTTCGTCAGCGATTTGCTAGGCGAGCATTCTCACTAGACTACTCGACGACTGTTTTAGATTGTATCCATGTCACCACACATGCTAAAACATTCGAACCATACTGACATACACATGCACAAAAACGCGAAAGATGCGGACTCCCACATACCCCTCCAACCCGGCGATCCACTCTAGAACACGGTCCCATCGCTAATGATCTCAATCGGAGGCCCCCCACCCTCCCTCAACTCCTTGGCGACCTCCCTCCCCGCCTTCCACGTCGCAGCCTCGAGCACCTGCGCCGTAGACAAGTCGGGCGCGTTCAACTTTTCCCTGATCCGCTGTGCGATCTTGTCGAGCGCGATGACCGTCAGGGCACGCCATTCGATGACGGTCTGCGAGTCGACGGTCTCTCGAGGAGTCCACCGTTCGGACGGGGTGGAGGGCGGAGTATCGTACTTGGCGGATCTGTGCCATTCGCCAAACTTGTTGTTCTTGAGGACGAGGAAGCCAAGGTCGAGGAGCAGGCCGCCTGTGCGAGTTTGAGCGCAAAACGAAGTCAGCCGAGTGAACCGAAAGTCACGCTATATCGTGCATAGTGTTTTTGCTCACCGTTCCTATACTCGGGCAGACCTACAGAACCCGAACCGACAGATCCATCCATCCCCAACTTTTGCATCAGCGAACATCCTCCTCCAGACGCCAAACGAAAGACGAGAAGGGAAAAAAGGGAAAGGAAATAGCGGAAAGACGATATGATATGCTCACCGGTCATCTGCTCCACCCCCTCGATCTCGACACCCAGGATCTTTTGGAGGGGTTCCATGAGCGAGTACGTCATCCACTGTGAGAGCTTGTGGAACGGGACGCTATTCCACCCCCAACCGTCGAGCAGCACCAGAGAAATACAGAGAGACCAAGAGAGAGAGCGTGTTAGTTACCATACTCAAATCACACGTCCAAACCCATGCTCAAGAAGGAGAGGAAACCTCGACTCACATCCCCGCAGCATCCCCCACCTCGGGTTCTTCCTTGGCCAACACAGCGCACTTCCACGCATCACCCAACGACACCCCCTCCAACGTCGTCCTCTCCGGACTGGCTGGCCAGATGGGTCCGAAGCCGTCCATGACGACCTCCCAGAGCTTTCCCACTTGGATCTTCTTCGCAGCGCTGCCCGTTGGTCCGGTCCCGGTCGAGGTCTGGGTCTCGTTGGTGGAATCGGGGTAGAGGTAGTCGACCATATTCCCCGGCCTAAACACCCCTTGAGGATCTTTAAACACCTCTGGTCGTGCTTCCAACGCCTCCCCAAGGCGGATGAGCAACCCACTCCGTCCTTCCAGCCCTGTCATCGTCTCCCCTTGGAGGCCTTGGCGGATGGTCTGGGTGGTGAGGTTTTTCAGAGCGATGGAGTCCACCCTGAGCTCTTTATCTGTGTTCGTACCACTTGAGTTTGGGGAGGACGTAGTCGAGTTTGGAGAAGAGGAGGAAGAGAAAGCCCCGCTCAAGAACATGTCCAGCGAAGCCACCGCGAGCCCTTCGGACCGCCCGATGTACTCGCCGGTGGGTTCGTAGAGGTACTTCCATGTCGGCCCTGCTCCAGCTGTCGAGAGTTAGCCGAAGTGGTGATATAAGATAAACGTCCAGGGGAAGATCGATTGAGATTGGGTGGAAGAACGAGCCGTGGGAAGAAAGGGCAAAGGGCGGAGAAATAGAAAGAAGAAAGAGAAAGAGCAGGAAGAGTGGCAGGATCAGCTCGATTCCCACCACCCGATTTCCAGTCTAACAAAGAGAGATATAATCGGGACTCACCGTCCAACAAAACGCTGACCACGAACAGATCCACCAACCTCCTCGCTACTTCCCTCTTCCCCACCTTCTCTCCCTCCCACCCCTCGATGACCCCACCTAAAAGATCCCCCCTTTGAGGCGTGACGAAATGCCTCCACCGTGAATGTCCCGGGATCTTCTCATAATCCTCTCCGTAATCCCGTTTGATAACCCGGATACAGTAATCGACGACCGTATCCAGTTTATCTTCGTGCAAGGTGAAATGTTGGAGTTTACCCTGGGCGGCGAGGGAGTAGACGAGTGAAGAGCGTTGGCGGATTGAGGGGAGGGAGCGGAGGTATGACGGGGTGAGGGGAGGTTGTGACATGGTCGTCGTGAGTCGTGGCGACAGTGATGTTGAGTGGTAGTGGGGTGGTTGACGAAGATGTGCAAGGCGAGGTACGATGGATTGAGTGAGAAGAATCGCCGGTCCGACCTTGGGTTACGCTCTTATACGCAAGCCGGGTAAGCCGAGAAGCTCAAACAAAGGAGGTGTGATGAGGGTTGGGGAAGCGTTTCAAGAGGAAAGAAGCTTCGGTTAAGTCTAAGCGATCAGGACGAGATCAGGATGATGACGATCAAGACCTGTTCCTTTCCAAGGACGTCGAAAGGCGAAAGGACATCCGGCCTCCTTTGACCTCCCTTTGATCCTCCATTCAATCCTTCCTCGCCCTCGCTCGCTCGCTTTCACGCAACACGGCCATCGCCGACGATCATCAACAGGCAACAGAAGAAGCAACCGACGTTATCGGAAGCTCGACTTCTCGGTAACAATCACTCGCCCGACTCACCCGACTCGCCCGTCCTCTCCTCTTCCCGCCACCTCTGTCTCGCGTAGTGTTATCAGCTGATCATCATCGGGCTGATCCGATGAAACGCCCCTTCCGCGCGCGATAACGTCGAGCCCCTAACCCCCGTTGCCCGTTGATGACGACAACCTCGATGCTGCAATAGCTCGGGAAGGAACGTTTGTTGACGATGACAGCAAGTCGGCCGAGTCGGGTCAGATACAGCTCCTTGCGAGTTGAGAAGGTCACCCCCGTCGAAAGGAAGGGAGATACGCAGAGCGTGCACGAGGCGACGACACCAGGCTGACGTCGGTGCTGATCGTGCTGATCGTATCGTCGTCGGAGAAAGAGCACTGCGCCCCGTCCTCGTCGCCCTCGTGATAACCAAGAAGCTCAGACTACTCGTACCGTGTACTGGTGATCAATGGAGGCGATAGCCAGGATCAGGTATATATAACGACCCCCTATCCTTCGCTCTCATCGATCAATCGTCGAACTATATTCTCTACTTTTGCTATCGACGTTATATCGTACACCGTTCACGTATCACGTATAACGTACAGCGTATTCCGTAATCCATCCAACCCGTCCAACCCATTCCCGCACATCGAATCGCATCATCGCCACCGCCTCCAAACACACCCCCGAATCAATCGACCATGTCATCCCTCCGCTCGACCCACAGTCACACACACGCCACATCCACCTCGACGATGGGCGTCTTACCTGCCACGACCGCCCTCGTCGACGGACCTTTCCCACCGGGAGGACAGGGAGGACAGGGACAGGGAGTCAAGGTGCTCGATCTGGAGGGGGCGGCTCATCATGTCGAAGATCTTTATCCTGATCCGGCTGTTTTGGCTAGTAAGTTCCGTTTTCGCTTTCGTCGTCGTCGTCGTCGATGTGGATGACAAGGCGAGATCTCATACATATACTGATACTGTTTCTTTTCTCTTTCCGATCTTCCTTCATTCTTTCGTTCACCCATAATAACACTACTCTATACTACTATATAGCCTACTACGCATCCCCGGACAAATCCCTCCTCAAACCCATCCCCTTGACCTGGGGCGCCCCCACAGCAACCTCCAGGGGCCCCCTAGTGGTCTCCCACAAACCTTCAGCGATCGCTTACAGGAACGCTATCGGCGCGCACTCGGGCTCGTACTCCATCTACCGCGCTCTGGCTATGGCGTTGAACACCCTCGACCCCGCCCACGTTCCCGATTACACCAACACCCACCCGCCCTTTCCCGTCACGCCCAACCCCGCGTGGTTTGACCCGGGAAAGATCGTCTCTCTGGATCCTTGGGGACATTTAGCGCAGACGGAGTTTGAGGAACATAATAAACGGGGGTTGGATGTGAGGCCGACGATCTCCTTGACAAAGGCTCATATCAAGATGAGCGAGTTGGATAGGGCTTATCAGAGGGGGGAGATCTTGCCGGATGGCAAGGTCGTGCATAATTCGTTGCCCCGGGAATCTCCTTTGGGAACCAGTAAAGAGAACAAAGACAGGAAAGAGGAGGACGCCGGGGTGGAAGTGACGACGAGTAAAGCGGCGGTGGAGCCCGTCTGGCATTTACCTGGGATGGCCGCGAGGTTCGGGATCAGCGAGGACTTGTTGAGGCGGGCTTTGTTCGAGGGTGAGTGATCGATCTCTTAGCACGCATATTATCTCGAAAGAAGAAGAAGTTTCCTTACGTACCGATCCTGATCATCTCCATCTCGTCCCCTTCTTTTTGAAATCGGTGGTACTGTAGAGACCGGCGGGATGTACCCCGAACTGATCACCCGGCCCGACCTCAAAGTCTTCCTCCCCCCCATCGGCGGATTGACCGTCTACATCTTCGGTAACCCCCAACATCTCCGAGACCCAACCAAAGAGCTCACCCTACGGGTTCACGACGAATGCAACGGATCCGACGTGTTCGGGTCGGACATCTGTACTTGTCGCCCTTATCTGATCTATGGGATCGAGGAGGCCATCAAGTGTGCGCAGAGGGGTGGGGTGGGGTTGGTCGTCTATTTCCGGAAAGAAGGGAGGGCTCTGGGAGAGGTTACCAAGTGTGAGCCAGAGGCGTCTTCTTGTCATTTCGCTCTGGTTGGAATCTCGACTGACCCGATTCTACCCCTACCTCTACCTCTACCTCTACCTCGTTCGATCTGCTGCGTCTGATTCGACGCCGTATAGACCTCGTCTACAACTCGCGCAAACGAACCGGAGATACCGCCGACAGGTACTTCAAGGCGACCGAGTTGATCGCCGGGGTCAAGGATATGAGGTTCCAAGCGTTGATGCCGGACGTGTTGCACTGGTTGGGAGTGCAAAAGATCGATAACATGATCTCCATGGTGAGTCGTCGTCCTCAACTCCAACCTTGAAACCTCGAAACCTCGCAATCTCGAGATCTCGAAACCTCGAAACGGCATAAACAAAAATAAGAAGGAACCGGGCTGATACCGAGATTTCATCTTCATGTTCGTCCCCGACGCTCCGCTCCCCGCCAACCGCACAGTCCGACATGAAACACGACGCCATCGTCTCCTCCGGCATCCCCATCCTCAAACGGTACGACATCCCCGCCGAACTCTTACCCCCGGATTCTCAAGTGGAGATCGACGCCAAGATCGCCGCGGGGTATTTCAGCGCTCAGAAGCAGGTCAAGATGGAGGACCTGCATTTGACCGTGGGGAGGGCTTGGGAGGATCTGGAGCATTAAGAAGAGGGCCGAGATTCTGAATCATCGCGCGCGCTTAGCGGCTTTGTTTCGGGGCATTTCGATCTCCTTTCTTTTCACGATCACCGAACACGCACGCACACGACATCATCATTCTGACGACGATATAGATGGACAATCCGGAAAGCTGCTCATACTCTGTCATCTCGTCCGATCCCGTTGTACATCACCAACCAATTCACATCACACCGCCCTTGTATCCCAAATCTCGTCCCACTTTGGGTCTCTCTTGATTGTAAATCGTCCTGTAACATGACCCATACGCTATAGATCTTGTCTTGCTGCAAACTTGGTCTGTGTACCGTGTGATCATAGCGATGAGGACTCGCAGTGACCGCATCCGTCGAGGGATGATGCGGTTGTTACCAATCGTTGCGTCACGTTCGATGACCGAGCGCAAGAGCATGACCAACGTGTTCGCGTAACCCACCGAAGACCGAGGAGAGAGGAGAGCGGAGGCATATTCGATGGTCAACATAGGGGTAACCACATGTATATATATATATACAGGGGGACCAACTCTTTCATCGGCATCGAACAATTCACTCTCAACCATCCTCACACATACACACACACACTCGAAGTCACCATACTCGCAAATCAACTCTCTCCATCAATAACCTCTTCACAATGGTAGCCTCCCCCAACCCCGACGCCACCTCGATCACCATCTTCGGAGCGACCGGTATCCAAGGCGGCAGCGTCCTCCGTCACCTGCTCCAGAGCGACAAACCTTACCGTATCCGAGCCGTCACCCGGGACCCTACCAAGGACGCCGCCAAGAAGCTCTCCGAGTTGGGGGTCGAGGTCGTCAAGGCCGAACTAGGGGACGAGAGCGAGGTCAAGAAGGCCGTCGAGGGACAGGATCTCGTCTTCGTGAGTACCCGGTTTCTGTGTGTCCGGTCTATCAGACCAAGGAGACTCAGGAGATTCTCATTACCTGGACTTTATTTCCCACCTCCCCTCTAATTCTCTTTCCCTCTATCCCGCTATACCTTCCCCTATTCTCACAATCACAATCCCCCCTTCTCCCATTCTCCGCATGGCATCACAGGCGGTGACCAACTTCTGGGAACACGGCCGATCCAAAGAACTCGCCGACGGCAAACGTCTTATGGACGCCGTCAAGTCGGCCGGTACAAAGAAAGTCTACTGGTCCGGCTTGATGCCGGTGCACAAGTTGAGCGGGGGAAAGTATACCAAGGTCGAGCATTTCGATACCAAGGTGAGTCCCGGTAGCGGTCGCCGTAGTGTGATGTAACGTATCATCGATCACCCCGGCTGACTACCACCTTACCTCACCTCCCCTCCCCTCAACTCGAACCTCACCTTTTCCTATGTTGTCCCGTGATTTTGCGTTGTCCCAGGCCGAGATTCTAGCATACGCCAAGGCCCAAAACGTTCCGATCGTCGACGTTCAGCCGGCGTGTTATATGGAGAATTTCACTGGGATGATGCTTCCTCGCAAGGTTAGTCCTGCCTCTGTGCCCCGGGCTGCGGTGTTCATCATTCGTTGTTCTTGCTAATTGAAAGGGTTCTGTTTGATAATCCTTCCCTTTGCCATCCTGTACTGCGATCATACCGTACCATACCATACAACCCTTGTCCTTCACCCTTTCGTAGCAAGAAGACGGCTCGTTCGTCTTCGCCCTCCCCGTCGACCCAGCCTCCAAGATGTCCCTCATAGACTGTGGATCGGACTACGGCGCGTACGTCAGAGGGGCTATCGAATCCGGACTGGAGGACGGGTCCGAGGTCTTGGCTTGTCGACAGGAGATTACTATGCCAGAGTTTGCGGAAGTTTGGGGTCAAGGTGAGCCGCCCCGCCGCGCTCGGATCGTCATATTCATGACCCGAAGGTCATATACTGTCTGCTATGGCGACTGGGACAACCTTGCCTGATCATTCCTGTTATCTTGTTCGTCCAACCGACACTTCTGTTTCACGCCATCCTGTCCGTCCTTCCTGCGCTTGATAGTCAACGGAGTAAAGGCAACCTACTATCTCATGCCGGCCGATCAATTCAAGGCCGTCGCAGGGGAAGAGATCACCGAGATGATGGGTTGGTTCTCTGACTTTGGCTGTGAGTTCGGAAGGAGAGAAAAATGCCCATTTTTCGTCTTGGTGGTCGTTGCAGAACCACCACCACCTTCAGCCTCGCCCCTACCGATCGCTGACTCGTCCCCGTCGACGTGTGGTCGCTCTGTTCACTTTTTCATAGACTACGGTGGCAAGGAGATCGAATCGTCACAAAAGCTTTTGCCCGACGGCGTCAAGGTGAACACCTGGAAGACGTTTGTCGAGGCGCAGGATTGGTCCAAGGTGCTCGCCTGATTCGTGACCACGTTCCTGTGAGCGTGAATGCAGAATGGTCGGATTGATTTTTGCGTTTGTATATATCGATCGAGTACTCGTCTCATGATACCTTGTTATGTACACCCATGTTTCCCGGCCGAGCGGTCACATTGGCCGACAACAAGGACCAAGCGGGGACGGAGAAGGGTTTACCGAGCGACCAGGGTTGTCGGATCTTAGGGAGGGGGCCAAAGAATATTCATAACGATGGCGAGCCTCCATGTATACTGTGAACCTCGACAATTGTGACTACAACATGCCTCCGATGCCGCCACTCCCCTCGGCAATCCATCCTGGAGCGATTCCGATGAGGTCGAAAAGATCCGGAAAAGCGACTTGCTCTTGGTAGACCGACAGAATCTGGTCGAGCTCTTCGATATCCGTCCTCTCTGGCATCGTCGCGTACAGGCGATCGCCGCGCCCATCAAGGATGCCTCCTGTATGTTGCCTGGGGCGTATTGGGGCCAAGGTGGGCCCCAGACTGGCCGATGATGGACCGGCTTGATTGCTCGTGATGATATCCCCCAATCGAGACTGCGCGGCCGTTCAACAAGATACGTTCAGCTCTATCGATCTAGCCAGTTGCTGCACTAGCGGGCTCACCAGCTCGTCAGACTCGCGTGGTCGTCCTTTCTGTAGCGCTCGCACGGCGTGCAGTTTGCTCAACAACAGTCCGTCCTCCACGGGTGTCTGTGTACCCATAGTATGCCTGTCGAGTCGAGTCAGCTTGATCGCACGGCCACGTTCGACCCGACCTTGGACTCACGTTCGACTATCAGGGGGACGTATCGGAAACGCATGTCTCGCTAGCATTCGATAGATCTCCTCGAGCTGAGTCGGAGGTGTGAGCGCGCCATCAGCCACCGCCAGCGTACTCATGCCAACCGGTCACGACTCACGAACGCTTTCGCGGCGGGAAAAACAGGCGAAAGCTTTTCCAACAGATGATGCCCTCGAACCGGACCATCAGGTCGACCAGCATGTCATCCGTCGCACACGAGCCCACTTGCACAAAGTAGAACTGCAACTGTACCCGGATGGACTCGTACGCCAAGAGCCCAAACGTGCTCGACTCTATGACGAAATCGGGAAAGACGCTCGTAGCGAGCCGCACCGGTTCATAAACCCCCGTGGCGTGCGCAAAGCATGCCCTCTGCGCTTCCTCGATCCAACCCGGTGGGGATCGCAAGAGCAAGGCCTGCGGCGCCGACTCGGAGAGCCCCGGTAACGCTACTCGGTAGAGATCCGAATGGCACTGTTCCCACCAGCAGTGAAGCATGACAAAGCCGGTCAATTGCCGGGTGGTGCTTCGTACGCGTAGGTTGTCTTCGTTGTAGACGAGTTCAGCGGGCAAGCGTTCTTTCCAGTCTCGTAGCTCTTGGCAAAGGTGTGCGAAAGGAGAGGTTTCATCCCATGGTAGCGAGGTCGACAGTGCACCTTTGGTATACCTGCGAGTGAATACGTAGAAGAGGCGGTCAACCGGTGTGCTGAAACGGGGACATCGGGCCTGTCAATCACGACAACGACAACGACTCACCTCAGAATCTCGGCCCTGTAGAAATATAGCCTGAGCTGACAGCTGAGCAGACTATCGACCTCGGATACTGGCGTCGTCGACAGCCGCCCATGTCTCGGTTCTTCTTCAGCTCGATAGCCCGTCGATCGACCGCCGACCGAGTCTTGCCAGAGGAACGGCATCCGGCTACGTTTCCCGTACACGAAATCCTGTTCGTCCGAGGGCAACCGCACCCTCATGCTCGACCTCGGCGTCGTCGTAAACTCTGGGATCCCCCCGCACGCATAGGTGTCGCTGGCGAAACAAGCCCACATGAGCCGTCTTCGGATTTCTTTTCGCGTCTCTGTCAGCTCGTCGATCCTCCAGGCACCTTCGTCGTTCAGTCCGAGTGCGTATGCCATCCTCGAGGCGATCGGCGTGAGCATCCAGCTGAGCGATAGCCTCCCCTGGGTGTTTGCATGGTATCCGAGCAACAACAATGTCGCAATGCTCGACAGTCTGATGTTTCCGATTTCGGCGAGTACGATCCGCTGAGCTTCTTCTGCCCAGCCCAGCGCTCTTGCTCTCACAGTCCCTTCAGTCCCGTACTCGTCTTCCCGCCGCCTGACGAAGCACGACGAGACGGCACATATCGCCAGTAAAAGGTGCCGGGGAGCCTTTCCTGCTCGGATAGCTTGATCGAGGGTTGCACGGTGGACGAATGCCAGGTAGGTATTGGTATGGATGTGGTTGAAGAAGGCCTCGAGTTGTCGATCTAGTTCGCCAGGTTGATTCAGGACGTCGTCGTCTCTGATGTAACCACCCGGTTCACAAAAGTAAAGATGATCAGCGGGTCATCGAGACAAAGGTTGGTAAGGCAACAGGGCTTGATGAGCATAGCTAGACGCAGCTCAAACTCACTGCAGGACCCGCCCCGAGCCTCTCGATGCACCCTCACTCGGCATCATACTGGAACCCGCGGGACCATTCATAACGCTTCGTTGTGGAGACCCTGTTCCCGTCCTGGAGGTGCCATACTGTACGGTATTGTCGGCAGGACTACCGATGTTGCCGTCGTCACCGGTACCGCTGGAAGGTCCCGTTCCATATCCACAGCGATACCCAAACGTGCCACACCGTTCACAGACCGGCTTCGTCCTCGAACACCTGACTTTGGCTTCTCGACAAGCCCGACAAGCGGTGGTCCGTGATTCTCGCCGCTGTCGATTGTCGCCCTCTGTTCTTCTTGAAGACCGGCTGCTGCCACCTAGTCGTTGTCTCGTCGAGGCCATATCGAGTGGCCATGCGCATTCGAGCGAGAGACCGCGGCATCGTTGACATTCCGGACGAGTCTCGTCGCATTTGACTCTACGTCTTCGACATGTCAGACAACCTGTAGGATTATGATCAAGGTCGATTTAGCAATCGAAAGACTTGAGAGTATAGAAAGGTCTGGAGTCGCGGCAGATAGAGGACGGAGGGAAGGGGCCGGCTCACCAGTCTTGGTTCTAGATATACGGAGCCCTTGTGTGCCGTATGCGTACATCATCAATATCTTTCCCTTGAACAGCCTTTGTGGATGTATTGATAGCGACAGCACTACTTCGATTGATCATTCGTCATGTAGGTCCGGCGATACGTGGACTTGAGCTTGATTGCCCGTCGTTCCCGTCCTCCAGCGGGTCATTCGACAGCGAAGCAACACCGGTATAGACATGTGACATTGATCTCGAAGATAAGCTCTACGGACAGCATGCCGGACTATATACAACCGATGCTTTACGAATGCTCGGAGTTGCCTAAGTACCTAAGTACACCAAGCAATAACGACCAGCAGATGACTCAAGGTCAAGAATGAAGAGGGATTTACACGTCATAAAGATAAATTTCCCATACATATAGTTTCTTGATAAGAACGTCACGTTTCATATATGAAACGGGCCGAGTCTGAGCTACAGATCGGCACGCCGCGAGCCCCAAGTCCGTCCTGATCAATGGTTGAACTTGCCACCATCTCCTTTGCCCAAACCGATGTTTTCCTGCTTGCGTCTCTCGATCTGATCCTTGGTCGACTCGAGCTCAACCTTGGGGAACCTGGGGTCTTTGCGCCAAGGAAGGTAATCGGAGGTCTCGACCATCCACTTCAGGATCGCTTCCCTGAATCGCATGGCGATCGTTTCGTAGGCCTTGTCAGCAGCGAGATTGTGGATCTCGGTCGGGTCGTTGACCCGGTCGTAAAGCTCGTGATCTTCATAGAGGCGGTAGATGTAGGTCCACTCCTTGTCCCGGCAGGCGATCTGCTCGTGAACAAAAGCAATCGAACCATTGTCAGGTGTCAGATGGCCAGGTCGAGAAAGAGGATCTACAATAACTCACTGCCCGTCCGACCAACGCCGGGTCTTCGTGTTGCAACCCAGCCTTCCGATCATACGGGAAACTCGCCCACTCGAACAGAGGTTCCTCCTTGACGAGGAATCCACCCTCCGAGAACGCATAACGTTTATGTTCCGCACGTTCTTCCTTGATGGTGGGGACCAGCGATTTACCACTATGAGGGAAGGATTCTGGCACGCCAAGCAGTTCAAAGACGGTCGGGAGGAGATCGACCATCTCGCAGACGGATTCATTGACTTGGCCTTGAGGTAGCCCAGGTCCGACTGTGATCCCAACGAGGCGAGGTCAAGTTGACGCTCGGTGTCGCTGTGGAGGAGATGCGCTCACCTATGATCAAAGGTTCTTGTACCAGCTGCTGGCTCAGACCGCTGGGCCATTTCTCGATCATCCCAAAGTCTCCCAGGTATTCACCATGATCGGTGAACCTGCGCACCAGGAATATGTGAGTCGTTGGCGCCTAGCAGCGTGCGAGAACCGAGTGACGACTCACATCATGGTATACGTCCTGTCCCACATTTTACCTTCATCGAGATCCTTGAGGGTGTCGATGATATCCCCGAATTGGGTGTCTAGCCGGGTGATCATTCCGTACTATGTCGATGCCGGTAACCTGGTCAGCTTCGTTTTGTGAAACACGCGAACCAGATCCGCTTTTCGACTCACATAGGTCGCCTTGATCTTGTCCCAATCCTCTTCGGTGGCCCGGTCCAACTTGTGCTCGTTCCTGATTGCCTGACGGTACTTGGGTTCGTGTCCGGATCGCTGTTCGAGTCTGATCCTCGGTGGTAGATCCACACCCTGATACATCCGGTAAAACTCCTCGGCCACCTGGAAGGGCGGATGAGGATAAACCAGCGGCATGAACAGGACGAACGGTTCCGGAGGGGAACTCTTCAACCATTCGATCGCCGACGAGACGACGGCGTGGTCGTAGTCGAACTCTTCGTCCGGATCTAGGATGCCTCGATAGAACGTCCTCTCGTCGATGGTGGCGTTGGCGATCTTTTCAGCTTCGCTGATGCCGGACTTCTTGCCTTGGTAGGCGGGAGGCCAATTGGGCGGGTTCTCGATCCATCCGTGCTGAAGGCACACCACCCAATACGAAATATATCAGTCGAAGAACCGATGGCGAAGAACGGTCATTCACGATTCCCAAGCACACTCACCTCGTGCACGGACATCTCGGTGACGCCTGGCGCAAAGGTGTCGCCTCGAGGACCAAGATAAGCGATATGATATCCATCTATGCCGAAAGAAGGTGTTCTAATACTCAGTTGACCCATAGCTAGAGATCGCTCGAAGCCGTCAAACTACGGACCGTTCTTGAGGGTTTTGAACATGTTCTCCTCATGTGCTTGGAGAAGGAAATCCAATGATCGATGTGCCGACGTATGGATATATTGACCGGTGAACCTACCGACATCCATCAGCAATAAGATACAGTCAGAACCGAAGCGCGAAGCATATTGAAGCCGTAGGCTTACATCGAGCATCTAGACTGTGTACAAACGCTCGCTTGGGTAAAGCAGTCTGTTACGGCGGAACATCCAATGAGCATTGTTTCTTCCATACGCAACATGCACAGAGGAAAGTCAATGAGCTCACTGGTGAACCGAGTGCCTTCCCTGGCGAATTGGTCCATTCTCGGCGTCTTGATGACGGGATTACCCGTGTGTCCCAGTGAGTCGAACCTTAGTTGGTCGGGCATGAACAAGACCCTACGCGCGAGTCGATGATCAGCATGATCAGACAAGCAAGACGTGCGCTACCCGCCCGGTCACTTACAAATTGGGTCGCGGCCCTTGGGGACTGGCATCTCCGGAAGCATCTGATTCGACTTTTGCTATCATGATCTGCTGACTTGTAATGATTGTACGATACCTTCACCTGACCTGGCCCGGTCAATTGGGAATTCGATAGCAGCAGCCTTGTATATATATACGCCACAGACGATCATGGGTGATCACGAATACATCTCGATCATTCCAGGGAACGTCCACGCGATCGCTCCCCTCGGACCGATCGGGCGCGAGGTAGCGATCGCTCCGTGGAACGATAGGGAATGGGCAAGGCATGGTGTGGCGTGCTCTCATTACGTGCTTGTTCTTTGCCCAACTCGCCCGCTGCCGATACATCACCGAACAGTCATATAAGGAACCGCGTTCCAATCCTTTCGTCCCGCTCAATCTTTCGAGTTTCATCAAGTAGTGATAGAGTCGCGCGCGCTTATCACTTATCTCGATCACAACATTCGACAATGGTGTCGTTTTCGTACTCGTATTTGCGGAACAATACGCCGCTCAGATATTACTCCGGTCGACTGTTAATAGCGAGCTTGTTGCTTACGCTCAGCTCAGGCAACTATGCTTTCGACAATCAAGCTTTCGGGCAGGTGAGTAATGCTCATTCGATCTCACTCGAGGCGATCCTTATCGCATACAGTAAGCAGTCATCCTGATGCAGCAACCTTACCTTCACAGACACAAGCCATGGTACCCTTCCTGAGGCGGTTCGGCGAGCTCGGAGCCAACGGCAAATACGCCCTACCTGCAGACTTCCTATCTTATTCGAATGCTTTCCCTTTTACCGTACAATTTTGTGGTGGGTCCGCCATCGTCATAAAATCAGAGAACTCCATGTTGACGCTGATATAAGTTCGACCCGGTTTACAGGGATCATCTTCGGTAGTTTCATCTCGGAAAGGTATGGTCGCCGAATGACCATCTTCGTCATGTCAATCTGGGCGCTATGCTGCGTTCCTATCATCCTCACTTCTCAAGGAAGGAGCCAGTTCTTGGCTGCCAGGTGTTTGAACTCTCTTTACATCGTGAGTGTCTACTCGCATCTTCCCCTCGAAACCGCGGGAATGAGTTTGACTATTGACAACGTCCTACATGCTTTCGATTCGCAGGGCATGGAGATGTCGACTATTCCCGTGTTCCAGGGAGAACTCGGTGAGTGCACTGTTCGGACGGATCTTCATCCGATGTTACGTCGAAGATCATCTAACAGCGCTCACATTTCACAGTCCCCGGCCCTGTCAGAGGTCTAGCTGTGGCTAGTTACCAGATGTCTTTTTCGGTCGGGGGTTTCATCATCTCGGGCATCTGCAACCGGACGTCGAGGATCAATAATGATTGGGCATGGAGAATTCCCTTCTTGTGTTTTATCGTCGGTTAGTCTCTCGTTCGACGGGTTCGATAGCTACTTACAAAGCTGATTGCGTGTTTCTGCCTTGAATTTTGTTCCGTGTAGTCCCGAGCGTCGTCGCCTCTCTGATCTGGTTCCAACCAGAATCCCCTCGATGGTTGCTCAGCAAAGGACGAACGGAAGAAGCTCGCGTGTCTCTGAGGAGATTGCGTAGAGGCAATGACGAGGAGGTAGAAGTCGAATTGCAAACCATCATAGAAGCTCTCGAAAAAGAACGAGCCGCACAACGTGGAGCCAATGCCACGTACTGGGACATCTTCAAGGGGACCAATGCGAAGAGGACCATGATTTCCGTCCTGACCGGTTTCTTCCAGCAAGCTACGGGACAGGTTTTCTCTAGTCTCTACGGGCCTTTCATCGTCTCGCAACTCGGCGCCATGCCCACTTTCACCTTCACATTGGTGAACACCGCTTTAGGCTTTGTAGCTCAACTCTTCGTGAGTTGTCTTGATCGGTCTTCACTCAGGTAACAGCTCACCAAAGCCGGTGCCGCTCAAATGATCCCGATAGACCTTGCTCTTCAACGATAAGATCGGAAGGCGAACGATCATGCTTGTTGGTGTCACTATTCAAGGAATCTCCATGTTCATCATCGCGGCCACCGGAAGTCTGAGCAGTCAGTATTGATAGTCTGCAAGTTTTCATGCGGGACCTAGCATAGAGCACTGATAAGTTATACCGGTGACCATATCTCATTCTGCTGTTCTTTACCTATATACCAACAGGCCAAACCGCTGCGATCAAATCCACGACCTTGACGTTCATTATTATCTATGGTATCGGGTTCAGCGGAGGCTGGGCGCCGCTATCTTACGTCGTCATGGGCGAAGTTCCACAACAGACTTTGAGACAAATGACCACCAGGACGGCTTTCGGGGTCACTCAAATCACTCAGTCAGTCGCTATAGTAGTTCTAAGTACAAGCTAAAGCTGACACCCCTCTTCTGCGCCTGTATTCACAGATTTGCCACCTTTCTCGTTGCCTTATTTACTTTACGCTCCATATGCAAACCTGGGAATGAAGGTCGGCTTTATCTTCGCGCCATTCTGCGTTCTGGCCCTGGTCTGGGGATACTTATTCATCCCTGAATGTAAAGGCTTGAAGTGAGTCGCCAATTTGCCACTCGCTCTATCTCCAAGGATTTTACTGATCTCTGATCTGGCGCACTTCGTTCAACAACAGCCTGGAGCAGATCGATGAAATGTTCGAACAGGGCGTTACAGCCAGAAAATCGGCGAAATGGAGCGCTCAGAAACGACTCGAACAGGCCAACACATCTTCCGGCTACGACGAAACCCTCGAAGCGGGTTCGATCCCGATGGGTACAAAGTCGGCCGATGAAGACATCAACATGGACACAAAGGAGTCAGGCGTTCTACATCTTGAGAACAGGGATGCCAAATGAATGATGACTAGGATTGGCGCTACCGGACCGTCGAGTCGGATGATTGCGTAAAGGGTCATGATGTATCGATCATTGAGACAGGAGTCAAGCTCGTGATTGAGAATTGAAATTGATGGCGGAAATGTTTGTATGATCGAGCTGTGATTGTGTCGCAATTCTTCGTCATTTTATCAATGAGGCAATCGCAATGAGATGGTCATAATTGAGGGCGAGTCTGTTACAAGCGCCGTGTTGCCGTTTGCGGCCTGAGCTGAGTGCCGTGATCACGGGTCCGAGGGCATCGAAGCAAGGTCGCTCCGCGGAGCGGGGGTGAGAGTCTGGGATATAAGGTCCACTCGGTACCAACAATTCAAGAACACACAGGCTGTTTCGTACATAATGCAGAGACGATGCTACTCCCCGCCTTCAGGGAGATTACGAGGCTACTCCGACACAATCCTCCTGTACAACGGTTGAAAATATGCTCAACCAAAACGATTTCATAGATATAGAAAAGCTGGTAAGCGATATGATTGTGCATACGACTTGTATATTGTGATTCGTCTGCTAACAGCGCAATCGACGCTATCGTAGGGCGCATCCGTTCGTATCTGGTAAGCTGTATTCGACCAAGCTTTGACGAACATCTTCTGATTCTATGGACTGAAAACCTTCCGAGCGTCCAGTCGCATCGGGGCTACGGTCGTCAGCTGGAAAGCCTCTTCAAAAGACTGTGAGACTCGCAATCAAGAGAGGTTGTTCGTATCTCAAAGTCAGTGAGCTCCAAGGCAACGCCACACTTAATCTGCCGCCATGATAGAGCACGATGTTCAAATCACTGAGCCAGAGTGTCTTTTTCGCCGAATCGTAGACGCATGCTTCGACGGATCCCGAGCTGTAAGCTGACGGAGCGAAGCGTGCTTTTTCTCTTCCGATGCTAAACTCCATCGATCGCACTCGACCTCGCGCAACCCCTTGAAGATTCGTGGTGGCAGTCCGATATCGTTTCCGATTCAGGCCAAGTTCCGACATCCGGATCATGCAAACTTGGTGCGCCATATGACCTCTACGATTCCATTACGTGTCAGGCCAATCACGTGTTTAACTCCCTAAATTCCTGATGTTTCTCATGATTCGATAGCCCTTCCATGGATTCGGTAAGCGGATGAGCGCAGCAGCCGATTACCTATGATACATTTCACGAGATAGGCTCATGTGAACCTTGCCTCACCGATTGCTGATACTGTAGCCAACGTCTCGCGATGGGACGTCGTCGACTTTCCAGTAGAGGACGAGCAGAGCATAGCTATCCGCCTAAGTGAGTATACGGAAGCGGACGAACGTCTTGGGCTGTTGATCAAAGAGTGACAAGACCGTCATCTAGCTTTATCTTCCAGCCCGAGAATTTGTTCCGTTTTCCCTTGCCCATTTAGGCTTGTTCTCACTGTCCGCCTCACAAGACATACGTTGTCATCAACTTTGTCGGTCGAAAATCCTACAAGCGCGTTGAGGGCTTTCCAGTTCAATGCCCTGTTTCACAACTGTATGTAGACTTGTCCTAGCTCTACTCGTACTGGCATTACCTGGATACGTCGTTGACAGACAATTGCGCTCGCTCCAACAATCACAGATTTCTGGGTTCCTAGCCTTGCAAACGCCAATGTCGTTTCTCTCGAGGGTCTACACTACCAGAATGGCCCGGAACTCGATGCCAACGATTTTGTGCAGACAGACAGCGCTGTGCATGTTAAATCTGGCTTGGCCTCGAGGTATAGCATACCGGCAGCTTATACAGACGACACGTTCACATGCACGTTGCGCTATGGTGATACTCTGGAACAAGGCGGTATTCGTTTGACATGCAAGGGCTTCCGGAATATCGTGTAGGTCCAAGTTGCGTTCCATTGACTCTTGAGCGTTTGATGATATCTAAAGATCTTGATGCCACGGTTTCTCTAGCCATTGGAATCCCACAGATCAAGGGGCATCGGCCTTTGGCGTTCTGCAAGACGATGAGTGGTGAGTCCGCGAGTTTAACCTCCGGATATTGTGACCTAGTATTGAACGCGACTCGGCATCGTAAAGGAACAACTTTATTTGCCTCGAGCCTGGAACGGTGACTAGCTTTATCAAACTTGCTCCGGGCAACACGTTTGAGGCTGAGCAGATTCTCGAGGCATTGTGAACGTAGCTCAGGGCCTGTGATGAATGACTTGGTTCGAAGGAAACAAGTCTTCCATATGTCCTGACCCGCCTTTGTATCCTCTCATTCTCTCGACGGGATGCTGGAGACGTATTGATTTCTATGCCTCGTTCGTTGTACAATCCCGTTATTCATCTGCACTAGCTTGGGACTTTGCCACAGCGATAATCGCGGTCATACAAAGCTTCACAAGTATGGCTGTGGCAATGGCCCAACCCTTCCCTGCATGCCGATGCAAAGCGGCTCCTAAAAATGAACCGCTTATGATCGAGAACACATAGATCGTCCTCCGGTTCCGCGCCGAAGCTCTCGGGTCACTCCAACGTCGAAACAGATGTGGATCCGTTATGTAATCGACTAGAGGAGATGATAACATGGCAGTCGGTATCTCGGGACATCCTACATGTCGTGCCTATGTACCGGTGCTCACAATCATCTCTTCAGCTACGGTAATCGATGCAGGAGGTTTGACCGGGAGGTACTTACCATTGCGACCTGAACACCGGCGGAACATGCGAAGCACATCATCATGACCCATTGATGAGGACCGATCATGAAGTCTCGTAACCAAAAGCTCGGGATCAGACAGCCTAAAAGGATGATGTTCTGGAGACAGTTGGATAGCAGTAACCACCAGCGGGTCCGATGGCCTGGGTAGTCAGAATCATTGATCTTTGCGTTGGCAACGTATTCCGTGTTCCAGTTTCACCCCAAGCGTGAACCCACCGACCCTATGTCCGATATTGCCTGCTATAAAGGCGGACACCACAAAGCTTGCCAAAGAGACTCCGGTTAACTGAAGCGTCACTGGGATCGTGTTGAATGCCGCCAGTGTGACCAATATCGTATTCCTGTGATCAGAAAAGCAGCACGTCATTCGCTTAGTTCAAGTCGTAAGTGAAGGGTAGACGAAAGAGGGATATTTGCTAACCCAGTCTGATTACTTGCGAAAGTCCCAAAGTCCGCATATGTCGTTGCGTCCAATACTCTGTCAGATTAGATCATACCGAAATTTGTTCAGCCTTCTTATCTATATGTACGCGAAACCTAGCCACGGCGATTACCCTGTGGCAAACGACTGCAGATAGAGAGGGTACTGCATTGAGGCGGGCGCCAGTACGGCGGAAAGGTAAGAACTGATACCGATATTGCCATCGCATATCATGTGCTCTGATCGCCCGTCTTTCTCCGAATCGATCCCTGTCATCGGAAGATGACAAGTTCCGGCTTCGCCACGGGAGAGCTCAGTTGAGAGCCTGTACACGTCGAGTTGGCGTTAGCTGCCCGATCGAACAGTTAATCTTTCACCACCCTCACCCGGCATCTCCCAGCTTGTCGATCTTCGTTGCCATAGCGAGGTTGCGAATTTCTGTGCCGTCGATCAGTCCACTGCCGATCGATGTTTCGATGATATATGGTAGGGTGGTTTGGGTGAGGGGAGCGTGAGGCGCGGCTTCAAGTTAAAGATGCGTATCCCTGTGACCTTCTTCGCTGACCTTTTCGGTTCGAATCGATTCATCTCGAATCCGATCTATCCACACCATATCGTCGTCGAGCAGCGGTTGGACTACTATCGAGCATCAAGAGCTATTCCGATAACGCCTCGAGTGGAGACACAGAGTCGCTCCGATACCCCGCGGAACGATAGGCGAGAAGCGAGAGGCGACATTCCGAAACAATTGGCCTTCGCGCCGCGACGGGCGCATCACCTGATCGATTATCGAGATGCAAAGATTCGGAATGCGGAGCTTTCTATTCAGTGCCGACGAGACGGTCATGCGCTCACTGCTACTCCGAGCATATAACCTGGCTCACCTTGGTAAGCGATATGAAGCACTTCGCTGCTGGTGGCCGACTTGTGGGCAGGTCCTGAGCGAAAGGAGCGCGAGGTGCCAATGCGCGCGTACCGCAAGAAATCGGTCGACAACCGAGATCATACACATGCAGCAGCCTGACCCTACGTTACCCGGCAGACGTCAATGATCCATCGATGGTCACGCATTGCAAAAGTACAATCGGCCCTCAAACGGCTCTAGTACATCCTCATCGGACCCCTCATGAGTCGACATCGTCAACTCTGGATTGCCCTTCATCCTTGCTCGTGGCATTTTGAATTCCAGACGCCGTGGTGTAAAGTTGAGTACGACTAGTGCCTGCTCGCCTGTCTCCTCTTCTGTGTCCTTGATCCAGATCATAGTTTCGTCGTCGTGCTCATCGAGCATGGTGAACCTGCCATAGGAGAACAAATCGGGATGTCGCTTGCGAATAGCGACGAGTTGTTTATAGAAGGAGAGTACGCTCGCCGGGTCGTTCAACTGAGTCTCGACGTTAATCGATGTGTAACACGGGTTCATCTTTTGCCAAGGCGAAGCTTTCGCACCCGTGAATCCACCATTAGCTCCACCCGTCCACTGCATGGGCATCCGAGCGTGATCCCGAGCGTTCAGCTGCAGGCCCTCTCGAGCTCTTTGTATTGTGGCTGGATCGTCCTTGTACGTCTGATTGATCCAAGCCCACCAGTTGATGCTCTCCGTGTCCATATAGTCTTCGATCGGATAAGTCAAGGGCGCATTGATGATCCCGAGCTCCTCGCCTTGGTAGATGAATGGCGTGCCCGACTGTGTCAAGAGGTAGAGAGCCAACAGTTTGCCGGATGCGACTCGATGTTCCGGGGCATCCGAAGCGTATCGGGTGACACTCCGTCCGCGATCGTGCTGCAGCGTTCCAAATCAGGGATCCAGTCTCTCGATCAGTAAGACTTCTTCGCTAGGCACTAGTAAGTGATGCGGCCTCGACACCCACATTCTCGAGATAATTGGTATTCCAACAATCCCCTCCATCCATGACTCGCTGATACTCTACGACGTGCTGTTTCCATTCGGGCAGCGACCACGGTCTTGCGAAATGTGCGTGGTCCCGACCGGCGTCAAGGAGGGCGATCTAGAGATATAGAGAGCAGGGAATAGGCGTTAGTGACGAACATCATAGCGACGGTAGTAACATATCAGCTTGCAGTGGGAGTACTCACGTCGAATAGGAATAGCATAGACAAACGGTTCTCTGCGTCGACGAAAAGGCGATCAGCATAAGATCAGCAGTCCCACGAAAAGCATCATCGCAACCCCCGCTCACCTCGCGCCGAAACCAAAGACCTCAACCGTTCTCCTCCTCCTGGTACGGCCGCTTCTCCGATGGTGACGATATCCCCATACCCGCTCATACTCTCGCTAACCATCTCCGAGACAAACTCTAGCAACCTGGGTCCGAAGCCTACCAGGTCGTCCGGTCGCTGCCATTCTACCGATGGGTTGGTCACGGGTGCGTCAGGAAAGTCGAGATGTTTCGAGTACAACCTGTCAAATACCGGAAGACGAGTCAGGTCCAAGGACGTGGAAGGAGTGGGTTGATGTCGATCCTTGGGGCTTACACGACGGTATCGATCCTGAACCCGTCGATACCCCGGTCGAGCCAGAACCGAATCGCTTCGTCGTAGATCGCCTGCCGACATTCCTTGTTTTCCCAGTTCTATGTGGGGATCGTCGAGGCAAGAAGAGCAAAAAAAAACACGGTATGTCAGCCGGGAGAGATTTACATCATAAAGCCCACTAGCTTGATCCGTTAGATGGTATCGAAGCACTCACGAAGTCCGCCTGTGTCTTGTCAAACAGATGAAGGTAATACTCTTGCGTACCCTCGTCCCATTCCCATACGCTTCCTCCGAACGCTGCGGCCCAGTTATTCGGCGGGATCGGCCGTCCTTGTTCGTCAAAGCCTTTAGGAGGTCTCCAGATGAAATAGTCTCGTTTCGGATTGTTTACAGACGATCGAGCTTCTTGGAACCATGCGTGGTCGGTGGAACAGCTGTGGAGTTGAGGGAGGAGAAGGTTGGGTCGGTCGGTTTGTCGACGGGAACATACACGATACAGCCGAGCTGTTTTTCTTTTCTGGTTCGGCCGGCTTACTGGTTGATAACGAGGTCAAAGACGATCTTCATCCCCCTCGCATGTGTCTCTTTGATCAACCGGTCGCAGTCCTCCAACGTGCCGTATTTGGAGTTGACGTTCTGGTAATTGGAGATGTCGTATCCCTGATCAAGAGTCCAGCAGGCGAACGTGGTCAGCCTCCGTGAAGGGTTATCACAGCAGGATCTAGTAGAGGCAGATTTATCATTACCATATCTCTCTCCGGGCTCTCATAGTGAGGAGATACCCAGATCGCATCGACGCCGAGATCATGTTGAAGATAATCAAGGGACGAGATGATGCCCTCAAAGTTCCCGATGCCCTGGTAAGCGTAAGAATCGGGAGATACCCCTTTCGGAGGAGTCTCTCGGAAAGATGCCGGATAGATCTGATAAAAGACTGCTTCTCTGTGGTTGTTTCGAAGGGATTCAAGATTTACACGGGCCACAGGTCAGCTCGACCACGCGAAATAGGGGTAAGATGTGTACACGCTCCGACTTGCTTCCACCACTTGCGTTCGTGTTTGGGGACTGGCTCGTCGCTAGACATCTTGGATCATATAATACGGTGATCACTGATTCCTCATGCAGGTCGATGCGTTTGACCCTGGCTCGGAATCTGCTTCGGCGTTGATCGTTATTATACCACGAACACATACAACTCACGTGCACCTATCTCAGTTGACAATGTCGATTCGCCATCGATCTCCCGAAGACTGTCCGGATCATTCGTCGCCCTTGACGGCCTTGCGTATCGTGCCAGCTCATAATCAACATCGTGGATCCTTGGAACTTGGTCTATGTTTCATTGTTGTTGCTCGAATACCTATATTAACCCTCTACATCTATCTAAAATCACAAGACAGCCCCACTTAAAACTGGGAAGCGGGAGGCTTGCCAGTCAAGTCCCGCCCGATCCCTCTAAAGACACCTCCGAGCGCAGACCGTGACTCCCACAACGGGTAGAGGATGATGGCGATTCCAGCGGCGAACGACCAGGCCAGGGTGATCACGATCCAGCCTACGAATCCCTTTTCCGACCAGATGTAGCTCGAGCCGAATAATGGCATGGGCACGATGATCAGGAGGATCAGGCTGAGGATGACGGAGGACCAGGTGGCCAGCCTGAGCGCCTTGTTCAGGCCGACGTAGTCCAGCTCGGGAATGTCACCCGATGAAGAAGAAGCTTCTTGAGGGCCGCCCTCGTTGTCGTCGTTGTCACCGACGGCTTGAATTCGGGTCGAAGAGGTCGGCGCCTTCTCGTCGATATCCTTGTCGTCCCCTCCAGCGTATTCGAGCGGGGTCTGAGGTTGATCCTCGACTGGCGCAGCGATAGGCGCAAAGTTCATGGCACGAGTGATATCAAAGTCAAAGTTATCGGGGGAGATCAAGGACCAGACGATGCTGACGACGGCGCCGGTGACCAGAGCGCCAATGTTCCCAGCCAACAAAGGATAGTCTTGGCCCGTCGTGGTAATGTTGATGACCCCATCGTTCAGCTTGGCCGTGGTGACCAGCCAAGCGATCAGCCCGACTGCCAGTCCACCGACGGCCCCCACACAGCAACCCCACTTGTTGGCCTTTTTCCACGAGGTGGCGATGGCCACTGGTACGACGCCCGATCCGATGAGGGTCCCCATCAAGGTGTAGAGCCAACCCATGCTGATTCCAATATAGAAGAAGATCAACCCGAGCAAGCCCATGACGACCGAAGTGATTACGACGGTGAGGTGAGAACATCGCATGAGTTGCTTTTCGGTGGCGCGGCCCTTAAGAGCGTACTGCAGAGACGACCAAGTCGGTCAATGAGAATGAGAAACAACAATCATGTCGCACTCACTCGTTGATAGATATCGTGTGTGACCAACGACGAGACCGCCACCAGCTCTGCCGAAGTCGCCGACGTCACCGCCAGGAAGAGTAACAACAACATGGCCACCGCACCTCCCTTGCCCAAGAGCGCCGCTGCAGCTTGAGGCGCTGGTAACCCAGCAGAGATCTGAGCTGGGGTCAGGTCGAGTCCGAGCGCTCGTGCAGAGAGACCGAGGGTGGTAGCCAAGGTCAAGGGGATCGATAACCAGGCCATGCCTCCGATAAGGTAGCCTTTGACGGCGGTCTCGGGTTTCGAAGCGACGGCTCGTTACCAGTAAGCTTGATCGAGAAAGACGGTCCTGAATAATAGGGAGAAACAAGTCAGTAGGAGGATTAATCAACGGCGACCGGGACGTCAGTTACTCACCCGCAGTTCCCCACCAAGTTGAGCACTCCAAAGATCAACGCGCTCTCGCTCCTGAACGTCAGGTACGACCCGTCCTTGTTGTGCTCGACCGGGTTCTTGACAGCGGCAGCGGTGAGCAACTCGTACATCTTGTGTGGCGATCCGATCTGATCCGAAGTGACGTAGACGGTCAGGGTGAAGAGCCAGATGAGGATAAACAGCGCGGCGGTGTGTGACCAGTCGGCAAAGAGGGTGGCTCGCATTCCGCCGACGACGACGTAAAAGGAGACGAGGATGGGGATGAGAAAGACGGCGGCTTGGGTAGGCATGCCGGTGAGGTCGTTGACAGTGGCGGACTGCGAAAGCGACACGAATCTAGCCATCAGCCACAGACCTTGATGAGACCAGCGCAGGGCGAGACTCACCCCGCCCAGAACCAACATGGTCGAGACGATCACATTCGCCAAGAATCCAAAGAAGAGGAACACCAAATGCGCCCCGGTGCCCCATCGAGCGCCGATGATCTCCAAGAACGTATGCGCGTTGGGAGCCTTCATCTTCAAGTTGGAAGCCAGGATGGCGAACAGGAGAATCTGGACGGTGGCCCCAGCTGCGTAGGCATAAGGTCCTGCGATTCCGAACCGGAAACCGACGGCCGAGCCTACAAGGAAAACGATGCACAATTAAAGAAGCGTAAACATCCGCTCTTCCTCTAGTGGTGACGAAAAAGGATATTGTGGACTCACTCTGCAGCAACGTCGCAGCCCATGTCCATGCCGAAACGATTCCCACGGCGATAAGACCCGGCTTGATGCTCTTTTCCGCTGACAAGAACTCTTCCGTCTTGTTCGGGTCGAAGGAGGTGTATCGTTTCTGGATATAGGTGATCAAGACCTGCCGGAAAATCATGCCAAGGGTCAAGTCAAATCAGCGCTTTCTGTTCGAGACAGTCGTACTTTAACGATGGAGAGACTCACCATGATCAGGCTGAAAGCCAGACCTAGGCCGATGACGATCCCATATCCGACGCCTTGAGACAGGACATGATGCGCTTGAGTATCCGACATGGTGCGCGTGTACGGTAACGCAGACGTCGATACTTGAATGAATCGTCGATGCTGCCCTGATAAAGCTGAAGTGAAGAAGTTGGAATCAGAGTCCTTTGACGGGTCGAATTTGATTCTTTGAAGTGAGCTTACAAGCAATCTGATTGTTCTTATACCTCGCTGCTTGACGTTCGGCGAGATATGAACGCTATCTGATGTCTGTCAAGCGGACCCTTCGAACGGGATGACGATCCATCCGACCCGTCCCTTTCCGCCATGAACCAATAATGTATAACCCTGATTTGATCCTCTTCCATCGTCTGTGCGCTAACTCGAGGACTTTGAACGAGGGTTCCGGATATACCTGCCTGTTGTTCGTACAGCAATCCGTGAAATCGGAATCGGATCTGGTCTTGCGTTATCAGCACTCTGCTGTCGAGATTGTCATGTCCTTATCGCGCGCCTATCTTCTTGGTTTCAAGGCACGCGGTCCACTTGTTCTCAACGCCGATCCACCCGAAAATGGTTTCCTCCGAGAAATATGACTGGGCTATTCGGGTGATTCTAGGGGTTGAGGTTCGTAACGATAGCATACTAGACGAGCGAGGCTAGCGTGTTGGACCTTGAGGACAAGGTCGAGCTGAATTTGGATGCGATACTGTAATGTTCCGGTTCTGCGCCTTATCTCGATATGAACATCGGTCTCGGCCGTCGGATCTATCGACTTCTATCCCGTATTCTATACGGCCGTTGGTCGTTTGCAGGATTATCGACTGTCTCCTATGATAGCGTTCCAGAGGGAACAGGCCAGAGGCCATAGGGGATTGACCATCTCGACAACACAGGCCATATAGTGCTTGAGCGTATTAGGGCAACAGCATCCGGAACCCCCTATTGGCAGCAGAATCGCTTTTCGCAACTTGTAACCGCAGCTCTCCGTCCATCACCGCATCGACTTTATGCGATCAACAATAATGTCGAAAGAAATCCCTACGATCGTCAAGGTAGACCCCAAGAAAGGAGCGATCGGCCAGCAGGGTTTACAGTGAGTCGGCTCGGTTCTCCTATAATCAAGCCGTTCGGCCAGGCGTTATCCTCCCAGCGGTGTCCTTGTTCGTCGGATGGTCGCTTCCCTGTCACACGAACGATGAAGTTGGGAAATGAGAGACACGCAGTTAGCGAGCAAATCGGCAAGTCAATCCACCTGCCTACCTTGATCGATCAAACAATCATCCAGCACTATCAGAGCTCAGATTCTCCGCGAGCGGTAGATCATCACTGAACCCTTGGACCCAGACGACCCCTATCTCATTGCGATTGTCCTGCTATACTTTCGCTTCTTGCTGAATCCCGTGATGGCCTGCGGCTTTCCCTTGATACCTCCGTAGCAACCGATGGCACCCTCTCGTCCCCGCATTCGCGACCGTCGAACCGGGCCAGGTCTTCCGGATGGAATGCGCCGAATGGACAGGCGGACAGGTCAGTTGTGGTCTCACCTTCTGACAAAGAGACGGTTCTTGGTCTGGATATGATTGTCTGACTCTGTTTGATATCCTTGATGCGATACCTAACTCATGTAGGTACTGAACACGGACAATGCCGATGATATCAAGAACCTCGACCTCTCCCAGATCCACTACCTCTCGGGACCCATCGCTGTCAAGGGAGCGAAACCCGGTGATGCGCTCGTAGTCGATATCCTGTACGTCCGATCGACCTTTGCCTCAATCACGGACGTTGAAGAGATACTTACTAGCTTCTCGATGGACTGATTCCGTATGATAGCGATGTGACACCATTTCCGGACCATTCGTGGGGATACAGCGGGATCTTCGAAAAGGTAAGCTCAACCAGCCACTGTTCTCGCCCGGAGTCGCACTACCTTGAAGGAAAAGGCTGACCGGTATCTCGCTTTTCAATTGGATAGGACAATGGAGCAGGACTGTTCGCACAGGAGATGGATTCGAAGGCTGCCAAGGCGATTTGGGACTTTGAAGGGATCTACGCGACCAGCCGACACAGTGAGCCCGGGGATTGTGCTGGAATGATGGTGAATAGTGGGTGTCGCTGACTGTCTTTTCTCTGATCGCACGGCTATAGTCCCCGGTGTCAGGTTTGCAGGAGTGTCGCATCCTGGTCTGATGTGAGTTGGCCGACGCGGCCCGCAGATAACATACATATATACATACAGATCGGTCTGACCACTAGAACGGTTCGCTCATCTTCCTCAGCGGAACAGCCCCCTCGCAAGAACTCCTCGACACCTGGAACAAACGCGAAGCCGCCCTAGAATCTACCAACCTCGACAAATGCTGCCCTAAAGCCCACCTCCCGCTCGCCAAGGGTACCTACGTCGGTTCCTCCTCCGACCTCTCCTCTGAGATGTACGACAAGATCGCCGCCGAAGGGGCCCGTACGATCCCGCCCAGAGAACACGGTGGGAACTGTGATATCAAGAACCTCTCTAGGGGTAGTCGGTGTTACTTTCCCGTCTATGTGGACGAGGCCAAGTTGTCCCTCGGCGATCTGCACTTCAGTCAGGGGGACGGCGAGTTGACTTTTTGCGGAGCGATCGAGATGGTGCGTCCGCCATCTCAGAGAGCGCAGTGTGGGGGCGTGTGGGGCAAAAGCTGATCGACTTCAACGTTGATATTCTACGTAAAGGCCGGGATCATCACCCTCAAATGCGACATTATCAAGGGCGGAGTCGAAAAGTTTGCCTTGAAGCAACCGATCTTTGTACCGGGACCCGTGAGTCGCTAATAAAACAAAACAAAAACGAACGAACGAACGAGGCGCCTGTACTGATCGGATAGGCTTGTACAGATGGACCCGATGTATTCCCAGAAACTGGTCTTCGAGGGCATTTCGGTCGACGTGAACGGCGATGGATCTCAGCATCACCTAGATGCCACTGTCGGTAAGTCAAAGCGGGGTCGAATGCACTTGTCAGAATTTGGTGTTAATCGCCCGTTCTCCTCAGCTTTCAAGCAGGCGACGTACAGGACACTTGACTACCTCATGCTGCTAGGGTATACTCGAGAACAGGCGCTCTTGTTCCTGACCGCTGCACCGATCGATTGCGTGAGTCACCAAGGCTCGTACATAAGTATAGATAAACTAATCCAACAATCACTCTGCCAGCACGTCGCCTCCCTAGTCGACACTCCGAACGCCTGCGTGACAATGGCCATCCCGGTGGCCATCTTTGACCGAGACATCATGCCTAACCCCGAGGGTCTCGAGAAGCGGGACTACGGGCAATGTGCCATTCGTTCGGATGGTGAGTTCGTCTCGGTGAGGGAGAGCCAGAAATTGAGGAGCTGAATGAGGCTTGCTCTGCCGACAGGGGTCATCTAAGGGAACCTACAATTGAAACTGATCCAAAAGAGGGTTTCGGATATGTACGTATATCATTATACATCTGCCTGTCTATATGCCTGTATACAATCGGGGCTCGCCTCTATACAATCGTCTATAACACGGCCACCCCTTCCCTGACGACGACCTCTGGTAATCCCCGCCGCCGAGCGGTATAGAGCAGTGACCCCCCACAGACGACGATCGACCCGACGATCCAGCCAAAGATGGCCCAATACCCCGTCTGAAAATCTTGCCACGGCCGCCCGACCGCATGCCCTCCTCGATCCGGTAGACAAGCCGCCTGGATGGCCAGCCCGACCGCATTACCGAGCTGCATGACCACCGACATGAGTGCCCCGGCGACTCCTCCCTTGACTGGCGGGACCGAGGTGATGACAGTCACGTTGATGGCGAGAAAGGCGTATTGGCACATGCTCGATCCGATGACGAAAGCAGGGACGTAGTACGACCAGTACCGGTTGCCATCACCCCCGCCGCCGAACACGTAAAGGATGAGGGCGACCGGGACCAGGCTCAGGGTGGCGAATATTAACCATCGCTTGGCGACCAAGAGCTTTGGTTTGAGTTGAATGACGATCGAGGTGAAGAGCGCTGCGAGTCCGATGGGCAAGAGGCGGATGGCCGAGTTGAGCGCTGTGCGCCCGAGCGTCTGTTGCCAATAGTTGGGGAAACCGAACGCTGTCGTCGTCCAGAACGTGAACGGGGCAAGGCTATCGGGTGCAGGAAAGTCCATCAGCACGATCAGATTACATCCTGTTCGTTCAAGCCACCTACCACAAGAAAACCAACGCCTTGGTTCCCGGCGTCTTCCAGATCGACGACGGCAACATGGCGTTCGTATCGTTCCTCCCCTTGGCCTCCCAGACGAAGAACCCTACGAACCCCAAGATCGAGACCGGCAGAGACGCTGCGAACCTCGGATCGTTCCACCCATACTCTGGGCCCGAGGTCAAGGCGAGGACGAGCAGGATAATCGCTCCGACCGAGAGCAAGAGCCCGACGGGGTCCATACGCCAGAGGATCTCCCTGACCGACAGACCGCTGACGGTACGATTACGTGGGACGACGAGCAGGGCGGCACCGGTCGCGACAAAGGAGATGATGGAGAGCGTTCGGAAGAGCCAGCGCCAGGAGACCGTCTCGAACAGCCCGCCTGTCGAAGGTTCTCGTCGCGCAAGTCAGAACGTCGTCTTGTACCCTGCAACATGAGCGCCGAAAGCGACTCACCGATGACCACTCCGAGGGAAAAAGAGACGGATCCTACCAAACCCAAGATGGCGATCGCCCGGTTTCGCTGTTTACCTTCAGGAAAGGTCCGGACGGTGATGTTACTACAGGGTCGAGCGAGATGACAATCACATCGAGTAAGCTCATCGAATTGCCTACAGAGAATGAGAAGGGCCGAACGCGCTTTCGGACGACTCACTATGAACTCGGGATGGTCATCGCCGCGCCCATCCCCTGGATCGCACGAAGTATCAAAAAAGCGATCGGATCGTTCACTACAACGATCCACGTGATCCGGTCTACTTGTCAGCCTACTAGACCCCCTGGCGATCTTATCGGCGATGGTGTTGGTACTCACGAAATGACAAGACCAAGTTCAACGTAGCCACCGTACCTATGCCGATCACGAACACCCACCCTGCTGAGGAGAGGTCGGCGAGTCGGCCTGCGGAGAGTTGAAAGCTGCGTTGGCATCGGTGAAATGGAAGGGAGAATGTCAGCTTGTTCCGTCGCAATCGTCAAAGTCTCTAGTGTGCGAGTGTGGATAGAGGGGGGACTCACGCGGCAAAGGTGATGATGTACGCATTCAAACTATCCCGCAAAAAGAAAGAAAAAGCAGAGAAAGCAGACCCGAAGGGCATCTCGTCAGCCCCACCTCGCCTCCTCTCGATCTACCAACCCCCACCATCTATCCCATCACACAACCCCTTGAAAACAATCCGGACTCACATCCAAGTAGCGTCCGGCCCCGACAACCCCAAATCCCCCGCGGTATGCGTGACCACCACAAAAAGCGCCGAACCGCTTACCACGTCGATCATCATGGCCAGGTTGAGTACGAGGAGGGTTGACCATTGTCTCGTTACCGAAGGGTAGGTTGGGATCGGGTCGTGATCGGATCCCTGTACCTGTTCCTGGGTGAATATGCTACCATGATGGACGTCCTCGCCCCCGCCTTCGCGTTTGTTGACGAAACGATCATGGTTCTCAAGATCGTCACGGAATCCCTCGTGCCGATCCCCTGAGATCTTCTCCTGATCCTGGTCGTAGGCGGTAGCAGGTAAATGCGTCAGAGAGACCGACCTAGATCCGAATACCGAAGACACCTTGGAAGACGTCGGGGACGATACCGTGTCCATATTATAATATAGTATAGTTTATGTGTATGGTGTGTAGTCGCGTCCGAGCTCCGGCACAGTAGAGGAGGAAACGATCTTAAAACTAAAACCGATTAGCTAGCTACGCTATGCTATCACGATAAAGAAACGGGAATCGGCCACAGTATCATGGAGGAGCATCTGGGAGTCAGGCTCATCTCTTTGACCGTAGGATTTGATACCATATATATCATCCCCTTGTGGTTCCAGCGGCGCCATTTGAACCTGAAATTTCTACCCATAGAGCAGAGTCGAAATCAAGTCAAAAGCCAACGTTTGTTCCTCTCGCCCCCGTTTTGACGGGAGTAAGCGCGGCACCCCTCCACTTTTCCTCCCAACTTCATGTTGTAGGCGTCGTATCGCCTCGCATCGTCATTGCACCGAACGGTTCCAGCGCGGGCGCTCCAAAGGGTGGAGATTCAATGGGTTGATAAGCATCGAACTTGTTCCCAGAGTCCGACCGAGCAGATGAGCAAGCAATTGTGTTCAGTGGAGGTAGAGAGAGGAGAAGAGGACGCAGAAAGACGGATCTTGAAATCGACGCGCCCCCTTGTTTCGGATCCGAAGACCGCAAAACTCGCTTCGCTCGCGGGCAACCTTCCGCATGGCGCATGGTTTCCATTCCAAGCTCGATTGTCTACTCACGTGACCATCTGTCGGTCAGAACCGAGACCTCGGGGGAATGTTCGGGCTGACGTAAGGGCATCGTTGGTGTACGGCATGACACCCCGGTGAAACCTCGGTCAGATGTTTCACGTTGGCCTCGGGGGGTTGTCCCAAGCGAGAGAGACGGAAGGCGCGGGTGATCGCCGAGGTCACAGCCCGGTCCGGGGTTACCCTCGACGGGACGCTTGGCTCTCTCTTGTCGTATAAAGACTCACGTTGGTCCAACAACCTCGAACGATACGTCAACAAACCCCCAAGGTCTCCATACCACACCTAATCAAGTCGAGCCTCACAAACACAATGCGATTCACCGACGGGCTCTGGCTCAAACGCGCCGGCGTCGACTTCCGAGGAGGGGTCGAGGTGGCCGAGATCCTGAACAAGGACGAGAAGACTGGGATCGACTACCTCGTCGCTTGTCGGCATATCGCCAATAGGGGGGATAGTATGGACGGTGAGTCCGAAAGTTTTATCATGTCTTCATATGCAATTGGATGGGTGTTGATGTGGATCGTGCTCGTGCTCGTGTGATCTGGTATCGGCAGGACCGCTCTTGACGTTCAACGTCTCGAGCCCGGCTGATGATATCATCAAAGTCCGGGTCGACCATTTCAAGGCGAGTGCCTGAGCACCTTTTTCTGCGATAGCTTGTCGCCATCTACCATACCGATCGCCGAATCTGACTCTCCTTTGCTTCTCTCTTCCTCCCACAATCCTCTCATCCTATACTCCCGACATCACCTTGCATCTTCGCCCCGCACGATCCTAACGTCAACTACAACATCCACAATCACAGGGAGTCCACCAAAAATCCCCCAACTTTGAGCTCTTCCCCGATTCCAAGCCCCCCTCACCCAGAGTTAACATCGACTCCACCTCTTCATCCGATACCCTCTCCCTGCAATCCGGTTCTTTGAAAGCGAGCATCTGTTTGAAGGAATATTCTTATGGGATCCGGTTCACTTCGGAATCCGACGAGAAGAAAGAGAAAGGGGAGAAACCCCTCTTCCTCTGTTCCACCGAACCGAAATCCACTGCCGTCATCGACGTCCCCCCCTCATACGTCATCAACCAGATGTCGGAATCGTCTTGCTTGGAGACGGGTACCGATGCCACGTTGGGCGCCTCTTCTAACTTTGAAATCGATAAAGGGGGCAAGATCAGGTTCATGCTCAACGAACTCAGTTTGACGGTAGGAGAGACGATCTATGGATTAGGGGAGAGGTTCACGCCGTTGGTCAAGAATGGGGGGAGTCATTCGATCTGGAACCAAGGTGAGCCTCGAGCTTGGCTTTCGGATCGGTACTCCGAGTACACCTCGAAACCTCGAAACCTCGAAACCTCGAACGCCTTTTCTTATTCGTTCGACGCCATACTACAGACGGCGGCACCTCCTCCCAACAAGCCTACAAGAACATCCCCTTCTACCTCTCTTCCCGCGGGTACGGCATCTTCGTCAACCACACTGAAGAAGTAGACTTCGAGGTCGGTGCTGAAAAGTGTAGTAAAGTCGGGATCTCCGTCCGTGGAGAAGGGTTGGAGTACTACGTGATCAACGGGGGTGGGAGCTTGAAGAGGACTTTGGAGCTCTATTGTTTGTTGACGGGAAGACCTGCGTGAGTCGACCCTAAATTACCCCCGATCTGATAAATCGTCCGAGTTGGGTCGGATTCGATATTGACGTCAAGTATGGACGCCTCGCAGCCTGCCTCCTTCGTGGACGTTTGGTCTGTACATGTCCACCTCGTTCACGACCTCGTACGACGAAAAGACCGTCTCCGGTTTCCTCGAGGGGATGAAGGAGCGGGAATGTTACACCCGGGTCTTGCACTTGGATTGCTAGTGAGTTTGAGTGCGATCTCGAGCATGCTCGCAGCCTCTAGATTGCGGACCGCCTTCGTCGACATGCCACCGAGCACTAATGACGTGATATCTCTTGGTGATCTTGCCAGCTGGATGGAAGCGTACGACTGGTGTTCCTTCCAGTTCGACGACAAGGCGTTCCCCGACCCGGCGAGCTATCTCCGTACCGTCAAGGATAAGTACAACGTCAAGGTCTGCGTGTGGATCAACCCGTATATCTGTGAGTCTGGGCCGGTTGTTCGAGACCTTTTCGATGGTGGATATCATGGCTGACCTCAGAGCATGCAGCCCAACGTGCGCATCTTTTCAAGGAGGGCGTGGAGAAGGGCTACTTTATCAAGCGGGCCAACGGGGATGTCTGGCAGTGAGCATCGCGGTTCCCTCTCCTTAGCCTCCGCTCGCGATTGACTATCCTGTTACTATGACGCCCAGGTGGGACCTCTGGCAGCCCGGAATGGCATATGTCGATTTCACCAACCCGGACGCCTGCAAGTGGTACGCCAAGCAGCTTGAAGGCCTGATGGATATTGGCGTGGACACTTTCAAGGTGAGTCGCCGCCAGTCGCTGACATTGAGGGGTTTTCTATGCTGATAACGTCCGTCGGCAGACCGACTTTGGGGAAAGGATTCCGCATAAGGGAGGTGTGACTTATTTCGACGGTAGTGATCCTCGGTGAGCGAAGGTAGATGACGATCGATAGTGGCGAACTCGGGCTGATTCGCGTGACCTGCGTGTCAGTAAAATGCACAAGTGAGAAACCATCGCTCAGCGATATCGGTTTGAAGCGATTACTCACCCTTGTCTGGCTTCCAGCTACTACACTCAGATCTTCAACGACCTCGTCTTTACCACCCTCAAGAACCGGCTCGGCGAACACGGTGCTGCCGTCTTTGCTCGATCCGCTACCGCTGGAGGTCAGCGCTTCCCTGTCCATTGGGGAGGCGATTGCGAGTCGACCTACGAGGCCATGGCCGAGTCTCTTCGAGGAGGTCTCAGCTTGACCAGTTCCGGATTTGCCTTTTGGTCGCACGATATCGGTGGTTTCGAGGTGAGAGCCGTGAGGCCGTAGCGCGATATCGGTCCGACGATGTTGATCACCCCCCGACGTCGCAGGGGCTTCCTCCTGCTGCCGTATTCAAGCGATGGGTAGCATTCGGTCTGTTCTCGTCTCATGTGAGTCCGAGTTGTCTGAACCGATACAGGATCTTGCTGATCGCCGTGGCATCTGGCAGTCCCGACTTCATGGGTCCAAGTCGTTCCGTGTTCCCTGGCTGTACGACGACGACGGCAAGGACGAGGCGTCCAAGGTGTTGGCGAAGATGGTCAAGGCCAAGCTCAGGTTGATGCCATACCTGTTTGCTCAGGTGAGTCGGCAAGGCAGGCCCGAGAGTGAGTGATAGACACGTAGCTCACTGGCGTTCATCCGATTCCGCAGGCCATCAAGTCGCACGAGACGGGTGTCCCCATGATGCGATCGATGGTGATAGATTTCCCCGAAGATCCTACTTGCCAATACCTTGACAAGCAGTAGTACGTGAAACTTTCCGCCATTTCAACCTCCTGTACGCAATAGCTAAAGCCGCCGCTTTTAGCATGCTTGGGGACAACGTCCTAGTCGCCCCCGTGTTCTCGGACGACACCGCCAACTTTTACCTGCCCGAGGGCAAGTGGACTTGGTGAGCAGGCGCAAACGGGCTCACCAGTGTCGATATCCCGTTCTGACCACTGACTCCACGCTCCCAAATCGCAGTTTCTGGACCAACGCCGTTATCACAGGCCCTCGCTGGATCAAAAAGGAAAACTACCCCTTCACCGCCATTCCAGTCTTTGTCAAGGAGAACAGCGTGTTGCTGCTCGGACCCGATTCGGTCGACGTTCCCGATTACGAGTATGCCAAGGTCGGACTCGAGGTCAGGGCGTACCAGGTCTCGAACGACGCCGAGGTCGTAGTCCAGGTCCCTTCTGGTAAAGGACCCGAATGGGCCGGCAAGGTCATCGTCAAGGGCGGCAAGGCGGATGGTCAAGGCGTCAAGATCGACTCGGTCGCCGACATGCAGGAGAAGGAGGGGTTGTGAAGCAGGAGAGCATGATCATAGATAGACCCGATATGATAACGATGTACATACGAATATCCCTTCCTCTCTGAACGATATTCCTTTTACTACACGAACCCGGCCAGCTTCATCCCGAACAAGACGCTGGCGATGAACGTCCACCCTTCCGCCCGCACCGCCCCATCCAAGCCCAACCTGACCAAAGCCGGACCGGGGCACACCCCACCCAATCCCCATCCCAACCCAAAGACGATCGACCCGATCATAAGCCTAGAGTCGATATTATACGCCGCCTTGCCGAGGGGGACCTGCCAACGGCTCTTTTGACCCTGACCGGGGGTGACGAGATTGGCCTTGCTCTTGCCGGCTTCCGATTCGACAGTCTGGTAAAGCTTGGGTTCGATCGACTTGTCCACCCTCGGTTTGATCTTCTTCAGCCAATGCCTCATGTTCGGCAAGACCGCTGCGAGGATGACCATCGCCAGACTAGGATCCCATTCCGACCAGCCCCTCGCACCTTTCCCCGCAGAATTATAACCCGATTGCGTATTCGAATCCAAGATTGATAGGAAGGGCAACCTCATAAACCCCAGCGTCTTCAACGGGGAGACCATCCCGCTCATCAACAGGCCCGTGCCGAACGTCAATCCGGAGAAGAAGGACAAGACCATCTCGGCCGTCCTCGTCCCCTTGTCCGTGGCCATATCCGCGGTCATGTCCGTGTTGGTATCTGGGCTTCGGGTCGATTGGGAGCGGGATCTAGCTTGAATGCGTTTCAACAAACCAGGGAGGAGGAAATCGAGGTGATGGAACAGCCTCAGGGCGATAGGGACGAGATGAACCGCGCTACTCCAGCTGGGTGCCAAGTCGGGCAAGGTCATGCCGATCTTGTCAGAATGAGGGAGATCCGTGTTGAAGGCCGGATGGGGAAAGACGTTGCTAACCAGCGTAGCCGTCAGAAAGAAGGTGATGCTCGCCACGATAGAGCGGGGGGAGAGGCGGGACATGCCGCAGAGGAAGTGGCCGCTATCAAGTTCGTTCACAGTAGACAAGAGGTGGGGGAAGGTATGCGTCAGCACACGTCTACGAGTCTGCAAGACCACGGCAGCGCGGAAGTTGGACTCACCTCGTGCAACCAGACCCGAGCTGTGGGTGGAATAGATGACAGGGTTGTACAGGAGGAAGGCTCGTTCAGCTAGCGACCCCGACGTATAGATCCGAAGGAGCTGGACGATAACACTGACCTTGCTACCGAACCCGACCAGAACCCCTGCCAATACCCTCCTGCTGATACTCCCACCCGTCAACCCATCATTCAGCCCGTACCGATGTACACCCCACCCGACCTCTGCTATCGACGTCAGATTGCCAACCACCGCGCTCCCGACGAGCCCAGCGATAAAGGCCCACCTCCACGTCTCCCTATCTCCTAGTACCGCCCCGTTCAAGATCCCCGAGATACCTAGGGGACGTCCGGTGAGTTCGAGGTGGTGCGAGGTGGATAGGTGTAAGAGGTCGGCTCCGAGAAGGGAGTGGATGGGTGTGAACATGTCTTTGGCTTTGTTTGCGTATCGCGTACGTGTTGGGTCGGTGAGTGGGTGGTGATTATAGGGGCGACTCTATGCCAATGGGGGTATCTATTTCCTCGACCAGCGAACGGTATGAACCTGGAGGTAAAAATGAATCGTTGGCGAGAGCATCGAGGTCTTGAGTATATATGTAGGTTTTGCCCCAGACGTCTTGCTAATCCCCTCAAGACATTCCGAAAATCTCTCTGGTCGCTTGAATCGCTTGGTCATCCCATCTCGATTGGGGTCACTAATTCGGAAATCTTTGCGCGTTTGCCAACTGGAAAATGGTATTACCTCCCACCAATCGTGCGTGTATGCGAATCGAGACTCGATCATGCCTTTGGCCTTTGGAATCCATGCATATACCTCGCTATGTTTGGCCCGAGTACTGCGCTTCTCCGTGTGAAGATTGCGCCTCACTCGGTCGATTTGTGTAGCTGGTTAGATCGTTTGAACATGTGCAACTTGGTTTTTTGCCCAGGGCCTGAGAGCTGCTGACTTGGCGTGTTTTCCTAATAGTATGCCCTCATGCCCCGCTATAGCAGCGCACGTATTTTGTTAGGGGCAGTTGTCTCGCGAGACACAGCGAGATAAGGTTTGCGCTGCTACAGCAGCGCAAGGGTACGCGCGACACACAAAGTAAACAGAGACAACCCGCGAGACAAACAAAGTAAACAGAGACACGAAGCGAGACACATAAAGTAAACAGAGACAACCCATTCGTCATCTAGTTAGGGGTTATAGGGTGATCCGACCCCCGGGTATGAAACACACTTTTGAGAACCAGCCATCCCAGCGCTTCCAGGGTTGTACCAATGTATAGAGGCACCTTTGGACAGTAGAAATGAACTATCCAATCTGTTGTTGGGCCCTTGTTGTGACTGCTACGGGTCAAAAACACGTCAAAATGACCTCGAAAGTAAAAAAAAAAAGTTAAAGTTCCCAAAAAATGAAATTGTCTGAAAGTTCCAGAACACTATCCCGCTTGGTTGGACCATTTTGAAGGTGAAATGACTTAGAAATCACGCTTGACAGTTTGGGGGTGAGGTTGTTGACGTGACTTGAGCATATCCATAGGAGGTCTGTCCCGCGCGCAGGTGGCCACGTCATCAGGCTGTCTCGCGCGGGGGGGCCAGCAAAAAGTAAACAAACAGCCTGTCACCGCGCGTGTGCAAGTCACCCCTCGTACATCAACCTATTCTCACCATCCACATCAGCCATCCTTCACACAGCTGTCATGTACATGCTATTCAGTCAAGAAGTTCATTCTAATCATTACATGTGTGATCCCCAAACAGCACAGTTGTTTGCCCAAGTGGTTGTCATCCCTCTCACGTCACGCGCGGGACATCTAAGTGACAAAGTAAACAAAATGAGCTCAGCAGTCACCGCAGACACCGCAGAGACCACCACCCCGTCACTCACCAGACCTAAGTGATCTGATCACCAGGATACAGGTTCTCATAGTGGTTGTTACTGAGGTATAGCCAGAAGTACCTGGAATGCTCTTGCTGACCATGATGTCTCCAGAATAGACCCCCGTCCTCCCGTCTCTTCAGGACTGAGATCCTGACCTTGTAACACGCGCAGATGGCCTTGATCTCTGGCTCATCACCCCACTCACCCGACTGACTCATCCTCTGCATGTACTCCCTGAAAGCTGCTGCCTGTCCTTCTTGTCCATATTCTATGAAGGGGAGGTAGTCCTCATAGTGCACACGTATCCACTCAACAGCCTCCTCCCTGACCTTGGCTGCGGTGTACCCCTGCCCGAGACCGAAGGCCACGGCTTCAAACATACAGTTGCCGTCCTTTGCTGTCTGACTTGTACAGTATGCCGGGGGGCTGGAACCAGTGACCAGCCTGACCTCATTTTGATAGATGGCTGTGTGAGGAGGCTGAGGCGGTGGTAGAGGTGGTGCCCGGAGTGACTTCCTGAAGGCCAGGACTTTGGCCTTTTTGGCGAGATGACTCGCGCGCGCGGACTCCAAGTTGGCACGGGTGGTCCTGACCCTATTGACAGGAGGTGGTGGGGGAACCAGGGGAAGACCTTCAATGGGGGGAAGACCAAGTAGATGTCCTGGTACTTGTCCCGTTGCAATGAGGTTGGCAAACCAGATGTAGGAGTTGCCAGCATTGAGGTTGTGCTTGCACGTCCACTCGGCACACCTCATCCGGAATGGTCCCCAGCCGTAAATATTGTACCCGTGTTGAGGGTTCACCTGACAAGGGATGTCACCTTTGGGATGGTGCTTTCTCAATGCTGTGACCAGATCCTTGGTACCTTCATCTCCAGTGTAGATCCTGTTGAGTTGTACCAGGATTTGGGAGATGAGCACGTCGGGGACGTTGGTCGGGATGGGCTGGTTGTGATGAGTTCCCGCGCGTGCTTCATCCAGCTGGGGGATGTCTGAATTTCCCTGTTCCCCTTCAGCACCTTTGCCTCTCCACCATGCAGCCTTGTCACTGGCTTTGGTGACCTTGTACCTCCCTGCATTCCACCCAAAAGAAGCCAGCACGTCTGCGGTGACTTGTTTCTGCAGCTTGGTAGGCAGGTGGGCATTGGTCCCCTGGAAGACCTTCAACGTGGTTGCTCTCTGCACCATCCAGTTGGCATTGAGCAGTAGTGCTTCCTTGGTTGTGACCATCATATTGACCTTGGGAGCAGTGCCACCCCGAGTTGGGTTGGTCCAGAACCCTATCTCGGTCAATGGACTGTTGTGCATCCACACCTGTGCAGCACTCAGGGTAGCCGCGGGCACCGTGACTTCTATCCTGAATCCTCCAATCTCTTCCTCCGGGACTTGGGACAGCATCTGCACCATGTTGGCAGATGCCTTGTACCGTGCCTTGACACCATAGAGTGTCTTCAAGACCTCTCCCTGCAGTCGGCTGTTGAATGACTTGATGACATGGACCAGCCGGGGATAGATTTTGACCTTGTACGTGGTGTCATGCCAGACGACAGTGGTCTGCACCGAGCCAAAGTCTCTGGCAGCTGGAGATAGCATTGGGTAGTGCTTGGTACCACCGGCAGCACCTTGTCCAGGTCTGAAGAGGATAATGTAGGGTGACTGGTATGTCACGCCAATGTCCCACTCGTTGGTTCCACGTCCGGGATGTACCGTGTCTGCCGGTTCATAGTGTCCCAGGTTTGCCAACCGGAGTGGGAGCTTCTGACCATAGGCCTTGTACCTGATGGTAGGGCAGCCAGCTTTGATGAGACAGGATGCTAGGATGGTGGTGGGGATGTAGGCACTCCCGTAACTGGACACCCAGGGGTTCTTGGCTGGGTTGATGGTACGCGTCTTCTTGAGTTCCGTGAAGAAGGCATCCTTGTACTTGGGGTCTATCGAGAGCTGGTAGCATGACTCTGCCAGTAAGAGCCACTCTGAGAACTCGTGGGTTCTGTCCCCTGGCTGTGTCCTCTTGATCCTCGGTGCATGGGATGACAGCCTGACGAGAGCGAGCGGGTTGGAGAACTGCTTGAGGTAGAACCGAGGTGACATGCAGATCTCCATCTTGTCCACGTCCATGTCACCTGGCTTGAAGCTGTTCATCACAGTGGTCCTGAAGCCATCTGTACACTGTGTCATGGGCATGAACATGTTCATATTGGGAATGACAAAGGGTGTCACCGGTGCATCCTCCTACGCGTGCATGTCAAGTCAGTCACTCGTGACATCAACCACTCGGTCACCACAACAGCACTCACCTCTACCGGTCCATCTCTGTCACTCTCCTCATCACTGTCAACCAGATGATCACTGCTGCTATCACTACTGACATCAGGGGCATCTCTGACTGCCGGGACATGCTGTGATCATGGCTAGGTCAGCCATGCTACGTGACGTGACAACCACCCGGGGTCACTCACCCTCTGTACCACAATCAAGTCTCGGTCACTTAGGGGTGTCTCCGGTCTAGTGAAGGTAGCCTTTGCTCGCTTTGACTTGGGCTTCTTCTTGGGAGCAGCCTTCTTCTTGGTTGCTCGTGGTCTGGACTTCTTGACAGCAGGGGTCTTTGCAGCACGTCTCGGAGGTGGGGCATTCTTGTTCAGAGTGTCTCTGCCGTTACGTAGTACAACCATTACTAGGGACACATCTGCCATCAATCACAGCACCACCCGTCATGTACACACTGTCACACTCACTTGATAATGTAGCCTAATGTTTGGTTGATCAGTTGTTGTTGCTGAGCCGAGGCTGTTTGTGTTGTGTTGTGTGACAAGGGTTTGTTGATACGTGTCTATTACGCGTGTAGACGTGTCTTGAGCGCCCAGTTGCCCGCCCACTTGGGTGCCCATCAAGTGGGCGGGCATAGTGGGCGCGCTTGGATGACGTGGCACACTCCCGCGCGTGACAGAGGGGTCACTACTGTCTTGCTCAAATCTCATGGTGCAATGATTCTGAGAGTACCACTGTCATGATAGAGACCATTCTGGCCTAGTTGTTTGTTTCCCCATCTGATTTGGTCCAGTTGTTCAGGAGATACACGGGTTAGGGGTTAGGGGTTAGGGGTGTTATTGATGTATCTAAGTGCATGGAAAGGTCCTAGTTACATTGGAGACGTTTCTACAGAACGGCATACAGTTGGCAACTCAATACTTTAAGCCATCAGACAAGCACAATCATCACCAGAGGTTCAGATAGTACTAATCTAGTTGACAAAGTATCTGGTCCTAGCCTTGACCAGCTGCAGAGAGATGGACCTGCACATGAAACTGTAAGTCCCAGCGCTCATCACCTTCTGCCATTCCTCAAACACCTTCACAGTCTCCTCTTCCTGTGCACCACCAATACTGAACACCAAAGGCCTGAACTTGCCATTGACCTTGCCAGCATACTTGAGCCTCTTGGCTTTGGCAGCGATCTCCAACACTTTCTGCAATTCCTCCTTCTTATCCCCGTCCCAATGGAAACGCCTCGCCTCCTGAGCAGACAAGCTGACAACTGTGACGTCAAACTCCTGAGGACTCATTCCACTCCACCTGCTACCTTCAAACCTGAAGTCCGTCCTCTGTGGCCTGTTAGGCACATTGGGTTCCAAGCTCACAGTCCCAAAGGCACCACTGCTGACCAATGCCTCACATATGATCCTCTTCAGGATCTCATGCCTGGCCACTCTGTATCTCCCTCTCTTCTCGCACACATCGTCATGTCCCAGGCCGTTGAATTGTCCACAGTGAGGGCAATTAACTTTGGATCCAGAACACAATGTCCTGAACAGGAGTGCTCCAGCAACTTCAAAGTCTGAGAGTCTGAGTGATTTGTTGAAAGGGATGACTGAGAGCCATCTCCTACCCAAGACTGTTGAGTTCTCTGCAAGCGTCCTCCTTTCCATGACATCAAGCCTTGTCACCATCACATCCCTTCTGTCCTTGTGAACCTTCTCCAGCCTCTCCTTCT